GCAATCATGTAACTAAGCTCTCATAACTCCTGATAACGCTGATTAGTCTCGGAATGATATCACTTTGTAGAAGAATTTAGAAACTGCACGAATTTGAGAGAGCGTGTTTACGGTGTTGTCAAATGGCTTAAACACACGAAGTTGTCATACTACAGGGTCTAGGGTTTATCTTACTTCTTAGATGTTAGGTGAAAGGAACTAATGTGTATATAAAAGCCTAGAACTGTACCTAAAAGGGGCTTACCGGGTTTAGCGCGGTCTCTTTACTGGTCTATCTACAACACTATGCCAAAGAAAGTTTTTAAATTTCAAATTCGCATGAACTTATCACAAACAGACAAACTATAACTTGCAAAAACTGTAAACCACGTACTGATTTATTAGTTTGTAATAGTTTAATTACTAAGAACCCGCAACTACAATATAAAAATCAACAATGTTGCCCTTTTATCGCTACCTGTCAATTATCACAGCGTTTAATTGATTACCGCAGTAAAAGTGTGAACAAGCATGATACCTAGCCATAAATCTACAGTAAGATAACGGGATTTTTGGTTGAAATCGAACATTACTACGCTTTTTGGTATGACAAATGGGTAACATTCTACAGCAAGGTTGTTGACTAAGTGTGCTGAAATGGGTAGAAGACGTTGGTAAAGTTTCACCAATAAAACTAAAAATTTAAAATTAAACAAAATAAAAAAAATATTTTAATTAAAAGTATATTTAAAAAGAGGCGCACTAGGTCAGGCCTAAAACCAAAAAAAAATTGAAAAGTTGAACCAGCACTTGTAAACCAGAAGGTCGAAGAAACTTTGGCTTGGCATATCTCCGGATAAAGCCAGGTTGAATTTATTGTAAGCAAAAGGCTTCTTGGCTTTTATAAAATATTGCCATAACTCATAAAACATTTATAATTAAAAAAATTAACTTTTGTTTGCTAGCGGTTCAGTTTATTGTAATAGTACTATGTTTTTACTGAAGACTACTTGTATGCTGTCTCCGTCTTCTATATTGCAAATATTTAAAAAAGATTAAAAAGCCATTCACATTTTAAAACACTGTGTGTTGTCTCGTATAACAAGTACGTATACAAGTCGTTTTTGATTAACTTCTAAAAGGCTCAATTTTTTTGGCACTGACCGCCTGTCTTTGAATAAAGAGAACGCTGATCTCTCGAAAGCAAAGTTTAGTCAGGGATTATGAGAAGGGATCTTCTTTGTTTTTGTAAAATAACTTGAAAAAAGATCTATCTGGCTGATAGTAAACATTTCGTTTTGTTTGATATTAGATTGAATTAGTTTTTTGAATATTTTTGAATTTTACTAACTTAAATTAAAAAAAAATAATTGTTTGAATTATTTTTTTAATTCTTAATTACGGTATTATAACAAGTTAACTTCTTGACTACAATTTTAACATACAATAGCAATAGACATGATAAAAATTATTTTTTGTATTTTATGGCAAACCGCCCGTGAAAAGAAGTGTTGGAATACAGAAGTTTTAAATGCACTGTGTAGGCATGGCCGAAGATTTGAAAGTTTTTTTATTATACTAGACATTTGTTATAGACCAGTTTGTTATACAGAAGTTAGACTGTATTGAATCGCAAAAAATACTAGGAATAACGGTTCAAAGTATATTGAGTTAACGTAGTTACCAGCAGCAGGTTCTACTGTTGTAGTTGAAAAGCCGATTAACTCATTTCAATTCCTGTAATAAACTTTTCCACGAATTTTCAAAATTCAACGAACGGTTTTGTCCTTGATATAGTAGCTTTCACGTGAACTGGTGTTAGCCGTAACAGTAACTGAGCTTGTTGCTTATGCAACATAATCTTGTTAAAAGCACAATCAAAAGTCTTCTAATTGTCATAGTGTTTTCATAAGCAACATTAAATGTTGACATATGAGATATCTTTAGCAAGAGTCATTTTTACCGAGTTTTTTCATATATTTACTTATATGCTTATTATGATTATGCCTATAAAGGGGAACGGACACTTCGCGGGTGGACACTTCGCGGGGGCATCACTTTAAATGGCAGAAAAACGCAATGCCAAGATTTGCCAATTTGGCGGAAATTCAAATTTTTGACAAAAGATTGTTTAAATGTTAATTGTGTTGGTTTTTGTATTGTATAAGAACTTTAACTCCAAATTTTAGTAAAATTTTACCAACCGATAACAAAGTTACTGCATGTCAAGTCAAAAGATACCACAGTAACCCAGTAAATACACATGATAACAGAAGTAAAAATCAGAAATACGATTTTTGTTAGTGTTTATTTGTTAAGTTTTACAATACTGCAAAGTTTGAAGTAATTTGGATAAGTAGTTTTAAAGTTACAAGTTTTAGGTCCAAAAATTGAGGTCAAATTCTATAAAAAACCGATTTGGGCTTGTAAAAATAGTAATTTTGGTAAAAGTTGACCAATTTAAAAATTTTAAAATGCTATCATATGCAGTCTGGTCCAAAAAAGCTAAATTTACACTTCATTTTGTTTTAGCTTCATTGTAAATGGCAGAAAAACACAATGCCAAAGTATGCCAGTTTGGCGGAAATTCAAATTTTTGACAAAATTTTGGTTGACTGTTAATGGCATTGCTTTTGGTATAATACAAGCACCTCAACTTCAAATTCTGATAAAATTCAATTAACTTATAACACAGTTACTGCATTTAAAGAGAAATGATAACAACGCTCTAACACAACTAGTCTAAACTGAAACCTCTAACTTCTTCTTCTACTAGTATGTTGTTCACACATGTATCTAGCCTATTGTTAACCTACAATGACGTTTATCTTACGTTTTATGGTGAAAAAAATCTAAATTATTAGAGTTACTCTGGTATCTTTCGACTTTACATGTAGTAACTTTGTTTTCAGTTGGTAAAATTGTATTAAAATTTGAAATCAAAGTACTTATACAACACAAAAAACAATACCATCAACATTCAAACAAAATTTTGTCAAAAAGTTAAATTCCCGCCAAATTGGCAAATCTTGGTATTGCGTTTTTCTATCATTTAGAGGTAAGATAAAAAAAAAGTAATTTTATATTCGACGTTTTCAGGTCAAAATGCATATGATAGCATTTTAAAATTTTTAAATTGGTCAACTTTTACCAAAATTACTATTTTTTCAAGCCCAGATCACTTTCCTGTAGAATTTTACTTCATTTTTTGAACCTAAAACTTGTAACTTTAAAACGTACTATCCAAATTACTTCAAACTTTGCAGAATTGTAAAACGTGACACATAAACACAAACAAACACAATGTTTTTAATTTTTACTTTAGTTATCATCCGTATATACTCAGTTACTGTGGTATCTTTTGACTTTACATACAGTAACTTTGTTATCAGGTGATAAAAATTCACCAAACTTTGTATGTATACTACTGATACACTGGAAAAAACAGTAGTGACAACATTTTGGTTAAACTTTAACAAAAATTTGAATTCCCGCCAAATTGGCAAAGCTTGGCATTGTGTTTTTCGGCCATTTACAATGAAGCTAAAACAAAATTAAGTATAAATTTAGCTTGTTTGGACCAAACTGCATATGATAGCATTTTAAAATTTTTAAATTGGTCAACTTTTACCAAAATTACTATTTTTTCAAGCCCAAATCACTTTCCTATAGAATTTTACCTCATTTTTTGAACCTAAAACTTGTAACTTTAAAACTACTTATCCAAATTACTTCAAACTTTGCAGTATTGTAAAACTTAACAAATAAACACTAACAAAAATCGTATTTCTGATTTTAACTTTTTTTATCGTGTGTATTTACTGGGTTACTGTGGTATCTTTTGACTTGACATGCAGTAACTTTGTTATCGGTTGGTAAAATTTTACTAAAATTTGGAGTTAAAGTTCTTATACAATACAAAAACCAACACAATTAACATTTAAACAATCTTTTGTCAAAAATTTGAATTTCCGCCAAATTGGCAAATCTTGGCATTGCGTTTTTCTGCCATTTAAAGTGATGATATAAAAAAACGGATTTTGTATTCGGAGTTTTCAGGTCAAAATGCATATGAAATTATTTTAAAGTTGGTCAATTTTTACCAAAATTATAATTTTTATAAGTCCAAGTCAGTTTCCTATAGTATTTGACACGGTTTTCGAAAAATACACTCTTTTTTAACCATAAAAATGTAAACGTTAAAAAAAACCAAATTTAACAAAAAAAATTTTTCTATTACTTTGATGTTATTTTAGGCTTAAATAGACCCTACTAATATTGACAGTTCACATAAATATTGCCAACTCCATAGTAGTTACTATATATCTCCACCCGCGAAGTGTCCATACTTTATGGACACTTCGTTGGTTCCCGCGAAGTGGGACATCCCAACTCGCGGGTGCCCCCGCGAAGTGTCCACCCGCGAAGTGTACATCACTCGCCTATAGATAAACAGATTTCTGTTGATTTTTTAAATGACGTTTATTCTTAATCGAACTTGTAAACAATAAAATTTCAGCAATAACGTCAGTAAAATTGAAAATTGTACAAAGTTGAAAACTCACGGTAAAACTAATTTTTGCAAATCTCCTTGAATTTCAACGAAAGTCGCGTTTTCTACAAAACATTTTATAAAAATTCAAATTATTTAAATCTGAAAGTATATAAAGCGTCTGTTGTAAACCTCCACTACTTTGAATACTATATATGTATTGTGCTTTACGGTAAACAAACATAAATTTAATTTAAATTTACTGTAAGTTTTACAATTGTAAGATAAGATGATACATAGTTATTGAAGTTTATACTGAATTTCTTCGTATTTTATACTTCAAGCTTCATATTATATTACAGTAGGTTGTTTAAGTTCTGTGTTTCTTCTCAAAATGACTTGTTGGAGTCGGGAGTTCCAGAATTATTTGAAGAACCCAATATTGTAAAATTAAATCGTGTTGTTATACTCAATAAATCATTATGATAAGCATATTTTGTAACAATTCATTAGTGAGTTACGTTTTCAGATGCCACAACAAGACCTTGATTCAAATGCATCTACCGATTCTACAGCACCAAACTTGAGTCATTCTCCAAGGCGGTTGCCGGTGTTGAGATACGTTGTAGACATTTCGTTGGTTGCTATCACATGTAAGTTAACATAACTGAAAGAGAAGTTAAATTTAATTCTTGAACAGAAAAATTTACAAAATTTAAGTTTTTGCGATTATAAATTTATTGCAAACTTTTAAAAGCGATATTTTAGTTTTTGTATCACAAGTGATAGTCAAAAGCTTTGGACCAGTTGAAAATGGTTTCTACTGTAACGATGCACGTCTTTCTTTTCCGTACAAAGGGAGCACGGTAACGGTAGTACATCTACTTTTGTATTGTGTACTGTTACCTTTGGTATTTGTAAGTGTTTTTAAAATATTTATTTTAAGTTTTTTTATTTAAATTTAACTTCAACTAGACCTGTAAAGAGGCTAAACCAAGCTCAGTTTTTTGGTTTTGCTTGTCCTTTATAGAGCCCACATGTGTAGATCCAACCTGTCCTTTTTCAAAGTTGCCTTGATTCGGCCTAATCTGGGTTTTTTGAGGCTCATTTCAGTTTCAATCTTAACGTTTTTTCATTTTTTTAAAACTTTTTACAAGTTACTTTGTAAACTTACAGGTAATAATAACCGAGCTAGTAATGCTGTCAATCCACCCTCATGAACGCTACTCTGTATACGAATACCATCGTGGTAAAGTTCAACGATTTGGTATTAGAATGGCCGTATTTTATGGTTACTACTTTGCATTTGAAATATTTGTATTCCTGTTGACTCTCTACACTAAAAATTCAGTCGGTCGATTGCGTCCCCACTTTTTGACAGTATGTCAACCATCGTATGATCCGGCCGATTGTAATGTCGCTGGGGCATTTATTGGAAATTACACATGTATGAGTGGACTGTCGGACAAAGTTAGAGAAGCTAGACTATCGTTCTTCAGCGGACATTCTAGTTTTGCATTTGGTGCTGCTACTTTTACTGTGGTAGGTTTATATTTACATTGAAGTGTAAAAATACGAAGTTTTGAACGACTTGTATCTTTGGCTTTCTTCAAACAAAAAACGAAAGTAATTTACCGCAATAAGTTTTTAACTTTTAGCTTTACCTCCAACACCGACTGATCGGTCACATTCGATCTCGCATCATAATTCCTTTGATCCAAACAATCGTCGTAAGCACAGCCTTGTTCATCGCTGTATCTCGTCTCTTTGACTACAAACATCACTGGACTGATGTTGGCGTTGGTGTCTCAGTTGGCATTTTAACCATGGTGACCTTGTGTCGCTACAGTGCTGGATTCAGGTATCGTGCACCACGTGAAGTTGAAGCAGAACTTGTAGCGTTGGATTTGGAAGCGGAGAGGAATCAGAAGAAAGAAAAAATTAATATAAATGCATCTATTAAACGGCCAGAAAGTAGCACTGGCATGATTGCCAATCGATCGTTTCAATGGATGGAAGCTTACAGTTAGAGTGTAATTAATGTACAGAGTTGTAGTTTATTTTTGTAGCAAATAAGCTTGTTTTAAATATGTTAAGATGAAGTTTTTATAATATTTTTTATGGCTCGGACTTAAAGTTTATGTTTTAAATTTTATAATCATGGTAATTCTAGGAGTTAACGAATTACAACAACTTTGATCAGATTTCTAGCAGTAAGGTCTTTAACATGTGGTGTTTCTCGTTGTGACACCGACTGAACAGTTGTCTTGTTAGGTATCCATTTGGTAACAACTTTTCTGTAGGGTACAATGGCAATAATAGTTAGCAAAGGATTGAAGGTGGGTACCCAACTAGCCATTTGCATAAAAAGCATCGCTGTCTTACCGGTATCAGTGTAAAAGAAAGATGGTACACATATTGAGACAATTGGTCCAACTGACACAAACAGTGGCAAAATTGTCTAAAATATCCTTTATAGCAAGCTTTTTACATAATATGTAAATAATAAGCATGTTTTGAAGTTATTTTCGAATGCTTAATATGCTTTGGGAGAGCACAGAATTATTTGAACATCCTAGTATTTTAATTCTTGGTAGTTATGTACTATTAACAAACGTATTATTCAAGTGTCACTAAAACCTTCATAAAGCACGTACTTGAAATAACAATGCTTTGGATAGTTGAGCTTGCATCGCTTTTGTCCGCACACTATATGATTTACTGTGTACTTGAAGATACACTAACGTTTTGTAAGCATATATCATAGCAACACCGTATCCTCCAATTACCACAAGACTTGCGTAAAAGAAATAGCATTTGTGGTATATACTGCGCTAAAACTAACTATGTAAAACCAGTAGTACTGTATTAAAAAAATTAAATCTTACGACATCAGCATAAAGTACTGGAGGCAAAGGCACTTCCCGATACCATAAAGTACCATAATTAAAGCCAGGTCTTTCTAGGGCTGATATACTGTAAGCAGGGTAAGCTATCATGCCCATAGGTATTGCCAATCCTAGCGATACCATATACAAGCCAAATGTGCGTAGCGTACTTAGAGATCGTGATCTGCAAAGTTTTTATTATATTATCTATCTTTTTCTCTATTCTCTCTATGATTCTGACCCACATACCTCGTTTAAAACCTTAGCTTAGAGCCCTGACTTAGATTCCTAGCAGAGAGTCTTAGCCTTAGCCCAGAGCTAGTTTTAAGACAAACTTACCGAGTTACAGTATAATACCTAAAATAATATTGCGCTGGTAAAATGCTATGTATAAGCGACAAGCAAACCACGTACATGCACATGGCAACAATTTGACCGTGATATGGTAAACATCTGGCCCAACTTTCCATCTTTATCATAAATACACCGTCAGTTAGCTTTGCTTTCTAAATTTACTTTTCTAACACAAAAACATCTCAAAACCTACCCGGAATTACAGTAACTTCTTAGATTAGTATACTGTAAAATTTAAAATATTATTTCAAAATCACTTTTTTAATATTTTACATTCTAACCTGTATCATTTCATTACTTACAACCTGAATAAAGTTGTCTGTAGCCCAATAGCTGATGTCAGTGATAGTGCACAGAAATAACATTTTACTGTAAGGTTTCAAATAGCCAGTGCTTTTGTAGATTACCAAGTATAACATAAACAATGACAAAATACCACCGAAAATAATCTCAAACGCATAGCTAACACGTAGAAACGTAGATATGTCTTCTAGCTCGTCGTATGGTACACTTGATAAAGGATTTTGCTTACCATAAAAATCCCAGGCATATGGGTTGTCTTTGGTCGGTTGAAAGTGTAGGTTCATACTTCTTACCTATATAATACACGTTTTTGTTGTACTACAGTTCATTTGTACTACCTTAAAATGACCATATACAATATATGCAATAGCTTGAAAGTACTGTAACAAAGTTTTTAAAAAGTACGGTATGCACCAACTGAAATTTATTTTAACTACGCACACCGTATCAAACAATGACAGTATCATGAACTGACGAATGTTTGTAAAGTCTTTAATCTTGCATATATATAGTTTATTTCTTCGCCTACTACAGTGTAATTACATAGTAAAATTTAAGTTTGATAAACTATCGTATCATATGAACCGCTTTTGTAAGCTGTCCTTCTAAAAGTCCAATATGGTACGCTACGTACTCCACGTTAGAATGTTTCGGTAATTATATACAAAGGATCTTACTACTAAACAGTTTTGAAAGATCAGCTATAGAGGTATAATTAAACACACATTATACAAATGTAACTCACAATTTGTCTATGAAAGTTCATCCATTTTGATCTTGTGTCTCTAGGTCGTAAACATTCGTATTAGTATGTTGCCACCTATAACTATGTCTATTTTTTCAATATTTTACTTTACAACAGTAATAATTTGTAAGAGAAATTTAAACTCGTATATCTATGCTTTAAAACCATTTTATTAGTAATTAATTATGTTATAATGTTGTCATTTCTAAAACACCTACAAGGCTACTTTACTCACCCTATAAATACTTTTAAACTTAAAAAATCCGTAATATTAGTGTAAAATGTTACTGAATAAAAACCAATGTTTACGTACTTTATATACACATGTTGTTCTACACAAAACCATTCAAGTTATTTTAAAATAGCTCAAAAAACACGTTTTGGAACAAGACGAAACTTTAACGTATGGAACTATAAAATTAAACGTATTTTTGTTGCATGTTTGTTTAATTTTCATACTAAATAAACATGCACTACCGTACACTCTGTCTATTATATTGAAAAAGTACTGAATGTCCTTGATTTCTAAACTTAAAATTTTATAAAAAATTTTTTTCGAAAAAAATAATAGAAAATGTTATTGTCAGACCAAAAAAACGTAAAATACAGCTTACATCTTTGTTTAGTTTGCATTACATTTATAATATACAACATTTATAATTCAACCAACACAAAATTAAAAAGTTTAGCCTTTACAGTAGAAGTTGTGTATAGCCAACTTCTTTACAGCAAATACCTTATGTAACAAACAGCAATGATCTACGTTTTTTTATGTAACTTGTCAACTTTTCCTAATAGAAGAATACACTTGATATTAGTATGTTGCTTGTATATTTCAATTTATGCTTTACTCATCTGTTACTTTAAACGTAAATTTACATGAATCTTCTAATTTTAAAGTATACACGTAATTTTATGATGATTTTTGTATAAAACAATTTAGATAAACAAATGCTAAATTAGTATAGTAAACACGATATGGATTTGTATTCTTGTAGTTGCGAAACTTTTATTGTAATATTACAATGCAAGTACCAAAATACATTCACATCGTTTTATACTTTAGAACATAGTACTGTGCTCTTGAATTTGTAGTAAATAAATTTTTACTTCAAAACATGTGACTCGACCATATACGTTTATGGTAAACTGTGTAATCTTATACGTTTATGTAAAAGTTCGTGATACATCTATCGACCAAAATAAATAAAAAATAAAAAGTTATGTACCGCTTTTAGTAACGTTGGCATTCGGAGTTTCTGTCGACATAGATGGTGTTGTTTTGGTCGGTAACCATCTAGTTAATGCCCGTCGATAGGGTGTTATAGCTAGCATAGTTAATAAAGGGTTGAAAGACGGGACCCAACTAGCCATCATCATGAAATACATAGCAGACCTGCCAGTACTAGCGTAGAAAAATGACGGTATACATATTGCTAATATTGGACCGACGGATACAAAAAGTGGCAGTGTCGACTAAATTTTGTTTTTTAAGGGGTAATTAAAAAATATTGAGTAACACATCATTTTACAAATTACATACGTTTACCTAATTTGTTTAGTTTAATATGTACCTATGCTTTGCAAATGTTATAATTTGTCTAGTAACCAAAATAAATTATTACCTGGAACAATAGGGCTCTTGAGAGTTGATCGTGCATGGCTTTAGTACGTGAGGTAAATACATTTTTGTGAGTTCGAAGATATACCATGGTTTTGTAAGCAAATCCTAATGCAAATACATACCCACCGCCTACCATCATGATAGCATAGATAAAGTAGCTTTTGTGGTATATGCTACGCTGAAAGTAATTTCTGTTAAGCATACGCAGTCCAGCTTTTATTTTTGTATGACATTTAAAAAGTCGTTTTCTATCATTTTCTGAATTACTTTTTAATAAAATTCGGTTTTTAAGTAAGCCTGAACTACAAATTTTGTCAGGTTAACATTTTTAACCTAAACTACTAAACTTGATATCTTTGGGTTTATCAAGTGACACTTTTTGTACTTTACTGTGTGTCACACGTTTACGAAAGAGTATTTTAGTTTGTAGTAGACAACTAGCTTTATTGTTACAATTTAATAGGTTTGTGTGGTAAAATGAAATTTTGAAATAATTTATTCTAATTTTGAATTACCGAAAGCATGGTAAAAAAATAAATAAGTTGTAAAATCTAAGAAGAAAATGTAATGCAAAACCTACAATATCAGCATAAAGTATTGGTGGCACAGGAACTTCTCTGAACCATAGGGTACCGTAATTGAATCCAGGCCTTTCTTGAGCTGATATACTGTAAGCAGGATATGCTATAAGACCCATAGGAAAGGCAAACATAAATGATATCGTGTATAACACCAAAGTTTGACAAATGCTCAAAGTTTTTGATCTGAAAATAAGCTTTATAGTATTTCGTGTCCGTACAAGTACATTAACAAGTAATAAATGTCAGAAATTTTAATTGTAATTAATGCAAATTAACTAACCTTGTAACTAAGTAATACCTGTAATAGTACTGCGCTGGCAGAATAGTGTGTATAAACGATAAAAATATCACGTATACCGACATTGATACGACTTGACCGTTGTATGATAAATAACGTGCTGGACCTTCCATCTTCACCATGAATACTCCGTCAGATAACTTTGACTTCTAAATATTATTATATATTATACTACAGCAGAGTTTAGGATGTAAAGTGACAATAAAAGAAAATGTAAAATTTTCAAAATTTTTTAAGTTTAAAAAAATGTAAAAAAATGTTTAACTTACCACTTGAATAAAGTTATCAGTAGCCCAGTAAGTAATGTCAGTTAGAGTACACAACAGTAACATTCTACTGTACGGTTTCAGCTGACTGTTACTTTTGCACAAGACCAAGTATAACATAGTAAATGACAGAGTGCCACCCAATGACGTCTCTGCTATATAACTGATCCTCAACAGTAGCGATATGCTCTCCAATTCATCATAAGGTTTAGTAGGCATACCAGTAATATTGTCAGCAAAATCCCAAGCGTAAGGATTGTCATCAGTTGGCTGGAAGTGTAGATTCATCTGAAATTTAACCTTTTTTACATAGACTTTCTATAGCAAAATGATTTTTAAAACTAGATATATATTATACATAAATATATATATTACATAACAAAATAAGTGTAATCTTTTTGCACATATATTTACAAAATTGTAAGTTTTACAAATTTTATATAATAACAGCCTAATTATGTATTAGTAATACACTACCAAGTAAAACCCATCACGACTATTTAACACAGTCTTTATTAACCATAATTATTTCAAACTTTAAAAATATTTTGAACATTATGACGTTTTTGGTTTTTACGTCAGTAGAAGATGACTGTTAAACTAAATGGCTTCAACCAAACCGACTGTTACTTTTAGCGCAATCAATTTTTTATTTTTTTTGGTTCACTTACATTAAAATTGAAATTTTAGCACTAAACGTTGACTATCAATAAATTTTTCTACTAAAATAATATACATATTAAGTAGAGTACTTACCTTCTTATAAAAATATATAAATAGTTTTACACTTCTGATTTTTGGGTGACTTAGGATTATGGAAGGCTGGGCTAGATGAATAAAGTAAAGTGAAACTTATTGAAAAAGACTAATTTACAATAATTTAGTCTTATATTCAAACGACACTCAAGTAAAACAAAGCTAACGATATTTTAAGCCAATAACATGAACTAGAATATGCAATTGTTACATTTGACAACGAAAAATGGGCGGTAATATATGTACACTTATTAAATACATATTACTTACAACTTCAAAGAAGTGTAAAAAGACAATTAAGCTGATTGTAACATAATAATACTATTTATACGTCTACATCTTACTACTAGTACAATATGTTGTCGTACTGTATAATGATTCACCGAGACATATTTGTTTGTTCAGAATATGACATTAAACAACCTATACTTAAAAAGCGTTATGTTTTGTAGCGTTATGTTTTGTGTCACAATAGGTTATAGTGTGTTAGACGTTATACTGTAGAAGACAGTTAAAAGCAACAGAAAAGCAACGTGCCTTATATGTTGATTATGTCGAGTGTTTTGTTTATCAAATTTAATTCAGAAAAACTTTAATGTATTTTATAACAGCATGTATTATATTAAAATGACTTTGCCAAAGTGATATGTTTATAGGTATATATGCTTAAAAAATAATTATATTATAATACTGTATATGCAAGTAAAATTAAAATTACGCATTTTCTAACGCATTTTACTAGAATATGTACATATACATATATAATAATATACAATTTTAACAATTTTAAAAATTTAATATAAACTTACAGGATTGTAAAAAAATAACAAGTTCTTTAGCTTAAACATTGTCTACAAAAGTAACTTCAAAAAATCTAGAAGTTGCAAAACCTGTAGATTACAGTGGAACTCCTGTATAACGAATCGCTCGGGGATTTGAAATTTGTTCGTTATAAGCGAGTTTCGTTATACAGGAGTTTTTCTGTGTGGTGGAGAAAATTCTCACTGTATTTATATTTTTTGATTAAATTTTGTCACACAGCATTTTTAAATTCAAAATATCAGCATGTAGCATTGGCAGTAACAGTACTTCTTGTTACTACAAAATATCATAGTTGAACTTGGGTCTTTCTAATGCTGATAAAGTGTAAGTAGTGTATTATATACTACACATAGATGAATGATCTTTATTTCATTGCTGCACGTAATTTTATGTTTACAAATTTCTTGGGACACCCTGTATATTTACAGAAATTATAATATTAATAGTTAGTTTTTAAACTGTAATAATAACAGTTATTATAGGATGTCTTTTTAGTTCTTGAAAAGTTATAAATGGCACTTTTGAATACTTAGTATGGTTTGCAAACTTTGTAACCTTTAATTCGAAGAGCAAATGTACAAAGACAGTACTGTAATTAAATTTGAAATTTTAGTCATATGTATGTCATGATGATACAATATTAAATAGTAGAAAACGTATAAAAGTCATTCTAAAAAATAGTAACAAGTTGTATCTCATGTTAACAAGTATAATATGTAATTATGACAAACAAATTATATCATTTGGCAACAACATACATTTAAAACTGTAAACTTAATAAGTTAAATTGTTAACTACTCGTGTTTTGTAAGCATGATATGCAATTAATAAATGGTATAGAGTACATTAAGATGGCATGTAAATTAATACATTTTTTTAAACTGTAAAATTATTTATTTGCCAACCAAAATAACTAAAAAGTACAAAGTTATATAACACTTCTAGTAACATTGTCAATTAGAGTTTCTGTTGATAACGATGGTGCTGTTTTGGCCGATAACCATCTCGTTAATGCTTGTCGATAAGGTGTTATAGCTAGCATGGTTAACAAAGGGTTAAACGACGGCACCCAGCTAGCAATCAGCATAGAGTACATAGCTGTTCTTCCAGTACTGGCGTAGAAGAATGACGGTATGCATACTACTAATATTGGCCCGACTGATACAAACGGTGGCAGTGTTGACTAAAAGTTGAATTTTTAAAATGGTGATTAAAAAATGTAGAAACTAACATATTCTTTTAAAAATTACGTACGTAAAACGTAATTTGAGTAGAATAAGATAATAGGTACCTATACTTTTCAAATGTTACAATTTGTCTGTCATTTAGATAAGTGATTACCTGAAACAAAAGAGCTCGCGACAGTTGATCGTGCATGACTCTGGTACGTGAGGTAAATACGTTTTTGTGAGTTTGAAGATATACCATAGTTTTGTAAGCAAATACCAAAGCAAATACATACCCACCGCCTACCATCATGATGGCATATATAAAGTAGCTTTTGTGGTATATGCTACGCTGCAAGTAATTCATTATTCATTTGCAAGAAGAGTAACCAATTTGTCCCACTCATAAGGAAAGTACCCAGTATATCACAAAAAATCCTTAAAAGTCTAAAATGTCAACGTTATATTATTGACACACAATCAGGGTTGGACGCAGGGCAGGGCAGAGCATTTCAACAGGGCATTTTTTTAAATTTCGTTTTCTCGCCAAACTCATATCTTGAAAACTATAATATATACGTAATTTTTTGATCTTGACTTTCTTGAGATTTGCTGAAAACTGTAGTTTAGTACTTTGATGAACATCTTATATATTGAAATAACTTTTTTCAAAATTTTTTATCTTGGGAATTTTCGTACATTCTTGTGTGTCAAACGTTTACCAAAGTGTAGTTTAATTTGCGGTTTTATTGTTACAATTTAATAAATTTGTGCGGTAAAATAAAAGGATTTTAAAACATTTACATAAGTTTTGAGTCACTTAAAAAAGAGAAAAAAAATTTTGTAAAACCTAATATATAAGAAAATTTAATGTAAAATTTACAATATCAGCATAAAGTACTGGTGGTACAGGTACTTCTTTAAACCATAAAGTACCATAATTAAAACCAGGCCTTTCTTGAGCTGATATACTGTAAGCAGGATATGCTATAAGGCCCATAGGAAAAGCAAACATAAATGATATCGTGTATAACACTAATGTTTGACAAATACTCAAAGTTTTTGATCTGAAAATAGTCTTTAGAGGATAGTAAGAGTAAGTTAATTATATGACAGTTAAAAGTACATTAACTTTTAATTGGTGTCGGCAATTTTAATTGTAATTAAGATAAATAACTGACGTTGTAACTAAGTAATACCGGTAATAGTACTGAGCTGGTAGAATAGTATGAATAAATGATAAACATATAACATATACAGACATTGCTAAGACTTGACCTTTGTATGATAATATTGGGCTGGACCTTCCATCTTCACCATGAATACTCCGTCAGATAGTTTTGCCTTCTAAAAACTATACTTTTAAGTATGTATTAAAATATAAAAAAAATTTAAAATTTTTAGTAAAAATATTTTTTATAATTTCACACTGATAATAGAAACATCTCACAGCCTGAATAAAGTTATCAGTAGCCCAATAAGAAATATCAGTTAGAGTACACAACAGTAGCATTTTACTGTACGGTTTCAGCTGACTGTTACTATTGCACAAGACCAAGTATAACATAGTAAATGACAGAGTACCACCACATGCCGTTTCTACTATATAACTGATCTTCAAAATTAGTGATATGCTCTCTAATTCGTCGTAAGGTTCAGTCGGCATACCAGTGATATTGTCAGCAAAATCCCAAGCATAAGGATTGTCATCGGTTGGCTGGAAGTGTAGGTTCATCTGAAATTTAACGTTTATATATATTTTCCATATTAAAATAGTTTTTACCGTTAGATATCCATTACATAGATCTATATATATTACTAAACAGACAAACTGTAAGTGTAAGCTTTTTTTACATTAATTGACAAAATTGTAAGCTTCACAAATATAACAGTTTAATTTTAAATTAGTAATCCACTTCTATGTAAAACCCATTACTGTTCTAAGACAACTTGAAATAACCATAATTTTTTCAAACTTTGAAAATCTTTTTAAAATTATAACGTTTTTAATGTTTGTTTCAGTGGAAGAAGCTTGTTAAATTTCACATTAGTAATTATATATTTTTAAAAGTGTCTGAGCTAAACGTATTTCTAGTATAATATTACATACTATGTAAGAATGAAAACTAGAATTGAAGAAAATTTTACGAATTAAAAAATCGTATTTATTATTAAAATAAACTCAAAATTAACAATTTAAAACACTATTAGACAAAACTTGTAAAAAAAATTGATTCGTTTTACGCACGAATTGGGAGAAGCTTATTCTTAAAACCAAAGCCCAGACTATTTTTTCGAAGTCGCTGACCATGGTATAATTATTGGTTACTATGATAATAAGGTAAAAAACTTGTTTTTTAAAAACAATAGGAACGGTTTTGAAATGGCCTAGGAAAAAAAACCAAACCGGTTTGAACCGTAAAACTCAGCGGTCGATCGGCGGAGGGCACAACAACTAAAAGAAGGCCATAATTCCAAAAAACTTAATGTTGTCATTCTTTGCAAAAGCAGGTGAAACTCTTATTCATTTGGTTATACAATTACTAGAAACCGCACGTTTGGTACTTTTTTAACCGGGAAAACATTTTTTAGAATAAGTTTTTTAAAAAAAGCTTTGAGTCAGGGGCATGGTTGGGTAGTATTATATGAACTCTAAACAGTTTAGAAGAAAATTAGTACCACTCAGTACTAAAACTATAAGTACAACCCCTATCTTAATTTTCAGTGATATATAGTATCGCAATAATCATTTATTATAATAAATAGTTTAAATGTTTCGTACCAAACACATACATTTAATTGATTTATAAGTATGGTACCCCTCAGTACCATTTTTAATCGCCCGACTCTAAGACAGCCCGACTCTAAAATAACCCGAGTCTAAGATCGCCCGAGTTGAGGGGGTACGAACAACAATATAAACCTTTGAGCATTTCTTCTAATATAGCCAATCATCTGGTGGCAACAATACTGAATCAAACAATATAGCTGTAATTGTCCGTTCTCATCTAGTTAAGGCTTATCTATATGGAGCAGTGACTCACACAGTTAACAATCAAATAAATGATGCTACCAAACTTACTACTAACAGACAATGTTAAGTCACTGTGTTTAAATTTTTAAGACTTTCATCTTAATTGCTATGTTATGTAGCGCTAAGAATACAAAAAAATTTACAGAAATTATGACAACATTTGTAATTCACAACTTTTGAATGTTACTTTTTAAAAGTTAATTAAAAATTATGTAGTAAACTACATTCTTGTGATCATAGTAATAATATATGCATTTGTAAATAGTAAATTTACAAGTTAATTGTTTTTTACTCTTTTATTCTTAAAATTTTATAACACATTGCAGCACTATACTAACGATGTATTACATTAAGATCCTCAACATTTATTGCTCCCAGAATAAAAAAGTACAAACATAGTACAAGGTAATGTAATAATCATGTTATACCAACTTATATAATCGAGATCAGTATATGCCTTTAAATACTGTATACATTTTATACGACCATATAAAAGAAAAAATACACATATTATACCATCATATCCATAGTAAGATCCTCAGGCTTTGAGCTGTCTTTAGAAACGTGAACTGTGGAACGACCAAAGCACGACAGCACAGCTCGTCGATAAGGAACGATGACGGAAATGGTCAATAATGGGTTGAAAACCGGCACCCAGGTTGTAATGTTCATGAATAACATAGCTGACTTGCCAGTGTCCATATAGAAGAATGATGGTACACAAATGCACAGAATGGGACCAATCGATGTGAATACTGGAAGAAGACTCTGAAAGTTAATTTTATCATCTTGCTTTTACTACAGTAAGATATTACTTTTTTTGCACATTAAAGCTGAATGTCAATATTAATTAATCAAAAAAAATTTAATCTATAATTAAAATTGTTAAAAATAAGACGATATGACACTATTGATTGAAAGAGCTGTAACTTATAATTAAAAAAAGTTAAAGTTTAAATAAAGACATACCTGAAAAAACAATGCTCGAGACAATTGTCGTTGCATAGACTTAGTCCTCTCCGAGTACATACTGCTATTCTTGTTTAGATGTTGTACTGTCTTGTAAGCATAGTACAATGACATTACATAGCATCCACTAACCAGCACGTTCGCGTAGAAAAAGTAAACTTTTTGGTACATATTGCGCTAAATAAAAAAAATTAAAATTTTTCCACCATTATGTTGTAGATAATATAAAAAAATTATCAAAAGAATGAAAAAGTCATTCTGGTTTATATAAACTATTAAATGAATTATAGTATACATATACGTAGTATTACAAAGAATATAATCTTGACTTTCTCCTCTCTTTTAATGTCAAATCAAACAAAAACTAAAGTTAAAATTTTAAACTTACAATATCAGCGTACAAAACCTTTGGCAACGGCACTTCTCTGTACCACAAAGTACCATAGTTGTAACCAGGTCTAACATAAGCTGAATAAGCATATCCCATGTAAGCACAAAGGCCCATCAGAACAGCAAAGCCAAAAGATAAGCAATAGACAAAGAATGTATGAAGACCTGACAGTGTCTGTGATCTGAAATTATGTACGTTTTTTTTTATTTTTTTCACAGTTACAGCCGTTGTCAAAGATTGACAACTTCTTTGTTGAACAATAAGAAACGGTAAAAATACTGTAACTATAAAAATCGCAAAATTTTTTTACTTTTTTTGTTTTAAAGTCCAATCTGGAATTATCATAAAAGTAGTTTCTACCTTTTTTTGAAAAAAAATTAAGAGAAATTGCTTACCGTGTAACAGCATAAAACCGAAAGTAATACTGAGCCGGTAATACAGTGTGAATCCACGCCATAGTACAAACGAAGCAAGCCATTGCTATCGTTTGATGATCATACCTCAAGTATTGAGCTGGGCCTTCAAACTTGGCCATGTATACACCGTCAACCAATTTACCTTTCTGAAAACACGTCATTTTAAAATTAATAAGTAAGGTTAACATTCAACTCTTAAATTTTTTTTTAAAATTTAAGTTTTTGTGTAATGAATTTAAAATTTACAATTCTTCACTTACAATTTGAACAAAGTTATCCATCGCCCAGTAGCTGATGTCAGTAATTGAGCACAACATTAACATACGACCGTACTGTTTCAAAGGACCACTAGTTCTGAATAGTACCAAGTACAACATGGTAGATGACAAAGTAAACCCACATACACAAGCTACATGGTAACTGAAGCGAAGTAATGTTGAATATAATCCCAGTTCATCGTACGGTTGTGTAGGCATGCCTGTCTCATTGTCAGCAAAATCCCAAGCAAAAGGGTTCTCTGAGTATGCCGTGTAGTGAAGTTGCATTTCTAAAAGTTATATCTCTAATAAGCAAAGTAAAGTAAGGTAAAGATAAATTTGGAAGCCAATTTATACTTCAATTACAAAAATTTTTTATAATATAAAATGTTTTTTTCAATATAATTGACAACGTATATATGTAAATATGTAGTATAGTATATAACGTGTAGTATTAAAAATCATTTTGGTTTTCGTACATAATATTAATATAACATACAGTGTATTTATAGTTACCAGAACATAAAGTTAGACTTGAATAAAGTAAATTTTGGCTCAGTGTAGAAAAAATTATTTTTTATGATTCTTTTTAGAATGACCCTCGACAGTATAACACCCTAGGGCACTGTCCTTATAATGGCAGCTTATTGACCGCTTTTTGTTACAAAACTTTTATTAAAAAGTACCTAAGTAGTGTGACACCCTGATTATAAAGACATGTTTAGACTAGTCTCTCGCACGTTATGCTAAAGAGGTTCGACTGTACTGTAAAGACTCTATATATATATATATATATATACCCTAACGACTGTACCATTTGAAAATCATATCTTTAACTCACATATTGTATAATAACACCCCTACTCTTCTAACTAAACATACAGACATCATATTATGATAGAACATACAAATTAGAATCCTACAAAATTGTACACAAAGTTTTTACGCCTTCAAAACTTGGGAGTTCTACGATTTTACTGCGTAAGACAAGGTACGACACGGACATGTAGTAACGAAAAAAAGTTGTAAAAAATTTTGAAAAATTAAACTTGTACTTTAAGAACGTGTTCTTGTTTTGAAAAGGTTATTTCAATAAACATAACGGTGAAAATACGGTAAGAGATGAAAATATTATTGTACAACAATATGTTATAGCATCTGTTAGAGCGGTTACTGCACAGTAATTTCAAAAGTTTTGACAAGTTATAGGATACATCTTGTTATAGGAAACAATCCACATATTTGCATTACCTACACATAAATAAATGGCAATAGCTCTTATTAGAGTCAACAAAAATCGATGTCTTCTAAAGTTATATCTAATAAATAAGTTTTACTCTCTTTTTTTACTATCTTTTTCAAAAATATATTATAAATCAAATAAAAATACTATGCAAAAACCTGTGCTTAAAAGTACACGCAGTAACAATTTGAATAGTAAAAATGTTGTGTAAACTTTTATGAACGAGTGTTATGTTATGTTTACCTACGTCTAATTGCCTGTATAAAAAAGTTTTTGTGAAAAACTTCTTGGCCATATAACTATAGGTAAATGTTGCCATTTTTCCGTAAAAAGTAGGTATAATATAAGTAATTGGTCTATTCTTATTCTTTTTTTTTGATCTTGTAAAAAAATTTGATGTCGTATATAAAGTATTTTATGTTTACTATATAAAGCTAAAAGATAATAAAGACACACAGAAAGAAAGCTACAGTAAAAATAAGTCGTCTTTTAAAGTTAATATTTTGCTTACGGTAGCTACTGTACTACTATTCTTAAAAGTTTTCTTTACTAGGTTTTCAAAAAATAAATACTGTGTACCAAAACATAACACAACGATACTAAAAACTGTTTCTGCGATAACACTGAGTGCCAGAAGACCCTCCAACTGGAGGTTGGTAATTTGGGTTACTACCAAAGATAATCCGGTAGAAACTCGAATTAGTCTATATCACTTGAGGCTGATTCTAGACTCTACTTTACAAAACTTTTTATGTATATAGACTCTAATTGAAAGTACTATATATTAAAATATTAGTTGTAATTAGTGCATGACATCAAAATTTTCAGTTCTACCCACATATCATTTATTTACGGTATCTTGTAAAAAATAAATAGTATTTTAAAATAAAGTATATAGTTGTAACGCTGCTTCTAGCTTTTACTACGGCTTGGCACAAAAGTTGAATTTTCAAAAAAAAAGTATTTTAAATTTTGAGTTTGGGAGTTAAAACTGCTTACTGTTTTAGAAATTGCAAAAGTCAACTTTGATGCTCTAAGAAATTGCACTTAAAAGACAACGAGACCTCCTTTGGCCAAAAAACCCTGATCAAGCCGGTTTTAAGTTGGCATGGTCATTGGTAAATTCAAATTTTGTAAGATCGGTACATTCACGTTTCTTAAGAAAAATATTATTTATTAAAATATCGTGATTTGTGACGTTAAATTTTAGTGATATTGCCATGTAAAAACGCCTAAAAAAATTTGTCAAAATTAACAAAAGTTTTTGGTATGTAACCAGGGCCGGGCGCGAGGGGGGGGTACCCCCCAGAAAAAAAATTTTCGAAAAAATCGGCACAGGTAGCTCTGTATATTATTGCTAAAGCAAAAACTTTTTTTTGGGAGTCTATCGCAACTTTTTTTGATATTATACATGCTAAAGCTTACAAATTTCAGCTGTATATAGATTGCAATGTAATTGCCGGAAAATCGTCACAAAAACGTTCAACATACGATGACAAAAGCCATAGTTAAGCAGCGTCAAGTATATAAGATCAATTAGCGGATTATAACATTCTAACTAAGTGCTTACTATAGTAGTCAAGTGGCTATAATAAACTAGTATATAACAACAATTAAGGGACAGTTTCTCTTTTTGGTCGATGAGATACTGTAACATAAGTGGAAGTAATTATGAATTATGGTAAATTTGGACAGAGTTATGTAGTTAAAATAAAAAACAGTTGTTTTAGTTAAAAAATTGGTTTTTTGGACTCATTTCAACACTGTGCAGAAAAGTTTTCAAAAGTGGAATTATTATATTATACCATAATAGCAATAACAACATAAATCATCATATAAAATCGTTCACTCTAACATTTTTACCATCAAACTTACACCACCGTCTAACCCACATAACGTGTTATCTTGTAGTAAACAGCAAAATCTGCGTAATGTTAGGTTTATTTTGTTACATTATATATGTGCTTTTGCTTTTTACATTAATGACAATATGTCATGCCAATGGCCTTTTTTTAATTAAAGCTGTAAAACTTTAATGTTATTTCAGTATAAATTTTAACAATTCTAACACGTGATTTTGTTTTTTACACAGTAAGCATAAAATTAAACATAAGCAGGTTTACTGTGACATTTTAGACAGTCTTTTACTGTAGTAAGGTTGTTTTATAAAGAGTTTTGTTACCATAATTAAGGTAATAAGTTTTTTTTATTTTTACTACTTTTGTAAATGTCAGTTTTAAAAATTCTTACAAAAAAAAATTCTAATAATTTATATCAATTTACTGTAGACCTTTATTTTTACTGTAGACTAATTAAAAATTTTTAAAATTAAAAAAACTTTTGACTTTGCACTTTTACCTATTTTTTCAAAAATCTAAGTTTTTTCAAACAACAATTTCAAATGTCAATCTCAAAATGGCATTACTGGAAATTATGTCACAGACTTTTTACCATTACTTCTCCCTAAGATACTACAAGTGCTATTGAGTGTGGTCTCGTGTAAAAGTAAGTACGTCTTCAATTTTGTGCGTAATTTACATCACGACATCAATCTAATCTTGTTCTTGTTTTTAAAATTATATTGAAATTCACTGTAGTTTAAACCGATTGTTCTGTTTAATGAGTAAGTGCGTTGGTGGGTAAAGAATTGTGTAAAGTTAAAAAATAAAAAAATTGAAGCAAAACAGTTTGACGTAGGCTTTTTTAAATATTTTTCTAAAGCCTTCAGCTTCTAAAAAAATACATAATCAGAGGCTGTGAATCTAGCCTACTGTGGTAGCGGGAAAAATCGGCATAGGTACACATGCTAATATATAAAAAAAGAAGATAGGATCACTTTCACTCTTTTTTAAATCATTTTTTGAAAGAAAAATTCATTCTTGTACCTGTAAAATAAGTACTGTCTTTATTACCCACAATTTTTTCTCTTTACTCTTTTCATTATATGCAAAATCAAAAAAGTCAGTCCCACAAAGCTTGCAAAACAAGTATTGTTTATTACTGTCACACAATGACCATCTTACGCTTCACTTACAACCCCATTTTATTACAAGTTCAAACTACAAAACTACATTATTATGATCGTTATTGTTGCTAGGGTCATCTCTTGTATTCGATGGATTGACAGATTTCCTGGCAAGTAAAGTCGTAATAGCACGACGGTATGGCTTTATGACAGTGATTGTTAACAGGGGGTTGAACACTGGAATCCAACTGGTAATACTTATACATACCATCGCTAGTTTTCCTGTATCTAGGTAGAAGAAAGATGGTACACATATGAATAATATTGGTGCTATCGATGTGAAAATTGGCAGAACACTCTGAAAGCATATTTTGTAAATGATATTACTTTATATACTCTTACCAATACGTGTTTAGTATAATGTGAAGATAGAACTTTCCTATTTTACCTGAATTAACAAAGCTCTAGAAAGCTGTCGTTGCATTGATTTTGTCCTCTCCGAGTACATTTTACTATTGATCTTCAGATGATTTAATGTTTTGTAGGCATACAACAATAACAAAACATAACAACTAGTTACCAAAGCACCAGAGTAAAAAAAGTAGAGCTTGTGGTAGATATTGCGCTGAAAATTAATTTAAAAATAACTCATAATGAAAATTCAGACAACATGTCATATAATGACAAAAATAATCTTTTAAGTCAGTTATTAAAGAAAAAATACAATTTAAAAACACATTTTATCGTATAACGAGTAGGCTTGGACACAGGGCAGGGCATAGGGCATGGTTTGAAATTTTTTTACAGGGCAGGGCAGGGCATAGCTTGGAACAGGGCAGGGCATGCCCTATGCCCTGCATTACCCTTCAAATGCCTTGTTTGTGCCATGGTAAGTTTTGGCGGACGCCTTCGCCGAGCGGTCGATAATCGGCGGACGCCATAACTTGGTTAGTTTAGCAGCTAGAAACTGTAGTTCAATTCAGAAGTTATTATATGTCATGCGTTACAAGTAAAAGCATAATTTTAAGATTTTAAAAGTAGTATTGTTATCGACCGGTTGATAATTTTTAGTATATTTTAATTGCAAATTTTATATATATTCTTATCGCTCTGTTGTTCTAAATTGTATAGAAATTGCATTAGATACAATACTAAGCAAAAAACTTTGTTTTTTGTAAAAATTAAACATTTGTAAATTATCGACCGGTCGATAACAATATTGTTTTCAAAAACATTAATTTCTTGCTTAATGTGTAGGTTATGACAGATAACAACTTCTGCACTTAACTACATTTTTCTAGCTGCTAAACTAACCAAGTTATGGCGTCCGCCGATTATCGACCGCTCGGCGAAGGCGTCCGCCAAAATATACCCAAATGCCCTGTAAATACCCTGTAAATGCCCTGATGCCCTGCAGGGCAAGGGCAGGGCAGGGCATAAAAGCACAATGCCCTGTACAGGGCAGGGTTTGCAGGGCACAGGGCAGGGCATGGAAAATTTCCATGCCCTGCCCTGTGTCCAAGCCTGATAACAAGTCACCGCAGCTTGCATAACAAAGAAGCATTTCAAAAAGCTATTAAAAACCAACAAATCTTTTAAAAAAATATTTTTGATTATGTTACAACATTGTAGAGTCTGTGATAACTTACAATATCAGCGTACAAAACCTTGGGTAACGGCACTTCTCGATACCACAGTACACCGTAGTTATATTCTGGTCTCACTGTTGCTGATATACTGTATCCAACATAAGCACACCATCCCATTAATATAGCAAAAGATAGGGCTAAAAAGTACACGATAACTGTTCGTATGCCACTTAGTTGTTGAGATCTAAAATACTAATTTTGTAGTTTTACAAACTTTGGTATACTGTAATATATTTAGTATACTGTAATAGTTTCAACGTATTTTTCCACTATTTTACTATACTACAATATAAATTAAGTAAACATTTGCGTATTTTACAAATCTATTTTTATAGAAATGATATGTGATAATCTTGTTCAAATAATTCAGTGCTCTTAACGTCAAACATTTGCATTGATTAAATCACAGAATTAATTTTACAACGCAAAGAAATTAAGACCTACTTTGTAACAGCATAGTACCTAAAGTAATACTGTGCTGGCAGAATAGTATGAATCAGCGCTAATGCGCATACAAACAGTGCCATCGCTTTAGCTTGATTATCGTATTCGAAATAGCTGGCTGGACCTTCTAATCTGGCCATAAAAACACCATCTGTCAACTTGGCTTTCTGAAATTTTAAATTTTTCATACCTAAAAGCTTATCTTTTGTTTAAAAGTTAAAATTTCCAAGTTTTTCGTATAACTTGTCACCTGCAGCCTGCAAAACTAAAAATGCCATTTTTAAGTAATTACTGTCAAAACTAGAATAAAAACTCTATTTTACTACACTTTCTAAAGTACGTACCACCTGAACCAGATTGTCCATAGCCCAATAAGTAATATCAGTTATAGAGCAGAATAGTAACATACGACCATATGGCTTCAAAGCTCCAGTTGTTTTGAACAATACCAAGTATAACATAGTCGAGGAGAAGATGAATCCACACGCGCCAGATAAATGATAACTGATTCTTAAAAGTTCGGACATTTTACCTAGTTCATCGTATGGCTGGGTTGGTATAGTACCATTAGGATCAGTATAGTCCCATGCATAGGGATTGTCAGGTATTGGTACAAAATGTAACTGCATACTGTAATTTGTTTTGGTAAGTCAATGTTTAAGTAGATATCAGTATTTAAAGAATAATAGTGGAATATAGTATATATTTGTACAGTAGGTAGACCAAACACAATTAATCACGTAACTCAATATAGAGAGATAGACTCAATATATCATATATAGACTACATGTATCACTAAAGTATATATTCACGTACACAAAAGCTATGTTAATATGTATACTTGACCAAAACGAGCATACTATAATATGTACTTCGCTGCATAAATACGACTGATAAAACTAAGTTAACTTATCAAACGTATAGACAGACCATATAAAGCTCGTAAAATTAATATAACTTCCGCTATAAAGCATATATATTATTATATTTATCATAATATGACCTACAATTCTCATTTTTTATAAACTTTCAGGTACAAATGATCGATGCCTAGCGTGCACAATATTATGTTACCCCATTAATTCTGTTAATTTGCTTAATTTTTAAATTGAAACATTTAAATCTTACTTTTTTAACATATCTTTAGAAACTAACAAATATTTTACCTTAATGTTCTGTTAGACCACACAGTAGATATCATTATTATTCAACCACCAAACCTTATACAGTCAAACCTTTTTAATATGAATATGACACTTAAACATCGATTTTTAATTTTTAAGCCCATCAAATCTATAATAAAATTATTAGTAAAAAATACAGTATGTTTTAACAACTCTATCCAAAAATTGAAAAATGATAATTTAAAACGTTTACTCTGTGACTTGCTGTGTCTTGTGTTGTGTGCTTTTTTTAGTATGCCGGTCTTTTACTCCGTAATTTTTTGCAAATAGACCTGTAAAAATTCTAAACTCAATTTTTCGGTTTAGCCCACAGACTGGACATTGGTTGAGGATAGTGGATTTCCTTTCAGATCTACTTATAACAAAGTTAAAAAAATTATTACAATAAAAAACTAAAATTTAGCACGATAAAGAACCCAAAAAATGTTTTGCCATCTTCTGTCACTGGCAGTGGAAGCATACTCTACACCACACCCTCTACTGCAACAAAACAAAACATACCATACTTTGACTTTGTCTTACCCCCTCCTGCTATCAATATCAAATAATAAAGTAAAGTTGAGAAGCTACATTACGGTAACTAAATGAAAATCATAAACCCCGAAATGTAGTCTGAAGGAAAAGCAATTGTTTATATACACAACCACATAGTAATATAACAAGGTACTTAAAAGGGACCAGATTAGAAAGTCTAAAGAACCAAATTCTAATAAATAGTAAGTTATATTATATAGCTCTTGACATGTTGCCTTTTATAATAGCTAACCGTAAATCTTTTAATTGATTTGATATTGTCAGTGTTAACGTAGACAGACAGACGTGATATATGTAATGTAAAATTGCACGTACTTCTCCAAAAGCATTATTTGTTTATTATTGAAAAATTACTTGATAAATTTCTAAATTTACTGTAGACAGAGTCGAACAAAGTAATTTAGTCTGAAAGTGAGAGTCAAAAAACTATCTATTTGTTAAATCCTAAAAAAAATTAAGATGACAAGTAGATGTAACTTTACATTACATACAAAAAATCATAAGCTATCAAAATCTAAGAAACCGTCTATTAAAAGTATTTTCCTCTCAAAGAAGCTATTTTGTCCTGACAGACAGTATCCATAAAAACTCAATCCAAACTCCAGGTTCTTCTCTCTGTACATCCCATTAATAACCGACACAATAGTTTTAAACGTATACTTAAAATAATCATCTTTTTTAAGTGTCACTAATTACACGTTTTAACGCCTATTAAACCGTATACATCTGTTTTATTGTAAAATGCCAATGTTGTCACTGCTTTGTGGGATATTTCTTCTTTCATGTTTTAGTTAGTATTACCACAAAATTTATGTTGTTTCATTTCAAGTTCTTAAAAACAATGTGTTTGTAAATTCAACCAGCAATAAATAAACTGATAAACTCTTTGAAAAAAAAATAATTTAATTCTAGCTAAACATATAGGTTAAAAAAGCATCACAATAACAAGATATCAACATGTTTTCTGTACGAAACAATTTAACACACCTTCTGTAAAGCAACATGCTAACTGTGTACCAAAACATGTTGACTATCACGTAGAGATCGTTAGTTTTTGGCTTTCTTGGGCGGTGGTTTCTCAGGCGATATACCACAAACATTTAGAGCGTGGTTCTTCTCCGACTGGTAAGACAATCCAACTCTTTCGTACACTGACTCCAACGTGATACCTGCCGTATCCAAGGTAGGACAATCTGGTGCCCTTTCCCTCAATGCTTTGTACTGGATCAACATCTCCTTGACATCAGGTAGACAATGAGGTTGATATAGGTCGAGATCACATTCTGCCATTTTAGGCTCGTATAACGTTGATTTGGCTTCTTTGTTGCACGGTTTAAAAGGTTTTTCAAATTCATCGTTCTCGTCATCGGAACTGTCGCGTTCCTCAGTCCCTGATATCCTTTTGACTTCTTTAAAGAGCATTTTTAGTCGATATTGAGATCGTTTCTCTATCACAACATCTTTCTTCTTTGGCCGTTTTAAGCTTGGAATGTTAAGGTTAATCTCTTCGTTGAACCCAACATGCTCCGCTTTTTCTAGTATTGTCTAAAAAATTAAGTTTCTTAAAACAAATTTTTAAAAATGGAGTTTTTACAGTCAAAATGACACAACTGTCCTTATTTCAATATTTAACAGTAAAACAAAGTTTAAAAAATATAAAACAAAATTTAAGATCTTACCTTTCTACTCAATAGCAACTTTCGTAACAACCTCATACTGTGATTTCTGATAAAATGATTGTGTAACACCCTATAGTAACTGTTAAGCTGATTTGGATCTGCTGAGTGAGGATGATTATAGTAACCGCCTAAAAATGTCAATATAAAAAAAAAACAATTAAATTAAAAGAAGTTAACTTTAGAACCAAAAAGTCTAAAAATCGCGATATTAGTGTCCCAAATTCATTGAACTTTTATTTTAGTAGGTCACAGTGGAAAACTAATACCTAAATTTTAAAACTTCAAAAGCAGTTTTAAGTTTAAAAACATACCGCGTGTTTTCTGATAGACGACTAATGGTGCTGGTATAAAAGCTTCTTCTGTAAACGCTATATCCAAATCCTTTTCAAAGTTTTGTTTCTCCATGAACGCAGAGGGCAAGAATCCCTGAAATAAAAATAATATGCGTACTAAATAAAACCTGAAATTATTTAAAACAGATTTATAAATTTGCCCTTAACGCTATATTATTGTAAAAATCTAATAAAACCCGCAAATAAATGTAAATCAAAATATTCACCTTGAGTCGATACTTGGCCTCACTTGAGAGCTTGTCAAAAGATTCCCTTGATATCACTGATCGGAATATTGCCTCCTAAAGATAAAAAAAACATTATACAAGCATGTAAAATCAAAATCAACACAATCTCATAATGTATTTGCCCCTGCTACAACGAAATCAATTGTACTTACGTTTTCAAAGAGTTTGGCTGGAATATCCACAAACTCTCCATTCAAAAACAAATTCATGTAATCCGGCGCGCTTTGTTGAGCGTCAGAGCTGTTCGATCTTGTACCTAAACTCAAAAAAATAATATTTTAAGTAGAAAGTCCTTAAATTTGGCTATTTTTCGTACCCAAAAAAGCAAAATTTAAAGTAACTCTACCTAAATAACCAAAGAACTCACCATAATCAAAAGAGTCTGCCGATATATCCCTCGATGTAGAAGGTACATTGTTCTGCTGTATCGGAACATACACTTCTCGAGGCTGTACGTTATTGTGCTCGTCGCTTTTCGTTACTATAGGCACTCCATGATAAGATGTAGGGTTTGGCGTATATACATTTTGAGACATGGAACTTCTAGGAACCTCCATTTCTAAAAACGATAGCATCTTTAAGAGAAAGTGTAAAAAATTATTCGAACACGGAAGCATCAGTGCCGACCGGTCGTCCAAGCGGTTGCCCTTCGCCAGACTCCCAACGTAAGTATTCCCAAAAAAAGTTGATACAATATATTTGACTATCTTATAATCACAATTTTTGTCAAATATTACATTAAACACCCTATTTCTGTGTAAGTAGCCATTTACTTCATTTTGCGGAAATTTCCGCATAATTTTTTATAAATTTTGTCGGCGATCTGCTGCCTATAAAATGCAGCCTGCAAAATGATTCGTTCTGGCGAGCTGCTGTTCTCTTTCGCAGGCTGCAATAACGCTAACTGCGTCCGAAATGAGAATGACAAGAATATTTTTTTTAGAAATTGAAAGGAGTGGACATAGCCAAGATACGAACTTAAGAATCGATTTTATGCAGATAATGCTGAATTTTACTTTTTTCTTTGATAACAGTTGTTTCACAATGTTTTGCTGTAGAGGCAGGGCGATTGAGGAAACTGGGGATGCAATAGTGGTAGAGGTAAAACTTATTGAAGAACAAGATGTATACTGTTAATTTTTATTTAAGGTTTTAGTATTTTTTAGATTTTGATTTGTGTTTCGCGTTATATTTCGTTTTTTACTTTGATGCTTACCACAATATGGTTTTTCGGTTTATTTTGGTTTTCCTTTATGTAAACGCATACTCTTCGTGTTCCGCGCAATAAAAATTCCTGCTGAAGTTTTTGTGTACGCGTTCGCGATAAAATTCAGCACATATTTTTCCGTTTTGAGTTGATATTTTAATGTTCATCCAAATTACTTTAACTTTTGGTTTGTCTTGCAGACGGTGACCGCAAAAATGGACTCTGATCATGAACATTCTGACAACGACGACAACAGCTACATGGAAGAAGAGGAGGAGGACGATTCCTTGGAAATCACGGAGCAAAATCATAGTACGACCAGTAATTTCGATCGGTTGCCACTGATTCCAACTGACTTTTCAGATATGTTCGAAGCTCAACAGAACTTTGCTGCTGTCTTTGATTCGAGGTAGGCCTTGTGTTTTAATTTTGTGGTTTAGTGTGAATTGTGCTTTCAAGTAATTTTATTTTTAAATTGGGATGGCAAAATTCGGAGATTTATGGATTTTGTTACCTAAAATTTGAATTTACTGGTTTCTGAAGTACCTGACGACTTTTAAAATTGACGAAAACGTACTTTACAATGTTTTGCTCTTTAAAAGTTTTTAAAAAAGCTTAATTATAGTTATTAATTTTAAAAATTGGAATTTTAGGTATGGGGGTGTACATCCACGTTTCTTCCAAGGTACTTTACGTGATGCTATCGATGAATCTTTCGGAATTAGTAGCAAATGCCCTGTAATGGAAAGAAGGCCATTTGCTATTTATCTACACAACGACGACTCTGTAGCTGCCAATATCTTTGCTCAAAATGTAATAAATTTTTTATTTGTTATTTAAAACTGAAATTTAATGTAATAATTAAATTTTTTGTTATGTTTCAACTTATAATATAGTAAATTCTTATTTATAATATTTAGGTATTATGTTCGGAGACTGCTTCAGCTCTTTTGAACTGCCAGTATGTTTTGTGGGCTTGGGATGTTACCCAAGAAGACAACAGGAACAAGTTCAGAGATTGGGTCACTGAATTGGGACTTACCGAAGTTGGAGATCAAATCAGAATGCATGTGAAGGAAGACTACCCTTTGTTGATGTTGATAACAAAAGATAGATCTACATACAGTGTTGTTCACTTTTGTCAAGGCTTTGATAATCCAACTGACTGTGTGGAGAAGATTATGCAAACGTTGGATTCTTATCAGCTGATCAAAAACAAGGAACAAGCTGAAGAAACTAGCCGACGTGAAAGAGAACAGATTCGTCAAGAACAAGTTGATGCTTATGAACAATCCAAAGCTATTGACCGGGCTAGACAACAGGAGCAGGAGAGAATAAGACAAAATGAAATGTGAGTGGTTTTATATTAATTTGGTTCATTTGTAGGGTGATATTGGTTTAAAAGTATGTAGATGGGGCTTTTTATTATTTTTCTCTCTTAGTTTTAAAAGTTTAATAGTTTCTTATATGTATCTTATATTATTTTACGTATCAATATCATAGAACGATCTTAATAAACCGTATTTTAGAGCGGAACAACAACGAATTGTAGAAGAAGAAGAAAGGAGACAACAAAGGATGGCCACTCTCGCTTCTTCGTTGCCGGTCGAACCCTCTTCTACTGACTGTATCACGATAAGAATCAGATTTCCATCAGGAGAACAGAAGATTCGACGTTTCAATAAGACTGACCAACTGAAATGGCTGATGACTTTCGTGGAATCTCTCGGCTATGACATGTCATCTCATAGAATCTGGAACTCTGACATTCCTAAACGGGATCTGTCGCAGTTCGATTCGTCAAAGTCTTTCACTGATTTAAACTGGCCTCTGAGAGAACAAGTAACGGTCGAAGAGAAGTAAATATATTATTGTTGACTACTAATTGTTGTAATTTTACGTTTTGTTTCATTTCATATACATTCTTTTTGATATATCTTGGTTTATCGGCGATCATGAAGAGTCTGGGTTCTGTCCATAGTTTGTTGTAAGGTTCATAGTGGCTTCTATAGATGATTTATAAGGAAAAATGACGTTTGTAAAAATCGTATAAGCTAAATTGTTATTCTTGCTAATTATGGCATTTCTTCGCGGTACTAAGAGCAGTATTTTTTGGTAAAACTCCATGTAAAATAGTACTTTGGATAACACGTACGATTATAGTACTCAAATTTAAAAAACTCTTTACAAACTTTATAAAATTACTGGATATGAAGCCAACTCTATAATCGCCAAACTATCACTGTTTCTTATAAACTGGAACTTACATTGTTTCTGAATTCTCATGCATATGCATCTAGTTGTGTGCAAACATATACGTCGTACTAATTCAATCCAAAACGGGTCTGTCAACCGTTTCTCTCCACTCAAAAAGCGTCTCAAGTACACAATATCTGAGTAACTATATTTTTGTTAACCTATCAGACGACTTGCCAAACTTTGTAAAATGATTTTGTTTTGGTAACTTGTCAAACTAACTTTATTCTAAAAGTTAGCGGTCTTAAGACCTAGTTAGTTTTGTCTAATTTTAAGGCTTTTCGACGTTCTGTAGAAAAAACTTGATACAAAACTTTTGTTAAATCGGTCAAAATGTTTGTGGAAAAGGATAAGGTTTTCTATATTTTGGTCGATTGAGTCTTGACTTTGAAAGCCAAACTAACTCTAAACAACTTTGTCTAATCATTTGTATTTGTAATTTTGTTATTGATGACTTTAAGCGAATTTTTATTAACTTTTGTAAATTTGTAATGAATATTTTTTAATTAATAAAATATGTCTAAGAAGGTGAAGATACGTACAAGATTGGTAGTGTCTCCAAAATAAGTTACTTTGTTTTAAATACCTAAATATATAACAGCAAAGCTATTATTATAGTAAAAAGGTCACACAGTAACATAATAAAAGCAAATAGACTTTGCCTACCTATAGCTGATAAGAAAAGCGGTCGATGACAGACGTTTCATACGAAATTGACGATGAACTTGGCGACACACTTACCGTCACAGTATGTCTTGATGAAGACATACCAGTAGAGCCACAGCCTCGACCACGAAACTTTGAAGATGATCTGACATTATTTAATGAACAGATTGGTCCACCGACAAAAGCCGACGATGTAGAATTTCATGTAGATAGTAATGCACATTGTAGACATATACCAGTACAAGCGGCCAGTATTATAGAGTTGAGGTTGAATCCACCAGCCATAGGATCGATGAGGAACTGGGAGTACTTGGCCATGCTGTTGGGTATGAGTATGGAAGAAATCGTTGGGTTTCGGTAGGTCTTTATTGGATTATTCTCATTTGGTTTAGTAGAGGCACAGTATTAGTTGAACAAGGACGGGGTTAAACAAAATATTTTTACTTGGATAAAGGAAACGTCACTGTATGAGTAAAATAATATTTTTAGACGAATCGAAAATCCGATGGCCAAACTTCTTCAGAAATTTGCAAATTTAACCTTGAACAGCTTTATCAGAGCTTTAAAAGATACGAATAGAATAGATGTTCTAATACTTTTACAGCCTTTGATCAATTCTATCGATACAAATAAATTAGCTTTGGCTGCTGGAGCTGATTCAGGACAATTTGACAACGCTGACACTTCAAGTTACAATGAACTTGCTGGTAAGCGATTTATTTTTGTTTTGCTTAGCTTATATTGAGGTATATAGCAATGGTAAGGTTTGAAAAGCTTGTGAGACTTTTTATATTATTTGAAAAAGTCTAAAAAGCTATTTTTATTCCACAGATATTATGATTTTTCTATCATTTTTATTACTGTAAACCATTTCAAACTAATGTTTCAGGACCCTCATTATTCCCACAAACCATTCCAAGGCCTGTACTTGAACAAAAAGCTTTTAAAATACCAGAGAATTACATTTTTGTGACTCACCATGAAGCTCAAGATAAGTCTCCAGAAAGCAAACACATCAGGAAGTACTTCCGATCATTTATGGCCAATTTAAAGGACATTGGAAACAAAAACGGCACACAGATTTTGGACATTGAAGATTGTTTAGACATACCCAACTTGTACACTACGATGATGGAGATATTTAGGTAATACTCCGAATAGAAAAAAAGGTTTGGTTAATATATGACTTGAAGGATAGGTTAATATGTGAATTGTTGATTGTAAATGAAGGTTACAGTTGAAGTTTTGCCCTTGTAGTAACATGTTGAATACTTTTTTAAACTTTAAATATTTTCAGCAAAGCCAGACTAATATTATTGTACGTATCATCAAGCTACTTCCAAGATGTTCATCAGCCGAGGTCTGTAGCTCCACCAAATCAAAAGACAAAACTCAAGAAATACGTAGAAGAGTTGATTGGAACAGAAAGTGCAGAGTCGGGAAACAGTCGATTTATGGTGGTCTTGACGAATCCAGAAGACGAAAAATATCGACCGGTAGGATGGGCGAGGAACACTATTTACTATGAGTTCCCAGCCAATTGGAATCAGATTTGCAGCAAATGTTTTGGGGGCAAATAGTTAAAATGTGTATGTATAACAAATTGTATAGAACCTTGTACTAGAAGACATTATAGGACATTGTATTAGATGGTATCATACGACAAGGTTGTTTTATTTGTTATTATTGGAACTTAATTTATAACTAATGTAAATAAATTTTAAAAATTGGGTAACATATACGAAAATTTAACTTAAAAATTAAATTTACAATTTAAATACTAAAATACAAATTTTTCAAATTGAAATTTAAGACTTGCTTTATATAAAGGCATTACACGTTGTGCGCCATCTGAATTCCGGCTCAAAATACAGAGAAACAACATTGATACCTACTCTTTTAAGTATCGATTAAGTTTTTTGTTTTTACTTTTGTTATATTAACATAAGCAACTAATAATTAGACGTTGTTTAAAACAAACCTTTCCTTTCTTATTTTTAATTGTTGACAATATTACTTTTTGCTATTTCTGGCAATATTAATATCTTTTCCAAAGGCCTTCCAAAGGCTTCTTAGAGATAACTTAGAGCCAATTGAATTATGAACAGAACCCACCTTCGAGTGTTATTTGCTGGTGGTTTACCAGCAGTCAACACCGATTGTCATGATTACCCAGTTTTGACACCAAGAGCGACTTGTCAGTTCCCTGGATTGCATATTGAGGTAGGGTTTAAATAAATATTTTTAATGACTATTTTTAGTAAATTTAAAAGTTTGCTCTAAGAGGCAGTAATTTCATGTCGTGTATGCAAAACTTGATTGATCTGTCATAATTTACGCTCAACTTTCAGATAATCAAACGAATTGCGGATCGAATGGGCCTGATATTAGATGCTACATATCTAGAAGGGGAGCTACCTATTGTTGGGACTGTGGTAAGTGACCATGCTTTTTAGAAGTTCCCAGAAATGTTGTTTATTATATATTGCTGCTTTTATACTGTAGTAAAAAATTTAAAATCTTTCCACTCATTTTAACATTCAAATAGCTTCTGTTCTTTACATTCTAGTAACTTGTATTCTTTTATTTCTTCAGGAAAACAATACGATAACTGGAATGCTAGGCTATGTGTACAACAAAACCTATGATACAATCGGATTGTCTGTGGGTCAAAATGAAGAACGAAAAAAGTATTTTGAATATTCGAAGCCGTTGTATTATGTAGGTTACTCTGATATCTAAATTACAAGTTATTTTTAAATTTTGTCATTATTTTTAATTTGATGCAGTAACACGGCATGACGAGGCGTGAATCTTAAAATGGCAACGACAGTTAAGTATTGTAAAATAATTTTAAAATAGTACAACAAAAAATGTATTTGTGGAACTAAACTTCACTTTATATAAGTTTAGTCACTCAACATGGCCTTCATAAACATGCCGGACAATAAATGGGACAAGTACTTTGCGTATCTTCAAAGTTATCAAAACAATTCGTGGATTGCCATTGGAATCGCCCTAATGTTACAGTGCTTGCTGACAGTTATTGTACATAAAGTTGAGGAAGATCTGCAGAAGGTAAGAGTAAGAATAGAACATCGATTTGAATATTACAATTTTCAAAAATACAGTAAAACGTCTTCAGTATGACACCCTCTTTATGATTCCAATGAACAGTGTGACAGGTAATCGTACTTTAGTCTAATCTCTGGAATGTCATACTAAAAAGGTTTGATTATAAGTCAAAAAAAAATTTTGTACGGTTTGCAAGCCTAAGATCGAAAAATCATTTTTTGTCTTTTTGATGTTAAAGAAAAAAATTAAAGTTGACCTTCTAGGCTTCTGTACGACATACTGTGAGCGAATCAATTTGGCAGATCATACGACTACAGTTACTTCAACCAGAATCACTCCAGTTGACTTCTAATGCAGGTAAACGCACGACTGTCATTTCAAAGGCCAAAAGGCTTTATTACTCAATTTTTAAATTTTGAAATTCAGAAAATATCAAAACTTTATTCAAGAAATTCAAAAATTGTTTTAGGAAAGTTCTCAGTAGTAATCTTCTCGTTAGTACAATGTACTGTAATCATGGGCGTCCTCAGCTCATACATCTTTTCCAATCTTGTACGACCTCCCCAATCAATACCTTTCAAAACTTTTTCTCAATTTACATCACTGATAGCTGAGGGTAAGTTACATTTGATCGACTTGGGATCAGCTGGACTGCTTCATGAGCTAATACGAACTTCAAATGCATCAGACTTATTGGGACTCAGACATGCTTTAGTCAAAAACCCCCTTAGGGTTGGGAATTCGGTAGAGGAAGTCATGGACATGATGGACACTCCTGGCGCTGTTTTAGTCAGATTCGTAAGGTTTTGCTAGAGCTTTGATTAAAAATTGTCTATGTTAACATAGCTTTAATATTGTATATTGAACAACGTAAAAATGTCATTTCCAGGACGATGAGCATCTAACCTTTAAAGTTCATGAAAAATGTGGCCTCTACATATATGACTCACTGTTACCTCCTTCCTTTGGTTACCTGGTTTTCAAGAAGGGGTTCCCCTACATGAATGAAGTTAATCGTGCTGTAGACCTTGAACACCATAACTTTCGAAAAATGTGGTTAAAATACTTACGATCCTATCGAGGACAGCTCGGATGCTCACCTGTGTCATATCGTCGTATTGAAGAGCATTATCCTTACATTGGGACAGTTATGATGTTAGCGTTGGCTGAAATTATAGCGTTTACTCTCTTTGTAATGGAGCTTTTTGTTCATTATTTTTATCGCAAAACGTTTTAAATTTGCGTTTTTTAATAATAAAAGTCTTTAGTTATTTTTCTACTTGAACTTTTACAAGACAGAACGATGAAAGCTACGTATTTTATAACAGTAAAAATGATGATCAAATAAAATCTTCTAAAGATAAGGTAAAACTACAAATTAACAAAGCAAAAACTATTCATTTGGTTCAATATTCAACCAAAATCCGATACCATATCACGTTTATAAAAAGCACTTTATACGTTAGGTGCCTTCTAAATTCGGCTTAAAATACCGGCAATTCCACCCTCATTCCTTGGCCATTCTTTTTTTAATAGGCTGTTTTATGATTGTTCTATAAACAATATGTAAAATAGAATTGAAGGTAATAAATATAGGATTTTAAAGCTAAAAATTGTGGGATAAGTTATTTTAAAGCTAAGACACAAACATATAAAGTTAGCCAAAGATATATAGAACTAAAACATGAATAAAACTCACTTGAGGGTTCTATTTGCTGGTGGACTACCAGCAGTGAACACGAACTGCTATGATTACCCGGTTATTCTGCCTAGAACAACATGTCAGTTTCCCGGGTTGCTAGTTGAGGTAGGTGTTTACAGTGATTTTAAATTAATTAACTTGTAGTTGAATACTTTTTTAACTTTATTATAAGACGTTGCCCAATATAATGACATATATTTATTCATATGATAATCAAACTGTCATTTCTATAATTTTAGATTTTAAAAATAATTGCTGACCGCATGGGCTTACTATTAGATCCTACTTATCAAAAAAGCAAAGATCCTATTATTGGAACAGTGGTAATTTATTTACGATTTTTTACATACATAACCCCTGTATAACGAATCGCTCAGGAGTTTTAAAACTTTTCGCTATTAAAACTTCGTTATACAGAAGTTTCACTGTACTTTTTTCTATGCTTTTTTCGTTTGACATACTTTAAAATTTAAACAGGGTACCTTTACAGGAAAACGGCACAATCACAGGAATGCTAAGTTATATTTACAACGAATCATACGACACAATTGGGCTAACTGTAGGTGTAAATGCTGCAAGAAAAGAGTACTTTGAGTTCTCCAAGCCTGTGTATTATGTAAGTACCTTTACCTGAATGAGGGATGAATAGGAACCCCCAATGTAAATTACAAAATAAACCCATTTTAGCCCTACCCAAACCTACACTCGCCCTTTTTATCCCCCTACCAGAGATTACTTCTGCAAAAGCTCAAGCATAATCTCAAACTTTTCAGAAACTAAACGTCGCCTATATCAATATGCCAGACAACAAATGGGACAAGTACTTTGCGTATCTTCAAAGCTATCAATACAACTCGTGGTTTGCCATTGGAATCGCCCTAATGCTACAGTGCTTGCTCACAGTTATGCTGCATAAAGTTGAAGAGGAATTGAACCAAGTTTGTTTTTAAAGACGTTTTGACTATTACAAGTTAAAATTAAGACATATCTTGATAGAAATATATCTTCTAAGGGCAACATATAAAAACATGTCTTTTAATAAAAAATGCGTTTTATAGGCTTCTGTTCAGCATACAGTAAGCGATTCAGTTTGGCAGATCATTCGCTTACAGCTAATGCAACCGGAATCGCTTCAATTATCTTCAAATGCAGGTAAGGGTACTTACGTTAATGATTGTTTTTTACAGAATACACATTCAGAGGGTTAGGCAAGGGTTATATAAAGGAAAAGACATGTGTAAGCTAAGAATAACCTAGTGATAAGATAAGGTATTATAATATGCTCAAATCATCCGGTTTCAGGAAAGTTTTCCGTAGTGATCTTCTCCCTAATACAATGCACAGTAATCATGGGTGTACTAAGTTCGTACATCTTTTCCAACCTTGTACGACCTCCTCAACCAATACCATTCAAGACCTTTTCCCAATTCACGTCTCTAATAGACTCTGGGAAGCTACATTGGGTCGATATGGGCACTTCTGGTTCACTACATGAACTAATACGCACCTCCAATGCAGCTGACATAACAGAATTCAGAATGGCATTAGCAAAGAATCCAATCAGGTTTGGCAAGACTGTTAAGGAAGTGATAAAGATGATAGATGTACCTGGAGCTGTTTTAATAAAATTTGTGAGTTTTTAGGTCACAAATTTTAATTTTTCCTTTTTTAGCATAGTATCATTATATTATACACTAAAAAATCTATAAAATGATGTAAAGTAACTTTTATGATAGTGAGACCCAGTATAACATAATTTCCTAAATATTGTTTTAGGAAGACGAAAACCTCGCGTTTGAAGTCAACAAAAAATGTGGTTTATATATTTTTGATTCCTTGTTTCCACCAACACATGGGTACCTTGTCTTCAAAAAAGGATTTCCACTAATGGATGAAGTTAACAAAGCAATTAACTTGGAGTATCACAACTTCAATAAACTCTGGCTAAAATACTTACGATCATACCAAGGCCAATTGGGATGTTCTCCAGTTTCTTACCATCAAATCGAAGCCCATTATCCTTACATTGGCACAGCCATTATATTATGTTGGTTCTCGTGGAAATCATTGCTTTTTCCGTGTTTATAATGGAGCTAGCTCTTTGTCCATTACTGTTATAGGAGGAAGATATTTCATTTAAACGTGTGAAATAAACCTTGAAATGATAAAAAGGGGTCTATTACCGACTTTGACAAACTCTTGTGTCAATAATTTTCAAAAAACACCATCATTGCGACAAATTTTTTGGATTCCTCGAAAATATTGTTTTTGCGAAAATTGATAATTCGTGAATTGATGAATTCAGTTCTCTTTACTCCAAAAACGTCCTTGCAAGTAAACTACTTGTTTTTTTTATCAGTTGAACTTTTTCCACTCTCTTTTCTATCAAAAACAAGCGTCAGATGTCTCTTCTCACTCATCACAGTCCTCAAAAGTTGGGTGTTATCGCTGGGATTGGAGCTGCTGGTGTGGTCACTGCTTATCTGCTCAACAAATTTGCAAAACATCAACGTTATTGGAATGCGGAATATGTTAATGTTGGCCGAGTTGAGAGATTGTTTCTGTATCCGATCAAAAGTTGCAAGCCTATCGAGGTAAGAGTCGTTTTATGTTTTTTTTTAAATTTTAGGCCTAAATTTAGGTATGATGGCTAATATTTTGGATGTTATCTAGTCTATTTATAGATAAAAAGTGTTAGTATCTTTATTTTATAAGCTTTTACGCTATAAAGAGCCACTTTTAGACATCATTTCTCGACTGTACAGAACGAGGATCCAGAAATGGCTGGCTGATGGATAGAGAATATCTTGTTGTCGATGAATTGCATGAACATTTGTTCTTGACCGCTCGTCAATACCCAAAATTGGTGTTGGTTGATTGTGAGGCTACTACAAACAAGTTTACCGCCAAGTTTCCTGATGGTAAACGTGTAGAAATTGATCTAGAAGAAATCGTCAAAAGAAACGATGTCAGAAGAGCTATGTAAGCCTGTAGTTTATTTTCTTGTTATGCTTTTAGGCGTTATATCTTGAGAGCTACTTGATTATCTTATAGAAGCGTCATATCGCATCATATGACTTGTGAACGTTGTTACCTAAAATCTGTAATTTAGACTTCACGAAGGAAAACAAACGGATGGCTTGGACTGTGGTGATGAAGTTGGTCAGGCTTTTACAGAATACCTTGGTTTAGAGGGGAAGAGGAAGCTAAGACTGTTAAAATTTGATCCAAAACTTTGGACTGAACGAGACTTCAGAAGCGATCCAAATTGGTGGAATAATCCTGTCCCTGACGTACAAGATCATGTAAGTTATTGTGGAATGAAACAAAACATTCATACTTGTAAACTTGAAGGTACAACAGTAGAAACTTGATAATGATGTGGTTTATAGATCAATTTTAATGATATGACATCGTTTATGGCTATTTCGACTGCAAGTTTGGAGGTTTTAAACGAAAAATTGCAGGAAGTTGGAAGCGAGGCAAGTTTATTATATTTTAATAGTATGTTTGGTCTTTAGGAATATAATTAACGTCATATTTTTAATATAGGTATGAAATGGTTTAGTTTTGCTAATTGACAAAGTTTCAGAAAGTAGAAATCAGGAATTTTCGACCAAACTTCTACATAAAAGCTGACATCCCATTTACAGAGGATTACTGGCTAAATGTTCGGATTGGTGATGCTGAATTTGCTTGTTATAGGCCTTGTACTAGGTAAGTTTTTTAAATTGGTTTTGTGGTAGATGCGTTTGGATAAGTCCTTTGATTTGGATATTGTTTTAGGGACGTATCAGGTAGATAAAGTATATTTGTGACTAGGTTTGATTATAGAGTGGATATTGTAGTTTATTATATAAAGCAGGTTGTAGGGCTTGAGTTGCAGTATTATATTCTTAAAATGGCTTATAAGACAGAGTAATATAATCTTTTTAGATGTGTCTTAACCACTGTGAACCCGGAAACTGGCGTCAAAAATAAGGAAATGCAACCTTTGAAGCTGTTGAGAGAGTAAGTTGATTAATTTTAAAGATCTTTGCTGCAATTTTACCTCTTTTCACTCGATTTTTTAATTTAAAGTGACAAAAAGCATAAAAGAAATGTTGCGTTTTACCATGTTTTTTCGTTAAAAAGTGTTTTCAGTTTCCGTTTGGCACCAGAAGGACCACTTCGTGAAGAGTTTCAGAAGAGCCCCATCTTTGGCGTGTTTATGTGTGCTATCAGACCTGGTCGCATTCGTTCTGGCGATACTGTATTTGCACAGCTGAAACCTACTCCATTTTAAAATACTCTGTAATGTTCATATATATATTGTAACTATTTTATATCTTGTAGCATTATTATCTTTTAGCATCTTTTGGTTGAAAAATAAATTGATAAGCTTACTATTGTTGGGTTGGTATAAGAGTAGAATATCTTTAAAAGTTATTTATGTTATTTATAATATTGAAATAGTATCTAAATCAGCATGATGTTAATGCATAAAAGAAGTTGTCGTTTTTGATCGTCCAAATATCGGTAAGTTCATCAATACTAAACTTTGAGACATTTTGGCAATTAGGATATCAGTAATAATTCTATCATGGGCAAAAAGTAAAGAAGATGCTAAGACTAAATTTTAAATATTAATGATTGCGGCTTATTTAAGGATGATGTCATTTTTTGCGAGTTGCTGAAGTTATTTCTCGGCAATTTTATCTGATAATCTTCAATATTCTCTTATATATTGTCTTAATGAGGCTAGACTTGACAAAATTAGAAGAGAATAATGCAGATAAATATAATATCAACAAAAATTAAATGTCTGGTTGGCTTATGTTAGCTTTTTACTTGTTAAGAATGCGCTCTGTGGCTAGTGTTTAAAGAGAATTATGCTTTGGAGCTAAATAGAAAGGGGACGCCTACTGTATAGGCCTGTACTTGGGCGTTTTTGGCATGAAAAGGAAACTTATTAGACAGAACCAAACAAATTGTGTTCGGCTTTCTTTGATTTCAATTTTTAGTTGCCAGTGAACAGGTAGGCATTGTCGGTTTGGCCTGAAGGAGGAAAATTTACGTGCGACTCATTGACAGACACAATTATCGATCTAACAATGCCAATCTGTGCAATAAAAAAAGATTGATTTTAAAAATAACTTTTTAAATTTTATCGCATTTTGGCATTGTGTTTCAAGTTTTATATATAGGTGTAATACTTTACTCGTTAACAGATGCTGTCTACTATAATATTTGCGCACTTAACATACATTTTCCAAATTTATGTGTCAATTAATGGACCTAACAAGACCTTCAAAGCGATATCAAATAAACAGTTTTGCGAAGTGTAACTCGAATGTATAAAAACCGAATATTACCCATTTTAGTAGGTATCAAGATCTACGGGCGTTGAGATTCCGGTTCTTAGTTGCAAGTGAATTAATTAAAGCACTTTTGAAACTTGTGAAGCTTCTTATTTATAATCGTAGTGTAGTTTGATGTTCACTTTATTTGTGGTATGTTGAGGAAGCCTGAGCATGAAGTCTTTCTGGATGACGACGGTGATGATGGCAAGAGGAAGTGTAGCAACAAGGTGGTGTAAGTATATGACTTGGTATTGTTATGATGAAACTACTTTGGGTTTTAATTTTTTTTTGAAAAGTTATTTAGTACTAGTCGTACAACTTGCATTTTTTATTTTATTATGCTGCTTAGTACTGTATTTTTTGGTGGCTTTGGTACTATATGATACAGTTTGTGAATTATTTTTTATTTTCAAATATTTTTTAATTTCGAACTTTTTATTGTATATTTAGATACCAAGCTCAATACTATGGTAAAAAACTCAGAAACCTTTGTTACTTTAGTAAAATAACAATATTAATATGCACTCTGATACTATCCATTCTGTTCTATAACATGTATCAATCACATCTACGTTGGATTGAGAAACTACCACTAGACAAGACATATATAGTATTGTCATCCGACTTGAGTATGTACTATCTCATGCATGCTCCATTAGCTATCATGTACTGGAATAGTTTGGGCGTGAAAGCAATATTGTTGATTACGTTGAAAGAAAACGAAAATGTCGATGATGACAACCTCGCCTTGAGTCATATCTTAAACTTTTTGGAAGGTGGGGCTATGGTAAGTTGGCTTTGGGGAGGAGGGGAGGTGGAAAAAAGGAAGGGCGGGGGAGAACAGGGAAAGGGAAGGGTGGAAATTTTACTTCCGAAGGTATTATATTATCAATAAAATAATAATTAAAAATGTTATAATTATATTAACTTAAAATAAAATATTATGTTATGCTATTCTAGTTGAATCTCCTTTATCTAACACATATAAGACTTATCACAGTCTCACTTTTCGTATGTTTCGGCCTACACAAGACACACGAAAAAATTCTTACTATCCTATACCAACTGGCCTCGTCAGTTGTGGTTGGTATAGGTGTTTAGAAATAAATGCCAAAAATCTCGGAAAATTAATTTTTTAAAATTTATTGTTTTTTTAATTACAAAAAAAAGTTGAATTCAAAGAAAATTTTGAAAGGAATGATCAGACTATCCACTCAATTTACAGACCAAAATCATCTACTTCCGCAACTACACCATTCCATCCGGTCGATTTGCTCAAACCGTTCGTGCTTTTGCTGCAGGCACTGAATTCGCCCATTCTTTGCCAGATGACACTGTCTTTATCACCTCCGATGTCGACTTTTTCCCTAGCAAAATCGAGAACCATGTGCCGCGAATCTACGCGGGAAACGAGATCTTCATCTATGACAATGATTGTTGTAGACACATGTATTGGCATGGGGAACGCTACAAGGAGTACATCATGATCACGGTGGGAATGACGTTGAGGAAGTGGAGGGAGGTCATTGGTAAGGAGAATATTAAATATTAGGTTGTTCAAATAATTCTGTGCCCTATTTGGGCAATTTTTTTGGAGTGTTGGATAGCATATTTGAAAACAAGACATCTGTTATGAAACTAATCAAAATACAATAGGTTAAATTTTTTCAGAATTACCTATGGATACTCCTGTAACAAGTAAATTTATCGACACACATATCAGTGAAACTTTTGACAACAATTGGAACAATAAAAAGGTATATTGGCTATGGTTTTTAGACCAACGATTCTTCAGTTTGAAGTTCAAACATTGGATCGACAAGCATCAAGATGAGTAAGTTTCTGAAGCCTTTATCAAAGTTTCGAAAAATTTAAAATTTATTTTGGGGATTTATTATATTTTTTCCTACATTAACATAGACTTGGCTATTCTATGTAAATGTAGGTGGGGCTAATTTACAGGCCAGTTTTGTTAGTCTAGACCTTTTGTTTGGCTGATTTTGGTTTAGTTTGTCCTGGTCGGCCGTTTTTATTAATTTTAGGCTAATTTAACTTTATTTTTCGCTTTATTTGATCATAGGTCTTGGTCTTACAAATATTTATGTTAACAATTACGTTAAATGTAATTTCTCAAGCAATACAATTCAGATACGACACAGTAGTCCGCTCCTTCTACCGTAAAAGAATGCCCAGACTTGAGCGTTTTGATTGGCCAAATGCGACAGAATTCGAAAATATGAACGTTTGGAAACGCTACGAAAGTGCTCACATTGCTCCAGGCGTTATATTAGACCCGGTATGGGAAACCAACCTGCCCTTCTACAAGAAAATACTCAGCCCTGGACAGTTGAAGGCATTTGCAGTCTTAAGAGACTTTGTTATCAAGAATGTGGATGTAAAAGAGGTCACCAAGTATCATTATCATCCAGAACAGAACGACCCGTACTGGAAGAGAACGTTCCACATCAAGGGAATGCAAAATAAAACCAAACATTTTTATGACGAGGGAAGGCATAAAAGGTTAGCGTTGTCATGAAGACATCAACGAAGGAATAGTTTTGGCATAAAAACATAAAATACGATTAATTATGATTAGCAAAGCGTTACTCAACAATAAATTATAATAATCTTGTTGGTTAATGATTGTTCGATCTATTTCAAGCAAGTATTTTATATACTGCAGCTCTATTTAAAACAAGTTTTGTTTATATAAATGGCTACGTGTGCATTGATATGTTTTCGTGGAACCACGTGTTATCACTATGCACTTTAATGCTGATAAGAGCTGATATAAAATGAGTTCAAGTTTCCTCAAGTTTTTATCAAAACCATTTACTGATTCATGCAAGTTCTGCAACCTTGTTTAAATATTTTAAATTTTGTTAATTTTATACGTATTGTTATAGAAAGGCTACCTTTTATGTTTTTTATCGTGTAGATAATTTAGATTAGTAATTGGAAGGATTTACTTGAAACTTTAGAAGCTCAAAAACATGGAAACAGAAACAACTTTACATTCTATAAAGTGTCCTACTTGTAATGCATCCAAATGCACCAATGACAAGATTACTGCAATTTGTTCAAATCATACAGAGGCTTTGAGAGAAAACAGACAACAGTTCTGCCCTACCAAGTGTCATGTCACCCATCCTTGCAGTTGCGCTGAGAACAGATTATAACTCATCATTATTTGCATTAACATATTTTTTGAACTATCAACGATATATTGTACTTTGTAAATAAACTTCAATATCAACCTTATTATCTTTTGGCGTAACAGAACGTTTACTACAGCCACAGGCGAGTAACAGGTCAAGTATAAAAGGAAGTGAGGTGAATACTAGGGGGGGCTCATTAATTTTTTAAAATAAATAAGGGAGCACTATCAGGTAACATAAACGTTCCTAACGCTTTGTTTTAAATATTTATTCACATCAAAATATATGTACAAGATCTAAGTAATGCTACTAACGTTAGTTGAAGATCATAATGATTAGTCATGGTACTGTCGAGTACAAATGCAAAATAAATTAGTCCTCGTTGCAGATCTTGCTCAGAGCGTCTTCCAATTTGGTCATTTGAGCTGAAAAAAATTTTTATTTACTTTATGTTACAGTAGCTACGTAAATTAATACTAGAATTTCATTTTTCGATTTTTATAGTAAGTAACTTTGAAAAAAACCAAAATTTTTGGGTTACGGTACGGTACTAAAGACTATCGTATATTGAATAATATTATTTTTAAAGTGAGTCACTTACATTTAATATCTTTGACTAAACTTTGAACAGCTGGTACGCTATCCAGAATCTCGACACGTTGAGTGTAGGGATTGTAGCGAATTTGGAAAGGTCTGTTGATAGTGGATGCCCAAGCACTGAAAATTATTTTTATTACACTGTAACTTATAACATGAACCATTTTTATCATTCCCTAACTATATAAACCTTCTCACTAAAGTCTATACTAAAGAAACCCTTTTGAACTAGTACAAAACTTTAAAATATTTCTAATTTAACTATAATACTTACGTCAACTTATTCTTGGCATCGGCAAAGCTTTCAGCAATAAAGTACTTGGGTTGGTACTCTGTGATGGGATACTTAGTAACACAAGTCGCAGCTGGGTCAAATGGAGAAAATTGAGGTTTGTCACTCAATGCATACTGTAGTTCTCCAAATGAACTCAACAAGCCAGCTCCATAAGCCTTGAGTTCTCCACTTTGGTTACATACTCCAAATTCTACAGTGAACCAGTAGAGCTGAAATGATTTTTATTAAGTTTTTAATTTTAACATATGTGTTTGAATTGATTGAAAGAGTAAAAATTGTATGTTTAAAGTATTATAATCACAAATTTTAGGCATTAAAAGTGTCACAATCTTCGTAATTTTCAATAAAATTTGCTAAATAATATCGTCATGAAGCTTACAGTAGCCAATTGTTCGATCATATCATCGCTAGCTCCCAATGAAGCCAAGCCAATTTCTTGTGAGAATTGGGCAAAGTCTGGATCGGCCAACAATGGAGCATGACCCAAAAGTTCGTGACATACATCTCTGAAAATGTTTATCATAAAACAACCAAAATAGATATTGATACTTATAAAAAACAAAATTAGACGTCAATTCTCAATCTTAGTATTATCATAGCAAAAAGCCACAGTTTACGTTTAAAATTTAGTAAATTGATACCTAAATTTAGGCCTAAATAATACCAAAAAATACTTTTTAATAATGATTTCAAAAATAACTGGAAATATATTAAATATAAACAACTCACGGCTCTGGAGTATATTTAGGCACCGAATGATGACGAATATATTGGGTTGAATGAAATACTCGGAAAGCCAAACCAGCCAAGAAGTCTCTTGAACTCAATAAACCGGCTACTGGGCGAATAATGAAGCCAGTGCAATCTGAAAAAAGTAAGTTTATATTGTTTGTGGCTTCAAATCGACAATGTATATGTTCTGTACAATATAAACTCTGTTAAAGACTTATTGATATCAAAAAGATCTAATATTGCAGTGAGGTCAAAAAAGTGATCACAATATTATGTTAGCAGTTCGAATATTAAAGCCTACCTTTCAAGAAGTCGGAGACATCTTGAAGTTGAGGGATGTTATCAGGACCATAGCCACAATTTTGTTGAAGCAATGGGAAGATGTAGTTGAACTCACGACAAGCATGAGTTTTGTAGAGACCAACAAGTTCAGTGTAGACAGAGTTCCAGGTGGCAATCTCTTGAGCACTGTATTCAACTCGAGGGATCTTTTCACTCCTAAAGGTTAACATTAGGTTAAATTAAAATATATTATAATCTAACGGTTTAGTCAATGTACTTTTAATAACATACATATTTTGACAGTTTTCGTGTAAAACATTGTCATTAAACTAAAGTTTACTGATTTTGTTAACTAAAAATATGCAAATCAGTGCTCTTTTAGAATTGGCAATAAAAATCTGCCCTAACACAAAATTTTTAAATCAAAACAAATATTTCTATACCTATAAAAACCTAAAAACTTCAAATTATTAAAAAATAAACCTACAATCTGTAGCTGAAAGCAATGTCCGCAAACATCTTCCTTCTCTCTCTGTATTCCTGATCCTTGAATCCAGGATGATCACAGTCCAGTTCATTGCCGTAACTCAAGATTCTGTTGGCGAACTGATCAATGTCAGCGATCTTAACCGGGAACCAAGGCACTGACTCCTTGTTTTGTTTAATGTGGGAGTTGAAGTCGTGAACTCGAACGTTCTCGGCGTGAGTCTTGAACACCTTGATGATCTCTTCGATTCGAGATTTGTCCGAGTTCTCAGCACACTCAACCAGGATCTCATAACAACCTTCACGGGTCTTTGATGGACGAGATTCAATGTGGGTTAGGTTTACGCGTTTGTCCTGAATAATATCAATAAATTTAAAAAATTAAGAAAATATAATCGCAATTATCAGAAAAGTAATTTTAAAAAATATTTTAGGCTTATATTACTAATCCCACAAAATTGGAGTTCAAAATAAAGTTTTACCAAAACTCGAATATGAATGAGACGAAATGTCACAAAAATTATTGGCTTTTTTGAAGTTTTACGAATTTCGAAAAAAATGAAAAATGGAAGTTAAAATACGTAGTTTAAGCTGCATAATAATTTACCTTGAAGATTCTTAAAGTCTGAGCCAAAGCACCGGGTTTTTCAGACAAAGTAAAGATGATAGTGGTATGCGATGGGCTTGAAGTTACATCGGCTACGTACGAATCCATGGCGTATTCCTGAAAATTGAAAATATTTTTTTTAAAAAGCCTAAGCGTTTAGAAGCCTATTTCCATCCATCTTTGAAATCAAACATTATTTTTCAAAACTTAAAACTATTGCAGAAAGAAACCAATTTAAACTAACATTTGACCCTATGTTAATATAGGTCTAATGATGTTATACGTAAATCTGTTTACAATCTTTATGTTCTTTTTTTTAATCTTCTATGTCATATTTGATTATGTCATTTGGTTTTACTAACCTAATCGACAGTTATTATGATGGACGATTTTTATCTATACGTGTCGATTTGCAAGAATCGCGCATCTAACATAATATCGTCGCTGAGTGATTAAAATATAAACGAGAAGACGTTAATTGTTGTACAAAGACTTTTTGATTCTACTATGAAAAATGGGTTTGAAAGTGAAATCTGAAGACATACAGTAACGTTACAGTACTTTGAAGAGTTGTTTTAAAAAAAGATTCAGTAGGAAGCGTACTATATCTTTTGAACACAGTACTTAACTAAAATAAGGCTATAGTGCCAAAACACTTACAGCAGTCCTCATTTTGCCTCTTCAGTACAATGTTACAAATAAAACTGATTTAAAAATATAGTTCAAAACAAAAATATTGTTATAGCCAAAAGTATAAGCTTGTGATGACTTCCGAAACCACCACGTGTCTCGAAAGTCAGGTAAACTGAATTAATAACCGAAGAGAGCGCAATATTTATAGATGAGCATTCTAGTCGGATCAAATTCATCAATAATTTCATTGATGTAAAGTCTTTATTACTAGGGCTGATGCAATGTAGGAAACACAAATTGATCTCAGATCATTGTCATGTTCACTTTTATTTCTACATTTAGAGGTATGAGTAACAGAGGTGTAGAAAGAGATGTCATGAGAATTGAGGAGAAAGCATGAATCTATGGTGTGTAGGCTAAGTTTTTAAGCAGATCAAGGTGATAAGAGAAGGGGTATAGGAGTCGATGCCGGTTTATTTAATCCAAAATTACCAGCTGGTCAATGTGTTTATACATTGTACCAAAAGAATTGGAATTTTTTAAAATCTTTTTAAAAAATGCTCATTATAAAAAGTTAAAACTACTTTTTGCAAAAACTTTTTTTTATTTAAAAGTAGAAGAAATAATTTTGTTGCGCTCGCAACAGACAAGATAATAGTAAAGTAATCTTTGGTCAACACATTTCAATACGTCAAAGACAACTTTGTTATGTTTTACACCATAAACAGAATATTGATCTTCAGTCTATATGTCATGTTTTTACTGTTCATATCTTTTGTCAAAATTTTAACTTTTTAATTCAAATATTATAGTAGATCAGTGCACTGTAAAATTTTATTGTAGTTGTTTTATGTTTTACTATAATCTTACAATTTTTCACTACCATTTTACACTTTATGTGAAGTAGCTTTAAAGTCACAATTAAAACTCCAAATTTTTTGTTTAAACATCTTGTTATAGTCAATAAAAGTTTGTCTTCAAAATATTTTTATAACAAAAATTAACTCTACAGTAAAGTCAACTCACCAGCCAATCGCAGTCGTTGATTTGCATTATGTCGGGGGCTACCATGGTGTGACGTCTGTATGTAACGCTGAAAACGACAAAAAATGAGAAACTCGACGTGATGATGAGGGTTTAAACAATAAAGATTCAAGGGAGTTTCCTCCAAAAAAGTCACGAGATTTTCATTTTTAGTCAGCACAGATATTCGAGGTTTACACCCGTTTCAAAATGAGTTTAAACGTTTGCAGGTAACAAGTTTCAACTTCATAAGATGTGGTTAACTTGGAGAGGTTAGTGATAAAGGTTGAGGAAGTAAACGAATAAGTAAAAATTAAATTTTTTTTGTAGGGTACCCTTTAATTTTTTTCATTTTCACGTCCTCACCCTGCTCTGCCCTCTCCTTCCGTCCCTTCCTCTTCATTCTTTCTTTTTCCTCTTCATCCCCCTCCCGTCAGTTTTCTAAAATTACCCTACCAACACTTTATTCAATTTAATATACATAACCACAACCATTTGATGCCGTATCAAAACGAAAACTTCCTTAGACAAAGTTTGTTATGTTAACAACAACCTTGACAATCAAATTCTTTAACTTGGAAATGTTTACCATAGTTAAGAATGTGATGGTCAACAAACATGTTCGGTTTTTAAGATGTTACAACCAACCGAAGCGACGGATATTTGATTGATAATGGCATCAAATTCCAATTTTCACGTAACAAAAGATACGATAGGAAACCGTTTGTTTACAGTAGCATAAGGTAATACAAAATACAAGTGTAATGACAATAAAATGGCAGAAAGTAATGACTATAAAATGACGGTAAAATACTAAAACTTACAGTACCAAACGAATTATTTAGTTTGTAATACGGTAAGAAACATCAAAGGTTAGTACGATAAATAGAAGTTTTTACTATTTAAAATTGAAAGCAAGTGGCAGATCTTTTAAAAACAACTTTTTATAACCACTTCATTAATTAGATTATAATTTTACAGCAAAAATCTTGTCATATGAGACGTCAGATGTACTTTCCAACAAACTAAAGCAATAACAATAAATAACAGGATTCATCAAATAACAGTAAGAAAGACTATCGACGCAATAGGAACTTAAGTTCATTTTTTGTAACGTACTAAACACAGTATTAAAAGTAACTTTACAATTTGTAAGTTTTATGTAAATCAACACACTAATTCTTTCCCTACCCTGATATTTTTTTACTTAACATAGTACTTTTTGTAAATGATATTTTAGAAATAAAACCTATAAGCCAAAGATTAAACTTTAAATTTACTGTTTTGACACTACTCTATCCCCTCCATCAATCAGTCAATTACTCCACCCACCTAGTACTAATTACAATACTCGCCTAGCACTATTTACAGTAGGCTCTCAATTAGTCTTGTACAAGAACAAAGCTGGACCACTTTTTCAGCCTGATCCTTTTCAAACTTGCTCCGGCCCGGCCGGACCTTGTGGGTCTATTTTCAGGTATACTCTCAATATATAGAAATAAAACAATTATTAAAAAATTTTTTTAAAAAACGTTATAAAATTTGAATAATTAGCAAAAATAACTTTTTTTTCGTAACTTCTTATAAAAAGATACCTAACTATTACAGTACTACAATATTTTTTAAGTTGTCTACCTATCAGAAGTTGTAAAAGCAACCATAACGCCACCCACGTGGCTACACCCAACTCAACACTAATCTTTTACCTTTGCTTTGTCTCCCAAGCCTAAAGTCTTGTCAACGAAACGACAAGGGAAGTTGGACTAATGTTTCTTTCTGTTACTCTTTTTATACTTACATTACAGTCTATTAATCAGCCAAAAGTCACACGGAATCTTCAGAGAACAGTCACGGGTAGCCCTAGGAAACTCTCTCAACTACACTCATTTGATTGTAAAATTACTCTTCATTGAGACAATTATTGTAAAATTAATGGTCAATGACAATATTATAGGTTGTAAGGGTCTTGCTCTTAAAGGAAATGGTAATTTATGTCTATCAGTTAACGCCTAAAGCAATATAAATGCTATTTACAGCTTTGATAATTAAATTCTTGCAGTTTTTTAAGAGTAAGAGATCAAAGTTAGCCGATTGACATTACACTCAAAGCAAGATACTGCAATAATAATGGCGGCATTGGAAAATAAAATTTATGAGCTTTACTCTTCTCACGTTGTGTACAAGATTGTGTGATACGCAGTAAGAAGAAAAGACCAAGACAAGTAGTTTTTACAAGGCATTGACTGATTAAGTTTATGAGTTTGAAGGCAAAACATATTCGCTAAATTTGAAAATGAGCTTATCTAATAAACTTAACTACAGTCTCGCTTAAAAGCTACGCCTATTTTTAATCTCTAAACTAAAAAATTTTGATCATTATTTACCACGGTAACAAAAGATAAAGATTGTCTAATCATTTTTAAAAAATTTTGTGAAGTAGGTGTATATAAGTTTACGTAAATAAACATTTTCCGATAAATTCCGTCTAGTATCGAAAAAAACTTTTGGCGCGTGATACGTCCGGCTACTACCTACGCATCACACATTCATATGATGTTAACAACATAACATCATCTATACTGTAGAATAGCTACAGTATAACATTACATGGGTGATAAGATATGTAATATTTATAGCATCATAGTTTGAAGAGTGATACTAGTTTATTAAAATTGCCATGATTTTTGAATTCTGTTTTTAAGATTACAGTTTGCGTACTATATTACAAGCTGTAATACTGACCTTTTTTACATTAAAAAATGCTTTTTGCTAATTTTAACCAAACCCAAACTACAAACCCATAACTATTAAAGTCTACGGTAAATCCAGCTAGCCAAACAGTTATGACGCGTTTTGCAATAAAATGTAAAAAGTAGTAGTAACAGACTGAATTCGTCAATAAAAAACGTTTAAAACCGATAAAAACGTCGATAAATCACATCGCTGCGATTCCTGGTTAATGGAATTTGGGGAAGAGACTTGTGTTGTTGTTACTACCAGGCCAACGGTCAAGTAATGATGCAAAAAGTATTGTAAGAAGAAGAAAAGATGTAAAGTGTAATGCAAACTGATTACTGATTTGATAATAAAACATTCATTTTAGCAAAAGTAGTGACAGTGTAATCCGTAAGCTAGGGCGAAGGCTAGGGCTAACTTAGGGTGGAGTTAAGGGCTAGATCTAGAGCTAAAGTTAAGACATTTGTAATGGCAAAAAGTCAAAGTAAAAAGGCAATCATTTATTAGCAATTACAAAACAAGAAATGTCATACTCGTATAAATACAATTCGATGTTTGGAGGTTATGTTTTCTTATTACTGTATTTGTTCTTATCATTCGATTATTAGACTATTTACATCAAGACAAGCTACTTAGTACATCATCTATTAAAATAGTTATCTACTCTACATTCCTAAATATGGCCTAAAAACACATTAAAAATAGTGGAATATCTTAAAAGTCTACTGAATTCTACCGTAATGTTAAAAGTGTACTGTAATGTTTTAAAAACTAGATATAAGCTATACTAAGTTTAAGTGTATAAAACGTTATTGCCATGCTTTTCAAATTCTTCAAAAACAAAAAAAGGCCAACAGCCAGTAAACTCTGTATATGTAAGTAGAGACAACTACATCTACATACTCAATCTCGGTTTGGCAAGACGGTAATTTTTGGGAATACAGAACATTGATTTAGGCAGATCACGTTGAGCCAGCCACTCAAAGTTTTGGAAAGTGACTTTGGCTGAAATCGTAGGCACAATCGGAATCTCGAGTTTGATTGGAAAGCCCGGAGGCATTTTTAAGCGACAAAAATCTCTGAGTTTGTTAATGTGTTTGAATGGAGCCAGCACTTCCAGAATGTCAATCAAGGTTTGGAGTTGGAGTGGGAAGTCGGAGCTCTGAACAAAAATAGTTTACTAAAATGTAATAGTTGATGCATACAAAAATTGAAATTATATTAACTTAGGTAACAATATAATCATTATAATTAAATCATCTTTTCAATTTTGGTCTCATCACGAAAACTTTAACCTTACCATAGCCACCATAGCTGAGAACGTCCTAGTATTAGTCTTCAAATCATGCTTCCTAGCCAACATTGGATGTTCCAACATCTGAGTGTACTCTTCAAAGGTGATATCAGGTTTGTCAGGTGGAGGCAGAGAAGGTCGATGAGGAATGGCACCAAGTTGTTCAAAGTCCTCCTCCGATAGTTTGGCACCAGCTGTGAACTTTTTCATAATCGACTTGTTCTTTTTCACATCTTCGGTCGATAAATGTTCTCTCCGCTTTTTTGTTATCAAGTTCATATTGTTAACAAAGTAGAAATCGCCTGAGAAGCCGGCAATATCTTCGGTCTTTTCTTGTCTGAATATCCATCCAGATTTTGCTCTTTCGAAGGTTATGGGCTTGGTGGACATGTGCATGTCTACGATGTCGGAAGACTAAAAGTTTGTAAGAAATCAATAAAAGTATATTATTATAGCTAAAGTAAAGAAAACCGTATTTTACCAATTATTTACCGTAAATAAAAATAGGTCAAAATAGGGCAAAGCAGGATAAGGTAAAGTAAGATAAGGCAGTTTAGGGTAGAGTAAGATTAAGTTGGGTAAGTTTTATAAAGTACGCGAAAATTCTTAACACTTACCATAAGAACATCAACCTCTTCATCCAACTCTTCATAATTTTGTTGCCCCTTCACATGTGTGTACGTTTTCTGCCCATTATCAACCAGTATCAACCGCGCTTCCTCTTCATCGTTAAAAGCATTGAATAATAGGGATATGTCTCCTCTTTCCCATTTCTTATCATTCACATCCACCAACGAGGTATCCATTCGTAACGATGTTTTGCATTTGTATATACGACAAACGTCTGATGGTAACATTCTTGATAGTAAGGGTACTGAAAATCATTTTGATGTTAAGAGAACTAATTAAATTCATTACCTGTGTAATTACAAAACAAATATTATTTTTTAAAAATGTTTAAAAAAATTATGAACAAAGTGAAAAAATATTATTTTTATGCTTTTTTTCGTACTGTAAAAGCCTTCCTTCAAAGTCAAAATAAAGTAGTTAATATTCAACTCAAAAAACTTACTCCAACTATGAAAATCCCATTTGAGTTCCATGTAAAAGTCAGGTAATTCTCCCAGAATCTTGAATAAATGAGGTTTTCGTTCGGCTAGTCCACGTACTGCTTGAAGTCGCAGAACTTTTAGCATTTCTTTGACTAAAAATTAAGGTATACATGTAAATTTGCAAAAAAAATTTTATTTAAAATCTAAAAAAACTGGCTTTCCCTTATAATTTTTACAGTTTCAAGTTATTGCACCTTGTATTTTTGTACTTTGGGTGTAGCACCGTGTAAAAAAATAGTCTCTGTAGCAAAAAGTTGTGCCAAAGGTTGGCTAAACAGTACAAAAAGAAAAAAATTTTCGATTTCGTATTTTGAAAATCCTGCTGTTAAATATGGAAAATGAGACAAACATACTTATATCTCGATTTCCATAACTAATAGCTTCTATCATCGGATTCCAACCTTGGTTATTCTTCATCTTGACACAAGCATTGGCATCCAAAAGTAAGTAAATCATCTCTGAAACAGATTAATTTAACCTTAAATATTAGAATTGTTCAACGAATTCTGTGCCCCCTAATCCACAAAAATTTTCTTTGAGAGAGACTATTTTTAAAAAGAAAATTAAAATCTACAGTAACCAACCTTTATGTCCCATCATGGTAGCCACGTGTAGTGCCGTATCTCCATGAACATTTTGTTTGTCGATTGAAACTTCGCCTTTGGCAATAATTCGTTTCGCCCATTCGATATCGTTTAAGAAGGCAGCATGATGTAGAGGGTAATCCTTGGGCTCGATCGAAGATACGGTAGCCTGAGTACAGTGCTCCCAGCTCATAATATTATAAGCCGGAGGGCCATGTTTCAAAGGCATAGCCAATTTTCGGCTTGGCTCAACCCTAGATGACATTACATTAGAATTATAGTAAACTGATAAAATCGTCATATTAGAAAGTGCGTTGACAATTGTATCACGATAGAGTGCTTGTAAAGTATATAATAGTACGGTATAGTATCAAATAATACTGTACGGTATATAATAGTACTGTATAGTATCTAATAGTACTGTACAGTATATAATAGTAATGTATAGTAAAAACAGAGTAAAAAGAGCCAAAATGAATATGTTTTACCACAATATAAACCAATGCAGTTTCAGTACAAAAACGGTAGTAAAAATGTTACAAAGCTTCTGGCAAGTACCTTAGCTGTACTAAATAAATCAATATAAACTAAACCACAATAAAAAATTCCTTTATATATACTTTACAGAGTAAACAGTCTAACAACTAGATGATCAAAGAATAAACAAAAATGTATCAAAAACCTATAAATATGCAAATCATGTTTACCAACTGTTTTTAGTTATCGTGACATTTGAAAAAGACGTCTTGAGAAACAAATAATTAAAATATTGAGGTTTGATGCTTGAACCTTTCGTTTTCAACAGTTAGCCTCTTTGAGCAAAGCAAAAAAATTTAAGAATTTTATATTTAAAATCCCCAAAATTCCAAAAAATGTTTTAATTTTTAAAAAATTAACCTTTCTCCACCCCATAAAAACCCAAATTGTTCATTAAAAACCCGCCGAAAGCCCGCAAAATCAATAAAATTAATGAAAAAGCTGAGAAATCGACCTGGAACTAGCTGTTTTGTATTGTAAAGTAAAAAGACAACATATAACGTCACGAGTAATCGATAAATATTTAATATCTTATCAGGGGATTAAAGCCAGCGGATAACAATATGGCACACGTTTATGGCCATTAAAGGCAATTATTTGAATAAAAAGTTAAAAAAGAAGGTAGACTATATCAATATAAGTCTTACATTAATGTTAGAATTTATATTTTAAACAAAAATATAAAGTATTGTTATTAAAATTATTAAAAAACGTTACTGTAAGTAGCCAAAAAATTCAAAAAATCAGCTGTTGATCAAATTTTATTTAATTTTTCGAATTTTCAATCAAAATTAAAACCAAAACACTAAATTTCATAAAATTCGTCAACGTAAACTCTGTCTTACACATTAATAACTACACGTTTTGAAAAAGCCTTTTAATTACAATTCAATTAGGAATTCAATGACTAGCCGTGTCTTTACAAAATAGCCAAAATAAACACAAAATTTCAATGTGAATCATCACAAACGTTCGAAAACAACTCAATATCCGCTAGTTTTAGAACTCGGAAAGAGTAAAAAAGTTTTATATTACTTTACTTTTGCAATATAGAAAGTTTTGTTTCACTTTACTGCTACAGTAAACAAAAAAAGTTGTTATGTATACAAAGTAATCTGCGCTTTGTATGTATCTATAGTAGATCGTCACAAATTTTTAACCTTTTATTACATATAAGATTGCTATGGCCAACGCAAAAGTACACCTAACTCAATAGTGTTATGTCTAGAGCCTACACGAATAAACAGAGATATAAATCTGAAGAAGTCTTGTAGGTATCTTTTTGTAATTTTAAATAATAATAACACAAAAAATAGTACAAAAAACCTCAAGTGTATCTTTCTTTCAGACTAATGACCTTTAAAACGAAAATACTGCTTAAAAATGCATTAAAAACTATTACTAAAAGATATGCTACCAAAACATATTTTATAGCATAGGCTAGATAGTCATATATAAAACAAGCCCCTACCCACCTCTCCTCTGCCAACAAAAATCAAAAGAGATAACCATGCCCTTGTGTTTTTGAAAAATTGGATTTTGCTATGTCAAAAAAACGTTTATTTTACCTCGCTACTCCAAAAAAACTCATAAAGCAACACTGAGAATTTGATGACTTAAAAAATAATTTTAGTTGTAATGTTCACATAATAAATCTATTGTCCTATAACTCACCCAAATACTTCCGTAATTTGTCTTTATTTTGTTTATCTCAAAATTGGGCAGACATAACACTATAAATTTTCATAGTTTCCTGTTATATTTTTTACAAATTTAAATATTTTTACAATTGATAATCTTTCCAAATTCTACTTATTTTAAAACGTCAATAAAAGTTTTAAAAAGTAATTTTCTAAACTGAAGGCTTCCAACCTTAATTTAAAAAAACCCTCACTGCTTTTTAAGGTCATACGTTAATTGCAAAAATAAAAAACTGTTTTATGACATTTTTTATATTATGTATATTAATAATAGAAGCCTTTTTCAGTATAAAAAAAAGAAAAGAAAAGCCGAAAACATTTGTTCCCAGTACCTACAGCGACAAACACAATAAAAGACTGTTTCTTGCACTTTTATTATTATATCGTCATGTTTAGTGAGCCCAAAAAAAAGAAATAAAAATTTTTAACTAAAATTTTTGATCATTTTGAAAAAAGCCGAACATGTTCTACCTTGTTCATGATTTAAAACCGCCAGTAGCACTGCTCACATACAATATTTTTAAATCTAAATTATCAAAATTTCAAAACACAGCCAATTGTCATCGTATAGATAACAAAATTTGTAGGCATAACTCCTTAAAACCCCAACAAATAAAAGTTCAACCAACTAACATAAACTCAAAAAAAAATTTTTTTATAACCGACCCAGCCCATTCCTCAGACAGCCTTCAATCAAACCTTTGACAATGCCAAAAGTTATTAAAACAAGAATATCAAAAGACCCAGGAAGAACATCTGTTTCGAATTTGGTTCCATTTCAAGCCGAAAAAAGAATTCCGAAGATTTTCCCTCCAAAAAACGATTATTCGAAAGAAAAAAGAGCGAAAAAACCGCTCGAGGGGGCAAAGCGAGAGAGAGAGCAAACAGAAGGCCCGGATTCTAAAACCGACGCTTACAAACGCCTGAAGAGTTAATTGACACAATTTTTGAGGTTTGTGTATGTTGTTAATTGACATAGTTGTTGGGTTAATGAGGGCTGGTTTTGGGGGAGGGTTGAGAGCAGGAAGAGAGGTGGTTTTTTTTGTTATTATAGTAAAAAATAAGAGCCTAAAGCTACGTACAAAATTCTTTGGGAACTCAAAAAACCTTTTTTAATATTTTTTGCAAAAAGTTCCTATATGATTCTTTATTTACACTAGAAAAATATCATAAAATTAAACGTTTTGCAGAACTCAAAAACAAACTACCATAACCAGCAGAAACAAAACTTTAGCAACTTTTGAGAACAGATCTCAATTCAAGACAACTTCAGAATTTTTTTGAGCTACATCAAATGTCTATGCGGTAAATACACCTTTTGACACGTTACTTGTAAAAACCAGAAAAGTTCGTTTAAGCTGTAGTAAAACTGTTGCACTGAACTTTAGCTACAGAGATTTGAATTTCATTACATTAAGACTATTTATAAGTTTAAAGTCCTATTAAAAATTTTAAAAAATTTAATCTATGCTGAAAGGTGCCTAGGCGTAAAAGAACTACCCCTGATTTAACACCCCTACCCCTATCCTTCTATAAACGTTAGTCAACGCAGCCCAAAATTTAGCTGTCGGTACATCCTTAGTACTTAATATCACACATTTTTCATCACAAAAAACCGTAATATGTAAACAGTAGAAAAAACAAAATTTTACGTTTTGTTATTAGTATATGTATATAACCCTTATACTAAACTGCAAGGTTACCACGCTAATTCGTATTTATATATAGACAGAGCATAACGTGACAACGTTCTGGCACGTTTCGCGTGCTTTAAAACTTATTTTTGAAAAAAGGTCATTAAAGGATGTAATCAAACTTTAGTTGAAAAATTTTACAGTACTAAACACAAAAGAGATGGCTTTCAAAAAACGCCCTCTATGATAATATTTTTTAAATTTGAATCTAATCCAGCAAAAAAATGTTGCCATTCATTCCCCCTAGCCTAAAAACCTCCCCCTTTCCTTCCTTTAGAATTGCAAAAGACCCCTCGCTCCCCCCTTCCTCTAAAACCCTAAAGCACCCGCCCATTTCTAACTGTAGTTATACGTACTATAATATCCGCTCAATACAAACAACCCACTCCAATTCCAAAAAACGATAATTTTTATGAACAAGGCTCGATTCGGCCGCTTCCATTAATGAAAAACAAAATTCGCGAAAAAGGGAATAAATAGTCATTTTCGAGACTAAATTCGTGGCCAATGTCAACAGAACGTGAAAGAAACGGAAAACAAAGTTCTGACTTCAAAAAGTGTCGTTAACGTCTTTACTACGAACATGTGCGACCGAAATTCGATATAATACTCTAGTTGCCAACGGTTCTAGTATGTTTTAAGTATGGCAGAAATTTAGACAAATTGTTCTTTTAAAATTTTTTAAGTATCATAGTATGTCTTCCTTATCTTTTAATACCCCCTACAAGCAACTGAAAATATTTTCTACATACAGACAGGGCCGCAGTAAATTTAAAACTCCGGTATAATTATAAAGAAAAAATTTAAAATCCCCGAGCGATCGTTATACAAAAGTTCCACTGTACCTCACAATAAACACAACCTCCCAACCACTCTAAATATAATCTCCAGTATACCTTCGAACCATAAATCCCTTCCCTTTACGAGTTCCCGAATGGCGTGCATTAGGTTCCATGACTGTAGCGGCTTAATCCTAATTTTATAGCTCTGATACGCCTCCACAGCAAATCTTTTTATTTTTCGAAAGTCCTTTAATCTCAACCCCTCTAGACGTTTTTTCACGTCTTAAGCACTTTGCAAAAGCTGTCTGTTCTTGTAAATGCCTTGACTTTTCAAATTGATGATGCTTCGGCATAATAACTTTTAATTTACATTGAATTATCTCGTTTCTTTGACTTAAACTGTCAATTTCGAATCTAAATTTTTAAAACATGCTTTTAATTGTATAATGTAATAGTATTACAGCCAGTCATGCTTAAACGCAGAACAGACAATAGGGTCCCAACATATAATATTTTGCAAGATAGACAATCCCAAAGTATGGCATGGTAGTGCAAAGCAGTGTAAGGCATAAAAAACTTCTAATAATCTTACCTGTGTAGTAGAAGGAGTCTTATATCGACCAATGTTTTTTAATTTGCAAACTTTCTGAATAAGACTAATTTCCATAAAAATGTGTAACATTATGTAGTTTTAACCTTTAAAGCAGAACAAACAAGTTTAATTTGATATTAAGTATTAAAACACACATGCGATTTAGAACTTTTCTGAAGGTCTTATATTTCTTAATCTTTCTATATAAAAAGTTTGAAGTCAATGAAAGCGAGGCAGGTCCGGCACCTTCCATGTCAGTAGTGATAAAAAATAGTTTTTAATAAAATCATAAACTGAACTACAACAAAAGTCGTATTTTGCAAAAAAAAACTTCCAACTCTCATCTAACATAAATAACTTTTTTGAATAATAATATAAGTTTTGTGCATTAACCCCTTCATATTTTTTTTATTTTTCAGTTATGTTGTGACAAAAATTAATATTTTCGTCACAATGACACTTTTTGTCATAATGTCACAAACTTGTCAAAACGTTGACGACGTCAACGTTCTATTTTATAAACTGTATGATGTCTTATTTTGACGTTTTTCAAATTAAAACGTTTCAAAATTTAATTTTTGCCTTGCCAATTAATATTTTTTTTTAATTTTAAAAGAATAAAACTGAAAATGAAGATCAAAACTAACTAACCTTAATGTAGTGTGTTATAAAATTATATAACATTGCCAATTTTACAACATAGCCAAATTGTATAACATTACAATACCCAAATATATTAAATCCTAAAAAAATTCATTAAGTGAATAAAGTCACAAAGTAAAAAAACTCTGTTTACTTTCCGTTACTGCAACTACAACAATATTATTTTACTGTTTATTTTTAAAAAAGAACTTTTTGACTAGCCAAATAACGAACAATGGCTTGTCCGTAACCAATACCACGGCGATAGGCACCACCATGGCTATGTCTCTTTCGAATTCCGGAAATGTGTAGAACATTATAGTAAAGGCAATGCCAACATTCTGGATTCCTGTTTCTATTGCGATTGTAATCGCATTTTGAGTATTCTGATGCATAAGCAAGGCAAACAAAAAGGCAATGATATACCCAGTCCATGGTAATAAACAGGACGCTAGTACGATTCTCCAGGTGATAAAGGCAAAAATATAGTAATTTGCATATATACCTACTGCTGTTAGTACTATCACCAAAAACCACGTAAAGTACTGTAAAAATTTTATTTTTAGGTTTCTTTTGTAATGTAAAATAACATTTTTTGCAACTTTTAAAAATTATTTTACATAGTACTACGACACGTTATAATAGTATCATTAGTACTACAACCAAAAAGTCAAAAAAAAACAATAATACTGATAAAAAAGCTTACTTTAATCAGCACTTTGATCCTATCGACCAGGTCAGGTCTTATTTGAATTAACAGAGTACCAAGCATTGTAGGTATGAGTACAGTAGCCAAACTTTGAGCAAATTTCTCAATTGGCACATAAATATGCTCGTCAAAGAAGACTGATCCTAATGTGTACATCCACAATGGTGTCATGACTAAAAACCCAAAAATTTTATATTCAATTTTAAATTATAATAGTATTTTGCAGTAGATGTATCTACTTTAACATCGAGTTTACATAAATTACGATATCAAAAGTTTTATCAATCTACATTAACTTTTATACAAAGAACGACAAAGCTTTTTTGACAATGTTAAAAGTAAAAACAGATACATTAAAACATGGTAATTAAACATAAACTCACTGATAGCACTAACAGTTTCAATAAAAGTCATGCAGACTGACAAATCCAAATTTCCATCAAAAATAATCGTCCAAAAACTGCTTTTACCGCCGCCGGGAGATACGGCGACAGCAAATAATGCCAATTTCATCGAGTTTTCAGCATCTGCCATTAGGTAATACGACAGTGAGAAGCCTATCTAAAATTGTCAATTTAAATAATAATAGCTCAATGTAAACTTATTATGAACATAAAACGTAAAAAAACGTATTTTGTTATAAGTAATATAACTTTAGACTACATGACTTACCAATGGCATAAAAAAGAACTGGCAAAAGAACCCGCACATTGGTCCGACTGGTCGTTTCATAATTGTCATCATCCTTCTAAATTCTATTTGAGTACCAATGAGAAAAGTTATAGTAACCACAAAGACCGTAGCAAAACTACCAAATACCAATGACACTTTGGATTCATATTCCGAGCGTTTTACTCTTATTTGAAAGTGTTGAACTTCTCTGCAAGAAAATTATTGTACAGGAACAGTCACTTTTGAAAATTCCAAAAATTTCAAAATTGAAAATAAAATTTTTAAAATATTTTTAAATTTTCATACATAAACTTTAAAAAACTGTAAAATACCACAGAAAAGTTAAAAGCATCACCAAAATCAGCGAGACTTACTCAGAGTCATTTAAAACAACGATAAGTTTGTTATTCCCAATGAAGATACCATGGATATAAATGCTTAACTCTTCCGTAAAATTATTGGCACTTTCCAATATAATCTTGTCTTTGTTCGCTTTGATAACACAGCTTTGTGCATTACTACATTTAAACAGTATTGGCAGGTCGAGAGTGTCATTGTGAGACGATATGGTTATATTGACGACTCTGAAATTCATATTTATTACACAGAGTAGATATTGGCAGGAAAAAGAAAAATAAAATGAAGAAAAGATAATAATATAGGAGTAGAAAAGCATTTTCAAAAGTCTGAACCTTGCAGTATGGGTTTAGTAGTCTAAAGATGCCACTACGTCAATACCTTACCTATTCTCATCACTTCTAAACTCAACAGATTCTTCAGGATCAAAGTTAAAAGTAACCTGACAATTCGCACATGTCAATACACAAAATAAAATAAACCCAACAACCTTTGTAGACATAGTAAAGTCTTTTCAAAAGTGTTAACAATGTTTTATAACCAGTAGTAACGCTCCCTTTGAACGGGATAATCGTATGACAAATACAAGTAATCGAAATACATATTTAAATGCCTAAAAATAAACCATTTTATACATAATATCGAACTTATTACCTAAACTACACGAAAAAGCAACAAATGTAAAATATTTTTTCTTTAGTACTCTATGAATTTTCCAATGAAATCAGGCCATTTGATACCTAAATAAACTAAAAAGCGGCATTTTATAATACTGTTGTCGCTCTAAACCTAAAATAATAAATTTTGGAAACTCCTCGAATGGTATCAGAAATATAATAATTTGACCGGAATTTGTCAAAAAGTTCAATGTTGCTACCTTGAAAATCCAAAAATTATCAAAAAACTAATAAATTATTCAACCCTTTTTCTGTTTTTTCGATTTTTGCAGTCGAAATAGCATATTTTTTGTACAAAATGACGCTTTTTATATAATTTTAGATGACAACTTTTCTAGACGCAATGACTCCTTTTTTGAACAAATTTGAATAATTTACGGCAAAAACAGTATCAGTAATTTGCGGCAAAAACAGTATCAGGGTCTTTTCTTGACGTGCTGCGTGTTATCTCGACGTGGCAGACGGTTTTTTTCATTTTCTCGACGAATTCTCGGCCAGTCGGTACCTTCTCGTTGGCGTGCGGTTGTACCTATTTTTTTTATTTTTCGGTCGATTTTTTTTTGCTTTTGGGTACGTGTTTTGCCACTATAAACTTTTCGTGTCATGTTCTGATTAGTACTTAGCTGCAATCGTGATATCTTTGCGGTATTATGCTTGATTTCATGATATTTTTGACTATTTAACTTTTTTCAGAGCAAAATTTGGGTTGACCAGCTGGTCAAGGTGTAAACCAAACCTCCAACGCTAACAAGCTTCCAGTTCAAACCTGTTTGCTCCTCCTCAACGTCAAGGCCGATGTGCTCACGGATCTGCGACGTCATAGACATGGAACAACGTAAATTTTTGCTTTATTTTCTAATTTTAGGTAATATTGTTGATGATGAAGTGTTTTTTCATCTAATATAGGATTTTGGGTAGGTTATAAGTTGCTTTCAAGTTTAACATGGTGTATCTTTCATATAGTTTTTATACCTGTGTAATTTGGCGTTAACATGTTGTTGGCTGGGCTCAACTTCATAAAAGCCACCTGTTTGGAGCAGGCAGCCGGAATGTGTATGGCGTGGTTTTGGGTACATCTTTACAATGCTACCGTCCACAATCGAGTTGGCTCTACACTCATGAAGGTGTCCTGAATAAAATGCAATGTAAGTTGATGGTTCTTTGATAATTTTAGGTAAAATTTATCATAGTTTCTATGTAAAATAGAAAATCTATTGTTGTTTAGTTGATTCTTTTTTTATATACGTGTAACACGTTAATTTTTTCATTTTCAGCGTTGCAAGGTATTGCTGGGTACAAGATCACTTCAATACAATCACTTGATGCCTGAACTGGGGAGTCAAGAGTACCCTTCACGACACGGGTAATGCAGCAAGAAGTAGATCATTGGAGATTACATGGTAGACACGTCACGAATTATCAGTAACGTGAGTTTTTATTTACTTTTGTTTCATAGTTTAGGTAATATAGGATGTTTTAGGTAATAAAAAATGTTTTTTGTTTCAAATTTAGTGTTTTTAAATTTTTGATTGGAAGTTTTTATATCTGAAAATTAATTTTGGTGGATTTAGGGAATACAATGTCTAATTTAAATACTTTTAGTCAAAGTTTGTTCTCCACATCAAGAACTTTAATGGAAACTACAGTAGTCACTGATAGAAGATCTGTCGGGAGAAATCTAGCGCCGGGCTGATTTTCACTCAAAATCGCCTTCCTTCCAAGCTACGAAGGACGACAGGCATTCGTGGCGGACACTGAAGATTGCTTCAGATACTTGCGATACCAGATGGGATATGTCCAGTACTACCAATGAGGAGACCAAGCCCAAATATATAATTAATGTAAGTGTTTTGTTGTGTTTTTAGGTAACTTGTGAAATATCAAGAACTTTTTTTTACAAAATAAGTGACATGACTTTCTTGACAAAATTATTTTAGATGATAAGTTTTGTAGATTTGAGTTTTAATTTAGCGTTTTTCAGTTTCATAAGAAATCGGCCAGGGCAGCAGCTCGGGTTGCTTCATTCGACGGTGAAGCTGGTGGGCAAATAACGTTATCAACAGTAAGTTTTTTATTCAAAAGTATGATTTTTCGGTAGAAATTTATAATTTGTTTATTTATTACGTACTTTTTGACCGTTATTATAGGATTTTACTCTGTTATAGCATTAAACCACGATTATTTTGTTAACGTTACCATTTCAGATGTATCTTCGACCCGGTGATGCACAATAGAACTGTAATGGACTGGACCGACCACAATGGACAACAACGTTGACTAGACAACTGGACAAGAAGTATTGAGGAAGTGGAGAATCTGGAGCCTCGTCGAGGCTTCGATCCCAAGGTTCTCAACACTTATTGTTCGGCCTAGTCGTTAAACTTGTCTTATATTGTCAATTCTTGGCCTTGTGTTGAGATTTTGCTGGCCAAGGCCGTGTTCAAGCTGGTTGTGGAAGGTGAACACTGGTGAAGGCGGTAATGGATAAGAGTTGGCATTGACAAGTTGTGTCGGGGCATGGTATTTGGGTTTAGTTTGTAGGTATAGGGTATCTTGGAGGGGACGAGAGCTGGTTTTTGGAGAAAGAGGAGGGTAGAGCGAGGCATGTTTCTATCTCTATTTTTGAGCGGGCTGTGATTTTTTTTATTTTAAAAATGTGTAAAATTGGTCTTGGCCCTATCAAAATACTATTATTACAAGAATAATGTATGGAACCAGTGCGCAAGATGGTATACAGAACGCAGACTTACGATGGAAATGGTCAACGTCATTTATTTTTAACCTTTTATGTACGTGTCCGAGGACGTAAACCACCTTGATCCCCTTCTTCTGCGGAAGATGTAGACGGCCAGTACCATCTGTCGTATCTTGTGGTATGGTTAGCACTATATTTGATATAGTCGCACGAGGTACGGCATTTCGGTCGCTGGTGGTGTGGGGTCGGGCCACACTGTAACGTCACTTATGGGATTAGTAGGAGGAGCGATCCTGCGGGTGAAGTACACCTCGCGAGAGGGGCCGTGTTTGTGGTGCACGGATGAAAACGGGTAACCACACTCGTAGTGGCATTTGCATAATAGGTAATTTACTTTATCTGGTTATGGTTGGTACAGCATGGTATTGTGGCTGATATGGTGCACTAAATGAGACTGAGAAGTGGCGAAACGACTACCTTCGGCTGAAAAACAACTTGGACTGGATGAGAAAGATGCGTAACTTAAAATGATAGTTTTTTGATAGAGTTGCAAGACCATTATTCCGAAAATTACAAAAAAATTATTTTTACTTTAAAATTACATCACGAGAAATGAAATGGTTTATATATATACTCCATAACTTGTCATAGCCAACTCAGATTCATTTGCCGTTTTCTCTGGCTAGTAATATTGCACGACCCGAGAAACACCTAAAACACTTCCTTCACATGGCCAAGAAATTTTGTTAGGTCCTCCTAATTTGTTGTATCATATGACTGTTGTGACCCTTTATTTATTTTTGTATCATGGTAAATGTTGTATATTACTTGTGTTTTTATAACTTGATCTTGTTGTACTGCAATTTGTTGTAACGTTATAAATTAGTATGTTGTTGTTTATAGTTTTTCTATGTCTTGGGTTTCTAGTAGACAAAATTTTGGCTTTGTAATTGATGTTATGGTCAGGTCTTGATACGTTTTGTTGTGGAGTCACAACGTTGTTGTAAAATATTTTTTGGGTGTATAACTATAAGGTATTTAAATAAATATATATCTCATGAAGCGATTATCTTTTGCAAATTCACTAGTCACCTTTTTATGGTTAATTTAATTAACGGTGGAGGTTACAAGGAGAGTGAAGCGAAAAAAGCCATGTTTTTGTTGGAAAAAATCGTGTTTATGGAGAAAGCTGTGGTTTACAGAGTTAGGTAGAAATTATGTTGCTGTATTGGAAATTATTGAGTGTAATAAGCTATGTTACTAGTCAGTTGAGTTATGAACCTTTGTGGATCAAATCTATGAATGGTCTGAAAAGTGTTGGAGTTGATTTACAAAAGTTTCAAGATAATTATTGTACTGCTATAGTAAGTCTGAAATTTTAGAAATATTATAAAAAGTAAATAAATATTGTGCTGTGATATTTTGAAATATGAATTTTCGTACTAATGTTGATAGTTTATATCTAGAAGAATATATTACATAAGTTTGGATGATATTGATCCAGAATTTGGTAAAGAAAAAGCCACTGAGATCATGAGACGATACGCGTATGTAGCTGTGCAGTTAGAGGATGTTTGTACAGAACTGGAAGACAACGCAGTTAAAAGTATATTGGAAATGAATGACACTATGAGCGATGATGCCTTAGAATTAGTCAAGCATTCCGGTATCTTATAATTGATTTTAATGATAGTTTTTGAACATTTTTGATAACTTAATTTTCAATATCTTAGTTCTTCTTGTAATTCTTTAAAAGAAAGTTTATTATAGGTAACAAAAATGTTGTTTTAGGTTCTATTGGCATAGATTTGAGTTTGTTTAATGAAAACAATCGATTGAGTATGGAAAAAGCTTTAACAGAAGACAAGGAAATAGATCACATATTGAAATCGTTTGAAACCATGGGCAAAACAGGTCAAAAACCATATGCTTCGACTTTCCTGAATCCATTGATGAAGAAGTTGAAATACGACGCGCGGTAAGAATACAAAAGTTTTTGAAACCTCTGTCTCATTTATTTCTTCTTTTGACATTTACAAAACTTAAAATTTTTAAGTTTTAAGTTTTGTGAAATCTGTAGGGAAATCTGTTGTATTTTATGTAGGTCTCCTCCGATTATGGATGAGAATAAGACGGTTACAGTGCGTGTTGGTATTCATGTCCAATCTGTTTCTAATTTCGAGTTAACGACCATGGTAAGAAGCTTTTGATTTTAAGACTTAGTTTAGAGCCTAAATTAACTTGTGATACATAAAATAAACATACTTGCTAAAAACGTCATATTACAGGACTTTGACATGGACATGTGGCTTCGAATGGCATGGAGAGACCCACGTTTAGCTCATGGTCTCAATGGTCCCATTTTGATCACCGAAGAAAGTTATTTGAAAAGACTTTGGAGACCAGACGCTGTTTTTGTTAACAGCATGGAGAGCTTCTTTCATCGTGTCACCTACTTGAACTTTTACATATTCGTGTTTCCTGAAGGGGAGGTGTTTTTTGAGGCACGGTAAGGATCATTATATTTTTTTGCAGTAGAATATATTTTTACGTTTTGCAGTGTTTATTTGAAGCCAAAGAGCCAATTGGTATTGTGCAAGTATCCACATGACTACCAAACACTTATCCTTCGTATTAGCTCAAGTAAGTCAATATAACTTTGACTTACATAGGTTAACGTGCTAAAGTAAGCTAATGTAATTTTGAAAGATAGCTGGGGTTGTTTGTTATAAAAACTGGAAAATGTGTTTACTTAACTATCCTTTGTATTCTACGGACTTTTTGACCATTTTATTATAACAAACCTTTTTTAGTTGCAATGACTGACGACACGGTACGATTTCAATGGTTTCCAATCAAACGCGACGCTATTCGAGTCAATCGCAACATTCAATTGCCAGAACTCCACATTACAGCCTATGAGAGCACTACGTGTGATGCCAGAAGAAAGACTGGTAACTACACCTGTCTTGAAGCCAGGTTCCATTTGAAGCGAAGTATCGGGTATCATATGGCACAAACTTATGTTCCTACTGCGACTTGTGTTGTGTTCTCATGGATTAGTGTTTGGTTGCCAGAAGAATTCGTTGAAGGGCGGATATTTGTAGCTTTGACAGTGTTTTTGACGTTGAGCGCGGAGAGTAATGCGGCCAAGGATACGTTGCCTAAAGTGTCGTATATAAAGGTAAAATAGAGATTTTAATGTTTTAGATATTGATCTGACATATAAAAGAAAAATGCGTAAACTAACTTGGGTTTTCTTGTTATAACACTAAAATTTGAGTAAAGCTAAGTAATGATTGTTTCGATATTGTTTTAGGCTATTGACATCTGGTTTGGATTTACAGCTTCTTTTGTATTTTCTACAATGCTACAGGCTTTGATTGTGATTCGGCTGGAAAATATGAGCAAAGAAAAGGTGAGTTTTTACAAGATTAATATGAAAGCATAATTGTGAATTGATCATTTTGGCCTAGAGGTAGTTGGGTAGGGTAAACGACAGATGATAGTGGGGGAGTGTAAAATACAGATATTGGGGGGATAGAACATATTGTGGGTTGGGTAAAAGACAGAAAATGCTTGAGAGGATTGGAAGATTGAAAAATTTCTCAAGATTTAAAAGTGCACGTATTTTTAACAAAAATTTTTTGTTCCATATTTTTTGAATTTTTGGTCGATTTAATTGGCTTTCAAGAATTTTTAGCACCTCCCCTTAATTGGCACTTTCGATTCAAAATTTAAACCTTAAAATGAGTTTCAAGGTCTTGGTTATGCAAAATTTTATAGTAGGGGTTGTAAGATGGAAAGGTACAGCATTTTTTTTAATTCACGACGTTCTTTAAGCCATAAAAATGTTTTTAGAGAAAGTTAGTAGAAAAAGACAGTGCCTCATTGGGTGTGGATAAGACTGTACGATTGTTGATTGAAAGTAAACGACTACACAAGCTCAGTAGATGGTTGGACGAGTTTTTCAAAGTGATGTATCCAGTTATCTTTTTGATATTCTTATTTATATACGCGTTTGTTGTTATTCAAGGGGAACCAACTTGTGTTTGATGCCAGTAAAGTGATGTAAATTAAAGTAGTTTGATTTATTAGATTTTCTATGTTTTACTGTAGGTATTAACAAATGTTTTTGTTAGACAGTAAAAAACTTTTAAAATTTTGTTGTAGCCTTAACGTGCTTAGTTTAAGATCCGTCTCAAATCATGTTATAATACTATCCAGGTGATCTTGTTTAGTACAACAACATGGTACTATAAACTTCGTAAACCTCAATCCCCAAAAGTACCACAACAATACAACCTTTGAACCCGTAAAGTCCGTTTTACTATAACATTATACGACTATATTATATTACCTGAAGCGTGAAAGCGGATTTTATTAATGTTAAACATGTACATTAATAAAAAATTTATAATTCGATCAATTTCGTATGTATGGGGGAGGCACAGTAATAGTATGGTCACTTTGTCATATTATTTTTACTCAACCGACGTATAAAGTGATGATACAACAGTAAACATGACGTTTGAATTTGAAGTGACAGTAATATATAAACAAAATTGTTTATGGTTATACTGTACTTTTGAAAGCTGAAAAGTTTTGAAATTATCAAAGTTTTGGAAAATTAAATTTTTTTTAAAATTTAGAGTACTGTATAGTACGCTGATTTTCCATTGAGTACTACTGAAAAATGAATAAAAGAATGAACTTGTACTTTTTAAAAATTAGAATCACTTAAAAGTTATGTTCGTTTTGAATACACTGCCAAAAAACAGCGTCATAGCTTCAGAATCGGTTGACAATTGTTTTTCACGTTGAACCAACTTTAATTTGAATAAAATATTTTACGATTTACGTCAAGTGGCACACTTGTTGAAATTACAGACAATAGACATATTGTTGTTCAATATAACATTAATTGTGCTTCCTTATAAGGAAAGGCTAGACATTGCGGATATTTACATTTTACTTTTGCCAGAAAAAATTTTACTGTTATAAAAATGAAAAAAGGTCATTTTTTAGTAGAATTTTAAAAGTTTTTAGTTTTAAATTTTATGTTGTAGTAGTTACTGTAAACAATACCAAACTCTCTACAGTAGTCCTACTATCCACTTTAACATGACCTTTGTAATAACTCCCAACTTTTGTGTATACGTCGTTACTGTGCGATGTAAAGGTTGAAATTACATCACAGTAACCTTTAAATTGTACATCCGTTAACCTTGACATTACTCTAGTGTATTGTTATCCTATCCGCCTCACTTCACATCCATTTAGTGTCTAGGTGTGGGCTTTACATCAATTACCTATAACATTTCGTAGTATTGTTAAATGAACCGTTCACTGTTAATAAACGGCCGAACTCGCGGATCTGGCTTCAGTTTCTCGAATTTTAGGGGATTCTGAATACTGAGGACATTATGGGGTTGGGTTGTCGTAGTAAAAGTAGATGTTTTTACTATTGTATCAACTGTGTTACAGCTGTGGTATCAGTCAGCTGATGTACTGAAAAACTTGTTTTTATAGCCTCCTGGTTTACTGTAAGTAACCTAAGATCAGTATCATAATAGGGAAGTGTCATAAATAGTATACAAACAACTATAATTAGAGCTTATGGCTATTTTGAAATTTATAGTATGGTCGTTTCATATATTATAGGCCGTTCCAATATTCAGAAGTTGTTTGAACTGCTTCAAATTAGTATTGTTTTGAAGTCTAAACACAAGCCGTTTGATGACTTTTGGCAGAGTAAACAGCTCACGTACTATCTCGGTTTATAAATAGCTTATTTTGGAAGTTCTTGCACGAACTGTATAGTTATTTTGTTACTTTGGCTTTTAGGATAAGACAGCTCGATAAACGTATTTTACATTAGGATTTCTGTATAACGAATTGTGGGGGGTGGAGGGGAGAATCTGTTTGTTATGAAATATTATACATATTTTAAATTGACTATGAAGTGGTGGCTGAAAATTTGAAATTTGCTCGTTATACAGTAACAACGTTCAGAAGTTATACGGTAATTTGAAAGTGCTTTAAATGTTGTCTTTGGCTAGGAGAGGATCATAAATGGCTCTGGCTAGGAACGCGCAAACAATTTTGTTCTGGAAAGGACTTGACAATGGTTGGCTAACTACAGCCTTGCTTAACATTTATCTTACTAGAGTCATGCTTATTATCATTAAGGTTAAACTACTTGAAAACTAGTATACGTGGCTGTTCATAGTAGTCGATTTTGCTACAAAATTGATATCATACGGTAACTTGTTCTTTGATATGTTGGATGAAACTTGTTTTCTATGATGTACTCTCCTACTTTTTTGTTGTGGAAGAGCTAGGCGTACTGTAGGTAGTACTATGAGAATGATTTTTGTTTTAGGGATGGAGAAAACTATAAGCCTATTTTTGGCTATAGCTAACTTTTAAAAAATACTAAACTGTTTTCTATGGTTAACATGACATTTCAAGCTTTATTTTGCGGTATTTTAACTTTAAAAAGTCACAACTTAAAATGATTTTTTTAAATATTTTTTACAGTAATATTTTTGTGATTTATGGTACAATACTATCATAATACTACATTATGATAGCAACAACCACATATTTACATTGATTTACGTTACATTTTGTTTGTTTTACAATAATTACAATTACAAAACAATGGGCATGATCTCATACGTTTATGTAGGTTTATTTACTGTGGAGTATCTAAACAAACGTCGTAAAGCATACATGTCAACATTGTAAGCGGCTTTCGTATTGAAAATGTAAATGAAATGTGTAAACCATTTCTAATTATAACAACAGTGTTAATTGTGATTTAGACAGCACTTCTAAAGAGAAATAGTGTAAGAAACAGTCTAAAATAGACTTACTATGGTTGGCTATAACAAATAGTTTAGATATTTGGTATTTGAGTATGCCATTTCCAAATAAATGTGTTCTGTTGCCAAAAACCGTTTATATTACAAAAGAAATTCATTGAATGTTAACATACATATTACGAAACCGTGGTATGTTATACGAAATAATATTTTATATTACATAACATGTGTATACAGTTGAACTGACTTTGATGTTCAAGATGTCACATGTGGTTTGTTTACATAAAAAAAGGAGAAGGGATAATGGGAGATAGTGGTCTTATAAAAAAAATATATATCAATGTAAATTATCGATTTTCATATGTACGTCTATAGATACTGTACTTTAAACTTTCCATGTTTTTTACATTAGTCTGTGAATTACAACGTCAATGTTCTTTTCTTTGATCTTTATTTGAATGCTATTCCCAAGGCATTCTTCAATAGCTTATTATGCTACAGAGTTACTTTTGGACACAAAATTAGGATAAAATGACCGTCGTTATGTTTCTAACTTTAGTAGTGCTTCATTTTGTAATTTACATTTGTCTTTGTCAAAATTTGTCAAAACTACAGTGCTTATATTATATTTTTCTTAACTACCCTCCAATCGCAATCTATTCTAACGTATTTTGCCAGCTTGAATAAGTCTTCTTATTGTCTTGTCAGTAATAAACGGTAATATCTTTCCAAAAAAGAGTCTGTGACATCTTATAAATAAGTACTGCAATTAAGAATAACTTCTTTTACAAATTTTGCATATAATTAAATATAAATAAGTCTGTAAAGTATTAAGTTCGTTGTTACCCGCTTATCTTTATCTATATTATTAACTTTAGCTACCATATTCTTACTTATACTCCCTTGTACTGACTTAGATAGAAGAATAGTGTGTACTGTAAAGTAAAGAACATATAACTTAAGGAGTCTGTAAAACATAGTAATATTGTTGTACGATATTAAGTACAATAATATTGGTAGACAATACTCGGTATTAAAGAGCCTAGTTTTTCATTTCCTGATGTGTAACACCCAAAAATCAAAAAGTCATAATAATATTGTCATACACAGTAGACATAACACATATTTACATCAATAATACTTTGATAACTTGTCTGTTTACATCGTCGTACTTTAGAAACCTAAATATTTATATCTTTATTATCTATATCGTTTTTATTTATAATATAATATGTTATTCTTGGCTGACCAGACATTACATTACTTTTTCATCTTTTGTCTATATCTGTTTGTTTCCAATAAGATGATGATACTTCAGTAAATTTAACGTCTCAGTTATTTTTTTCCTTTGAAACACCCTGGAGGTGCGTAACATCAACACTCCCTAGAGGTTAAATTTTTGAAATTTCATATTTTGACGTTAATTTCAAATTTTGAGCTACGTGTTTTGGCTACAGTTTTAATGGGTTTTTAGTGTTTGTAAAGGACAACTTTGGCTGTTACTGTAGGGCATGATATATGTAATAGAATTTTATAAGTTCAATTTTTTTTATATTTGTATTGTAAAATACGGGAAAAGGTACTTTTTTTCTTTAACTGACCTTGTAGTGCAGACTTTGGAAGACAGAAAATATTGGGGTAATAGCTGTAGATGACAATGCGTTAACTAGATTTTACTGTGGTTTTAGATAGTTTTTATTGTCACGTATACAAATATTAAGGCAATATTTTCCTGTTTATTATGTCTTTTGCTTGGTCAAACCACGTATGAATCTGTAACTTAAACAACAAAACGTTACCCTCTCGTATTTTACAATTTTCTATGACTTAACGCAGTACTTTGTAAGATTCTATTTTATTTCATACCTGTATGTTAGACTGGTTTGTATCCGTTGAATATCATAATGTAAAATCTTTTTAATCCAAACAATAAAACCGCTTTCAGGTTACTATCTCCCCCTTTCAAACCCCCCGCCCGGTGAGAGATGAGATCGTTGACGATTTGTATTTTACTAATCACCATGTCCATACTGGTCGAATGTTTCGTACTACAGGAATTGCCGTTGTATCGCGAGGAGCGACGGGAAGAGGGCTTTAATCGAATTGCTCGTGCCAACAACTTCCCAACCTTTGGTCGATTACGCGCCTTCTGGAGCAGAAACGCCGCGCTCCAACAGCTTCTGGCCAATCAACACAACGGCCTACAATAAAGAATGACAAAAACAAGAATAACGTCCGTCAACATAATCATAAAACCCGTTTTATTCGACATCTTTTAATTTAAAATTTGAATAAAGTTTGTATTTTGTTTCTGTAAATAAATCATAGAGTAGAGTAGCTTGTTGTGGTATGTTTGAAACAATAAACAATATGTTAAAACATTTTTACAAATATTATACAAAATCTACGTAATTTTTGACCAAAATTTTATGTAAAAACTGTCATTAACCTTTAAAACGGCTCATGTCACGTCATTTTTAAAAATGTCAAACTGAAAGGTCATTAGAACTTAAAAAGATAACTTTTTCATAAATATTATAAATATTATACTAGATGAAAAAAAGTAAGTAAGCTAATGACGTTCTATCAGTACAATTAGGCTTGTTTAATAGTGCTTCAAAATCCAGTTCCTACCGTGCTGTGCCTTAAAAAACGATATTAATATTACTATAACCTCAAATAAACATTAACAGTACTATGACCTCAAATTATGCCCCGACTATAACCTCAAATCATTAATGCCACTATGACCTTAAATTTTAAAAGTGCTACGAACTTTAGCTCATAATAATTTTATAAACTTTAGTTTTGAAACATTCGATTATCGTCAGAATAACAATATTACAGTAGGTTGATTGCGCATGTGACATTACCTCTATTTTTGGACCGTTTTCAAAATAAATTTTTAAACAGTTTGCATTTTAAAGAAGTTTTAAGGGCAAAAAGAGTAAAAGTGAGTTTAAAAGTTTTGAAAAATTATTTTTTAAATAAATTTATTAAGCAAAAAACAGAGAAAAATCATTTTATTTTTATAGGTTTGAGCTATCTTTTAAGCCGTTTACTGGTATTATAGACCTATGTTTAGCAGTAAGTAAACAGTTTTTTTAAATAGCTTCAAAACATTAAAAAACGATGTCATTTTCCCTCGAAAAGCGTAGAAGAAGCCTAAAAGATCGCTCGAAAGGGAGAAAAGGAAAAACTAAAGACCCGAGAGCAATGTGTCTCCATAGTCGAGTGGGAGTGGAGCGAGTCTTTCAGAATGACGACCCGGGTTCTGTGCGGCCTCGGCGTTGCGGCGTCTTGAGGTCCGGAGCTGTAGCGGACATAACAGAGTGCACTTTTGTGTGTATGTCTCTGCCTCCGCCGAGTCGGAGAGCAATCGGCACTGTGCGGCGGCTTCGGCTGCCCGGTGCCGAATGCGCATATTCCTAAACGCACCGTAGCTCCTATGGGGCCATGACGGTTAGGGTCAAACCATGCGTAGTGCATTTTGCTTTTTGATATTGTTGGAGGTAAGGGGTGCGTTAGATTTCGAAATTGTTCAGTATATGCTTGATATTGTTTTCAAGCATATACGAAGAACAGTGTGATTTACTTTTTTACATTTTTTAAATTTTAAAACATAAAAATCAAAAGTATTTTTGTAACTCATCTGTCAATTTGAAAAACGGTTGCTTTTTGATTGAAAATGAGCCGAAAGAAGCATGGAGACTATTCGGTCATGCCGCCGGGGGTGTCTCGTAAAAATCTATTCCAAGCGGTATGTTTTTGTGTTTGGAGCACTATATGAACATAAAGCTTTATCATTTTTAATCTAGCTTAATTTTGAGGATTTTATTGACTGTTTATTTTGTTGGGCTGTACAAATAATTCTGCGCCATTTAACAACGAAAAATAGCTTTAAAAAAGGCTAGGAATTATTTGAATAACCTAATATAAAGAAGTTGTAGAAGAAGTGTAGATTTTGTTTTTTTTTCAACACAAGTTCAAGTTAGTGTAGGCTGGGAACTTGATATTGAATGGTTTGTTTAGATAATTGCCACAGAAGCCGCGACATACTCTAAAAAACAACAAGATGAAGCTAAAAAGCACAACTTGGGCAATGATATCGTGGGTGTTCAGTACAATTTCCCAATTCGAACTATGTATGTGTCACTCTTTTTTGTTTCTTATGATGAGAGCTTTTAATTTTATCTATAATTTGAACTTTGTATGCTTCTGTTTTAAGTTGTTTTACTTCTTTAATAACGAGTGTTATATAATAATTACTTCTTCATCATTTACTACATAACAATATTTACTACATAAAAATGTTTATTTTATTTCAGTGTAGCCGAACGTTATCACATAGTAGCCAATTTACCGGGCAAAAAATGGCAAATCAAATTGTGTGCGAGAGATGGCAATATGCAACAACTGAGCTTTCTGAAAGTGCCATTCCACGAAGACAGGTTTAATATGGTGTGGAGAGAGTTGACTATCTGGTCGGTGCTGGAAGACTTTGAACCTTTGATGTTTTTGAATCCGCCCGACATCGATTTGGATTTGGACTGTCGAACTTTGAGTTTTCCTGCCTTGGGCTACAGTATTTATGAAATTAAGGTATATTTGATGATTTTTGTACCTATTCCTTGCTTTGTCTCATTTTACTTTGCTCTACTGTCTCATTCTACTGTGATTTATCAAATTCTATCTTATCATGCTTCGTGTCTTACTATACTTTACTAAATCCTGCCAATTTATGTAAAATACGAGTTGAAATTTATGAATAATGAACATATAAAAGCTTTATTTCTAGGAATTCTACAACGTTTTGCCCCTTCAAGCTATCATTGTATCTGCAATGGACATGCTGTGTGCCATCAAGCAACTACACGATCAGGGCCTCGTTCACCGTGCCATCAGTCCACACCAGTTTAGAGTGGGTCTCTCGGCAGGTGGTACCGATCCAAATATAGTGCATTTGGTCAGTTTGGAAGTGGCGAAGACTTGGATCAATATCAATTGTCTCAAGTTCATACCAGGCTGTGGCAACAACTTTAAACCGAACGAATTGTACTCGTCTCCAGATGTTGTAGCAGGAAAGAATTGCACCCGAAGGGATGATCTTCTCAGCTGGTTTTACTGTGTAAGTTTTTGCTTATTTTGTTGACATTATGTTACGGTTGTTAATATAGAAGCCAATTTTAGTTGTTATTCATGAGAAAAGTCGATTTTTTCTCGGGAAACGATGGAGGAAGTATAAGTCAAGTTCAGAAAAGAAATGGAGATCCTTTCACTTTGGTCGCCGCCTTTGGCGCTAGAGCTGGTCCACCATTGGTTTGCATCCTTCAATACTTGAGATGGCTGAATCCTGGAGCTAGACCTGATTACATATTCATTTATAAGTATGACTTATTTTTTGTTTTATGGTGTTTTTGATAAAGTGATAAAGGCCGGCTACTAAGAGTAGGGTAGGTTAATGTAAAGTAGAAAAAAGTTGGGGTAAGTTAGGATAGGTTAATGTATAGCAAGGTAGAATAAACTTGATGGAGTGTTGTAGGGTAGGATAAAGTACGGTAGAGTAGGTTTGAAGTAGTTTAGTAAGAAAAATGATTTTCAGATGTCTTCAGCTTTCTTTGATATCTATCTCCAACAGAACACCACCGTTATTGCCGAAGAATGTCAACGATTACGTCAAGATGTATGACGAGACTTATGATCCGGAAATAACGGTAAGCAAGGGTTTTCGAAGTGACGATTGGTCATTGTCTAGGGTTATAGTGTCAAGCATTACACATACAGTGGAACCTCCGTATAAGGAACCTCTACATATATAACGAACCCCCTGTATAACGAACAACTTTTTAATCCCCGGCTATCATTACACAATGCATTTTAAACCTCTATAACGAAAACTTTTTATAATGATCAAATTTTAATTCTTCTGGCGATTTGTTATACAGAGGTTTCACTGTAGTAGAGTTTTGAGAGTAGTCTTCTGTATATTCAATTTTAAAAAGTTGGTTTAGAAAGACATGATGGAGTACAGAAAACATATCATCGAACGCCAAAGTGTCTACTTTACTCCTGATGACGAGGACGAAATGGTAGATGTAAGTATATTTTTTATAAAAGTTATCATTTTTTTACAGGTTGGTATTTTAGTTTTTGAAACTAAATTTCAAATTTTTTTTGTTTATTTAATAACATTTTAATTTTTAAAAAAATTTAATATTATTTTTAAATTTAAAAAGGACTTACAATTTAAATTTATTTTCAGTTCTCATCAGTCGAAGAATACCTGCCACATTATGCCAAGAGGTTGAGCGAATTCAATTCTTTTTCCATTTTTGAAAACATGGTCAATATCAATCCAAATATACCATTTTTTGTCGAATATGCCTTTAGACAAAGACCAGCACCGTCAGCATGAATCTTAACGTGTTTTTATGAGTATCAATGTGGTCTTTGAATAAATATTTTGCTTTTATCAACAGTTTGTGACAGTGAAGATGATTTTTAAATTGTTTTTTAAAAATAGTTTACTTTCTATGATATTTTACCGAAAAAATATACCGGCTTACAGGTTTACATTGTACTTGTTACACTACTTTTTCAACTTTGAATAACTAATATTTTTGTGCAAAACTAGAAAAAGCAGATAATAAAAGCCCTTCCTTCCATAACATTAGCAGCCTTTTAAAATGATCTTTCCTAAACATTTAAAATTACTGTGGTATTTCCATGGCTACAGAACTCGCATTCTTCTGAACTCTTCTTCAGAACTCAAAAGAATACTTTAGAAGCTTTAAAACAGTTTTTTTCGAATGTTTAAAGTGTATGTTCGTGCTTTATATAACAATATTTGGATGTTACATTACTCTGATAGCATCTCAATGTTTATCGTGTGGAACATACGGTAGATGTTTGGAATACAATGAGTATAATAGTACTACGGGCGAAACTACTTGTATCCAATGTGCTTGTCCTAGCGGCTTTAATTCTACGTGTTGTGATGGTAGGTGATGTGGCATATGCTTTGTCAGTTGGATAGGCTAGTGAAAGGGAAGATAGGAGTAATAGGTAAAAACAAAGGTATAGTAAAGATGTATAAAGTTAATAGATAAGGTAATATATATATAAGCCTGATGTAATTAAGTTTTAATTCAGATATAAATCCATGTAACAGTACCAATAATTGTGGTACTAATCAAGAATGTGTAGCAAATGGTGCTTTAAATTATACGTGTATTTGTAGTCAAGGCTATACTGGTGATAATTGTGATGAAGAGAGGGAGTTTTTTAAAAATGTTTTATAATTACCAACAACATCTGCAAATTACTTTAAAAAATTAAGTTTAACAGCAATTTTTTAGCTAAAAGTTACTATAACTTAAAGTAAGACATATGCTATAACTTACCACTTTTAGTAATGTACTGTGACACATTAACAACAATGTGTAATGTCGAAACAACTACATCTTCTTATTATACTACCACTAATTCTTCTATTGACAATGATGATAACAGTACTTCTTCTTCTTCTTCTTTTTCTTCTTCTTCGTCTACTTCATCTACTCCAAAGGCTTCTGCAACACCATTTAACGATAACACATCTAGTTACGACATATGTTCCGCCGTCACTGAGTCAGCTGTTTGTTACGGTATGGCCTTGTAATGTTACCACTTTTGTGTTTTTATTTTACAATAGTTTTTTATACAGTAGTTGTAAAAGTGAAAAAGTTGAAGTCTAAAAAAAATCTTGCCTTTGTAAAGCGTATTTTACCCTCTGAGTGATGTCGTTATAACACATATGATTTAAAAAAAAACAAGTCGTAAATAAGGAAGGTTTAGATTGTATCCATGGTAATTTTGTATGTGAAAACAATGGAACGTGTGGGTGGTACGGTAACACATCTGTTTGCGACTGTGAATACGGTTATAGTGGAGACTATTGTGAAGGTATTTTATTTTTTACGTAATATAACTACAAAGTGTTTATTGAAAAATGATGATTATAATATTAGATTGTTCAATTAATCCTGTGCTTCCTTTCAAAAGAAATTTTTGGGATTTGAAGGCTCAATATTATTTGAGCAACATAACATAAAAAAGAAAAAAGTAATGTTCATACCATAAAGTCTAAAGTAAGTCCTTAAATGTACTGTTACAGTAACCGAAGGCTGTGCATCTTCACCATGTTTGAATGGTGGAGCATGTACGAATGTGAATACAACTGGCTACGAATGTGAATGTCTTAGTATATATAATGGTACAAACTGCGATATCTATGATCCCTGTTCAGCTACACCATGTGTCAATGGAGATTGTATTAATAATGGCAATGCGACGTATTACTGTAACTGTACTACTGGCTACAATGGCACTTTTTGTGATACTAGTAAGTTTTTGTTACTTTTGTGGTAAAATACGCTTCTTTTTTTATGCCATACTAACATTTACATTTATTTATTTATAATTATTTTACTCTGTAAAGGGTAACATCATGTTACTTTATTATACTATACCATAACACAAAGTAATATATTTAAAATTTACATATATGTCTTAAATTATATATTTAAAAATATTAAATTTTTACATTTTCAGTAATAGACTATTGTGATGACGACCCATGTATGTACAACTCTACTTGCACATCTTATATTGGGTATTATGATTGTCAATGTCTAGACGGATCTTCTGGAGAAGATTGTGAAATTTTAACTGACAATTGTATTGTGAATAGCACATCAAACACGACTACTGTTTGCAACAGCCGTGATGAAGATGCGACATGTACAAATGGGTTCAACACATACAATTGTACATGTTCATCACAATGGGCTGGTGCTAATTGCACTATTCGTAAGTTAAAATAAGTCTTAAACATTTTGAAATACTTAAATTAATGTTGCACCTGAGTAATGTTTTTATATCTGCTAAGACACATTTCTTCGTATAAAATGTTTCTCGCAGTTCGCAGCAATAAATTTTCTTGCCTTTCGACAGAAAATTGTCCGACTTACAAAATGTTTATAAAATACTATAAGGTCTTGATTATCTAGTAAAAAATAATAAATTCAATGTTTTAGCAATCCAAGTCTGGCAAGCACTTCAATATTTCCCGGATCAAAGCGAATCTGTGGCTCTTTTTCTGGAAAACATTTATGGAGATCCACAAGCAATCGAAAAAGCAGCTCCGTATGTTATTGCAACTTTGGACCAGACCAACGTAACTGCAAATGGGTGGAGTTTGGATGAAACTGTTATTTGGGCAGCGTTTGAGCAGCGGATCTTCAACAAAACGTAATTTTTCGCGATATTGTTTTAGATTTAGGTACTTTTAATGGATTGGGCTGGTACTTGATGGTTGGGCTCGTATTTTGCTAAAAAGTTGTGAAAAGCTTTCATATACATTGCAAATTAAACTTCTAAAATAAAATTTTGAAATTTGCAATATAAAAAAAGTTATGTCGAATTTTGAAAGAGGATATTGATGTACCTAAAACACTAATGGCTTCAAAGCTTCAATCATTTTCTTAATTTGGCTGGAATTTTGATGAAATCTACTGATAATATGTTTAACGACTTGACAATTTCTAATTACAGTGACAACTTCTACGTGCTGACAGACGCGTCTCTCGGAAATTGTTTTACCTTCAATCATCCAGACAATCAATTCACGTTTCAACTTCGAAATTCTGGTGAAACTAACGGGTTTTCAGCGTTGATGAAAGTGAATCAAGATGAATATTTGCCGTGGTTGGACATTGCAATGATGAGCATCTATGTTCACGCTTATGACACATTGGTATTTGTTGAATCTTTGAGCTTTGATGCGATTCCTGGAGGATTTACGGCTTTAAAGGTGTCTAAGGCACGGTTTTTTGTGTTTTTGTGAATTTTTAGGTTTAAAATTTCTGGTTTTGGCTAAGGAATATTGTTTTGATTTTGTTACCTAAAATAATATTCTTACTTCATTTTGTTTTTCATTATGTTATTTTACATCAATTTGTTATTGTTGTGGCTTTTTAAATTGATTATCTTGCTTTCAGTCGACATACACAAGACTAGGGGGAAATTTTGACGAATGTGCGGCCTCAACGTCAGACGTTACATCCTATTTCTACCCTGGGAACTACACATCAGATGCCTGTTTGTGGAGTTGCTACCAGATGCAAGTAAACGCATCTTGTGGCTGTATGGATCCACGATATCTGATGCCAAAGCGAGGGGCATACCAATGTGGATTGTCCGATGCTGTTTGTGTATTCAATGTCACAGATGTTTTGGGGGATCCATCAACTTGGAGTACTTGTGATTGTCCGACAGAATGCGAAGCAATTCAATACGATGTGCAGTGGGATGGGGCTGGATTTCCGGATAGTGTAGGAGATTTTGTAGTGTTATGAAGTTTATGAACATAACATGGACAAATGTAATATATGAAGAAATTTTGATTTTGTTAAACTTTTAAGGTGTGTTTTGTAAAAATAGTCTTGAACTTATATTAAAACTGATTTAATTTTAGCCAGTCGAATGTAGTGCATACGACGACAATTCTACGGCTTATCAAACTTGCCTTACAAATTTTCAAGATTATGCACAAGTCAGCGTTTACTTCCCTGATATTACCCAAACTACCTATGCTGAAACTGCTAAGTGGACTGTAAGTTAATTTTAATTGATATAGGATATCTACGGATTCAGTTTAACTTCTATGAGAATAAGTTTGGTTTTTAAAAGGGATCTATTATTGTTTGGAAACAAATTTAGGGATCTATTCTGCCAGGGAAACGTAGTTTCTTGGCTTAAGCTATAAAAACTATGTCTAAAGACTTGATTGATCTTCCACTCTCGAATACTGATTTCATCGACGAGCTCATCCTCTTGGAATTTCTTCTAGTTTACGCTATAATCTTGTTGACATTAGCTGCAAACGTTCTACAACCTATTATCAAGAAAGTCATTACAGGTGAACAACATAATGGCGTACTTTGGTGGTCTCGTGGGTGCTGTAATGGGATTTTCGTTTGTTTCGGTGATTGAACTCGCTTTCCTTGTCTACCGGTGCCTATTAGTGTTGTGTACAAATGAGAGTGCAACCCTCGAAGAGGTGGATGTTGGTGGTGTAGATGAAGATGAAAACCATCCAAAAACTACAAAGATAGCCGACTCGATTGATCTTTTGGAACAAGGTTTAAAGACAGAAGCTACGGAAACCGGTGAAGCCAAGGTTCCAGAAGCCGTTCCGCCTTCAATTGCGGGCAGAGAGCCGGCTGTAGCTCCAGATGCTTCTAATGCTACACATGGAATAGAGCCGAGTAAACCTCCAACTGGTGAATTTACTACTGGATCACCGAATGATGTAGCCGAATCTACATCGACTAGCGGGTTGGAGCCACCACCGCCGGTTCCTGTTTCTTCTGAAACTGCGCAGGCGCCAGTTGATGCAAAATAGAAACATTTGACTGTAGGAACAATAAGCTATTTTACAGTGAATATAAGTTACTTTATGGTGAATATAAATTATTGCATGTTGAGCACAAATCATTGAATGCTGAATATTTTTACAAAAAGTTGCGAAACTTCAATTAGTAGGAAGTTGGTGTGAATTCAAGAAAAATAGTTTTTACAATAACAACATTTACAATTAAAGTACAATATGATAAATCTTAAAATGAAGAAAAGTCTGCAAAGCTTTAGCTAACTGAAAACAAAATTTATTGTAGTTTGTGATCAACCTTGGTAGACTTTTAAATTTTGTATATAGGACTTTAAACTTCAAAAAACTTTAATTTGAAAAAGAAAACCCGTATTTGAAACTTTAAACGTAAAAATGGAACTTATTTTATACCTAAAATTTTAAAAATTTTATTTTTAAACAAAAAGTTTTAAATTTTAAGCTTAAAAATCTAAATTTTATACTAAACCTTAAAGTCGAAATTTCAAACCCCGCCTTCTGGGAAGATCCGGCTACTGTAACGCGAGCAAACAAAACCGGTATGATTTGGCGCTGATCCTGTAATTGGTTGTTATTGCGCATCGCTCGATCTTATTGACAAACAAACACTATATAAACGATTGTAATCGTCTGGTATGACTTACTCGAAAAATAAATATTAACCCAAAAACAACAAAACACTCGAGCAGTAATCGGTCGCCAAACTTTCCATTGTAAGAATAGTAAAGGATGGCTGTTGTCGTAGACCATTTTAATTACTTCAAGTGGCAGCAGTTTTGTGTTTGTTTTCTTAACGCTTTTTTGAGTTTAATATTATTAGAATTGTAGTTTCGAAATGTGATTTGCACTTTTTTGGGTTAGGAGCGAATGGGGGATATAGGCTACAGGAAGACCGCTATGATAGGATGGATTCAGAAGGATAGCTATATATACAGGGCTGGGCACAGGGGGAGGAGGACATGCAAAATTCTAATTTTTTTATTTGCGCTTCATGCGTACATGCCTATTATTGCGTCTTAAAACATAATATACCACCTATAATATCCATACTATTGCCAGTGAAATCTCAATAGCAACTCTCTTCATAATAACGATGTGTCATTCCTTCGATTTTTAAAAGTTTCTCCGTTTTTGTTTAACAATGTTTATATCACAGTGATCTTTGCTGCTCACGTTATCAGTTTATCTTCGAAGCTTATCAAAAGTGTTTAGTCAGGGATTTTGAAGCAATAAAAAAGCTGTTTTGGAGCTTTGATTAACGGCCTGGATTTAGCGTTCGGCCGATTTTTTGTAACGTATATCGTTTTTATACTCTTTTCCAAGTTTTTATGGTTTGAATTGGGTTTTTTTTTGTATTTTAAAAGGCACCAGGCTTGCAGTCTGGGGAACTCGTGGTGTCAGAATTTTGATGGTGTTTATGCGGTGATTAATATTGGCTATTAGGAGAAGGGGAACTTGTTGTTTTTTTGGAGAAGAGGAGGTTGATTTTTGAAATGTTTCTTAGAAAAGGTTTGCCAGTCAAGCATGGGGTACTAGGGGTATGACATTTACGTATAATGCTAGGTTTCAGGTTCGAGTAGTACCTGTGAACTTTGTGAGCCATGTTCTACTTTGAGGCTCGCATAGACTTGAAAGGGACCACTAGGTTTAGCCCGGCCATGGGCCGAAACAAACTTGAAAGATGTCGGCGTGGTATACCTGGGTCCGAAGGAAGAGGCCAAACCAAGACGCGGTTAGCAGGCCGGGACGAAAAATTGGGCCTGTTCCCTCTACAGGTCTAGGCTATCATCTTATACTAAATCTTGTGGCAGCTTTTTTAGAGTTTCACGGCGTTTCAAAACTTGCATCCAGCCATTTTTCCTACGACATTTCGGAATCTCTGCTGTCTTTTTAATTTCAAAACAATTCGTTTTTTTATTTGTTTACTGTTCCATTTAGCTAGTCGCTCCCCTTCGCCTCTCATCCATCATTTTTATCGTTTCAACAATGCCCTTCTAAGCCTGTTAACAGATCAAAACGAACTGAACAAATTGTTTATTTTCCAGCCCGCCGACCCACCTTTGGAGGCCGTTTTTGGCGAGGCGGGTGTAAAACAAACAATCCGCTCAGATCACGTTGTGAAGCGATTTAGCTGCAAAAACTGGTGATGTTCTCGACGCGGTCAACCGAGAACGGGCTTTGTTCCGAATTTGTTTGGCTTTTAAGGGTTACCTGTAGGATCCGAGAGGGATTAGGGGCTACTTGATTTTTTGAGGTTTTTGGGGATTGTAGTATTGTAGGTATGAGTACTATAACTTTACAAGGTATATCTTACTAGGATAGTTAGTTTTTATGCAGTGAGCTGTTTCTTAAAGGTGTATATCTTGATATGACGATGATATTTACCTTTTTACCATCAACTTTCTTTTCTCATTACTCAGCTGGACTCTTGCAGGTATGAGTACTATAACATTACTAAAACCCAATATTTAATAAGACTATTGTTTCATATACTAGGGTTTTTCGCTAACATTTGTTTACAATAGCTATATTGAAACATAAAATTTTACAAAAAGGTGACAAGCTTTTGATGACAATAGTCGGTTGTCCTTTCAGCTTGGCTTAACTCAGCATGTTTTACAAAAAGTTATAAAATTGTTTACTTCACAGAACAATAACTTTATCCGGCTGTCCGTGGGGAATCTTTGGTCTTTTGTATCATTATTTTATTTTGTCGAAAATTTTCGAAATTTGAAAATTTGCTTTTCTAATTTTTATAAGGGCTTTAACTTCGAATTGCTAATTTTAATTTAAAAGATACTTGTCTTCTTATATAAAAGGTACTTGGGTTATATCAGTCTTTCCACTAAAGAATGTTACAGCTGCACGGTGCAGTCCCCGAGAAAATCGCGCCCTTTTTATTCCGCTGCACAGTGCAGATTTCCCGCGCGATCACCCGATACAGCCAACGATGTGAGGAAAGATTGCACAGTGCAATCCCTTCAGCGCCGCACCGGTCAGTTGTCGCAGGATTCAATGACTTGCAACAGTCAAAAAAACGTGTCGCAATCCTTCCATTGAACACAGTTGTGGCTTGAGCGTTGCGACAACCGCGACACACTGTCGCATCGCCATTAGAAGCGCGACAGGACAGTTTGTCGCAAAGCTTTGCACTTGCGACATTGCGATTTCCATTGGGATGTCGCCGGGTGCAAGCGACTGTCGCAGACCTTGTCGCTTGTCGCCCAATTCTCGGCGCGGCGGCGATTCCTTCAAACTGCACTGTGCAGTTTTGTAACATTCTTTTCGGGAAAGACTGATATTATGCTATTTTTTAAAATAGTTGACTTGATATTTTTAAAGGTCATTAAAAGTATTAAACTTTTAAAAAGTGATGATAAATGTAAAGTAATATTGTCAGATTGCTCATAAATTTTGTTTTTTAAATATAATGTCAGTTTTTCTGCTACGTCACGTGTGATAAGAACCTTTTGCAATCTTTGTTTAGTAATGATATTTTGGTTTTTTTTGTGGATTCGAACTGTATTATTTATTATCAAGTCATCGTATTTTACACTTTTTTTAGTTTTTTTGGAAATGGTAAAAATGTACAGGTAAAATTTTTATTAGTATTTTATGTTACTATGGGGAGAGTTTTTGTTTAGCGATTTTTTCTTTTAACTAGTTCTTCTGGTGGTGTTGGTTTAAACGAGGCTTAAAACTTTGATGATAGCGTCATGGCCCACTTACTTTTTGACGTCGTATACCAATGTAAAAATCGTGATAAAGGAAACCTTATGAAGGAGTCGGCCGTGCTATTAGTAATATAAGAATCCTCGTGTTGCTTATGACAGATATCAGTTGCATTAAATCCTCTACGAAATGAGCTGATTCTTAATGATGTAAACCTTGCTTTGACACTGATATTTACATTTCTTCACCTCTTTTCTTTTTCGATTATTTAGACCTTCTAACCAGCCAATTTTCATAAATACAACCAGTTTGATTAGCTTTGTTAAACGAGTTGTTGTTTCCTGTTGTGGCTTTTCCTTTTTCGGAATATAAACATTGTTGTAAGGTTCGTGAAAAGTGGCTTCGGACTGTAAACGCGGTAACCTTTAGGCTTTTGACGAAATTTTTGTTTCATTTGCGTTGATTAACCGTCATTTCGACGGTTTTTGGGTGAGAAATGGTTGTGCGCATCCAATGTTACTCGGGCAAAGAAAACATTTAGTCAACGTAATTGATAAGCGGCAATATTCCGTTTTTTGTTCGTTATCAGAGAACGTCGGGTAAACAGTTTCCGACAACGTTTTTTTGAATAACAAGATTATGAGGTCGGGAGTTGAAGGTTGTGTTTTTGAGGTCGGAAGCTGAGTTTGAGTTATACTGTCATAGTATGTTGGTATAAGAGTGAGCTTGTAAAGAAGAGGATGTTTTTTACTGTTTGACGGTTGTAACTTGTTGGTGTTGGTTTAGTCTTCCGTTGTAAAGTTGAAAACGAAAAGTTTCAATTATTTACAAAGGTGTAAAGAAAAATTATTTCCTTTACAGTCTCTGACGTACGCCTTATTTTAAAGCAGTAATTAGGCGAATTTGACTACATATTTTTGGGTGCAGATCATAATGATTTGTCAAATATTAGGTTGTTCAAATAATCCTGTGCCTTCTAATCTTCAAAATGTAGTTTGCGCGGGGATACAGAACTATTTGAACGAGAAAAACAAAAAAATATTTTTTCTGAAGAACAATATTAGGTTGGTACAGAAATTCTGGGTTACCTCGCAGACAAATGTTTGGGGTTCGGGGGCACTGAATTATTTGAACATCTTAAACTTGTTTCTTTGCTTCGTATTTAAGCCTTGATGTTATTTTTGCTTAAAAATGTATAAAAAACTTCTCATTTAATAAAAAATCATCTTGGAAGCGTATACGTATACCTACAAAAAGATGTCTAGAAACAACGTTCTACAGATCTTATGGTAGTTAAGCTTTGGCAAATATGTAGATTAATACATAATTTCTCTTTGTACTCTTTAATTTATGTACAATATTTTTATAATAACTTAATGTTAATGATGTCCAAGGAAGCGTAATCTGTTTGGCATGTCTGACAAATATCGTTTGATGCTATAAAAAACCAAAAAATAAAAAAATATTTTAAAAGTCAATTCCAGCTGAAAAACACTGATAAAGCAGCGAAAACAGAGCCGTGAAGGGAAATGACCCACGATCATGAGGCCAAGATCCGGACTGGCCTAGAAGCTTCGGCTTTAGCGCCGGCTGACAATGAAATCCCACCAGACGCGCCTCAGGGCAGAAAAGTGTCAGTGCTGGGTGTGGAGGTGGTAGACCGAGGAACATGGTCGGGCCCACTCGACTTCTTGATGTCCATGATTGCTTATGCTGTTGGTTTAGGTATGGTTTTCCAAATTTTGTAAAATTTTTAAAAATGTGTATAGACTAATATAATAATTAAAAACCTTACCTTGGGCTATTTTAGGTAATGTCTGGCGTTTCCCCTACCTGTGCTTCAGGAACGGTGGCGGTACCTTCCTTGTAGCCTATGCCATCTTCTTCTTATTAGCTGCCGTCCCCATCTTCAACATGGAAGTTACAGTAGGTCAATACCTCCAACGTGGCGCTATGGAAATCTGGGGGATGTGTCCTCTGTTTAAGGGTGTCGGTATTGGCAATGTTGTAATTGCTTTTATGTGTATATCTTACTTTTGTGTGATTGTCGCTTGGGCCATCTACTACATGATCGCCTCTTTCAACTCCACCTTCCCTTGGGAGACGTGTAACAACTATTGGAATGACAACAAGTGTGTTACTGGCAAGGAAAGCCAAGCTGATTTGCATCGAACTGTAGCCAATTTGTCACGATACGGTCTGAGCACGGAGACTTCTGTGGAACAGTATTGGGAGTGAGTAAGAAGGGCTTTGGATTTGTGAAGTTGTTGAGAAAGATTTTAAAAGATCTGATTAATAGGGCTAGAAAATGTTATATTGTTTTACAACTCTTGAAAAAAATTTGCTACCTTGGCATTTTCCTGAATTATATGTGAGTTAAAAATTATTTTACTGTAGTTTAATGTGTGGCACCCTTTTTGAACAGAATTTAAGGAAAACGTAAATTTTTGAGTTTATGAAAATATTTACATAAAATATTATTTTTAGACGCCGTGTACTGATGTTGAGCGACGACTTGTCAGACTTTGGTGGAATCCAATGGGAATTATTTGGAATCATGATTATTGCCTGGGTTATTGTCTACTTTGCCTTATGGAAGGGCATTACTCAAGCTAGAAAGGTAAAGCTTGAAAATCTGTAGACATTAACGTAAAATATAGCTTTAACTAACGTATTTTTTAACAAAAAATGTGAAAACTTAATTTTAAAGCAATTTTTAAAAGAAAAAAAAATGAATTTAATTTATCGTCTATGCTTTATATACTATAATAATATGTTTGAAAAAAGTTACAGTGCATTATTACAAGCACAAAAAATTAATTACAGGCTACATTAATCTAAACCGAAATTTCAGTTTGTGTACTTCTGCGCTCTCTTCCCCTACTTTTTGATCGTCGTTCTTCTGATCCGTGGCCTAACGTTGCCTGGGGCATTAACTGGAATTTCGTTTTATTTGACGCCAAATATTACAAAACTGGCTGAACCGGCTGTCTGGAAAGATGCTGGCACGCAAGTCTTCTACTCATATGGTGTTGGTTTTGGTACTCTGATAGCTTTGGGATCACACAACAAATTCAACCACAACTGCTATCGGTAAGAGAGTAAAATACGTTGTTGAATGAAATTGGTTAAAATTACTAAATTTGTCAAAAAAAATGTTCTATCTTATATTATACGTATACGTAATTATTTTCAGTGACGCAGTAATCATGTGTTTTATCAACGGATCGACAAGTATTTTGGCTGGTTTGGCCGTGTTCTCCATCCTTGGCTACATGTCAGTGGTGGCCGAGAAAGACATAGCCGAAATTGTGAAACCGGGCGTGGGATTGGCATTCTTGGCTTATCCTGAAGTGGCTAGCAACTTGCCGATGAAACAAGTCTGGGCTTTCTTGTTCTTCTTGATGATCACCATCTTGGGATTGGACAGTCAGGTATGACTTTGGCTGTTTTATATTGTTATAGCTTGTTTTTGATGAGTTGGAAGTTAAAAATAGTACTATAAGTTTTAGTATTAAAAACGAGATATTGTGCAGTACTTTCTGGACTGTATTTTACTATTATAAACTTACTTTAAACGTAGTTATCTACAATGTCAGGTCTAACATAAAAAATTAACATAAATCTTTTTAGGTATGCATGATGGAAGGTCTCTTTACTGCTTTGGAAGACACTTTCCCAACATTACTTCGAAAACACAAGAAGAAATCGCTGTTAGTTACTTGTATATTCTTCTTTATACTTGGTATACCGATGGTAACATACGCTGGATCTCATTGGCTGACTTTGGTCGATAATTATGGCGCTTCAGGCTACGCTTTACTGTTTGTCGTATTCTTTGAAGTCGTTGGCTTGTCGTGGGGAGTTGGTACGTAAATTTTAGTCTTTAAAATCTTCGTTTTAAAAATTTTTATAAAGTTTAAAAAGCGTGGCAAAGATATACATGTAAAGTAAAACATACGTATATCATTATGCTGATCAGGGACGTCGTTTGGGTGGGGGGTGACTCCTCCCCCCAGAGCCGATCCGAAAAAAAATCCACGGGTAGGTACTTGTACGTGAAAAAACGAAAAAAAATTTTCGAAAAATTTTATATGAGTAAGAAAAATTTTAAATGAATAAGATGTCTAAGTTGTTTTTTGGCTTTATAGGTAACAAACCGTAAAAACTCATTTTAAAATTTGAAATTTAGGCGCCGGACGTATTAAGAACGGTTTATACGAAATGATTGGTCGGTACCCGAACCCAATGTTTCCTATCCTATGGAAGTACGTCTCTCCAGCTATTACTTTTGTAAGTTTAATTTTATTTTATTGTTTCCTAAATTACATATTTTATTATATAGGGCGTTCAAATAATTCGTTGCTCTCTAACTTTTAAAATTTACTTTGAGTAATGGCACTGAATCATTTGAACAACATAATACAAACTATTGGTGCCAGCGTTCTCACTTATCAAGAAATGAAAATTTAAAAAAAAGTTACAATAAAATTGTTTTAGGTAATGTTCTTCTTCTGTACTTTCATGTACACGCCAGTAAAGAACGCCAACGGCCTGGACTATCCCCAATGGGCTCAAATCTTTGGCATCTCTTTATCACTATGCTCGATGGTGGTCATTCCAGGCTATGCCATCTATTACCTACTGACCAAACCCAAAGGACAAACCTTTGCGGAACGTTTTATCACTGGAGTTCATCCGCCGAAGGACTTGGACGATCAGCTGGAACGACGACGCCAACGTGCTCACGCTCAGAAGGAAGAAGAGATGCAATTCATCGACAAAAACAACGTCTGAACGTATCCATCATGATGTATATCACTTCAAAAACTGTCTGACCTCGAACCGCTTTTCTCCGCTTTTCTACTTACCTATTTTGTGTTTGGTGTTGTCTTATCAGGCTGGTGGTATCAAGGGGTTTCTTGATTGGTTTTAAGGATTTCTGAGTTCATACTCTGTAGTTTTATACTGTTTTAGCAAATTCTTACGTGGTATAAGTCACGTTTTTGCAAAAAAAGCAAAAACTTCTAAAAAAATCGACAGGGGGGACCACGTTGACTTAATTTAAAAGATTATGTTTTAAAATTTAGAATTTTTAAGCGTTTAAAATTATGTAACGATACTTCAAAACAGTCTGAGTACGGCGGCATCAAACATAGTTCACCTTCTTTGTTGATATCAAAATTTTCGTCCCGGTGACCCTCACAGGGTCTTCTCATCAACTGTATTTTTTACTTAGTAAACTTACTTTACCGAGTTTAATATGAACATTAATATTATGAAAAAACATACACAAGTAGTTGCCTATGGTAATATTTTTAAATTTTTTGAATTCTATAAAAGTAATTGAAAATAGAATCAAAAACATCAATATTAAGATAGTACAGATCAAAATGTTATTTTAAATTTGATTTTTTAGTTGTATCTTATCTTCCTAGTGTATAGAGGGTATAAGTACCTTCGTAGTGTATGAAAATATATTTTTATGGATGTGACTACTTAAAATATACTTTCTAAAATCATTTTCAAACTGATTTTTACTCCACGTAACTCCACCAAATCAAAAATTATTTTAAAATTTTGTAAAATTTAATAACTTGTGACCTTGATGGCTAATAAGTGCAATTAACCTTGACTAGAACTTGAGTGCATAACTATTCGTATCACACGATGTCACAACTGCTGCTACTGTTATTCCGAAAATACTTGATTTGATCACCAAGAGACGGGGGTCTGATACCCCGCTGAACATCTGGAGGTTATAAAAGTGAACATCGACCGTTTTCAACTTTTAATTCCATGTGATTAAAACAACTTTACTTTTTCAATGGGGGTTTTGTGGGTACGTTCAGGTTGGGGTTTGGGCAGGGAATGAGGGTTGTTTAAGAATGGCATTATGGATAAACGGCATAAGAAAAGATAATAAAGGTGCTTATTGTTACCTAAAAAGCTAAAAAATATTTTTTTAAATTAAAAAATTTGACCTTCCGGTCTTGTTTGTTCAAAAAACCTTATTTCAAAGTTCCTTTGATGACTTAAAGAGATGACAAACCTAACTATAGGTAATAATTTTGAAAATCGTTTGCTTCGTAATATTACTATAACTTATTAAGCGATTTAAAGTTCAAAAACCTTTTAATAGACATAAACAAACATCAAAAAGTTAAAGTAACAAGAAGTGTTACTTTATTTACTTTTTGAAGAGCTTCCAAGTTATTAGGCGATTCTAGGCTTTTTTCATTTGAAATGTTAAATTTTTAGCGTTTTTTGAAATTTTATATATTTAGTTATATATTATGAATATTTAGAACCAATACTAATTTTCAAAAGCTTAAAAAGTAGTTTTAACGTAAAAAATTTTGTAAATTATTAGTTTAAACAATTTAAAACATTTTTTCGGTTTTTAAATTTGAACAAACTTTTTTAAAACAGTACAGACGGATTTCCTTATTGTTTTGCTAAAAAAGTACAACTCGGATATGTGATATATTAAGGAAGATAATTGGCATAAATCCAAAAGTAAGCTGCTAATACGACTCTGATAAACAAAATACTTCCTTATTTTGGTGACAGTTCTGTCTGCTAACTTACATTAACATTGATATTGGTCAATGAACATTTTTTAATTCAGGAAGTGGTTCGGTTGGGCTGAACTGAATAGAGGTAGGCTTGGTTAGAGCTAGAACGGGCTGAAGTAGGCTTGTGTGAGGCTAAAATGGGCAGAGGTACACTTAAACAGAGAATGAGTAGACGTAGGCTTGGGCAGGGCTAAAACAAGGTGACTTATTCAGTAGAGAAACTCATTTTTTCAGATGACCTATTCGGTATAGGTAACCTATTGTAATATAAGGCCTTTGTAGCATAGTAAAACACTATTCTTTATCTTTAAACCTATCTTTACATTACCTAAAGCAGCAAGACTAAACTCCACAGCATGCTAAGCCAATAGTAAGTCTAAAAAGTCATTTTAAAGCCTTTGGCTAACAAGTAGCTATACAGTTAGACTAAACAGCTCGCGTTCGTTCTCTAAGCAAACAAAGCGAAAGTGACCTGAGCATTTCATGACCACACAAATGACCTTATTAGTCAGGTGGGAAAGCAAACTGCAGCCGATCGCTTCAGGCTCTAAAGTATTTAAGGCTAAGAATGTTGGGGTTTTAATATCACTGTAAACGTTGCTTGGATTTACTGTTTGGAAAACGTTTTTGGTGGATTTACTATTATTTTACAAAGAATAACAGTGAATTTAAAACTATTCTGTTAGTTTTAACTTTTTTTTAAGCTTTTTTGAAAATAATTTAAACATTTTTAAATTACAACTTATGATGTTTTGAGTATTTTTGTAATTTTTTTAGAGTTACACTCAATTTTTGACGAAGTTTTTAATGATTAACATCAGAAATTCAATTTTCTTGTGGTTACATTTTCAAGTCTAATTAAAATAAGCTGAAGTCGTGCTTATTAATAAACAAAAATTCGAAAACAATTTCATTTTTCAAAGCTATGTTATTGTTTTACTACATGCTTTTGGAGTAAGGAATATTTTGAAAAGTTACTTTTTAAGCGTGCTGTTTTGATTTTGAATGCAGTACGATGGTCTTAAATTTTTCTCGTGAGTACAGTTGAACTCTTGTATAATATAACGAACTGGCCAAAAATTTTAAATTTGTATGTTATATAGAAGTTTCAGTATTGAGGTGTTTTAAATGTACTGTGTAGTTGTGGACGGAGATTTAAAAGTGTCCTACGGGGATTGTGTTATAGAGGGGTTTCTTATACAGGAGTTTCACTGTATTAGGCAACGTGGAGCATGGATAACCATGGTTTTAGGAAACAGGGATGGGAGGATTGGATGAAGGAGTCAGTAGTACAGCAATGAGTTTGTTCTGAAATGAATTGAGGGTTTGGTTTTGGCATTTTTTGAAAAAATCAAGTCTACAGCCTTTTTAAAAACTAAAAAAAAATTTTTTTCAGTTTTGTGGCCTTTAGCCACAATTTTTTAAAAAATCCTTCGCATAGCACTGCAAATTATCAAGCCTTATATGATGGTCGATACAACTTTTACGGTCAATATATTCTTTCGATGGTCGATATAAATACATGACTGATATGATAACAACATTGATATCATCATTGGGAATGGCAGGGAACTTGTTTCGAAGAGGTTCAGTTCTATTTGCGCGCGTTATACGATCGTCTTCTTTTATTGACGCTGCCTCTTCCACGAGATTACTTTTGTCCGAGATTTCACTTTTGTTTGATAAACGGCCTTCGGTCACTCAAGTATAATAGCCAGCCGTCTACAAACAGTCGGGTGATAGGGAAGTGTTCTGAAGGCAGGGTGGGGGTTATAAGGAGGCTACATTCAGGGAAGGTAAGGAGTGGTACGCAAGGGACTTGTAAGACTATATAGTTATTTGTAAGGGGACTGTATTAAGTAAAGGCTACTGTATTGTTTAGAAACGTAGTCTTGAAGTTTTCTTACAACAAGAAACTTATATTTTAGTGTCGAAATTACTGTTAGCCAGACTTATTTTCAAAAATGATTCACTTTTTGTGAATTTTTGACATTTTTAAATGAACTATCACTTTTCCAAAAACCAAAACATGTTCTATGAATACCAAGTTTGTGACACACATTTAGCTTTTGGTCTTTTGCATATCTGTTTTTAGTTTTTGTTTACAATTACTAATTACTGTAGTCAGGGCGAGAATGTCTTAATGAATGAAAGGCTTGCTTCAAGGGGGAGGGAGTATTAGACAAAATTTTCCATGTATATTTAAAACGAATATTTTTAAAAAATACCTCAGGTTTTCTTTTTTTTATTCTTTCAATTACCTTCTGTATTTCACACTGCATCTTTATATCATACCGTTTGCAAAAAAAATTTTGATTACAAAAAGTAATCTCTATTTTAAAACCATTGATAATTTAAAGTCTAAATACTATTTTCTTCTTCCTTTAATAACCATCCCTTTTAAAAACCCACATCTTCGTTTTCTTTTCATTAATTAACATAAAAGCCGTTCGTGCGCGCCTTCAATTGCCTCCGGGCATAATTTCATATTCATCTAAAATATCTAATTCAATAATTTACAGACCATGTGGACAAAGATATCATGTATACTATTAGCTATTTTGACTCATGTGACAGCCAAATCAACACAGAATCGAGTATCATACGTACCACCAGCTATATTCCAGGTCGGTACTGGGAATGGGTACCATAAAGCCGCGGACTTGTTCAAGAACAGTATCAATACGACCGTGGATCCTTGTGACGACTTTTTTGAATATGCCTGTGGCACTTGGATCACGAGTAATGAGATTCCAAAGGACTTGACCTCTTATGGACATTTTTCGGAACTGAGAGAGAAGGTGAACAAGGAAATGAAGGGTAGGTTAATATGAAAATATAAATTATAAATAGGTTCACAATTGGCTCTTTAACCTATAAATAGACTATTTTTAGTTTTTTTACTTTTTATTTTTCTGACGAATTGCAAAGTTTTCCCCTTTTTTTAAAAATCATGTTTTCGCGGTGGGACCAACATATTGATAAACTTTATGGTAAAAAATTTTTAAAACTTTTAGTTATTAGAAGCCTATTAAAGCATTTAGTCTTTATTTTGTTACCTAAACTTCAAACCTTGCGAAAAAATAATGTTTTCGTGGTGGGACCTAAAATTGAAAATTTTCATAATTTTTTTGAAACCAGTTAAAGCTAAAAATCACGAATTTTCTTTATTTTATTGTTTAGTTTTTTTGAAAAGTCCGGAATATTTATTATGACATGACTTGTTTATTTGGGCTTAAAATTAGCAACTATATTACACATGGTTCAAAACTTGACGTTGTTCCGGCAATTATTTTTGATATATCGTTTTGTGTTCTTATTTAAATTTGCAATTAAAACACGTCATTTGCATCGTAATTAAATTTAAAAAATTGTATTTTGATTTTAGAATTTATGTTTTAATACCTAAACATACGTTTACAAAAAAATTTTTTAGAAATATTATAATATTGTAGTAATACTTACGAAAATACGGCAATAACAAGCCTTAATTTTACAAAATCTATAGCTTAAATCACTATATATTAACTTATGTAATTTTAGAGCTATACGAAAGCCCAGAAGTGTCTTCATCAGCTGCCATAAACAAGTTAAAACAATTTTACCAAGCCTGTATGGACACGGACCACCTAAACCAACAAAAATCTCAAAAGTTGATCGCCGAAGTCAAGAATTTTGGATACTGGCCAATTTTGTGGCCAGAAGAATGGAACAAGGACGATTTTGACATTACCAAGACCTTGATCAACTTTGGTCTGTCTCGTGCTCTAGATGTTTTCATTGATGTTTATGTATCACACGATCAACGGAACGTAACTCGTCGTATCTTGCACTTTGATCAAGGCGGCCTTGGACTAGGATCTTCAGCTAGAGATTACTACTTGAATGAGACCAAATATGCTAAACAGTTGAAAGCGTACGAGAAGTATATCAACGGTAAGATCGCGTTGATTGCTGAAGATGCTGGAGTCAATCGATCTTCGGAAGCCATTGCTGCTGATGTAAAGGAAGTTATTTCGTTTGAGAAGGAGTTTGCCCAGATTCTGGTGTCAGAAGACGATCGTCGCAACTACACCAAGATGTATAATCTCAAAAAACTGGCTGATTTGAAGGAGCTTTTGCCAATTATCGACTGGTCGAAGTACTTCGATGCTCTGATGCCAGACGACATGAAGGACTACTTGGAAACTAATCCAGATGTCATTGTAAACGAATTGGAATTCTTTACTCGATTGACAGCGTTGATCAAGAAGACTGACAACAAAGTTATTGCCAATTACATGTTCTGGCGCTTCACCTCGGGCTGGTCTCTACAGTTGGATGAACGGTTCGAAGATGTTACCCAATCATTCATGAAGGAGTTCGTGGGGAAACAGACCAGAAGTCCCAGATGGAAGGACTGTGAATCAGCCGTGAACTCACGATTAACTTACGCTTCTGGAGCCATGTACGTGAGGAAATACTTTAAGAACGAGGACAGGAATGCAGCCCAAGAGATGGTCAAAGACTTGAGAGAAGCCTTCAGAACAATGTTGGAGGAGAATACCTGGATGAAGGCCGAAACCAAACAGTATGCGTTGAAGAAGGCTGAGGAGATGCAGGCTTTGATTGGATACCCAGACTTTGTCTTCAATGACACTGAATTGGACGAGTACTATGGATTGGTAAGTGTTGGTTAGAGAAAGTTAGGTAATAAAAAATGTTTTTCTATTTTGAAGAAGACCTAACATAGACTTTCTGGGACATTTTTTTGAAAGGTAAAGACATTTTTTGCGTTCTGTTACGGTTTCTAATAAGTTTTGTGACATTTCGTCGAACTCTTAATTTAAAAATTTTTTTTCCGAAATCTTCAAATTGACTACAAATTTTACTTCAACTAAAAAATATATTTATTTTTAAAAGCACATAAAACTGCGTCTGAAAGTTCATACAACATCAACCAACCTACTATAATATAAATTTTTCAGCTGAACACAACGAAAGACGAAGATTACGCTGATTTAATTAAAGAATACTCAATCTGGGCTCAACACAAAGCATTCAGAAGGCTGAAGGAAGTTGTTGACCGAACTGAATTTGGCACTAGTTCAGCTGTCGTCAATGCCTTTTACTCTAGTGTAAAAAATGGCATCAGTAAGTTGTCTTTCGTTAATTATATTGTGTTAAGTAGTTGTACGTTTACAGTTTGAATTATAAAAATGCGTTTTCAGCATTCCCAGCTGCCATTCTACAAGCACCATTCTTTGACAGGACATTCCCCAAGTAAGTCAGCAGAGTTTCAAGTTTTTGCTCTACTCGGGTTAATATAACTTTTTGTATTATTTTGATGGCTAGATGTCTTCACTGAGTATACAACTTATAATGTAGCATTGCCAGTATTTTGAGCATCTAACAGCCTAGTTTCAAATTAAAACGCTTTATGTTATACTTAATATCAGCCTTCAAACATTAATCAATCTAATTTCAGAGCAGTGAACTATGGAGGAATTGGCTCAGTGATTGGTCATGAGATAACCCATGGATTCGACGACACTGGAAGTCAATTTGATGCCAAGGGCAATTTGCACAACTGGTGGGATGCTGAAACTGAAAATCATTTTAAAAACCTAACGAAATGTATCGTTGACCAATATGGATCATATGAAGTGGAAGGTACTGGTCTTAAAATCAACGGAATCCTAACTCAAGGTGAAAACATTGCTGATAATGGTGGAATTCGACAGGCTTATAGAGTAAGTAATTTAAAATTTTAAAACTGTCGACCATTTTTTCAAAATTGAGGGTTTTAGCATGAATAATATCCGTTTCTTGCTTATTTAAACCATTTGAAAAAATTTTTACAAAATTTTTTTAAAAATATTATGATAAAAATGTTAGTTTAGGCCTACATAAACTATATTAGGAAGCTGGGTCACGAAGAAAAACGGCTTCCAGGATTTGAAGACTACACCAACAATCAGATGTTCTTTATCGGCTATGCTCAGGTAAATTACGAAACTAAATTAGGGCTATTTTAAAATGGTCAAAAAGTCCGTAGAATTTATTACTAAAAACATTCTTCGATTTACAAAAAAATCTATCTATTTTTGGACCAAACTATGATAACTTAAGTAAGCCTTTTCATTTCCAGAGCTGGTGCGGCCACGCCAAGCCCGAAGCGACAGTCAGGCAGCTCATAATCGACCCCCACTCCCCGATGCGATTCCGTGTCAATGGTGTTGTAGCCAATCAGCCAGAGTTCGCGAATGCTTTCAGGTGTAAGGCCGGGGCGCCGATGAATCCGGAGAAGCGATGTCAGGTGTGGTAGATCTCAAAATACGGGTATCATTGTGTTTCATGAGGTCGGTCTTTAGTGTAGAAATTGCGTTTTTGTGCCTCACATACTAACTATCATACTGTACTTTTCACAATTTATATACTACTATAATTTAAAACGGCTTGTATATTATACTTTTCTATCTCTATATTTAAAAATTCATTTTAATTTTTTATCTTTTTAAATTATAAAAGGTGTTACAAATGTTCTAGAACCTGCACAGTGCATGTTATTGAATTGCAATCTGCACCGTGCAGATTTTCATTAAACTGTATGAATTACCTTTTAAAACGCAAACTTTACATTCATTTACATTAAACCACAAAAATATAAATATCGCACCAATTAATGTATCAATCCGTCTTAAACATATTGCACATTTAATGTTGTACACCATTTAATTTAAGTGTCAATATAACAATAAAGAAATGAGATATCACGACGAGATCAATCTGCAAATGCTCCAAAATAATGTAAATATTCATATAGAATGAGCTGATACAATCAAATATGATTTTAAATAGTAATCAATACCATTAAAATATAGTCACTGTAGGTATAGACTGTTATTAATATAGCAAGAGATACAGTAGCTGATACCATAAGATAACATCCTATATCTACGAACTGTTATTACAATACATAACAATACATACAGTGGTCTGTTATTATAAGATATAGTCCAACATACAGCAACTACCATAAAATACAGTCACCATATAAACAGACTGCTACAATAATGTATAGTAACCATATATGAGCTGTTACCACAATAACAGCGACCCGATCATGTGTTGTGTTATACCTGCAATTGGATTAAGAATAAACAAAGGTTGATAATCAGAGTCAATTCAACATAGATAAGGTTGAAATGATCATGTGATGTAAGTAAGATGAGAGCGGTCATTCAATGTAGATACGATGGAAGTCGTTGGCACCAAACGCGGCGTTACATTTGGGGCACTTGCGGCTTCTACCATCGTACCTCTTCTTCACACACTCCATACAGAAGACGTGGAAACATTTGGTCAATACTGTGTTCTTATCGCCTGTTTTACAACTTGGACATGCGAGGGATTCCTGGAAAAAGACAAAGTTAATATGTAAAAGATCATATACAATAATATCCTTTTCTATAATATAGAGCAATATCCTTTACTATGTTATTCCACCGTTTTATACTATTTTTAACCCTCCTATACCTTCTGCATACTAAAAACGTCCAGCTAATCATAAAATCTATAAAACATAAATAATGATATTATACTTGCTACAAAATCAAGCCCAGTAAACCAAAAAACAGCTAACAACCTTACCCGCAACATTTTGTTTTCCTCCATCAACAATTCGTCAAAGTTCTCGCAATCTGCTGCTTGTTTGGCCCTGTGTAGCTTCTTCTTCAGGACTGATTTCTCCTCCTTCAGCCTATTAATTTTAGTCCTGGACCCCTCCATCTTCTGTACCTTCTCCTTCAACTGTTGCTTCAGATCCTGAAGTTCGGCCGACTGTTTCTCATGTCTTATCTTCAATTCGGACAACTCTACATTCAAATTGACCAAGCTTTGCCGAGAGTTCTCGTAGGCTTCATTCAATCTTCTTGTACTCGACTCCAGAAGTGTAGCTGTTTGTTTACAAACCTCGGACTTCTCGGCATGTTGTTGTAGCTCAAAACTCAACGTATCTCTGGCACTTTCGACTGTCTTTAGTTTCTGTTCCAGTACTTCCAGACCTTGTTTGTATGTTCGGCAAATGGATTCGTTCTGGAGAGCATCTTTGACCATTTTGATGCATGCTTCTTCTTGTTCTGTGATTCGCTCAGTTAAAGCCGTGTTCTGACTCATAAGTTCTTCTACTGCGGTAGCTGTGTTTTCGATTTCACTCATCAGGCCTTGTTCTGAATTTGCATAAGAATCTATTTGCTTTTGAAGTTTTTCATTTTGCTTTGTCAGGCGATTGATTTCCTTTTTGTAGCGTTCGCCTTCTGGAGTTTGGGGTGGTTCCTCTTTAATTGGCTCTGCCTTGATTTCGATGTGCTCTATCTTCGGTTTTATGTCCGTTTCCTTCTTCTAAAGCATTAAATATGATAACTTTAATGTAAAGAGTAAGAAATTAAAGTACAGCCCCCTACGCTTATTTTAATCATAAAATTTTAAGAGAAGACTAAGGAAACGCAAACTGAGATTCGAATGCCTTGTTAGGTTCTAATACAATAATGTTCAACCTTACCACCTTATCCAAATCCTCCCTCAGCTTCTTGAGCTCCTTTCTGTGTCTGTCGCTCTCTTCTGTTTTTCTTTTCAGTTCACCATTCAACGATACCAGATATCGTTTCATTTCTTTGTAATTCCGTGCTTCCAATGCATCGCTTTCATACTTTTGTTTGAATTCCAGCTCCATTAAAGTGCATTCTTTCTTAACTGACAACAATTCGGAACTCATCACCGTGCAATTCTCGCGTAGCCGCTCCATTCCTATCGTGAATTCTGACTGCAATCAAAAATTAAAAAATAAATCAAATAAAAAATAATCACCACATTCCCATCTCCTTAAACATACGAAAAGTAATATAACATTTCAAAAAATAATCGACTTTAACATTTAAAAATTTGATTTAAAATTACCTTAAGATCAGCAACTTGAGCATCATAACTTTGCCGTAGTTCAATAATATGATTCTTTAAAATTGCGTTGTCCCGACTAAAACAGTGAAAGAAATAATTTAAAAGAAATAATTAATTAACAACTTTAAATTATCTAAAAAAAACTTTCAAAAAATTACAACCACGTAACAAGAGATATAGTGTTTTACTTACTCAACCCGTTTGGCTTCCTCAACAAGATTAGTGTACTTCAACGTGAGCACGATAAAATCTGGAGATCCTTGAATGACACTTGTAGGCAAGAATTTGATCTAAAACATATTGTTTATCACCATACCATATACTTATATAGCTATCCTTTTAAAAATATATATCATATTTTTCCTTACCGCATTGTTGAGTTCAACAATTTTGGCAGCCAATTCTTGATTTTGTGTGTTCAAAGCATTAAGCTCTGTCAACCGTTTCTCCGCTAACTCAGTTTGAACTTCAACTTCAGCCTGCAGCTCTTCCACTTCCTTGGATGACATTTGAGTTGCTTCACCTTCAGGTTTGGATTTGTCTTCTTTATCTTTGTCATCCTTCACTGGAGACACTTTGGCTAGATCTAGCTGACGTTTCAACTGAAATGTAGTTAAAATAAATGATAATATAACAGGTAACAACGTATAAATGTTAATAAATGTTCAAGCTTTCAAAAACTTTTTCAAAATTTTGTTTTTAAACACAATGTCATAAAATATCAGTCTTTACCTCAATTATTTGACTTTCCAACTTTTCTTCTTTGCTGATCGACTTTGTTAATTCAAATTTGGCATCTTCCAACTGACTTTTTAAATTGTCCTTTGTTGATTCTGTAACTTCTTTTTCGTCTTTCTTCAAAGCTAACTAAAAGTAATGAATATTATTTAACGTATAGTTCTTGCTTAACTATATCTTCATAAATAACGACATTAAACTCAAGACATCAGTTTTAATGTTTTTGAAAATCTTTAACCATCTGCAGTAAGTTTAAAAGCATCTTACTAAACCTAAAAAAATCAAAAGTGTAAAAACTTACAGCATGAGCATACTTTGTCTTCTCTGTAGTCAATAATAAGACTTGCGCTTCTAATCGCTTATTTTCGGCCAAAGCTTCAGACAATTCTTGTCTTAATAACGGGTCAATCTCCTTAACGTGATCATTATTTAAATCTGTAGATGTTTGACTTATTTCTTCGTCCATTGATACATCTTCTAAAAAATTTTGTTTATCATCATATCTATAGTCCCCTTTTTATAGCGTAAACGATAAATTATACAAAAAATCTACAAATTTGATCATTAACATCATGTAACCTTTCAAAAATATTTATTTAATTGTAAAAGCTTCCTCAATACTTTCTGAAACGATGAAAAATATTAAAAACCACTAACCTTTGTCTTTTTTGGCCAGAACAGACAATATCTTATCCCTTCGTTGTGATATTCCGTTGATACATCGTAACAGTCTAGTAAAAGCTTCATTACTAAAGTGTACCCTTTTATCCAACTTGTCAGTAACTTCTTCTGTATTTAATTCAGAAATCAGAGTCAAGAAGTTGGTTTCTAGCCGATGATACGTTGAATTTGTTGCTTCTAACTCTTCAACCGTCTTCTGCTTCAGAATATCCATTAACATGTCGTCTAGCTAAACAATATAATTAGTATAACCATTAATAAAAAAGGTTTATTCTTATGTCAAAATAGGTAGCCAAAAAATCTTAAATTTTACTAACATGAATATTATAGTTAATATTCAAAAGAACTAACTCGTTCCGTCGTGTTTCCTCTAAAATTTTAGACAAATCAAGTAAAAACAAACCAGATTCCATTGTCGATTCAAAGCACAGATCAGTTGATCATCATAAGCATGCACATTCTCAAGTTCTTCAATCCTCTTCTCCAATTGATTGATCTGTCGTTGTTTTACCCGAAACTTTTGGCTTAATTTGTAGTGTTGAGCTCGCAAGACCTTGTCATTTAAGGTCGCCTAAAAGCATTCATCAAATTATATCCAAAACACCTCATTCTAACCATTTACATGCCAAAATTCCCAGAAAAAATAAGGCCTTTCGGCAGAACCAGCAAGTCCAAGCAAATTAGACAGAATAATCACACTAAAAGACGACGAAACTTACCACATTGTAAACTGAAGGTAGTCTAATCGTTTCAAATATGATTGCTTTCTCCAAGGATTTGTTTTCTTCATTTTGCGACATTAATTTCCTATTTTGACTATCGAAATCTTCGAAAAATGAATAAAACACGCCAAAATATATAGAAATAGTGCGTCCGAAAGCAAGCGAACTGCGACGCCGGGTGACAAGTTATACGGAAATTTGGTTTTGTTGAAGCGGACAGATTTCTGTCGTGCCCGAGCTTTGAGCTTCTGTTTGCTGCACGATGAGGCGAATATTGAATCTAATTTACCAATGGTTTTATTGTGGATTCTGCCAATATTCCATGTGTTGGAGTTGTAGTCGAAGTTCAAAAAACACTTGGTTATCTTTTCAGGTAAATTAACTTATTTCACTGTTTTTCAATGGCTTTTGACAGATTTCTGAAGTTATATGTCAACGTCTGTGCTAAGATATCAATCTATTTATCAAATTTGTTCTGAATATCGGTTTCTCTTCCAAATTCCAAACCTTTTCACCTACTATAATATAAATCTCACGCCGACTTTTGACCTTTTTCTGTGCGGCACATTGATCAGTGCTGCTAAAACTTAAACTCGGCAAAAAACGGGTTTTCGGGGATCATGCATTTCGATTAATTAACTTGTCGGCTTTTAAAAATAAACCCTGAGGGCCCTCGGGCGGGTCCTGAAGGGGCCATCAGAAGGAAACAGTTGGCATCGGATTAAACAGCGGTTTAGGGGGCTCTTTGTCTTTACCTTCGAAGACTTTTCGAATCGCATATTTTTCGCCCCCAATTGCATTCAGGAACAGGGAGTTTCGGCCGCTTTCGCCCACGCCATCCATTTCCGCTTACCCTATTAGGCGAAAGGGCAAAATTTCGAGGATTTTGGGTAGTTTTGATCATTTTTAAATTAATTTTAAAATTTTTGGTTTTGGGTAATTTTGGGGCTGTTTATAGGCAGCATTTGATCTGGTTTAGAAGGTCATATAAAGTTGATTTTATTTGCCACATGTACGTCGAGATGAATATCTAAATACTAACAAAGAAAACAATGACAATCAGTGAAGAAAGGCGTAGTTAAGTTGATACGAGATTAGATCAAAGCATTTTTATTATAAATTTTAAGAAAATCCATTACAAAACTTTAACATTGTAATTTACTGACGTTTTTGCCGAGTGGTTTAGGTTTGTTTTAGGCTTTGTTGTAATTACTTAGTATTTAGCAGTATAAGGTGCAAAAATAGACTCATTTTGATTGGCATTCTTTTAAATGACTCATTTCTTGACAGTGGGGGTATTGACTTGATCTACTGCATTCTTTTGAAATATTTTAGTGCAAAACCTTTGATCCAAAAAATGATTTTACTACTGTAATCCAAAAACGTCCTTACTATTGTAATCGATTTGAACTTTTGATTCAACTACATACTTTCAGACCATGTGTTTTTGAAAATGTTATAACAGTTGATCAGTCATTTCTGTTTATTTTATAATGACATTTTTTGCACCTTTAGCTGAAGATAGTTATAGTGATAAATCTTTAGTATGGTTCTCGATAGGGTGACACATTGTTTATAAAGATAGCTTTTGAACGCCTTTTGTAATAGAACTCTTATCGAAAAGTACCTGGGTAATGTCTTCTGGTTTTAAACTAAGAAGCACTACCTATGTACTGGTTATAAGAACAGGTTTGGATTAGTTCTGTTGGTGTCATACTAAACAGGTTTGGCTGTATGTAGGTGTATATTGTTATGAGAAAAGTCGAGGTAAATGTTCTTTGGTTACTATACGAAAAATTTATGTTAAACTGTGTATTTTTCATGCAAAAAAGGTCTTTGGAATTTGATCTTATGATGACAATATTAATGGTTTTCTTTTAATAAGGTTTGTTTTTTTTTTTTTTTTTAAATTTTTTTTCTCTTCTTTCTTTACTTTTTACCTACTTTTTTTACTTTTCATCTACTTTTTTAACCAATATTCTTTTCTTTACTCTCTGACTGCTTCCATTATTCAAATTGAATGACTAAAGGCACTAAAGGCTATGCCATTTGAAAGCCTGACGTTTATTAGTGGCATACAAATCATCTTATTTTTATTTCCAACTCAATTTGCTTGAACCATATGATATTATTATGAGCTCTGAACAAAAAGCCCTGTGGGCACATTCCTCTTCGGCCGCGACAAAAGCGATTTGATTCGATTTTATTTTCAGGGCCGGCCAGAACTGATAGATATTTTTGGTAACATCCTAGTATAAGGTGAGTCATTTTTTGTTTTTTATTTTTTTTGGGCAGGGAGGTGTTTTGGGTATGGTAACTTGATGTAAGGTAATGGACAGGGAGGTGTTATTGTTTATGGCAATTTGGTATGATGTATAAAGGTTGATACGTAGGATGAGCTTGTAGAATAAAACTTGATAGTGTAGACAGGGGCGTGGGTTTTTCAATGACGAAGGGTTTTTAGGCATGTGCTTTTGTCTTTCAGGGGTGAATTTAAAAGTGTTTTTAACGGGCGGGGTAATTCTTGAATTCTCATTTTTTATTTGGGGCAACAGTAAGCTAAAAATTATTTCTTAGAGGATAAAAAGGTAACATAACCCTTTAAAATGCCTTACAAATAGAGTTATCTTTTGGGCCGAGCCCTAAAAAGTTCAAAATTAGTCTGTGCCGAAACGCTTGGACTTTATCTGTCCAGGCTAGTTAAAACAAAAGGACGTACAAACTTGTACAAGACAACTGCACCGAGACGGTTTTCTGCGAGGTTATTAAGAAGGCAAATAAATGATGTGAACTCGAGGTTTTAAGCGGCTTGGATAGAGAGAAACGTGGGCTTAAAGTTTCCTCAGGAATAAAAAAAAGTGGAGAGCGCGCGGCCTGATCGAGAGATCGAGACATTCTTCCTGGAACTTTCATAAGGCTTACTAATTCTACTGCTCAAGGGAATATTCTACTTGTTACTGCTTCAGACATTGCTTGTTTGTTCTATTAGTTAAGAGAGGATTGAAGTTATTGAAGACTTCAATTAGATTTGTCAATTTTAGTTGGCATTTCATTTCTTCAAGATATTATTGTACTTGTAGTTGCTTGCTTCAGTATTTTGTAGTATTTTTAATTGTTATGAGTCTGTGGCTTTTGATTGTCAAGAAGTAGTGGCTTTTCTATTCTTTATTGATCTAGTGTTCCGTGGTATATAGGTATACCTTGACATTTTAGCATCTGGTCTTGTAAATCGTGTCGTAACCGAAATATTGTTTTAGTCACTATCTTTTTGATTTAAAGCTAGTTGTTTATGAAAACTGCTTTAACCTCATCTTAAGACTCTGTTAGTCATTTAAAATCTTCGACGTTTTAAGTTTTTAAAATTTATAGTTTGATGTCATAGTATTCTCTCTTTAAAGCTCATATTAATCCCGGTGTTTTACATTCTTCTTGATATATTTTGTCTTACGGTGAAAACTCTTTACATATAGATATACATCCTTATTGTATGTTTTGTCTTTTATAATTTTAGGTAAGAACTTGATTTTTCCTCGTAATTTTAACTATAAAATTTTAAAATCGCAACAAACTGTGGTCTTATTCCACTCAAAATTTCTCATTTCTCCGATCTTCAATCTCTCCAAATGCCATTTTGATGAATCTTCAATATTGCGCATCTGGTGATCTTTAAATGAACACATGTGGCTGTTCCCAATGCCGAGCCCTGCGGGGCTCTCTAGACGAGGTCCGGCCTCAACCCGCGACAATGCCTCGTTATTATGTTCCACAGGCTGACCGTGCTAGAACGCCGCCTCGACCCTGCGTTCAAGCAATCAATGCACGCAGTAAGTTGGAGTACGATCGATGGTGTGAGTTGCGACGATCGTTCAACATCAAAAAGCTGAAACGAACCAGAAGTGCGACTGTGGAACGACGAGTACGGTTTCATAATACTACGGTGAAGACGTTCTTCGGCGATCGAACAAATTCAGATGGCATTTTTGGAGATCGTACGACTTCCGAAGAAGTATTGAAGGCAAAAGAAGAGATTGAGCTGCTGAAGGAGGTCGTACCGCGCTACAGATCCGAGTGTATACCAGTACTGCCAGCTCATTCAGGTGAATTCAAGTGGGTATGCAACTGTACTAATACTGGCTCATGTACCCATCTACAGACTAGTGCCAAGTCATCTTGCTCTCATTTGTGGCCTAGTCCAAGTTCTTCATTGAATTCAAGAAGCAGTATGAAGATCAGTTTGGAATCGTACATTTCCGGGCTGAATGATGACAAAAGGTACCGTGGTATATCTGAGAGGTTTTTGCATGGTAAATTTAGCTCAAATGTTAAAAGCACCTCAGGTCAAAGTTTATATGACACGTCTACTCAGGATTCGCCAGCTTCATCTGATCAGCGTTTTCAAGATGCTTATGAATTTAACAGTAGATCAGAACAAAATCTTGATGTCAAATCAGAACATAACCTACATGGCTTATCTGGTAGCGGCTTACTTTACGTTTCAGACAATAAGCTACACTTTGTTTCTTATGACAACTTACAAGGAAGCTCAAGCTCTTCATATAAATCATGTTTGGATGTTCACTCTGCTAATTCATCGTCTTCTAGGCCTGTTAAAGTTGGTCAAAGTGGAAAAAAGTTGAAAGAGCCCGAGGGAATTTACAGTAAAATAAAGAAGGCTGAAGATGAAGTTGGTAGAAAGTCAGATAAATCAGAAGAATTCGAAGATGTCTGGATTCACCAAGGAAAATATGGCATTGATGATTTGTTAGATGATCAATATGACAATAAAAAGAGGATAATCAGAAGTAAAGATGAGAAAACCATTAAAAAAGGAGGTAAAGACGTTCAGCACGGCCTCAAAATCAGCGAGATAAATGTAAAAACTTTTAAAAAAGGTACCAAAACTACACATAAAGGCGACAAGACTTCCAAGAAAAGTTCATCGATGACAAGTTTGAAGAATATTATATTTGGAAAAAGTTCCAAACGCCCTTTGGCAGTTGAAAAGGTTCGCAGCAGTGTATTAGCTGATCAGATACCTTCAACTAGTTCAACCTTGCCTAGATTCTTCATCTACCACACTACTGTTTGTTCAAGTTGTAGCCAAAAAGGTCTGTCAGAATGTAATCATAGTGCTTCGAAGAACTTTCAGACCGAGATTCTGGATTCTTCTACGTCTTTAGAGACGGCTACACGGTTGTTTAAGGATTCTGAATCGAATTTGATTTGGGATTCTGAAGTTAATTTGGTTAGGAATTCTGAAGCCAACTTAATTCAAGATTATGAAGCGAACAAAAAAGTTTTGAAAATTCAGACGAAAACAGGATGTGCGACTTTACCTAAAAATTATAAGTCATCGTCAGGAAAGAATGTCACTTATGCTCATCCGAGTTCACTTTCTACCAAAAAAGGCCATTTTGTTATTGAAACAACACATTCACCTGTCTCGACTATTGATTACGATGAAGGTATGAGTCACTCCAACCTTGTTTCAAGCCAATTAATTCAATCGACAAGTCAAAATATGCAATCAGCAGCTAAAGATAAGCCGCTGACAAGCCAAAAACCCTCTAAAAAAGCCTCTAGTTCACAAAGTTTAAATGCCTCGAGTTCTCAGAACTTAAATGCCTCGAGTTCACAGAGTTTACATTCCCCTAGCGAAGATATATGGCGACCTCAGACCGATCTCGGCGCAGTTGTAAAAAAGTATGAGCTTAATTCTAGTCACGATTCCATTGCTTCAGAAGGCACATGTCAACGCAAACCCACTAAGAACCCATTCATTCGAACTTTGAACAAAATGCGACAAGGCGTGCGGAACGTCTTCACGAACGAACGGTAATGTTATGATTTTTTGACATTTTCAAAAAAATTTTTTTTCTGTAAAGTTTTCTTTTAATTTTGCATTTCAGTTAAATTTACCTAAAATTTATGTTTTCTGCCTTGAAAATGAAAAAAATTTAAGTATTTTTTCATTTTTTTATTGTGGGTTCTTCAAGCTTTAAAATTTTATTTTTAGGTATTTTTTGAAATTCGAAAAATTGAAAATTTTTTTTTCTAAATTTATATTTTTCAAAAAAATAATTTTGTTTTCAGAAATCCGAATTATAATCAAGGACCATCAGCGTCAGCGTCACACTATGAATACGAAGGACAGCCTTATCAACAGGTAAATATCGTTTATATTTTTTAGGCTTGACTTTCTAATAGGAACGACGTGTGTGTTATATGTCGCTTTTTAAGCCTAGGCCGAGAGTCAGGTGTAGTATCATATTAAGCATAACCTTTTTATTTTTAAACTCAAAAATTGAATTTTAAAAAATTATTAGGTTGTTCAACTAACTCTGAGCCCCTAACCCTAAAAATATGATTTGAAACGGGGCACAGGATTATTTGAATATATTACGACGACTAAACGTATGTTACAATATCTCATTATTTCAGGCCAGACATCCACCGCCGAACATGACTCGATCCATGATCCCGGACTACGAAGAGGACGGCGAGTACGCCGAGATCAATGTGCGCTCACGTTCCAACGACCGTGATGATTCACATCGAATTCACCGAAAACGAGAGAGTAGGTTAAGCCTTTAGCACAAACAGCTGTCGCTTGGAGAGAGTATAATATTACCTTGAAACTTGTATTGGCAAGATTAATCGTTGTTTTTGAACTGGTTCTAAACATTATAAGCAATGGGGGGGGATCGGAGAGGGGAAACTATCATTTATGAAGGTAATGAAGAAAAAAGTTAGTTTTTTTGAATATAAAAAAAAAAGATATTGTTTTAGAGATAAAAGATTAGAGAATAACATGAAATTAAAAAATTTTAAATTTGTAAAAAAATTCAAAATATATTTAAAATTTTTTAAATTAAAAAAAAATTTTTAGTGAGTGCCCCAATTTCACCAAAGACAGTGAAATTCACCGACCAGCCGGGCTCATCTCACCATTTGGCTCAAAATCAAGCTAGCGCCTTCCAACCTTTGGCTACCCAACGCCCTCAAAGAATACAAGCTGCCCCTTTACCACCTCCACAGCGGATTGGCCTACTACAACAACAAATTGGGCCAAGCAACACGAAAAGACGTGACTCATCTGACAAAGGCTACCCACAGACACCTAGTAGACAGAGCTCACAAAGTCAGATTCCAAGTAGACAAAGCTCTCAAAGCCAGATTTCTAGGCCGGGTCATGGCGTATTGGGACAGTCTGGTCATGGTGGACAAGGACAAGTACAACAAGGACCACATTCTGGCCAGATTCAGCATGCACAGTATCCATCACAAGGTCAAGCTCAGCATGGTCAATATCCTTCCCAAGTACCTCAAGCTCGAAGTCAGCCGTATCAGCAGCAAAGTCAAGGTCAATATCCTTCCCATCAACAACCTTCAGTACCACAACATCAGCGTGGAATCCCAACCCAACAAGTTCAATCACAACAACAAAGACAACAAGTTGCGCAACATCCACAGCAACTTCAGCAACGTGGTCCGTTACAACAACAGGTTCTACAATCTCTTCAACAAGGTCATCCACGTCAAGAACCTGTTCAAAACGTGACCTACCGACCTCAGCCAACTTACGCCAAGCCCGACAAGTACAGATTCCAGCCGATTCAAACGAACCAGCCGCTTCAAAATGATTCTGTTCTGCCGTCGCCAGCACAATCGAACAGAATCTCGGCCGGAACGTTGGACGAAGCGACGATGGACTTGTTGAGGATATCTGATGCTCCAAGCACTGTATCCTTCAGTTCCACGGCTAGGTTATCTCCCAATTCTGATATCTTGCAAAAATCAGCTTCGACTAGTTCTATGCACAAGGTCGTCAGAACTCCGGTGGGTTTTTTACGTTTGATGGTTTTAGGAGGGGGGGGGGGTGAAAAAAAATTTAATTTCGAAGCTTCTTAATTTAAAATTTTTTCGACTTTTAAAAATTTTAAGTTTTTTTTTAAAAATATGTTTTTTGTAAAGCTCGAGCCAGAGCCAATTGCACTGGCGACGTCAATTTTCAAACATTTTTTAAAAATCTGAAATTTTTATCATGAAGGTTTTAGACAGTGCTGAGTACAAAAATACAACTATTTTTATTTTTGGTTGCTGTATTGTGGAGTACTGTAAGAATAGGGATCCGTTTTTTTATTATTGTTGGGTTACTGTAATTACGACACAAGATACGAATTTTTACTACGGTAAAATTATACATGGAACTTTGACTCTAACATAAGAAATACTGTATTGTGGTCGTACTACACGATAGTGAAGACGCCATGTCTCTACAACTATTCGTTATGGAGATATAAATTCTTCCGTAACCTTACAGTACTCCACAATACAGCAACCAAAAATAAAAATAGTTGTATTTTTGTACTCAGCACTGTCTAAAACCTTCATGATAAAAATTTCAGATTTTTAAAAAATGTTTGAAAATTGACGTCTCCAGTGGGATCACGATTTATAAAAAACGTGTTTTAAATTTAAACAAATTTTAATAATTCCAGGACGGCGGAGTAATGAAGATCTCGAATGCCTTTACTTGGGACGCCAACCGTAACCCGTCAATCGACTCCACTCAACACGACACTACCAAGCGTACCACCAAAGATGGTACTTCTGACATTCGTCGATCTCAAGCCCCATCTCCACCAACTGCCAGAACGCACGAAACTGAATTTTCAGCTCACGTCAAGTTCCCTCCAGTTATCAAGACGACAGTAGAAGGTCAACTCAAAATGGAAAAGTCGGTTGGTACTCATTTAAGAACCGTGGACCACTCGATTGCTCGTGCCTACACCATCAGAGACACGACTACACATTACAAGATCAAGACTCGCCTCGGGCGGCGTGAGCTGATTCTGGAGGAACAAGGCAATGTTACAGTAGACGACTCGAAGGACGTGAGAAGTGGTGGTCATTACAAACTGTCAGTGTTTGAGGATGGGAAGCAAGTCGGAGAACATGAAGCCGACATCAATGTGCCTGACAATATGGTGAGTATTTTTGAGTATTGGATTGGATATTATAGTAGACATAGAAGTTTGCCAGTAAACGACGGAACAAACACTTTAACATTTTTCAATTTCGAACCGAAAACTAACTTAATATTAACTGTTTTACTGTGAAAAAAGATATTTTCATAGATTGACTAACAGCTTGCGGTACTAATGAGCACTATTTTCGAATTTTAAAAGCCTAAAATTTATTTTTTAATTTGTAATTTAAAAAAAAATTTTTAATTTTAAATTTTAAAATCTAATTCTTTTAACTTTTGAGTGCTTTTCAAGTTACTATACTACAACTAAAATACTAATATTAATCTACGAATTACTAATAACCGGATTAATCATTTGATTATATCACGGTAAGTTTTACTTCTACATTCGTTTTACATCACTTTATATTGCACTTGGCACTTTTTTCTTTCACTTACAGTTCCGTCTTACTATTGGCAATCAGGGTGATATAGTAAGTAGGCATTAGTTGCTAGTGATAGTTAGGATATTGAGAGTTTTTTAAAACGGGTATAGTTTACTATAGTAAAAGGTATGGGTTACTATTGTAAGAATATGTATTACTATAGGAAATTAATGGGATATATGATAGGTAGGCATTGAGTTACATTGAGAATTAGGATAGTTACTACTACTGACAATTATGGTACTATTTACCGAGTTATTGCGCTAGCTTTGTATTAGTTATTAACGTATATAGGTTAAGCACTAGTTACTTTTAGCTATCATAATATCGCATCTCTTTACAAACTGTATTCTCATGTCTTTTTTAGGCCAAACCCGACTTCTTGGGTAAGCTGAGCGAGCGTCTTCTGGCCGACATTGCTTCGATCGACGGCGACGAGATTCTCGCTTCAACTCGTGTTGAGATCGTCAAGATTGAGGACGTAACAGATATAGTCAAGACATATCTAATAGGCCACGGAGACCTGGATGAAGACGTTTCCGAGCCAATTGAAGCCATAGAACCGCTAGAAAAGCAGGATATAAACCTTGTGACCGAGGGCAGAGCCATCGATGACACTATTAATATTGGTCTGAAGCCGAAGAGAACAGAATCCGACACGGAAAGTGTGGATTCGATCAAGCTCAAGAAGAAGTACGAGCCGGAAGTCACGGCCGACTGTGATTTGCATCGTACTGAAGACAGATCCTCGATCAAGATCATCTTCGCTGAAGCCAGACTAGCCGAACTGGTTTTGATGATCAGAATCCAACGAATCAAACCGAAGCCGAAACCGTTGGAGAAGGCCAACTACGGCCTGGAGAAGGAAGGCCAAGAGTTCAAGGGCGAGACCATCATTCGTCAGCTGAAGTCATATCCCAGCGACGAGGAGCCAGAGTCCCCCAAAGAGCCTCTGCCAAGCTCGTACGAACTAGTCCAGCCGGGCCAACTTCTCGAAGGCAACGCCGCCGTGGCTAGAGAACGGAAATTCTCGGAGGCCGAAAGCGAAGTCAGCACGATACAAGTCGAGCACGAACCCCCACCAGCTGCTTATGACTTCGAGACGGCTGGAAGAAGGCTTGAGGGACATTCCGTCTTCAGAAAACAAAAACGGTATTCTGAAGCCTCGATCGACGAAGTATCGTTGCCTGGCGTCAGACAACGTGGCGGAATCACGTATGTGACAATGATCAAGAAAGAAGATCACGGTCGCTTCGAACTGATCATGGAATGTCCAAACGAAGCCACACCTTCGACCATCAAGGTCAAAGAGATTCCGGACCAACGTTACGAGAATCTGGAGTACATGAAGGTGATTGAACGGCTGGGCGACAATCAAGAATACATTGAGAAGATCCTCAAGACGGCCAACAGTTGGAAGGGTGCGTTGAACGTGAACGAGATGAACATCGAGAACACCACAGTCATGTTTGGCCTCGAAGGGGCTCAACGTAGCACAGACTCCACGGAGATTACGCGAGCGTTCGGTCACTCGGCCGGCTATTCCTTCAACACTCACGAGATATCGACCGAAACCTTCAACCAACAAATCTGCATGGAACGGCGCGAAACCCATCTTCAGTTCGCGGACGCCGGCTCCAGCATCAGCGACCGTCGCACGACCAGTGTGGCACAGAACGTGATGGAGTTCACGGTGGAGAACGAGCACTGTTCCGTGATGATGGAGAACCGTGCGGCGGTGCAGGAACAAGTCCAGAAGGGATGGGCGGACGAAGTGAGAGGTAGGTGGTCCAGTTGTTCTTCTCACGCTATGCGTGCCTCGTACTCGGCCGCTCAGTCAAATGGTACTGTGGCCGGCTTTCGGGCCGTCCAACAGCACCAAATGCTGGGCGTCGACAGTCAGTCCGGTCGTCAGCGTACTATTGTGCACGAACGGCTGGACGAGGGCAGTACGGCACGTGTGTGGCATGCAGTGGCACCTTCTGAATCTGTCGCTAAGCACTTTCTGTCTACCAGCACGACCTCTTCTTCTGCACCTGCACCGCCAGGCCATTCTCTTTTTGATGCGCACGCCTCCCGTTCCCTTTTTGTCCCCAATCTGAAGACGCTTTTGCCTCCACACGCCGCCGCTCAGACCGTTCGCTCCGACGTGCCGTCCGCAGCCTCGACGCTGAAGGTGCATATCGAGGAGAAGGACGATCAACAGACTCAAGTTCAACAAGTTATTCAACCCAACTCGTCGCTGAATCAGCAGAATTCATCGATGAATTCTTCGTTCAGTCAACAGAATTCAACAGTGAATCAGAATTCATCGATGAATCAACAAAACTCATTGATGAGTTTATCGACGAATCAACAAAATTCAACTTTAAACCAGCTGTCACGAGAAAACCAATTTTCTCGAATCATCAACGGTCATACTCGCCATTCATCGTTGAATCGAGCCAACGGTCGACCCTTGTCGTTCCACAACGAGTACGTTACTGTTGATGCGAACGGCCGAAGAAGACATGTTATGGAATCAGGCTCAGAATCCTTTTCGACCTGTTCATGGGGCTCTACAGGATCAGCATCGACCAGAACAAGTTCAGAAGTCCGTGAAACTCAAAGCGGTTCATCGAGTTCGAGTGGCTTCGTGGACAGTCCAAAGTTTGATGTGCCAGTCAACAGAATGGCACCTTTTAGTGGGCCTGTCGGTCCTATTTTTAATGGAACCGTAGGAAATGCTGGCTTCAATGGACCACTTGGCAATCCTGCTTTTAATCGACCGGTTGGAATACCAACCATTCCAATCATCCCGCCAGGCCAAGGCGCTCAAGCAGCTCAACAGTTTATGGAACAAATGAGAAGATTTCAACCGCCTGGGGCAATGTTCAACTCACCCAACCGAATCTTTGTTTGTACTACTGATACCGTGCCGGAAGAGAAGGTACGACAAGTCCCAATTGGTCGACAAAACTCGGAAGGGCCGTTCCGAGGCAGAAGTCGATCAAGAACGCCGTGGAACGATCGAGAATCTTCAGTGTTCTCATCCAGAGCTCGAGAATCTTCAGTTTTATCGTCACGAGCTCGAGAATCTTCTGTAGTCTCTACCGTAACTGAATCCGTTAAAGAGACCGTCACCGAAACTCGTGGCACGGAACGACGAAGAAGTGTGGTCTCGATGGTCAGTGTGGTCTCCAATGACTCGTCTAATATTCACCATGAAGTTACTAACCACCAAACTACCCTTTATAACCAGTTAATGGCCAAAGCGGCAGCGATGCAGCAAGAATGCCACCGGCTGTTCTCGCTAGCGAAAAACATTGAGCGCCAGTCCAGCTGGCATCGCAGTACGTCAGTCGACCGATTCGGAAGGGGTCCCTCGCGTTCCATACCTGTACATATTGTTTCAGGCAGAGAACATCGTGCCGCTTCGGTCGCTGGCGTCGGCACGTTGTACGAGAGAGAGAACGTTAGGTTACGGAGTAGTGTGTCATATGACACGAGGAGTAGTATGTCACGTGACGTGCCGATCAATTTGAACAGACGCCCCATCCAGATTCCAGTTCATTTGCTGGGATCGGGAGCACAGACTGAGCAACGTTCTCATCATTATCAGTCATCGTTCCAACGTTCGCAGTCTGTCACGGCCCCTTCAACCCACTACAGTACCGTGATCAAGTCGGCTACACAAGGAAATTTGAATAATTTGGTTGGGTCAAATTATTCATCGACAGAAAACGTACGGGAATACGGTAACCAAAATGAATACGGTACCCAAAGTGAGTACGGTGCTAGAAGCGAATACAGTACGCGAAATGAATACGGTACCCAAAGTGATTACGGTATTTACAGTGGAAATACCGAGTCCGAAAAGGTTAAAGAACAAAGTAACGTTAATGTTCATTCTACCGTGCCCAGAGCTGCTTCAGAATCTACCGTTGAGAAGGAGACCGTCAATATTACACAGAACATTTCTGGTGGTTTACCTACTCAAAGCAACGTTAATGACTTCTCAAATGTCAAGGTTTATCAAAATGGTACTAGTCTGGGACAAAACATACCATCATCAAGCTACAATGAGCATGAGAAGGAGAATATCAACCAGTCGTATCAACAATTGGCTACTCAACATACCGCTTCTGTAGTTGAACGAGAAATGGTGAATGACAGTACGAATGTTCATCAGTCTTCAGTACCAGTCAACACAGTACCAAAGGCTTCTGTCGAAAGAGAAACTTATTCTGAAACTCAACAGACTTCTGGAGTGTACGGTAACGTTCCTAGTGGTACTGTAACACAACAAGGAGGTGTCTACCAACAGCAAAGTAACTTTGGTCAACAACAATTTGGTACTGTTGGTACACAAGGATATGGAAATGGAGAAAATGTTTACGAGAAAGAAACCGTGAATCAACAGAGTACTGTAACATCAAATCAAGGTGGTATTGGTCAACAGAATGTACCGCAAACTGTTGTTATTGTCGGCCAATCTACACAGCCACAGACAACATACGAAAATGAGACTTACCAACAAGAGAGTCATACGTCTGGTGGTACTGCTCAACTCGTAGGTAGTACTGCTGGTACTCTTGTTGGTACTGCTGGTACAAATGCTATACAAGAAGTTGAGAAAGAAAACGTACAACAAACCCAAAACGTTGCCCAAACGGTCCCAGTTGTACCAGGTGTACAAGTTGTCGAAAAAGAAACCGAAAATATCCAAGAACAAAGTCACGGTACCTACCGGCCGGCTACTGCTGCTACTGAATCCCTTCAAGAAGCTACAGTTGATCAAAGTTCTTATCAGCAAACATTTACTGATCAAGGAGTATATCAACCAACAACTGTAGCTGACGCGTTTGAAAAGGCTGTAGAACAAATCAGATCTCAAGAATTTGCTACGACTCACAAGAATCCCATCGTTCTTCAGACTGACCAACCGAAACTGGCTGTTTATCAACAACAACAACATAAACTTGATACGGTAGTCAGTGAACGAGAAACAGAACATGTACAACAACATGTAACATCGCAAATTGCTGATACTCAACCAGTAGCAACTCACGATGCTGGTAAACTTCCAGTAGGAGCTCATGAAACTGATAAACAAAGAGTAGAAGTCTCTGAACAACAAGCTTCCGGGCTAGATATTCCTCAGAATCTCCAACGTACTGTGTCTCAAGAATCTGTCGCCGTTCAGCTATCTGAATTCGCAACGAGTGAACACGAAGCGGCTCCAGAAGTTGAGGAGAAGATATTCAGAAAATCAAGAAGTAAATCGAAGACTCCACTCACGGTGTCGATGGAAGCCGAAGTCACAGCGAATACCCAATTCAGAAGCATCAAGAAGGTGGCGGCTGAAGTCGAGCTGAACCTGGAAGATGAAGAGAAGGCGATGAATAGTGTACGGAAGGTTACGGACTGGCTACAGCACAAGTCTATCGATGAGACGCCAGAAGAAGCCTTCGAACATGTTCAAGATATCGAAACGGATTCAGCTCAGATGACGATCAGTATCGACGATGCTCAAGCATTGTACGATCGTACTCAATCTGAACGGCGCTTCCAAGAGCTACAACAGCTACCAGAAGGCCCAGAATCCTTTGAATTCACAACTCACGATGTGGATATGAAGAGATTCGAACAAGCCAATCTGGCTTCACTTACCGTGGAGAACGTACGCAACGTAGACAGTACGAAACAATCAATGGGAGCAGCTGAATTCAGTGCTACAGACGCGGAAACCTCTATTCAACATCCAGAAACTTCTGGTGATGCCAACGTAGCACTTCCTGACCGTTCCCAACCCGTAGCTGTGTCGTCAAGCGGTCTTGTAGCCGTCTACCCTGAAGTTGTACCAGCACCAGCTGCTCCAGGCCAACTTTATACCATTGATGAACATGCTGTTGTAGCACCAGGGCCTTCTGATGCTTACACAACGAAAGAAGTTAAAGGTACTCAACGATCGGATTCTGGATTCAGAGAAAGCACGGTAATCTCAAAGCAATCAGATGAAGTGCCAGCACCACGAAGACCGACCCGAATCAGCGAAAGTCCTACAGAATTCTCGTTCGCGGATTCTCTGAATCTCGAATCCAGAAGGGCACAGTCAGAATATATCGACCGACGTGAGAGTGTTGATGAAAGTCTTGTCACGACATCTGGAGTAGTATACCCTTCGATTGAAGCCACCGACCTTCAAGAGGAATACTCCACCGACACGGAACAAGACGTCGACACCCTACTGACTACGGTAAACCTGAATAAGATTGGCGATCATTGCTACGACTACACAGAATCCGACTTTTCGATTCCTGTAGAATATAAGGGCTTTGAGAGCATCAAAGCGGCCGAATCTAAGGAAATTGGCCGTGGATTGACATTGGAAAGCAACATGACGGATTCTGCCATCAGCGTAGAGACCTTGACTACAATGTCGAGAGATGAAAGTCTACAATTATCGACCAGTCACGCCAAGAATGACGAGCTACAGTACCAAACCTCGTTCAAACAGGCTGATGCTAAAGCTAATGCAGCGTCACTTCAGCGTGACAAGTCTACAGAAGCCATAAACAAAGCTGTAGCGGAAAGTCAAGAGACTTCAGTGTTCTTGGATCACGATGGTGAACTTCTGGAAGCCAAACAACAGGCAGAAGCTGTTTGTAAGAATGATAAGCGTGAAGAAAGGAACAAACTGAACACAAAGTCGGCTACAGAAGAGAATGTAACCGAGAATATTAACGCTCAACACACACCGTTCCCAGAAACAGTTGAGAACGTTCATCGTGAACGTCGAAGTGCTTCGGAACAACGATCGTTTTCTGTAGCTCCTGACCAAGTTACTGAAACAACGTTGAACAAAGATCAAGCTGAAGGCTCTTGTGACGTTACAAAACAAGATTCTTATCGTGAACAGTCTGTAGGAAGATTCAATGAGTATTCTGAAGTCAGCGTGACTACAGGAGCGAATCTTGAAAATATTCGAAAAACTCCTATTGCCAGACTTGCTGACGTTGAATGGAAACATCAGGAGGCTCAGAAGACTGAACTGAAGACTCAACATGCTACAGATGAAGTTCATGAACGATCAACTCAATTATCACGGTCTTCTGAGGCTACTGAACGTGTTGACATGACAAAGACGGACAAATCAACAGAAAGAGTCCAATTGTCTTCTCAACAATCGACCGAGAACTCGCTTGACTACCAAACCAGTCTAAAAGTAGCTGGAGAGAAAGCGAATACAGAAGGCAGGCTACGCTCTCCCAGTCAAGAACGTGCTGACATTACTTGTACGGAAAGCCAAGAAGCGGCTGTGAATTTGTATGAAACAATTGAAGTTGTGGATGCTGTAGGTCATGCTGATGCTGCAATAGGCTTAGAACAACGCAAAAGTAATCAACTGTACTACAAACCTGCTACCGTGGCTCCGGATGTGCACGCTGCAGACACCATGCACGTCGGCGGAACCGAAGAGACGGCGGAACGTGTGGAGGAGGCGCTGGCCTTAAACGAAGCAGCTTTAGATAACGCGACTAACAGAACTACCGTGTCTGACCGTTTGTCCGCCCAAACTTGTGTCTCTTCAGAAGAAAACAGAATCCACGAAAACTACACTCAACTACAACAAGATCGGTCAAGAACTGAAGTTGAGGAAGAAAACTTCAACATGACATCTACTGGAGGTTATGTAGATGATGGCCGGTCTAAGACGACAGAAGAGAAGGAAACATACGAGTATAATGAGAACGTATCTGGAGGTGCACCAGGTGCCAGAACTGTGATTGAAAATGAGAATTATAATCAAAACGATGTGATCACTGTCTATGACAAGAAACCTGGCAGTAAAACGACAATCGAAACAGAAACCTACGAGTATAATGAGGGAGGCGAGCTGATACCAGTAGCACCAAAAACGAAAACTGAAGTCACAACGGAGAGAGTTGAGATTAACGAACAAGGTGGTGTACCTGTGGTACCAGTTGCTGCACCAAAAACAACGATCGATGAAGAGGTTGTTAAGTACGAAGAAACTGTTACCAAAGTGCCAGAGCAAGCTGTGATACCAGAAGTACCAAAAGTAGAGCCTGTTCAACCAATTCAACATCTGGAAGAAGTACCAGTCTTAGAAGAAGCCAAGTTGGTTGAAGCCATAAAACCTGATGAGCTAGTCCAAGTTCAATTTAGAATTCAGCCGAAAGAGAAAACAGAAGAAGCTACAGTACAACTGAAAGATGTAGTCGGCGAGAAGGCTACACAAGGTTACAGTCACGATAAGAAAGAATCCGTCACGGAGTTGAAGCAAAAAGAAGCTGACGAAGCTGTCTCAGCCGTCAGACCTGAAGCTACAGTAACCACACAGTTGGGTACGTTCGTAGTACCCTCGGAGAAGAATCTGAACGAACAAGTGACCTTGTACAAGACGGCTTCGGCCGAAAAACTGGACAAAAAGTTGCCAGAAGTCAGTAGAATGGAAGGGTTGGCTAACCTGGCAGCTTCAAAAGAAGAGGATGCTCAAATCAGCACGAACATCGATAAGGCTCCGTACGAAGAGATGACTGATATGACAAGATCAGTATACATAAAGGAAGATGCTGGACTGAACTCAAAAGCTGCCGGATTCGAAGAGAATTGGCTGACATCGTCGATCGATCAAGAAGATGAAACAGAAGCCGCTCAGAAGCAATTCAAGGATATCAACGAAGAGAAGGTTGATAAGAAGGCAAAGCCGGCTGGCAACGAACAAGTCGGCTACATTTATCAAACCAAAATCATTGATAAAGAGGAAATGGCAGACAAAGCCGTGCCAGTCCACCAAGAATCTTCGTCTGCTTTGAACGCCAAGGCTGTAGAGGAGAATGCTACACAAATCAGCCCAGAATTCGGCCGACAAGAATCGGAAGACAAAGCCTACGTTCATCCTGTAAAGCCCGAAGATTCAGAAGCCAGAAACTTTAAAATTCAAGAAGATCAAGCAGCTCAGAATCTTGTCAAACCTGATCAGTCTGAAGCCACAACTTCTTTGCGGCCGATCCCTACGAAGGAAGAGCTTCAAGCATCGTTCAAACAGTACGGTGATGCTCAAAAGATACTCACTACTAGTTTCACCAAAATTCTACAGAATCCGGACTGGACCCTCGACGATGTTACCCTGAAGTTCAATGAGTATTTAACTCATATATTCAACACACCAGCTTCTACAGACGAAATGAAGGATTCGGAGGTAGCGTTGTCAGCTACTGAACAAGATGCTTTGGCCAATATTCTGAGACTTATTGCTAATGAAGATAACATTACGTTTGCCACGAAAGCAGCATCAGAAATCGCGGCAGCGTTAAACTCAGCGTTGACTGCAAAACCGTCAGATAGATCGACCGGAATTAACCTTCAGTCCGACCGAAAAGAAGAACTGGAGAAGAAAGTGAGGGAAATGGTCGAAAACGTGGCCAACCTCAGTCAGAACTACAAGCTGGTCGATCAAGAAAGCCTGATTCAGATCCTACTGGCTGACGCTCCGTGGACCAAACACGGCCTTCAAGCTAATGCTGCGACTCTTGAAGAAGCCAACATTTCTACCGAAATAAATCAACCGGTCGATGAAGGGAAGGCCGAAAAAGCACGACCAATTGTGAACGAAGCACAAGCACCTAACCTCAACCTGAGTGACGCCCTAATCAATGCGGATTCACATTTACTTCAAATTTCAGACAACCAAATCGCTGAAAAAACAAATCCTGAACAACGAACTTCTACCGGAGAGTTAGTGACTCCAGAATCCGGTCACGATGAGACATCTTTAACCGCCGAATGGCTAAAAATCTCGAAAGATCGACAGCAACGTGCCGAGACCGCCTTCTCGGACAAGAGTGATACGGAAGAGGTGGAGATAAGACTTGAAGAACCTCATGAAGCGTTGGGTGTGGGTCGGAAGTTCACGAAAGAGCTGCAGCGGTCTGAGTCTGGCACCATAATGCCTGCCCAAGATGAAGCTAAAGTGTCGTTGAGTTTAGAAGCCAGTCAGGAGAAGGAAGACAAGCGGCGGAGACGAGAAGAGATCATTGAGGATCTCGAGACCTTGTCGCAAACCGAAATGAAGGGCCGGAAGCCGTCACGAAGAACTGAAATCATCACTGAAACCTTTGATCAAAGCTCAGAATCGAACGCTTTGAAGAGGAGAGACGGTCGATCAGTAGCTCTGACTAGAGAAGATGGTCAGCCTGGTGATCAACTTGGTTGGGGATACAATATCATTGTTGAGTACCCAGGAAGAAGAAAGGTCATCGAAGAAACTTGGGAAGAATGGATGACTGAAGAAGAACGACGTGAAGCCGAACGAAAGAGACGTCAGATCATCGAGGAAGAAGAGATCATTAACCGAACTGACAGTTCCTCTCAACTGCCAACTCAAAAAGGCCGTAAAATTATAGAAGAAGAAACCACGGAGCAGATTGACGAATCTGGATTTACTGGAGCTGCCCCAGGGAAGAAACGCACGATCGTCGAGGAAACAGATGAAGTCGAAACCCACGATGTTGATGAAACTGCTGCTACGGTGAAAGTTAGCCCAGTAGAACAACAAATCGAGTCAGCCAAGGTTGTGACTGTCCCCAACGTCATGCCAGTCCAGGCATTCCAAGCAGTTCACCCGAGTGATCAGACCGTGAAGCTCACCGTGGACATGTTTGGTAAGACTGAAAAGCCTGTAGAAGCAGCTACAGTAAGACGAGTGAGCAATGTCAGCGAACTGACATCAGCGATGGAAGCGGCCGAAGAGGACAGTGCCTTGTTGATCGCTGATCTCAAAGCCAAAACAAAGTTAATCGAGGAAGCCGAAAAGATCCTGGCGGCTTCAAAACAACACGCTCCGTTAAAGCTGGAAACCAACGAAGCTACTGAAGAAAACCTGACTACAAGCAACGTCTGGGATCGTCCTGAGAATTCTGAAGCTACAGAATTGTCACGAATTATTCCACGAAGTTTGGAGCCTATGGTAGCTAAGATGCCTGAATCAAAGGAAGAGGCACGTCAAGTTGGCTACGTTTACGAGAATCAAGAAGTTGTGGAACAGAACGATGTCACGTTGAAGGACAAAAATTACGCTGGAAATCTGATTCTGAATTCGAAGTTTGCATCAGAAGAAACAAAGAACAGTGCCGTTAACCTAAGTCGACAACAACAACTTGAGAACATTCGGTCGAAGCAGATCGAGAAGGTCAACGAGAAGCTGAAGCTACAGATTTTGGAGTCGATTCACGAAAACACTGCCATTAATTCTACCTTCAACACTCAGTCCTTGATTGAGCATGTCATGAAGGCTTTTACCTGTCCAAATGTCAACGAACCAATGACAAAACGGCTGTTGGAGAGTACTCACGTCTACGATACTGTAAACTATGCTTATGAACGGAAGAATGAGAAGAACGAAACCGAGAAGACGAATCAGATCCCAGAAGTCGCTCAACCTTTGGTTCTAAACACGAATGCTTCTGAAGAGTTTGAGTTGGATGTTACTCGAGAACTGTCTCGTGACAATCAGTTCAACAACAATGACATTCTGTTGAAATGTGCTAACAAGTTACCCGAATGTGTGCTTCATACTAAAGCGTCTACATCAAGATACGCCATGTTGTCTAACAACCTACAACGTGAGTCTGATCGAGCAACGGCCGACACCAACATTATTCTGGCCAACACTCATCCGTCCGAAGTCAAGAAGACGAAGGAAGCCGGAGATGAGAAGTCGCTCACTCAGATCACCAAAAACAACGAAGCCGAGAATCTGGAGCACGACAAAACGGTCTGGCTGGCGCGGTTCGGCGGTGCCTTCCAACTTAAAACAGACGCTGCCGAAGACATTGAGCTTAACGTTTCGCGTGAGATTGATTCTGAAGCGCCCAAGCACTTAACTCTTAATCATATTGTTATCACAGGCAACACCGATGCCACCCAGCTCGATTCTCTTCAAAGCGGCAGCGACGAACGATGGCTACAGTGTCAGTTCCAGAAGTCGGAGGAAAGAGAACGAATTGATAAGCTCGAGAAGGCCAAACAAGAACAGCAACATCATGGTCACTTCTTGGAAAGTGAACATGAAACCTTGGTTTATAACACAGAGTTAAGACGACAAGAGGAAAAAGGAGAGAATTGCTACAAAAAAGTCATTCCAAATGAAGGCAACAACGTTTTCCTACTATCTAAGGCATCAAAAGAAGAACTGCAAGACAAACAGTTTGAGTTACAAAGTGGTAGACCATCAGATCTCAACGAGAATATATTGTTAAAGGCTGTCAGAGATATCGAGCCATCAGTTCTCAACACTCCAGAAGCCACCTTCTACGTCCTCACCTATTCGCATGAATTCAGAAGGCCGGAAGATATTGATCACATCACAAAGATTCGTCAGATTCCAAACGAAACCACGCCTTCTGACCTGAAGTGCAAAGAATCGACCAATATTGTCGAGATCACCAACTTCAAGTACGACAGGAAGGAATCGAACGAAGAGAAAGGCCACTTGGTGTACATCAAACGCTTCGGCGGAGTGTTTACATTGAACACGGAGTATGCAAGTGAAGATACGGCTACATTCGACCGTCCTCTGAGTCGTGACAATGATCTTCGTTCTGAAGTTGCACGGGTATTCAAAGCAGTCAATCAAGATCAACCGATCGTTTTACAAACAAAACAGTCTACCGAAGTTGATACTGTACTAGGCTGTTCACTGTTTCACAGTAATGAAATTGACAAGCTTAACCACGTGGTAAAGACTGCTAACTACATTGCCAACAACATTAAATGTCGCGAATCTACTCAAGAATCCATGACTACTAACCTGACCTACGAACGAAACGAAGCCGATGCTAAAACCCTCACAGTCAGAGACGAGGCCAGGTACGGTGGGCGATTGTCGTACGGTTCGGCCGCGTCGGGCGAAGTAGAGATTCAGACCACCAACCAACTTGACGCCAACCCCGTGACCGATCTGAAGGCTCACGACCTTTGCATTTCCATTTCGCGCACTTCCGAACCTCTCGTACTATCAACCCCACAGGCCACACTCGAGCAGTGTGCCATTTCCAGTACTTACTCTAAACCCGACTCGAGTGACTTCTTGCATCTGTCGCTTGCCATTCCACGCTCACCCGACGCTCCGATGCCTTCGCTCCGTTCCAAGGAATCGGAGCAACACTTTGAGCACTTTAATTGCCAATATCAACGTGATCAAGCTAACGCCGATTTTACAGAGACCCGATGGATTCCGCGAGAAGGCGGGCACTTGTCCCACGCTACGAAGGCTTCACAAGAATCGCAACATATGTGTGAAGCCGACCTCACCAACCCAAGACTCACGACCTTGTCAGAAGGCTTGACTATCGTGATCAAACGAGAACCAGATCAACATCCTCGGCTGGATTCGAAGGCTTCAGAAAGTCATGAAGCCAGCAATACTAGTGTGCTACAAAGAAGTGAAGCCAGAGAAATCTTCCAGCTCAAACTGGTAGCTCCACGAACTTGGGATCAGACTCCAAGTGTCAAGGTTACTGAATCTAAGGAAGTCGAACATCTTAACAACGTCCAACTCACTCGACCCGAAGCCTATCAGACCATCGACCACACCAAGTACGAAGCTCGGTACGGTGGCCAATTCTCACTTAACACTAACCGTGCCCAAAGCAAGGAAATCGAATGCAGTGCATTCCTACAACGCATTCCGGCCATTGACCAGGCCAGTCTGAGCATCAAGACTCCACGCAACGAGCCACCCGTCCTCATGATTGGCAAACACTCACAGTCAGCTGAAGTACTGTTCACGGCCGACATCTCATCTCAAAAAGCATTCCAACTCCAAGCAGCTGTAGCGCTAAAGACCTCCAACGACAATGAGCCCATCAAACACAAGGTTACAGAGGCTGGCAATGTTAACACAACCACAAACATCTCGCTACAAGCCGGAGGTCAAGCCGAAGATGAAGTTGAACATACTCGAGATATGCCAGGCTATGGAGGTTCGTACAACATTTCTTGCAAGGCAGCTGGCGAAGCCCAAGGCGGTGATAACAACATCAACCTGAACCGACCAGAAGCCAAGGAAGAACAGCGAGTTGTGATCAAGATTGCTGGTGAATATCAGCCCCAGAGACTGGACTTGTTGGCGGCGGCGGACGAGCGGACGGCACTCCAAACCGACCTTAACCGGCCCGCGGCCCACGAATCGCACAGTTTGATTGCCGTGGAGAAAATTCTCGAAAAAGTGTATTTGCACGCGTACGAAAGCGGCGCCGAACTGGTCGAGCTCACGCAGACCGAGGTTCGGCAGCGTGTGGCCGACCTTCAGGCCGAAGGTGTGCCGGCACGTGCTGCTCGAGAAACCTCACCTATATCTCTTCGTACAGAATACGCTCGTGAGAATGTGATTCGTTTGGATTCGACCCTTCAACCGGCCGATGACGATAAGAGGAAGGGAATGGCTGAGTATAATAATGGATTGGCAAGGACCGAAGAGCCGTTGGTATTGAACTGTCAAGCTGTAGATCAGGTCAAGCTCAGGGTTAAGGATGCTGATGAGGAAAAGAAAGAAAAGAGGTAGGATTCTGAATCTTTTTGACCTATAATAATGATAAAAATGCACTTTAAAAATTATTTTTCTAATTTAAAATGATTATTTTGTTTTTGTTTGATTTGGTGGAGGTGTGGAACTAAATTAACTAAATTTTAATTATTACAGAGTCAGTTTCGCAGCGGATGTTAAGGATGCGGATCACAACTTGGGTCTTGATATGTCAATGTCAGTCGAAGAGCGAAACAAGCCTTCAATTATTAAAAAACCGATCAAGAAGGAACGTGAACATCGTGGTCGACGACGTGAACTTAAAGCTAATGAAGCTCCTTCTTTGTAGGTTTAAACTTAAAGTTGCTTATTATAAGTTTTAAAAGTAGTATAACTAACTAACTATATGTAGTATAACCTTTTAGAGCTTGTAATTTTACGTTAGAAACTAGTTTTAGAAATTTTAGGTAACAAACATCAGAAAAATTGGTGTTTTAGTTTATTTTTTAGGTTAAAATAGGTATAAAACTTAGATAGATGGTTGGTAACTTCTTTTTCTGTTAATTCTTATATTAAAAATTCATAAAATCTATTAAAAACAACATTTTCTAAACTAATATTATCCATTTCAGCTCCCCAGTCCGTCGCAACTCCTTGCTGATGGCCCTGAACATTGGCAGCCCCCACAACATGCCCCACTTCAAAGTGTTGGAAGATATTGTAAAAGCCATTAAACAGGTATCTTTCTTAACCTTCTCCCACTTTTTCTCGTCCTTAGTTCTGTGACATCTTATCATAACATCGACTCACATATTACACTTGTTTCAGGCTGGTCTCGAGTACTCGAATTTGATTTTTGGTATCGATTACACCCGATCCAATTACTATCAAGGAGACCGAACATACGATGGTCGATCTCTGCATCATCTGGACGGAGAACCGAATCCTTATCAGCAGGTAATCGAGATTGTGGGTAAGACTTTGTCCTCATTCGACGCCGATGGCGAGATCCCGGTGTATGGATTTGGTGATGAAGAGTGCACGGACACGGACTGCTTCAATATCATCGACAGAAATGACATGGATGCGACTTGTAAAGGCTTTGAAGGTAATGGTTTTTAGAAATTGGCTTAGAATTTGAGTTTAAAATGTCAAAGGGTTAAGTTTTTTCAAAATTCTCCTTTCCAGAAGTCCTCAAAGTCTACAACAAGGTCACGCCGACCGTTGCCATGTCTGGACCGACCAACTTCGTACCACTAATTCAAAAAGCGATGGAGATTTGTGTGGAAAAGCATTCGTATCACATCTTGGTGATTGTGGCTGATGGCCAAGTGACAAACGAGAAGATTAATCAACGAGCGATTGCTGCCGCTTCTCATTACCCGTTGTCTATCATTATGTAGGTTTTGATTTTTTTAATTTAATTTTTAGGCTTATCATGACTAGAACGGTCAATAAGAAGTCTGTAAAGGAATACAAATGATTTTTCTATGAACTTTTTGACCAAAATATTGAAACTCAAAAAACGGTATTTTAGAAAAAAAAATCAATTGGCTATATTAGTTTGTCCAAATAATTCTGTGCCCCTCACAATTTACTTGATAAATATGTCATTTTAGGGTTGGTGTTGGTGATGGACCATGGGATATGATGACTCGTTTCGATGAAACTCTGCCAAAGCGGCAGTTCGACAACTTCCACTTTGTCGACTTCCACAAGGTATGTTCAAGTCGTATTTTAGTATTTATTTTTACCAAACTTTTATGTTTTTAAAACTTTTTGGGAAAGGGTCCTATCAGGTGATAACAGTCTGGAAGAATGGAGGTCAGAAAAAATTTCTAAATTTCCTAAACAAGTTTTATAATGTTGTTGTAGGTAATGTTCAACTCGCCGAACCAAGAAGCCGCATTCGCGTTGAATGCCCTGATGGAGATCCCCGACCAGTATAAGGCCATCAAAGAGCTGGGCCTTCTCAAGAAGACACGCCGCGGTTAATAATCGTATTTTAGTGCAATTTCTGTAAATTTTGTTGCCGCTAATTAATTTTGGACAGAGTTTTAAAATAATATTCGAAAATAAATTCGTATGTATAAACTTTATCCTGTAGTAAAGTTTTTATGGTTGTTAAATCAGCTTCATTGAGGTATTTGTGATGCACAGGGGAACTCCTGTGTAACGAATCGCTGGGGGATTTTAAAATTGTTAGGTTTAAAGCAGTCGTTATAATGGAGTTTCACTCTCATCCGTCACAGGATATGACAGAGTAAGATTAAGTCAAGTGTGTTAAAGGATATTATAAGTACCATGTTACTGTTGTAAACTTCTTAATACTAAAATATCTCAACGTAAGTGCAGTACAATCTACTATTAGGTTGTTCAAATAATTACGTGCCCTTTCTCAAAGCAAATCGTCTGGGCTAGGGAGCACAGAATTAGTTGAACAACGTACTAAAAGGCAACAGGCAGACCCTAATACTATTCCTTGTACTAAACAGCACCTAAATTTTCTAAAACCATGTTATACATAATACTGCATAGCTTAGTATACTTTAGTATAATTAGTATAATAAGAATACTTTACACTAATGTACACTGTGCTATACAACAGTATTATAAAAAGACCCCTAAATCGTATGTAAAAGATGGTATTTAAGACAATGTAATCGTATTACTACCTAAAATTCCTTTCAAAACGGTTTTCCTTAAAATATGAAACAAAAGTCATAACCAGGGCCGGGCGGGGACTTTTGGTCTGGGGGGCAGGGGTCCAAAAAAATCGGCACAGGTAGCTAGCTACCTGTGCCGATTTTTTGCGAAATTTTTTTTCCAAAAATCCACAGGGGGGGGACCACGTTCAAATTTTTTCGAAATTTTTTTTCTGGGGGGGGTGCCCCCCCCCCCCTCGCGCCCGGCCCTGGTCATAACAATAAATCATTGTTTTTGCAGTAAAAACATATACATTTGAGAGTGTATATATATGGAGTAACGTAATATGTCTTCCGTAGTACATATCCACATTTGAAATCATTCTGCTTTTGTTTTACTATGTAGTTATTTATTGTTTTTTCAGTAAAATATTAGTTTTATATATTAGGTTGTTCACATAATTCTGTGCTCCTTCTCAAAAAAAATTTGTTGACTATGACAAGCTGTTTTTTATATAGAGGTTAGCAGTGATTTGGAGGTAAAATTGACAGTAATTAAAATTTACAGTAACGTTTTTTCACATGCGATCATATATTACTACAACTTTTTATTTTTAAACTTTCTGACGTCTCCAAAACTTACTTTACATTGCAAAGGACAATGAAACTCTTTCATACGTAATAGCATTCAACATGTAAATAAGGGCATAGATGCATAAAATAATAGTGCATATCGTATACCTTATTGAAAGAACTTTATCTCAGAATTTTAAGTTGTAAAAGAAAAAAAGAAAATTTACATAAAATTACGGTAATTTTTAAAGTTCAAATTTTCTAACTTAACATGCTCCTCGTTTCGCATTAATCCCTACCTTAACGTGCTCCTCTCAATTGTCACCTCACTCATTCTTTGTCAAACTCTCCACATACCTTTTCCCCTTGACATTCGATGACCTTCCTTTCACTCTGACATACCCTTTCCTTAAAGTTCCATGACATACTCTTCTTCCAAAATACACCTTTCAATGCCCCTTGAACATGAAATTTCATGACAATTCCTTGCTTTGTAATATTCTATGACATTCACTTCTTCATGACATTTAATGACATACTCCGCTTCGAAAATACGCTTTGCTATTGCCTTATAACGTTCTATGACATCTCATTTTTCCAAAGATTCCATGACATTCCTCTCCTCGTAAGCTTCTATGACATTCCTCTCCCCCTAAGATTCCATGACGTACCCCTCGGACATGACATTTCACTTGATAGGCGTTGAACAACGCTCGTGCCGATCAAGTGTCATTTGATTAATACATTTCAAACTGTCTGCAAGAGCATGAAATTGTCAAAAGAAGATTGACTTTGTTTTTGGGGCTTCTCGAGGCCCCAAACTTTTATAAGCGGACATTCGACACCTTGAACGGAGCTCGAAGAAAGCAAAAGAAAACGGCCAAAGGGGGTTTTGCGACCGCCCCCCCCCCTTCCTCGGCCGAGACTTTAATGAGGCTTTCGGAAGGTCGTAAGAGTTTATTCCTGATCAGTAATCTGTTATAGGGCCGTTATGTTGTGAGCGATGTTACTGAATGTCGCGCTCCAGTTGGTCATCGCTACAACGACCAGCTTGAGGTTGGTATGGGCCGACTACGAGCCGGCGAGTTATGATCCCATCAATATTCCACTGGCTCCGTATAATGTTAAAGTAAGTTACAACTTGTAAATGAGAAGATCTCTCTCACAATACCCATACTGTGTGCATTAACTTAGTACTTTCTCTTTGACTATCAAAAGCCTGCTTTAGTACCTTATCGTAGCTTATGACCTTTTGCTACAAAAACAGAGTAAAAATAAAAGTAGATCTCAAAAAGACAAAGTAATAACTCTCTCACATTCAGTTATATTGCAAAAGTGGTAAAGTCGAAAGCTACCCAAACATGACTAAAATACGACCGTCAAAATGCCCTACAGCTTCAACATCCTGCGGTTACTTTGAACTAAAATATCCGACAAACAAAACGACCGGTATATTAGACTGTGTCGATTCCAGTGTATTTATTAGCGAGCAAGATGAGGAACTTGGCGGCGGGGTAAGTTTTGCTTAACTTTTTTATAACTGGCGTACACAAAAAAAATATAAACGAAAACATGACATTTCTATAGGTCAATTTAGGCGTCATTTTGAAATAATTTTTTTAAATTGTCGTTTGATTAACTTTTAAACTCAAAAAAATATTTAAAAATTTTTTCATTTTTAAAGCTACTTATCCAGTACTGATACCGCCATTTTCAGATGAATTTCAATCGCCTTTGCTCGCACAAACCAATGTGCCATTTAATACCGACTGTACACTTCAACAAACAATTTCTTCGTTATTTGGCCCGAAATCACGACGTTTTGGACATTCCATCAGTCATAAAGTTTTGTTGTTATTTGAACCACGTTCTGCTCAACAAACTCATCATATCCGGCCAGAAAACATTACGTAAGCTTGGGTTTGGCTTTACTTGTTGAATTTAACAGCTTTTGAAGTATTGAACATCAAAAATATGAGTGATTTGAGATGATAAACTGGAAGAAGTTATCTATCAAGTTGTTCAAATAATTCTGCGCCCCTTAACCACAAAAAATTACTTTTAGAGTGGACACGGAAAATTATTTGAAAAACCTAATATCTTGGCAAAAAATGTAAAAAATATCCACCAAATTATGAAAAAATTCATAAACAAGCCAGTTCTACAAATTTTTTGACCCTAGTCAACAAATTTAACTTCTTAACCACACTCACCAAAATATTATAGCTTCCGTGAACAGCACGCCAGTAAACTGTAACTCAAAAAAGTGTGACGAAGGTGCCATAGGATGCCTAACTCACACAAAAACAGTTCGAATTGATAAGGACAATCACATATACGACTATTTCGATGTAAAACCGGTAGAGATCGTGTGGGAGGAGGAGATGACAGACGACGACAATTACGAAAGCATTCCACTGATAACTTCAGAATTGCCACGACAAACCACTTATTGTGTTTATCCACATTTGAATAATGAGTTGTATAGGTAAGGCAGATGATGAATTGTGTAGGTAAGGTTAATATTTGTATAGGTAATTTGAAATTTAAACTTCAAATTGAAATAAATAAAGCTGATAAATCGGCTATTTATATTATTGTATAGCAGCTATATGAGACCTTAATTATCGCCGATGTTAACGTTCACCCTAGCGTGCTAATTCAAATTACTTTACAGAAGGAAGGCCTTATAAAATGTGATAAGACCAAACTAATAAAAAATTTTTTTCAGGTATTGTCTAATGATATATAACGAAAAATTAACTGACAATTGCTATGTTCACAACGGCCATACTGTTTGTTGTTGTTTTGTTGGACCAAGTAAGTTCTATTTTAATGTAAATCACTCTCCTAAAAAAACTATAACTTGGTACCTTTTTTCAATTTAAAAAATTTTATAAAAGTTTTTAAACCTTTTACACTGAATTTCACTTTTTTCAATTAGAATAATTGAATTACTAGCCATTTTAAAAAGATAAGCATTTAAACTTTAAGAAAATTAGCTTTAAAACGCCATTTTTAATATAAAAAGACAATTTCTCGTATTTCACCCGACTTAAATTCAGATGACACCACCTGTAAGCTAAAACACATCGAGTTTCCTCCACCAACGACCACAGAGCCTACAACAACATTAATCATTCCGACCGAATCAGCCAACGAGTCTTCAACGACTAATATTCCTTATAAAGCATCAAAAAGCTCGAGGATGACGATTTTAACTACACAAACACCTTCGTCCTATGATAATATGCCATATTCATTTAATAATAGCTCATCTGATCAGAAAAATGATTCTAAAGCTAACAATTCTTCATCCAGACAAGCTAATTTAGACAATATAAGTAAATCTACTATCAATGATTCTACTATAAGTATTGAACCTTCAAGATCATCAATTGTTCCTCAAACATCTATCAATTCATCAACTACAACAAAAAGCCAATCGACATCATCTTCACCTCTCCGAGTTGACGCCATTGAAGGAGCACTCATCCCCGAGGACAAAGCCTTATCCTCCACCAGACGTCCCATCAATAATTCCACTCGAAAACGACCGCTTTTATCGACCAGCTACAGAAAGCCACGATGTCGGAAGAAATACGTTCATGAGCCGCGGTTCAAGTCCAAAGACGATCGGTCGACTATCAAGGTAATATGGAAATGTAGCGATAACGACGAGGACGAAGCGAGCGGCACGATTGGCTACACAACACTCACGGGCATTCTACATTTCACTTCTTTATTTATCATTATTACATTGTAAGCGCAAGAACACGGTGACAATAAACAGTGTAAGCTATATGAACCATGAGTTATTTGCGAATGTTAACCATTCCATGTTACTATCGAGCAACTGGGCCTTTTGGTCGGAACATATCTACAAAATTTGTTGTTGTACAAATGGCATATGAGCCCTTGAAGCCAGTTTTGTTAAATTTTAAGTAATAAAATTGAAATTTAAGTAAAAAAATTAAAATTTTGCTAAATATTTTCATTTTTACAAAGAATATCAAAAAACACCCCTGTTATACTTTTTTTCAAAAAATCACCTCCCCCCCCCCTCCTCCCCCTCTCACAAAAATCAACCTACTTCGCTTATATCTGCTTGATGTCGGTTTTGGTGCCGGCGGTGCTGCTGGCTTAGGTTCTTCTTCCTTCTTGGCTTCCGTCTCTTCAGTTAGTGTTGGTTTAGCTTGTGAGTTAACGACATCCGAATTCGGTGTATTCGCGGCTTCTGTCGTGTCTGAGGCGTGGGATTCGGCTCGACTTGACACTGAGCCCATTGGGAGGTCTTTGCCCGCCTTCTCGTCCATATCTTTCGTTATCACTGATAGTGGGTCATTCATAATGCCCAATTCTTTCGGTTGGACCGACTCGATTTCCTTCAGAATGTCATAGTTGATTTTGTTTGAGAGTTTCTTCTCCTGAATCACTTGTAGCATGGCTTCGGTGTGATTGGACGCGTTTATGGGGGTTTTTCGGTTTATAACTTTTCGCCGTTTCTTCGGATTATCTCGTTCCTTTTCCTCCTCTTCGAGCCGCGCCAGCCGTCTAAAACAATATCGAATAAAGTCGGGAGGTATCGTTCATTTTATGATCTATCACCTCCTGTTCAAATAACCCATTATAAGGTTGTAATAAACTTTACCGACGCACTTTAATATGAAAATTTGGTCCTTTATTGACTTTTGGTTTTGATATTAAAAAAATTTAAAGTTAAATTTTAGGTAAAAAATTTTAAAAAATAGAGTTTTAAGTACCAAACTTTTAAAACTCTATCAAATTTCAAAAAATCCAACTTAAGACAAAAATAAGTTGTACAGTACCCCCAATACCTACTTCCGTTCCATATCCTGTAAATGCACTCCATTCCGCATCATCCAAACTTCACTTTTGAGTTTAGATTCCTCGTTTGACAATATATATGAGTCTATTTCATCATCATCAATACCATCTAAGCACAACTCTCCATTCTCATTATCTTTCTCTTCGTAGTACGATGTAGATGGTCCTGGCTCTGAGATGATGCCTAATGATCGTAAGGACGGTCCTTGTTGAGAGTTCTGCTCACTGAAGATTCATAAATATACGTTTTTAAAAATTTTATAATTTTATTTCAATGATAAGCTTAATAATAAAAAATTGTTATATAAATGTCATTTTTACAAGAAGTTTCTAAACAATTCAAAAATTTGTAATCGGAATGTCAATTTTAGCTATTTATACCAACAAAAAAGTTTCAAAACTTTCTGCAAGATCCCCTAATGATCTTTCAAACCTTATAATTATTAAAATTCCACATATTCCTATGCCAAACTCAATTCAAAAACTTACACATGATTACTTGTGCCATTTTCTTCTACAACTTCGTAGACTGTATCCAATAGCTCTGACTGGATCACATTAGCAGCATTTGAAAGTTCTGGCACCGACGCATCCTTGAATTGTCCTACCATAAATTTTGCATAAGGAGATCGTTTCATTTTTTGTTTTAAAGCTTCTTCCACCTCTTTCTGCATCGCATCAATCTAAAATTCATAAGATTACATGACAGTCCCTTTTTTACGAATCCTAGCTAAAACAATTTACAGGTTTAAGTACTGTTTTCATAAATATAATCTTTTTTTTCTTAATAAACCCCCTCTCTTCAATACCTACATCTTTCGAAACAAAATCAGCACGTTCTTCTTCCTCCTTTCGCTGTGCCAACTCTTTTGTCCTCATCATAGAAGCTTGGAAGGCTGGGGGATCTTCACTCTCTTCCAAATCAACAACATGAAACTCGTCAATTGTTAAATTGCCGGATGGAGTTGAAGCAAACTCATCCAATCGCTTTCGTACGACGGTCTCACTAATATTCACTACCCTTACAATGTCCGCAATGCTTCTGTTTATGTTGAAAGCACGGCAAGCTAATAGAAGAGCAGCTCCACAAATTCCAGTAGGCCGTCGACCGGTCGACATCCAATCGCGCTTCATTCGTTGCACAATACGAGTTGCTAAGGATACTACCTAAAATAACAGTCAATGGAATACGTAAAACATAATTTAAAAAATACTATTACCTAAACAAACAAAAACAACAGTCTTCATTTTTCAATAACTAAAATTTTAAAAACCTTTAAATTTAACATTGAAAAACTATTTTTTATACTATAATTACCCAGAAAGACCTTAACATCGACACTTACCTCCTTTTGTTTGTCCTTAAAGTCCAATATAATAGCAAAACGCAGCACATACAAACAGGGATCGGTTGTGGGAAGATTGATTTTTAGAGATCTTGTCAAAAAATTCAACGTCCTTCCCAAGTCAAAAACGTTTACTTGAGTAACATCAGAAAAGTCCAATAACAAATGTGAGGTATTTTCGAGACGACATGTCATATATAAACATGCCGCTACCACATGAGATCTCACTCGACCACGAGTAAAGTTGCGAGATACACACATCTTGAAAAAGTTGTACGCCGTATTGACACAGTGAGTGTTGATACGAAGCTGACTTGCAATCTAAAACAATATTTTAGTATCTGACACAATATGGCCCATGTAGACTTGTGCAAATAACAAAATATCGTGTAAAAATTCTAATATAAACTAAAAAAACATAAGGATTGTGGTAAATGATAGAACTTAATATTTAATGTAAACTTTTGCAAAGCTTGTAACCTAAAACACGAACAATAAGTAAAGAAACCTTGCCTCTTGAATTAACTTCTTTCCTTTGTAAAAAGTCACTTCCCGAGATTCTGACTTTGGAGCTCCTGGTACGCCATTAATCCCACCTCCCGAACGTTCAGCGCTAACAAATTGGCCTAAAATAACATATATCAAATCAAAATTTCTAAATAGCATTTTTTTAGACAATAAAAAACCTCTAAATATACGTCGAAAAGCAAAATAATAAGTCTTTACAAACTTTATACAAAAATTCAAAAACATACCAATAACTTCATGACCTCCACCACTAGTTTCTTGAAACTGAACATCCGAAACAATCCTCGACTCCTCCAAAACTGATCCACAGCTCATGCAAGTGGCATCCCCACGTGCTGGATCTTCATCAATCTCAGATGAACTACAGAACGGACAAGTTCTACCCATATTTGCTCCCAAAGTCTGCAACTGTACCTAATTTTATGATATTTTAGGCCTTCTTAAAACCAATGGCAATATACCACGCAAATTGAACAAATACCAAAACAAAATAACCGTAAAAATAATTGTATTTAATATAATATATGCATTATTATTAGTTGCGCTTGGTTTTGGACCAATAAAGCAATGAAACATCGTCTTTTTTCGGTAAAAAAGAAAAAAATCGAAATAGAAACACATGACAGTGGAGTCGAGTCTTCCGCTTCGGTTAAAAACGTCCAGAAATTGCGCACTTGAAGGGCGCTAGGACAAATGCGGTTTTTGGACATTTGCGGATCTGCGGTTTTTAGACACTTGCGGATCTTCGGTTTTTGGACACTTGCGGATTTTGGACATTTGCGGATTTTTTAAAGGGTTTTTTTTAGTTTAATCAGCCTAAATTATGTGAATCAGACCTAATAAAACGAAGTTTGATAAAGTCATTTATTATTCGAAGTTGCAAGTTGAAACTTGTAAATGTTAAATTATAAACTGGTATTAATTATTATGTTAATTTGATACAAAATTTGACTAGAATAATCTTTGAGATCGTTAAATATCGAGATATTGTAGTACGCATAAGCGGTTCTGTTGAGGTGAATTGATGAAGGTATTTGTTGTTCTAAAGGCTAGTAAGGTGGGATACGTCTTGAATCATGAACAGCACGGTATTGGGAGTTTTTAATCTGAAATTATTCTTAAATTAAACGAAAAACTTCTAAAATCGATTAAAAATCAATAAAAGCATTGTTAAACTTTGGCCTTCCATCGATAAATAACATAAAAACTTACTTCAATGTCTTCGATACTGTCCTCTATGTCAACACTACTTCTTTCTGGTAAGTAATGCTTCAAAGAATACAGTACCAATCCCATTAGACTTCCTACTAAAGCACCTCCAAAAAGACCAGACAGGAGTAGTGATACAGTAGTATAGCCCGGTGTTGATGCTGTAAAGTAGCCATCTTCTTGCGTTCGCTCTGCTTTCAATGCTTGCTGTTCAAGGTGATTGGGGAAAGTAGGATTGTTCAGCATATCAATAACGTCTTCTAGGTTCAAAATGTGTTCTTCTTCTGAGACGGAAGCTGTTACAAGGGCTTTCCATACAGTTACGACGTCATCTGAAGTCGAAAGGGTAATCAACATGACTTTATACATATTTTTTCATATTAAACATCAAAAAATCCATTGTTGGTTCAGAAACTTTTAAAAATAATGAAAAACCTATCGAATATAATATTTAAAAACAATAAAATCCTAACCTTTTGTTTCATTTGTAAAATGAATAACATCATAGATAAGTTCTGGCCCACCAGACAACCTAGCAATAGTCAAGTTCACATCTCTGTTAATCCAGATTTCATCGAACAAATCCCGGAGCTGACTTCTAAATGCCTTCAATGTTCCTATTTTAGTGACCACAACCGTTCCAATTCGTTTGAATCCCTGTGGTACATTGGCCAAGAAATCATTAGGATCCTGAAGACTCAAGATTCCCCAATTTGGTGACGCTTTCTCATCCAGAATCTCGCATCGTCTGCCGTACGTTCCTTTTGGACATTCACACACAATACCGTTTAGGATATCATGGCATTTACCATTGTTTTGGCATGGCACTTTTCGTTGAGAGCAGGATGGAGCCTTCTGTATTTCGCAAAATCGACCGGTAAAGCCATGTTGACAGTGGCATGTGAAGTTTCTGAAAGTTAAGATAGTATTATACATAGTAACATATGAAAAAAAGATTATTTTTATCTTATAAAAGATATAAACTTAAAATATTAGTATGATAAAAACAATGTAGACAAAGGCAAACTTACCTGTAGTCTTTAGAAGGCTCACAAATCCCTGACCCACATATCATCTTTTTAATACAAGGGTTGTAGGCAGTGTTGAAGACATTGTTACCGTAGCCAGCATCAATTAAAATTAATAATGTGGAAAGCGTTAAATAGTTCATCCTGAAATTGATTTAAAAAATTAGCTTTCTTTCATTCGCGATACTATATATATTATTAGGACATCAATGCAAAAAAACGCAACCCACATTCAAATTTAAGTATTATATTATAGTATCTTTAACTGAATTTTCAAAGTCAAGTTCTTAAAAACATTATCATGACATTAACAAAAATCAAATAAAAAACTATAAAAACCACATAAATGAACTAAGATCCCGAAAATAAACACAATAAACATAAAACACAAAAACAAGTACACAAGACGTTCCAAACGCATCACATCACACAAGCCAAGATAAGTTATTATCATTTATTTTCTCTTAGGTACTTGAGCAATAAACGGAGCTCTGAACGATCCCAAATACAGATACTTGTCGTCATCTGACACCTGAGAAACATCAGCGACGACTTTGCCTTCTGGATCATGATAAGAATTGATAATCTCTCCCTTTTGGTTCAATTCCACAACCAATCCATAATGAGCATGAATTTTGCCAAACAGAGTGACTAGAGTTCGTTCTGGCACTACACCCATTACCACACTTCTGATCCATGGATAAGGTCCAATCAAGTCGAGGAAATTGAGTTGGCCTGGCTTACGTGGATTGGCTAGGCCAACGTAGAAAGTTCCTTGTTTAGAGAGACGAATGTTGTCTGGAAGGCCTGGGAGGTTGTCAGCAAATACTTCCACTTCTCCTGCCTTTTCTCCTTTGATGTAGAGTCTGAAGAAGAAACTTATAATTTAAAACAACATTAAAGTGCCTAGCATATAATAAAATTCATACGTAGTGCCTTTCATTACACATAAATTAATATAAAAGCCAACTAAACAACTAAAAACTCATTAAAGTGGCCCTCAAACCATGTAAAACAATATAAAACACCATTAAACTCCCTACCTAAGCAACCTAGCCATTGTACATTCCGAAACAATAACAGAATCCTTGCTAGGATGTAATTGTACTCCATTTGGAAATCTGAGTCCATATACCAATACCTTGGCCTTTCCTGTAGAGACTTTTACTTCAATAATACGACCATCTGGAGCATTAGCTAGTACAACATGGAAGAACTGTCTTCTGCCATATTTAGTCGATGAGTCGGTTATAATAAGAGTGTCCTCATCTATGACATCAAGATCATTCAAGAATTTTGAAGCGTATCCACCAATAACTGTCTTTGATGAGAATATTAGCTTGGATTCACCTGAAAATTGAGTTTGAGGTAAGATACTACCTAAAAACTCAAAGAAAACCTATAAAATACAACTCCCAAAATAATATTACCTACCTTTAACAACATTGACAGTGTAAATACCATAGTAAGAGTCAGCAACGACCAGTAAGTCCTTGTTCAACCTTCTGATTCCCAACGGTCTTCCACAAACTGGCTCAGTATCATATGTTGCACATGTTGAGAGAGGATGATTCAAGTATATAATCTTCTTGATCTCACCGTTCACAATCTGTAGCACTTTCCCATCCCATGTTCCCGTATACAGTGTGTTTCCTTCAACCAAAATGCTCTCTGGACCCAAAATCTTGCCTTTCAAGATCAAATTCGCATTCTGAAGCGCTGTGTTTGGTGTTAGCGGTCCTGTAAACTCTGGAGGAGATGCAAATCTAAAAGTTTGTATATATAGAAACCACTATCCATTATTACTGTCTCATATGCAAAATTACACACACATACGACCATTACTTTATAAAAAATTCGAATAAAGAAAGATGTTAACCATGAATAACTTACTTGAAGTGATGAGCTTGAAAATCAATGTCAAAACTCAACAACAAGATAGCCGATGTAGCTACCAAACCAGCAAAGATGTAATTACTGAAACACAAATGGTTTAAAACGATATAATGAAGCCAAACAAAATTCCACTATCTTTCCCATACCTACATCAATATAACTCTTTATAAAAACTAGAAAACCCTTTTAAACTGCCGAAAACCATAATAAAATAAATTTAAACAATCATATGCAACTTTCTAGACAACAATAAGCAACAAAAATAACCATTTTCTCACAAAAATAATGTAAATCATACCAAGAACCCATCCGAACGGCTGTTTTGTAAAGAAAAGTGAAGGTCAATCTCCGTTTTCGTTCTAATCACCTTTTTAAATCGTCCTTAATATTACTGTGCTGATAAGGACTGTAAACAACGTATTTTAATCTGCCCATTATGTTCTGAGAGTTTTGAACGTGTTATACTACTCCTCAAGCTAAAATGATAAAGAAAACTTGGAAAAAACACTTCGAACTGATAAAAAAAACAATTTCTAAAGCCAAAAAATAATAAAAAAGAGTAAGAGAATCATAACGTTTAAAACGATATTACTATAGCGGAAGAAAAGTCCTAGAAACAGTTCAAAGCATTTTAGGTAGTAAAATGTACTACTATAACATAAAAAAACGTTTAAAATTTTACAAATATTACCTAGACACTTAAAACTTCAATATTCACATTATAATACCTTTATATAAACCCATAACGTGCTAAAAGGCAAAGTAAAGTTCGAAGTTCAACGAACTTTCCTTGATTACAAAAAAAGGTTATTCGGGTTTGAAAGTATAAGATGTCGTCGAGAAAAAGATATTTTCAAACTGCGCCCACGACTTTAATTTACTGATTTTCGTTCGGAAAATTGTTCTTGTTTTTTGAGGAACAACTTTTGTTTGCACAAAGTTGAAACATGGCTTTCAGCATGAAGTTTGTCCGCTTTTACAGCTCTACTAGGCAAAACTTGAAGATCAACAAGAATACCAAGGTAAAACTTTATTTTTGGCTAAAGTTTAGGCATTTTTTTCATGAAAACTTTGTGGATTTTGGTAAGCTTTAGTCGTTTGTTTATTTGTGATACTTTGAACATTTGGCTTTTAGGTAATTGTTCAAGGATTCACTGGTAAACAAGGAACTTTCCATGGCCAGCAAATGATTGACTATGGAACCAACGTGGTTGGTGGAGTTTCTCCATCTAAAGCTGGTTCAACCCACTTGGGAAAGCCTGTGTTTGGGTCTGTAAAGGTGAGTTGTTGTCTTACGTTTTATTTTTTAATGTTTAGTTAAACCGAGAGAGCTGAAGACACTGTTTAAGTTTTAAAAAATTCAAGGTAACATCAATAACCGTTGAGAAATTATGACGGAACTACGTTTTTTGATCACAGAATCGTACTGCTGAGTCGAAAAAAATTTTTGTTGAGGCTTTACATGTTATAAATGCTGTTAGTAGGCAATGTAAATAAAACGATATCAATTTAGGAAGCTCGTGAAAAGACTGGAGCTGATGCCACTGTTATCTACGTCCCAGCGCCTTTCGCTGCTGCTGCTGTTGAAGAAGCTTTGGATGCTGAAATTCCTTTGGCCGTTTGCATTACCGAAGGCATTCCACAACTGGTAAGTTTCCTTTTTTGGCTGTGTTATAGCAATTTTGTTCAAAACTCTTATTTTACAGTTTTAAATCGAAAAAAAACGCTTTTTTTACTCAAAAAGTTAGATTTTAACTAGATTAAATTTTAAAATGTTTCATATTACAATTTTTCACATGTTTTTCGTTGTGTTACTATATGTTTTTATTGTTTAGGACATGCTGAAAGTCAAGAAGCGCTTGTTGGAACAAAACCACACTCGTCTTTTGGGTCCAAACTGTCCTGGAATCATTATGCCAGAGCAATGTAAGATTGGTATCATGCCTGGACATATCCATCAAGCTGGCATGATTGGTATTGTCTCAAGATCTGGAACTTTGACTTATGAGGTAAGATTTTAACTATCTTTGGTATATTTAGATAGAATTTAATTAGCAAGTGGAAGGTTGACCTGCCTGGTATAAGTTAAAACATAGTTATGCTTCTCAGGCTTATTTTAATTATATTTGATTTACTTTTATGTTGTAGGCCGTTCACCAAACTACAACTGTAGGCCTTGGGCAAACTTTGTGCGTTGGAATCGGCGGAGATCCATTCAATGGCACTAACTTTATTGACTGTTTGGACGTAAGTTTAATTTAGTTTTACTATTAGTTAGCGTAAAAATAAAACTATGTATCTAACAATGTAAGCGCTTTATGACCTATGCTACTATAATTTGTTACTATATTATTGTTTTATTACCAAAACTTTAATTTGGGTTTTTAAGGCAACAGATTTTTATTAAGACGTGTATTTACTAGGCAGTCTATAAAATAATAATTAGTAATCCGTTTATGGATGTACGTCAATTTTACGTGGGAGCTAATTGCGTAGCCTTTTGTAATATAATTTTAAGCTGATTAACGTATTTTGAGATTTAAAGTGTAAACAAAACGATTTCTAATTGGAACGTGGGCTTGTATGGCTGCACCGTTTATTCTTATATAATAGTATTGAAACTTGAAAACAATTTTAAAAAATAGTACAAAGAATGAATTGATAAGTGTTAAAATGGATTTAATATAAATTGCATACCAAAAACCAATTTCTTAAAATCCATTTTACCTATAAAAATTTTAGATCTTCCTCCAAGACCCAGACACCAAGGGTATTATCATGATCGGCGAGATTGGAGGCCAGGACGAAGAACAAGCTGCCGAGTTCCTCAAGAAGAACAACGTAGGAAACGACGCTAAACCAGTTGTCTCCTTCATCGCTGGTATCACCGCACCTCCAGGTCGTCGTATGGGACATGCTGGAGCCATTATTGCCGGAGGCAAAGGTGGAGCTCGCGAGAAACAAGCTGCTTTAAGAGATGCCGGAGTTCATGTCGTCGATTCCCCAGCTCAGATGGGCTCTCAAATGGCATCAGCTCTTCTCGGTCTTCACCGTAAGACTTCAACGGCTTAAACTCTCAAATACTCTTGTTCGTGTAGTAGGAACAGTCAAGGAACATTAAAAAACGTTTAATTTTAGAGGTTTAAAACAAAAGGTTTCATGTGAAATAAACTTTTTGCTAATTATTATATTTTGAACGCCTGGCTTGACTTGTTCTTAGAAGTTACAATAGTTTTGAAGTCAATTACTTTACTGTACTTACGATTTACGTCATCATAAGTAAAGTAAAATTAAGATTTTCTAAAAATATCTACAGTATTTGTGATGTTTTAGGTTTTATACGCCTTTCAAAAATGCGTAACATCCGTTTTGAATATATTATGGTGTAAAAGATTGAAAAAAGTATTCTGGAACACTTCGAAACAATCACTTCCATCTTTGATATTGTTGTAGAAAGGGGTACTTCCTTCCGAATTGCGTAGTCTAATGTTGAATCTTGTGTAGACACTTTAGAATTGCTGCCATATTTAGATATTACCTACGTTACCGCTTTGTTTAACGTGTCATAGACAAAAAATGTAAAGAACTGTTTATGAAATACGATTGTAAAGTATTTTAGATGTCATGCAAATGCAAAATAGCATTTAGAAATACAAAGAAAAGCAGCGTACAAAGGGTGATATTATTTATGGGTATAATAACAAAGCATGGCATTGATAACTATTTATTATGTAGGATGATATAGTTATTATAGTATGTATTCAATAAAGTATAATAAAATAAAAAAAGTATGTTTTGTAGATTGTATTTGTTAGTTGTGAGGCTACCATTCTAACAAACAAAGAACACAACATAAATTAACACGAAATAATAGTTAATATATTTTCACATTCTAAATATATAGTACTATTTACGAGAGATGACGTTGTTAACAAAGGTTCCATAAGGTGTTCTAGACTCAGCAATGCTACTTAGACGATAAAGTTATGGTGAAAAATATTTTCCTTCATTTGGGTTTTTGGTAACGTAACTTTTGAGAAATTTTGAAAAAATAATATTATATTATTATGATACAGTTAATTCAGTTACATGTTATAAATCCATGCTAAAATTTACCTATTTATATGAAGTTTAAATTTTTGAACGTGTGAACTTCTAAAATTTACAATTCGTGGCTTTTCACGGTACTTTATCGCTTGAAAGCACTTTATATGACACACGTATAACGTTATTGAACGTAAAATACTAGAGAATTAGAATCTGAAGCGTAATGGGAAACTGTTGCATTAGACTTCTAGGGCTAAAGGTTACAGTTATATGGTTTTAAAAAGGCATTACTATTTAGAAATTAGGCTGGGCAGAAGTCTGGACTACCTAGAACTGGAGTAAAAGTGATAAATCTTGTACTAATGAGGGTTCCTAAATTTAAAATTTTTTGTTTTGACTCTTTGGCTCTAACCAGTACCAAAGTTTATGCTCTGGTTTTGGCTCGAGCTTCAAAGCCGAAGAGGATTCCTCTGGTGCTAAAACGTAAAAAACAAATTTTTTACTATGCATAACATTGGTTAGTAGGGAAATTCAAAAGTAATTATAATTATTAAACTAGGGGAAGAATGATACTGAGTGTTCTAGTACTTTGAAACTTAATATTTCATTATTTTTTTAGTTCGGTGCCAAACTATGGTAATTCGAGCTTAAGTGCTCAATCTTGACTACCTTATTGCTATCATCAGGTAGTCTAAGCTTTGCCGGTATGGTTATTTTACGATATTTTCTAATCAGTATAAAATTTAAACCAGTATTACCAAAATACCACGTTAAAACCAACAACGTACTGTATAACATGGCCTATTTAAAATAATCTTGTACTGTAAAATGAACTATTTTTAATGAACGACGCCAAACGTGCAAATCGATTAATGAAAGCTTTAATAATTCGAACCAAAATTCCTATTAGTGCGCGAAAATGTGAGGTAACACAACTGATTTACTACGAGTATGTACAATCAACGCAAAAGAAAGTATTTTATATAATAAGCGAGTTAGTCGAGCAAACTCCTCAACGCGAACTTGTACGTATTCAGCTTCTTCTGTTTCGGCTGCGTGAACAACGACTTGTAGATGCGGCTGAGTTGAATCGAATCGGGATTCTGGGCGAACGGTACTCGGACGACGAGGCGTCGTTTCGCTGGCGCAGGTCGCACCTCTTCCGTCCATGCTGCGGCGGGCGATTCTGCATAATTGGTACTGAAAAAAAAGTGGTTTTAGGAATTGGTATATCAAAAAAATTAATAAAATTTAATTTCTTAAAATTCTATTTTTCATTAATTACTGTACCGTGCAAGCAACATTTTATTGCACCGTGCAAAATTTTAAAAATTAAAAAAAGATTTTTTTCCAAAAATTTTTGAGACTTATAACCAATTTTAAAACATAGCTAAAAATGTCGTTTAAATGCCCGAAAAAACTTTTGTCTCATTTTTGCTAAAAAAACAAGCTAGTTCAAAAATTTTTGTTTGGCTGCACGGTGCAATCATAATTTCGTTGCGAATTTAAAACAACGGTTTAACTCAGAAATAAATATTTTTGAAAAATCAAAATTGACAAAAATATTTTAGAAAGTAATTTTAAAATGTGATTATTAAAAAAATTTTTTATTATACTTTAAAAAAGTTTGCCTATCTCTATAAAAAATTAACATACAAAACTAATAACCTATTACAGATCATAAATGTTGCCAAATCCTATAATGACTTCTAAAAATACGGTCGTTAGGGGGGGAGGGCGACGTCAGCGTTTGATATCAGAGTTGTTTTTTAGTTAAACTGTTTAAAAATAAAAAGATTTCATAGACGAAAGACTACTTCTTATTTCCGATATTCAAATACGAATTTCACAAGTTTGGTCTGGATTACAAAAATAAGATTTATAGTTTGTGGTACTTCTAGAAATTTGAATACGGAAAAACATTATGTCACTTCTCATATTTACATCTGGTTTATAGTTTTTTGATTTTGTATTTTTGTTGAAACTTGGTTAAAGTAGTACTTTCAAAACAAAAAAATGCTTTAGAAATAAAATTAAAAATTTTGATAATGCACTACAGTGGAACTATAACGAAACGCTCCGTTAAACAGAGTTTTTGTTATAGAAGAGTTCGTTGTATTATACAAGAGTTCCACAATATTTCAAAGTTTTGAAATTTTGAAAATTTAATATTTTTAAATTTTTCGCCTAGTTTTAAAGTGTATTTCTATTAAAATGAGAAACTTTGCTCTAAAAACCAATTTCAACCCTCCCAATTAAAAAAATTGACAAAAAATCCCCAAACTTACTTAAAAGGTACACTGGCAATAATAGCAATCAACAAATTCAGCACGACACACAACGTTAGCATTTTGAGATTTGCCATTATTATTAGTGTGTGTAGGTGTGACGAAATATTTGGAAGCCCTCTCCTCCCGATCCGTCGGCTCTTGGCAACCTAAATTAACATATACAGTAAATAAAACAACTGTTGCTCCGAACAATGTATTCGTCTGGAGCTGTAAATGGCTAGGCTAACGCGAAAAAAATAAAAATTTTTAAAAATTGAAGGTATGGATAAGTACAGTAATAGTAAAGCTAGAATTGGCTATGGCAGAGGTTTTAGTTTGTTCAACTAATTCTGAGCCTTCTAAAGGTAAACTACATCCACTGATAATATAAACCCATCTCCAATGTAAACCCACTTCATCAAAAACACGTTATTATATAGCCATTTTAAAGACATTGTCATGACATTAACTCAATTAAATATGTGGGACAAGGAAGCACAAAAGTCAACTTAAATACTATAATATAATAATCTCACGTACAATAATATAACCATAGTAATCACACAAAAACTGTCATCTAAGTATAGTAATCTTGTCTATGTGAATTGACGTAAAAAACTGCTTTTGTGGAAGTATATGTCAACGTTCAATTAACGAAAACGTAAAAGCAAAAAGTTTTTTGTAGCAAAATAAATTTGGAAGTAAAGGTACTGTAACATTATTAAAAAATTTTTTTAAAATTGTTTTACAGTAGGGCTACAAGCTTCAAACTCTTCTAGTATAATTTTTTCTACAGTACTCATTACTGTAGTATACTAAATATTATACAAAGCCACAGAGTCTGAACGTTGAGAAACCGAGACCGTGAGCATTAAACTTGTTGTTGTATATAACACCAGCTATTAATCTGAAACCAAATGTCAAATGTAATCCACTGTAAATAGTTTTTTGTAGTGTAGACACAAGCATGCACAATTTATAATTACCATAAGTCTTTTGTACTATGTTGGATACTGAGTAACAACGAGATGTTGGCTAATAAATAATATAATGTATATTACTGTACTTGAATGTCTACGGTTATAACCCAACCGTAGACATAAGTACCGTTATATAACAAAAAACTAACATAGACTGTGCTGCAAGACTAAGTGGTCTTTTGCTACGCACCTTTGAAATATAAAATTAGGTAAAATATACTACAGAACGTTACCTTAAAACAAACAAAATTTTTGTATTTTACTTTGCAGTAACTCTTTTTTTGCATGATATTATAATGAAGCTAGCCTTACGGTCGTAATAGACTCTTTATGACATAAATCAATATAATTTTTTTTATAAATATGATAGTAAACTAATTTGAGCTCTAATACGTCAACCCTGCTCTATCCTTACTCTAACGCTCACTCTTGCCTAGTCCTAACTAAGACCTAGCCTTAGCTCTAACCTAGCTTTGTCCTAGCCCTAATTTAGCTTTTTTACGTCTTATTTTAATCCTTGCTCACTACCCGAGCTCTGCCTTAGTTCTAACTTAATCTTACAAAATTGTTAGTCTATGCCTATCCTAGTCTTACCTTAAACTTATAGTATTTCTGTTGTAACAAAACACCCTGCAAAATACTATAATTGATTTTTGGCAATCGACTCCAAAAATAGAGTTTGAGGACAAACATGAGTATTTATAAGAACGAGACAGTTCACAGGAATGAAAATATAATATTACCGTTCCCATAACAGTATACACAGTTTAGGTTCTTTTATATCAAAATAGTTAACTATGCATTGCAAAAACAGATAAACATATTATATAAATATATGGCAAACAAAGATTCTATGGCAGTCTAAATATTTAAAAACAATCAGGTATCAGAATGTACTATACCTAAAATTTAAATACTAAATTTTAATTTTAGGTACCAATCATGTTAAACTTTTAGTACCAACATATGTGTCATGATTTATGAGCTGCCGATAGTATACCAAAAGCCTCCTAATTACAGTATATTTTCAAAAAAAAGCATTTTTAGAAAAACTACTGCATGTTTTAGAAAACACGGTTGACTTTGAAGCGATCGTATGTTTCGAATTAATATTTATACCAACTCTGTAACAAACTAGTATAAAGGTCATGCGTTAGCATAACTAACTAACTATGAAATATAAATAAATATGTTTGCTAGTGTAAATAGCTTCCTACTATAATATTTAGCATTTCCTGTAGCTCTATTGAAACCATGTTTGAAATAGTTTAGAAATAATTATGCATAAGTAATGTAAAAACATTTTTATCGTCCAAATTTAGAGTTTAAGAAACATAAGCTGTGTTATAAGGTCAGAGATTGGCAGTAAAATTTGACCCTAGCTTTAGCTTTGAACCAAAACTTATACCTGGACCTGAATTTAGCTACAACCTTACCCTAGACTCGAATTAGATATAACCCTTCTTAGTGTTGTCTTACTCTACCCGCAAACATTTTGATTTTAAAACAGTTAAAGCGAACGTTTTAAAGGACAACATCTTACTCTAATCTTGCTCTAAGATAAATAGTACGTGTGAAGTGTCAGCAAAATCGTATCTTCAGTTAAAGCATCGCTTCCCGCTCAGTGATGTTTGATTACTAGGACAAACAAGTTGTTGCCATTACTTGGAAATATAAGCTTGAAATATGTTTAAAGAGTAACAGTTTAAGCCGTAATCAAACTAAGTAAAGTACGATCGAAATAAGTTTTTTGTTACAGTAAATTCATAAATATGAAGAAAAAACTTACAGTCAGTTCAAAAAAATTAAATTTTAAAATCGATTTCAAAAATAAAATTTTAGTGGCAACATTATTGTGACATTTCAAGAAGAGTTAAAAATAAATAATTAAGTATTTACAGAGTAAAAGGAAATTAAATTGTACGACTATACGAAAGATACGATTACAAGGTTTACATCCGAAAATAATTTAATTGTAAGATTATTATCGCTGCTTTACTACACCGTAATTAAATTTCTATTGCTTTAAAACTTCAAAACATTAAAGTAATCACTTCTACTATAATAGTATTTTCCCAATACCTACAGTAAACTACTGTAAAAATACCTAGATTAGTAACTTTACCTAGTATTTCAATAACACTTACAGTAATAAACAGAGAAATTATATATGCTGTATACAGTAATAATACCTATACACTAGACAATACAGTTTTTTCTAAAGCATTTACTATAACAATGCTTACAAATAAAAAAAAACTATTACATACACATTTACACTGTAAACGTTTATTTTAAGGGCATGACAATTAAAGAAAATCTTGAGATTTACGTTAATAATTAAGTAAAACTTGCGTAGTCAAATACCCACGTAATGCGAATAATAAGATAGTCGTATTACACTTACTTTTAAATTTATAAAGTAAAGTAAAAACAAAAGTAATTGTAAAAAAATATGTGATCAAACTTTAGTTTATATACATTTCATTTACTACAGTAAAGATTGATTTACTACTCAAAGTCAGCAAAAACTACAGTAAAAATATTCTTATCTCTTTACATTTTTCGTTTATAAACCTTTCACCTAATCCAATATTGATACCCCTTCTAATACACAATAAAATTACCTCACCTCTATAACAAAAGCCATCTATCCAATAATGCTAACACCCTCTGATACACAAAATACTCATCCCATCTACTGTAAGAAAACTATAACCACTCTCTAATATACGATAATCTTGTTGAACACAAAACTTCAAACAAAGACGGCTAATCTGAACATGTGTTGTCACAATAACATGCATGAAAGAAAGTCATTTTAGGTATAATCCCTGCCGGGTTTCGAGGGTGGGGTTTAAGACGGGATTTGAAGAGGAAATGGCAATTGAAAACATAATATTTGTATTAGTCATATCTTTGGTAGTATAAACAGGAAATTGAAATATCATACTATTTAGTAAAATACAAAGAGTTTGGTGGGTTCAGTGACAACCTTAAAAAATACTTTTATCTATAGTATAGCCTACTAAATATACTTTTATATATACCTTTATATATACTAAAAACGTCTTTTTTAAACTTTACAGTACCAAAAAAAGACCTAATAATCACACAATAACCTCTAAAAATATAATACTATTGTAGGTATATTAAAAATGTCATTATAAAACTCTAAAAATATAATAATAGGTTTCACTATAAAAGCGTGGTATCTATCCGCTCTTATATATCATTATATTATTTTAACTTTACTTGCACTTATCATCTAAATTTGCTTAAAAAACATAAATTTAAATATTTTTAAATAAAATATTAGCCTTTCGAGAAATATAAGCGTATATAAGCGTCATCAAAATACTCAAGAATTTACTATAAGCTTTTGTTTTTTTAAAAAGCAAAAAACTGAAAATAAGTTTGAACTTGATTTACTATGTAAAATTTAGATAACTGTTAATAAAATATGTTTTTTTGCAAAAAAGTACAGTTATTTCTGCACGTTGCAGATTGCCCAAACTTATTCTATTTTTTAAAAAATTTCATGAACGATCGTACAACGTCGTATTTTACACATTGAAAAGTCTAAACATTTATACTTATTACAAGTTTGTGTCGTATAACGATTATAAAAAACTAGGAAATACTATAGTATAGTTTGGTGCCAATCTACCGTATAGAACCTAAAATATAATAAAGGTCAATAATTTTGGCAAGCAGTGTAAGTTAGTTTTTAAAAAAATACTGACATAACAAATGAATCCACTCTTTTACAGTTTAATAAACTCTGACTCTGTTGGTTTGAAGCTACTATTATACTTGACTTACCATCAGATATTTTATGCATCCTTTGGCATGCAAATGAACTTAATCCTATTATCGGTAGACTTGGAATTTAATTTAAAAGTGTAAGTAAGCAAATACGTCATTTTTACAGTTTTAAACACAGTTTTGAAGTACCACAGAAACAATATTTTAACAATAATTTAAACTGTTAAAAGTCAGTTTTAAAATTATGTAAAAGGTCAATTTAAGCTGTTTCGTATTCTAAACCTAAAACTAACAAAAATAGCTATACAGTAAACTCTTATATCTAGTCCATTTCCTTTAAAAAATATTACTATATATTGTCAATGATACAATGTGTTTAGACAAAAATACTCTAAAATTCAGTAGGATAAGAAATGGCTATTGTATAAGTCATTATTTTGTGAAAAGACTAGACAACATTACAAGATACTACTGAACTATTGTGTTTATTGCTAGTGAAATCTTTAACTATTCTTTGCTGCAAATGCACAAAATAGCGCAGTCTAATAATACATCACGTGATCATAATTTTACTTTGGTCTAGTCCACCAACTTCTTTATCTTAGCTTTCTCCTAGCCCTTCTTTTGCCAACATGTAATCACAACTTAAGGTTACAGTAGGCTATATTAATACTACAGTAATTTTTTATAAATGTAAAGTACATAATACTTTTAAACCCCTTCTATCACTATCAACTACAGTACCCCCACAAAAATCTTAAAACTACCCTCATAACAATACAATCCCACCCATATATTACTGTCACTCCCCGTGTATACATATGTGCGATTAACAAACAATGTCCACAAACTGGTCCACCCTCACTTGTGCGACATTTCCGTTCAAACCGTGCAGGAAGTGCGCTTGGACTGAGTGTAACGTGCATGATGCTGGATGATGTGTGACAAAGATTTAATGAGCGGCCGAGAGATGTGTGACCCCGTTTAATCAGGCAGCGGCCGGAAAACAATCTCAAGTCGCGGAATTCCCTCGACACAATGACGTTGAAGCGTGTTGCATCGAAATTAAGACTGAGGATGAGGGAGGACGGTTAGCGGTGGATATACTTTATTGGGTTTGTGCTTTTTTGGGTTTAAGTACTATCAAAGCGCAAAGAGGAAAAACATAAGGGTGGGGGACCCGTTCACAAAAAAAATTTTTTTCAAAAAAAAGTTTATGTGGACCCCCCCCTGTTGATTCTTTGAACGTAGTATCCCCTGTAGCTGCAGCAAAGTCTGCTTTAAACCTATTATAAGCCCCGTATAGGTCAAAACACAAGTTCCGATGCCTTGCCGAAACGTTAAGCGACGACTAACAAACCCCATAATTTTTAAAAAAATTTTAAAAATAGTTTTTCTAAAAAATTCGGAAAAAACTCATAAGATATCTTATCTATACTCTCTGAAATCGCCTTAATTTATTGTTAAAATAGATGGCAACTATTTTGAGCATCTCCTAAATCACGTCACTCAGACTCAAGTTTTTTTAAAGAGCTAAAGACTAGCCTTTTAACTGCGTCAGGCCATGTTTTGCTGTAGTAAACAATGGCTTTAACAAAAGGTTTTAAAAATAACTTACAATATTATTCAAAACAATGTGTTTTGGCATCTGGAAAAAATTAAAACGTATCTGATAGACTTATTGGTGCTTTTGATATGTAATATATTTTTGTAGGTATGACATTATACTTAATCAAATGTACGATTTGCAGTAAATGTAACACAATAAAGACGGATCTAAAATTTAAAAAACACAATATTAAATTTACAGTACATAATACAACATTATCTTACAGTTGATTACAAGGTATTATAGTTACAGTAACATAATACATACTAACAGGTATAAAAAATTAATTTAGTGTAAGCCATACCACGTAGTAAAAATAATACAAAACAAAGTGTCAATGTATAATGACCACCTTTACTTAACTACTTTTAACCTAACAGGTACAAATTAATGCCTTATTGTATAGTATTTGAACTCTGTAATTTAAACCACCTTATACCTTTATATAGACTTTACAAAATTGAAAAAAAACAATGAAAGTTTTCCCCAAAGTACAGTTTTTAAACCTACAAGCAGAATTTGTGCATCAAACAAACTAGAATTCTATTCTATTCAAGCCTGTAAAAGTAAAAGTTCTTAAGACAAATGTTACCAATTTACAAGTAGTAAGACAAACTGTTAGTAAACTGTGTACATTATAGAGTTCTAATACAAAAAGGCAATCATAAAGCTGTCAATATAGAGAAAATGTCATACTATTAATGTTCATACTAAGGAGGTTTTACTGTAGTTACAGGCATATAAAGTATACTTTATGTTTCCTGCTTATATTTAGATTATAACATAATTAGAAATGTAACTATGTTTTTGACCCAAGCTTAAGACTAAAATAAAATCAAAAAAAATCACTTCCAACCCCACCAAAAAAATTAAAAACTGAATTACTTCTACTTTTATTTTAAAATTTTATTTGACCCCTCCTCCCCCCCTCCACCTGTTAAACGTTTTCATAATGACCGGAAGCTCCACCTTATAAACGTAGTTGTGACATAAAATTAATGTGTCACTTCTTGATTATTTCTAACTATGGTAAGCTAAAAACATTGTCAAGAGTTGAAAAACAATAGTAATAAACAAGCATGAACACATGGCCAGAAAGTCATTTTATTTAAAACAAACTCAACTCTATTAAAAGGTAATAACTGGTAATCGAATTAATTAGTTGTTGATATCAACAAAACGTCACTTTGCGTATTATTCGGTCTAAAACTTTTTAGTCTTTGCACTCATTTTTTATGGGTTTGGTGGAGACAAAACAAGAAGTATTACCTAAAATTTTGTATACATATATTTTCTAAACGTTAAAAATGATTTTTTTAATTTTCAAAAAGTTTAAAAAAAATTATTTTAGGATTTCTTAAGCTAGCGCATGGTAGAGGGAAGGGTAAGGCTCCCCTACGGTAAGCCAAATATCCTTTTTTTAAATTTTAAAATTCAAAAATTTTTAAAATGGGCCAGGCCAGCCTGAGAAAAAAAACGGGCCGGGCCTAGACTTTTGGCCATAAACCTGGGCCGGGCCTCAAAAGTGGACCCGACTCGACCCGTTTCTCTCCTCTACCTCTACCCTTATGTCTAGACCATTCACTCAGCCCTAATAAAAACATAAAGAAGCCAAGCCAGGTTCTAAAAACTAAATCTTTCACTTGCCCTTCTTTTTTAAAGCAAATCGCCGACTGTTCCACCCTCTATAAGCCCTTTAGACTGCAAGGCCCAAGAACAATGAACTAAAAAAACTACCTTCATCTATACGGTTACTCAGAATCAGACCAATGTATTTAGCAGAATGAGTGGTCTCTTGTATTATAGGTTTTGAATAATTTTAAATTTTAAGCCATTAAGGGCAATAAGTTTAATTAGAAATGTGTCTGCATTCTCTTTGAAATCCTACCTAAAATGTTATTTCCTTTTTGATAGGAAAAAACATGTCATGGTGAATATATTCGGCATTCTTTTGTCTACAAGTTTGCAAGAACATCTATTATTATAATATAAATTTGTTATTGCAACGTTTTTTATAATGATTGTCATTGAAAGAAAGGTATTTTTATAACTTTAAATTTGCAAAAAAAATATTTTTTAAAAGGCTTATAACAACGTAGTTATATGCCGGTAATGCTACAAAATAGCTGATCATATGTCTGTTTTAATACAAAAAAAAACTCTAGAACACCAAGTGGATAACTAAGCTTTGAAAAAACTTTTTATAACTCAAAACTTTGAAATTTTCGAAAAATCCAAAAATTTTAAAATTAGAATTTTTTTAATTTCGAAAATTTGTTTTTGCAACACTTTTTTGAAACTCAAGTGCGTTTTCTAAATTAAAAGCCCTGTAAACAACAAAACATAGCCAATTATGTTTTTTTTTCGAAATCGATTCACTCTCGAGCCGCTGGCTTATCTCGGCTTTGATTTTCGGAAATATGGGCTTGTGATTGCGCAAAATGAAAAACGTGAACAAAGCTCACACAAAACTTGAACGATCGCTCAAATGAAGCGTGCCTTACTACTGGTTTTGTTCTTGGCTACGTTTACAGATGGCTTTTTGACGATTCTACAGCGTCGTGCTGCTGATAATGTTAGTTCTGAAGAAGAGAATGAAAGTGAAACGGTAAGAATAACTTATTTTCTTATGAAACTTATTATATTATACGAAATTGTTATTTTCTAAGCTGTTGTTATAAAAAAATGCTTTTTAAGTTTCAAAATTAAAAAATTGAAATTCATGTTAAGGTAGCCCCAGAAGACCAGGATGAAGACGGCTACCCCACTCCAAGACCTCACAGTGCTGGATTAGAAATCCTCAAGCCACAGAAGGTAGTCAGAGACTTAAGTCACTCAGACTATGCTGGAATGCTTCATCGTGATAGTCAAGACATAGCTGATATGTTAGAGAAACATAATGTCTATGTCAATAAAGGATCATCAGAAGTCCCCAGATTCAGCTACGCCGACAGCTCGCGATGGATTTTGTCAAACAACAGTCCAAAGACTAGCCAGCCGGTTTCAAGCCTTTCTGGTCAGACGACTAATGACCCTTTTAGCCAGGTGTCTAGTTTAAAAAGTGTGCCAGCTTCTGAAGACCTCAGTGGACCGATTTTCAGTCCATCGAGCGAGTCAGGACTAAACGGTGAACCTAAAACCTTATTGTTTGGCCTTTCTAGTCGGTCAAACCAAAAAAGTGAAACATTGGGTCAAAGTAGTCTCTTCACGTCACCCACCTATCAGGAAAGTAAACCATTTGGTATACCTGAAGCCGCGTCAGGCGAAGAAGACTATTCCAACCAAAAAACGCTAGAAGAACGCTACATGGAAGCCAACATTCCATTAAAGTATGGTCAACAAGAATCAACCCTAGATGATCTACTAGGCCATAAAGATAGCCAAGTCAATTCATACGATAGCAAGCTCTCTTCATACAACGGTAAAATCAGTTCATACGACAAAAACAGTCCACTTACCAGTTTTAACAGCAGAAAACAGTATTTAGAAGACAATGCTGAGCTACAAAACCAAGGTTCTGAAAATGACTTTGGATCAGCAAAATTGTATTCAGAAGATGTGAGATCACCCTACTCTAATGACAATACTGGATTAGAAGACACTGAAACTAAAAAGTTCTTAGATTCAGATGAGCTTCTGAGCCGAGCCGGTCTTAATTCAGATTCTTTGAAGTTTGTGCGTGATTCAGAAGGCAAAACATTGTTAACATCAGCACAAATCGATGCCAAATTAGATGAACTCTTAAAAGAAAACGATGGAGATCTTCTCAAAGTTGATTCAGATGAAGACGATGACAAAACACTAACTTATGAAAAAGATGACGTTTCCTTGGAATCTGAAAATGATGATGATACAGAGGTAGATACTAAAGAAGAAGATGACAGTGAAGAATCAGATGAAGAATTGCTCGACTCTTCAGAAAAACGACTTCCAGTTGAAAGTGAGAAGACTCCAGATGAAATTCAACGATTCTTGGATGAAATCGACGCTCGTTACGGTAAAAGTCGTCAAGGTTCTGAATCCAATGTGAAAGAAGAATACCGTCATCCTTACTTGACTTCTTATATTGTTAACGATAAGGCCAAGTCAGGTGAAGCTTTATTTAAGTCAGACAGAAAGAGAAGACAAGCCCAAGCACCTACACTACAAAATGGAGCTTCTGGTACTCCGATTGGTACAATTGGAAATGGAAAAGTTCTTAGTAACTCCAGGTTTCAACCGCCTGGTTTGTCAAGTGATCAAGGGCTGAGTGGTCAACTAAATAGTCAGTTAACTGGTCAAGGACTAAGTGGCAATAGTCAATTAAGCAGCTTAGGCTCTTCACCTAATGGTCAAGTCTCAGATCTGAAACAGACATCAGGTGGAATGTCTTATAACCTTAATTTCGAACCGGCTAAATCATCAAAACCAAAGATCAGCAAACGCAATGTCCGCTTCAATTTTAATCCGGCTAGCAGCGAAAGCACAGAAACAGACAGTGACGAACTTCCGATTACTGTAACCAGGGTGAAGAGCTCAAATCATGACCGACTGTCTGAGATCTTTGACAAAATTGCAAGTCAAAGTAGGATATCATTGAGAGAGGAAGAGCCAATTGTACCAGTGTTTTCTAATGTCAACAGATTCCCTGCGTGAGTTTGAAAATAGTAATGTAGATATACTGTAATCTGGAACTTAAAATATAAAATACAAAAAGTAAAACCATTTTTAAAGTGTGTATATCAAGATATCAAAAAACCTTAAGAACAAATTATAATAACCTTATGACTTTAGCTGTAGTAAATATAAAATTGAAAATGCCAAAGTAAGACATAATTTAAAAACATTCTTTTTTTACTAGTATATTCTAAAAAAATGTCTTTACTACATAAAACAATGCACGTCAAAAGAAAATAAAGCAAAAAACTTGAAACTGTATTTGACATTCCGCAACCAATACATCGAGAACGAAAACTCGGCCATTTAGCTTTTAAAAAACTTAAAAAAAGTTTTTAAGACCAACTTTATGGTGTTATTTAACAATTTTTACAAAAAAAAATTTAAATTGTTAGATTATACTTAATATAACAGGTTTAAACTTATCACTATTTCCAAAAAAAACCCCAAAATCTCGGCGAAAAAAAAAATGTCTAACCGCTCTCTTTGCGACCACGTGGGTGGTCTCTTCGTTTTTCACTCTCTCGTTTCCTTTTTTGTCTATTCGCTCTCACGAAAAGCAAGCGCTTTTCTATTTTATGAGTATGGAGGACGAAATGCCACACGCGTTTTCGGTTCTATATTTTGACGTGCAATGTAACATAATCTCAAAAGTAAGATTACATACCTGATGTTACCATCATCAGATTTTTTACAAACATTTTAAGACCTAGCGTCATTTAATGCGCTAACAAGAATAAGGCGATTAGAATTGTAAAAGTGCTGTAGTCGAAAAGTAAAAGGATAAAACATTGCAAAGATACTATTACAAAACTATGTCATATAAGACAATATTACTAGTAAAACAATCAAAGTTAAGGTACTAGAGGAGTTTATTATACAGGAGGAGTTCCACTTTATTTACAGCAAGAGCTCCGAGATTACTGGGACTAATTTAGCTTAACAACATTTAAATAAAGATGTATTAGCTTGCTGTACCACAAATCTGAAGAATTGCAATTATTAACCTTCAATGAAGTATTACAGTGATTAACTCGCAAGTACGTACAATTTGCTGCAGTACAAACTTGCTATAGTATTTTTAAGCGTAGTAACACTTTTGAGCACTAGTATTAAGAAGTTAAAATTAGAAGATTTACTTTTTGGCTTGTTGTAATAAGTTGCAATAATAAAGTAAAAGATTTACTTCTTGACTTTTAGCAGTAGAAGATTTAGAACTTGCAGTATCTTGCAAAGTAATACTTTTTGCAACACTTAGGCATGCGTAATAGTGGTCTAGACTTGACACTCACAAAACTGTCAATAAATACTGACAAGAGAAGGAGGAAAAGCTCAATAAGCATTTTTGTCTAAGAAAATTTTGAAAATTTAAAACAATAAAATGAAAAATTTTTAAAAATTGTTCTGAATTCAAAAAAAATTTTAAATAACTAAAAATTAAAAAAATTATTTTCACTTTCAACTAAAATTGAAAAAACCAGAAACTTTCTTTTACTAAACTTTTAGTTTCAGACCCCTCCCCGTAGCTCCAGAAGCCGACGACCAGCCCTCACAACCAGAACCTTTACAAACTGGCCCTTCATCATCTGAATCCTCAGAAGCTGAACCCCCAACCATTGAAATCTCGCGTTTGGAAAAAGGGTTCGGCTTCTCAATTCAGTTCAGCCCCCTAACCCTCGGTATCATACTGTCATTCATACTATTAAGCATGATAATCCGTCTGGTATTCAAATTGAAGAAGGACGACTACGCCCATCACAAATTTGACAACAATAAAGTGACAAAAGCTTAAGCGACTGCAATCTTGTTTACCAAATAAATTAATATAAATAGTAGTGGATATAATACCTAAAGTACTGTAAAGTGTAAGCAGATTGATTTCGATAATCGTGGCAAATATGGAAATTTTTAATTTTTAGCAGTAAAAGTAATGTTAAAATGTGGAAAGGTCATAGTAGGAGTCAGACAATGAACATACGTGATACAATGTAGCAATAATAATATACGGGATAAAATGTAAAAATACTACAGTAACCTTAACTAAAAAGTTACAAAAAATGTTACAAATAAATTTTTTCCTAAAATTTTGACTATTGACAGCATTTATACTATTTTTCTAAATTAACATAGACATATTAATATAACTTTTTAAAACTTGAAGCTATCTGACCACAAAAAAAACTAAAAATTAAAAAAGGCAATAAAAACTTGAAAAAGTTACAACACATTTTAATTTACGTAGTTCCTTCTCAAAGACCACGCTTTACATTGAACATGTCAACCCACACACGACATAACAAACTAATTTTGAACATACGAAGTCGACCGGTTTGTAAAAATAAGCCTTGTGGTATTTTTGGCCACATAAGTGCACATGTTATCCTTAATTAAATTCGTTTTGTCCGTACGGTAACCAATGATGCGTCATGAGGAAGGAACTAACTATAGCATCACTATGTTATTTAAAAAAACTTTTTAAATATCGTTTAATAAACATAAAAGACGAGCTTAATAATTACAAAAAGTTGTTACACTAAGTAAAATAGTTTCAATTTATAAATAAATACAGTGCAACTTCTGACAATTCGTCGTTACAGACAGAAGCGCAACATCACTTTACTGAAAAATCATAGTTAATTGCTCTAAATTATCAAATTTCATGTTGTAATTAAATTCCAGCACCTTTCTAAGCTTATAAAACACTGACATTCCGGGTGGAATGTCGCGGCATTCCCAGCATTGGTAAGCGTTAAAAACATTTATTAAATGGAGTTACTGTATAATTAAAGTTAGTTAAGGTGACTTTTCACCCTAGAAGCGCCTTGGCTGCTGGCCCTGACTCATCGCGCCTAAATCGGGATCAGGAATTGGCTCTCGGAGAAGACCATGCGCGATCAAGAGCGTAGCAGACCGAAGGCAGTGATTATTACTCATTACCTATCACTTTCAGAGTCAAGGACCGCCTCCAGGCCATGGTATATAAGCTGATCGCTTCGACACATCCAGGACGTCCCCAGTTTGATCGAACCCCTTCCCTCCGATCCGGATCCCTCTTTTACATCAGCGCCGATTTCAGTATTGTTTTGGTTGTATATTTCGCTCGTATATAAATCATCGTGTTTATATTAGGTATTTATTCTAGAAACCCCAGATGACTTCCCCCATTGCCCCCGTATCTTTACTAGGATACAAGATCCAGTAAAACCGACCCCTGATAGCTAATTGGTAGTCAGCGAGTGGTTTTTCGTGTTCTCTTTCGTGTTATAGTACTGCTATAAAGTTTGGTTTCTAGTGGCTCGCTTTTTGGTTATTACAGTGCACTGTTCATAGATATTACTACAGATTTTTGTTCTACGCGTAAAAGTTTTTCTCCTTGTACAAGATTATTAGGTTTGGTTATTGCTACGTGAAATTTTATTCTCCGATAAGCCGTGATATACTCCCGTCTCCAGAAGCTACAGTATTTGATTATCACGCTAACTAGATATTATTAAGATCGATTTTTGAAGTTATTTTATTAATTTAATTCTAATTATTTCAGTTTTCGCACCTCTCAAAGCCTCCTAAACATGGCTAACGCTCCCGAAATCCTCACCAACGACGACAGTTTGAAGAAACTGTTCCCGCCCAGCCTCAATGCCAGCCTAGCCGGCAATCCCACGCTTCCAACTTTGCGCACAGTTTGTGAGAAAATGTTAGAAGAAAACAGGAAGATGTGCAACATCTTGGGTCGTGACCTCCGTTGGCATGCCCAGTCCCATCTCAAGACGGCCCCGGCCGCCCCAGTTGGTCCAATCGGTGTCTCGGTTCAGCATCAAGTCGATGTAATCCGCAGACTTCATGACACGATTTTCGGTTCCATTCTACAAGCTCAACCATACATCGCAGCAGCGGTAATGGCTGCGTTGCGTGGCGTGGGACCATCTAGACCTGTCGCCGTGGATTCTGTCAATCGGTGGAGCTGCTTGACCATTTTCCTTTACATAATTACAGCGTAGCCGTTCATCGGAGAGGCGATCTATAACATGTTTTTTAGTTGCGTCTGCGATCTTTTAGGTCTCCTAAATCCAAGTAGTCAAAAAAAATTATTTTTTTAATTTTTAAACCACAATTTTTGTTTAAAAGCTAAAGATACTTACGCAAATATGCAACTCGGCGATAGAAATCGGCCGACACCAAGTTCTGGTCCTCCTGATGCCGCTGTGATCCCCATGATCGACGTGGCAGCGGTTGCGCGCCTGTGTCAAAGATTTGGACCCGGCCACGTGCTTCAGCCAATGCTCTTGCCCTTTGTTCGTCGTTGTCGAGGATTTGGACCAAATCTACAACCATATTCTCATCAACAATCTGCCGCTTTCTCCCCACCCGATTTCCGAAAAGTGTTGTAGCTACTTACCCTCGATTTGTAGCTCCGGTAACTGGGCTGGCATCATGCGCCGACCAAACTCTTCTTCATGATCTACCACAACGAGTTCACCATGGTCAACCTCTTCTCCCTCTAGCAAACCTGGATCCGCAAGACCATTCTCTCCAGGATGTACCAAGTCCTGGTCCTCATTGCTTTTCCTCTGCTCCTGATTTATATTGAACGGTTGACACGCGATTGACAATTGTCCCTGAAAAGAAAACAACATAGTTCTACAAATTTATGGACCGCAGCTCTCAAAAAAGGACAGATTTATGGCCTATGCACAGTGGCACTACACCCCTATTTCCCCCCCCCCTTTTTTTTTACCTCAGTACCGGCCTCCGCCACGCGGTTTACCTTAAATGAGCCGTCCGGACACCTAAAGTGGCCAGCCGATTGTTATCTGATCAACTAATTGGTCACATAACTTACCCATCACGCCGAGACACCATGGCCAGGAAGGTGATTGTGCGTTAGACAAAAATTAGGCCCTCGCCGTTCCCCTGGATTCTGGATGCGCACCTGCGCTGCCCACTCCGCACTTGATTTAGTCTTTTCGCCACCTCTCTTCAGTCGAGACTAACTTGGCCATGTCTCTTCCGATCGGCGGTTCAGACCTTTGTTCGGCGACTCCACGTCTGAAACGTAAACAAAAAGTGGCCAAGTCGCGAGAACCTCCTTCCTCACTCTTTTTGAATTTGATTAACGCGCCCATGAAGTCAATTTGTAACAGCAACTCCACAACCTGCCGCTTTTTCTACATCAATGGCCTTAACAACGCCAGTAAAAGGGAAAGAAAACAACAATCAAATATTAACATGGCTCCCACTGCGGGGATCTATAAAAAATTTTTTTGTTTAATTTTAATTCATAACACATTAATTAGCTATCAGGGGTCGGTTTTACTGGATCTTGTATCCTAGTAAAGATACGGGGGCAATGGGGGAAGTCATCTGGGGTTTCTAGAATAAATACCTAATATAAACACGATGATTTATATACGAGCGAAATATACAACCAAAACAATACTGAAATCGGCGCTGATGTAAAAGAGGGATCCGGATCGGAGGGAAGGGGTTCGATCAAACTGGGGACGTCCTGGATGTGTCGAAGCGATCAGCTTATATACCATGGCCTGGAGGCGGTCCTTGACTCTGAAAGTGATAGGTAATGAGTAATAATCACTGCCTTCGGTCTGCTACGCTCTTGATCGCGCATGGTCTTCTCCGAGAGCCACTTCCTGATCCCGATTTAGGCGCGATGAGTCAGGGCCAGCAGCCAAGGCGCTTCTAGGGTGAAAAGTCACCTTAACTAACTTTAATTATACAGTAACTCCATTTAATAAATGTTCTTAACGCTTACCAATGCTGGGAATGCCGCGACATTCCACCCGGAATGTCACTGAATATTTTTAATTCGTTTTTTCGTGCTGCTAAACGATGTCACGATAACACTATTTCTATAAAATGACCTTTTTTCTGGACGCGAAAATATTTTTCCGAAAAATAATTCGCGCTAAAATAGATAATATAAATGAACTTTCTACAGGTTTTTCTTGTTTTTTCACTTGTATTTTGCTGTAATTGTTTTACAATTAGCAAGGAGGTTCAAGACAAATTTTTAAATTCAACACATACTAATAATTGGGCTATTTTGGTGGATACTTCAAGGTTTTGGTTCAACTACAGACATGTTACCAATGTTCTCATATATTACGAAGCCGTCAAACGGCTTGGAATACCTGATAGGTGATTTATTTAAGGTTTTATCGTATTTTTACTATTTATATAAAAAACATTTTTTGGTTTTGAATTTAAACAAATATTTTATTATAACTAATATTTATTATTTAAAATACTTTTAGCAATATTATTATGATGCTGGCAGACAATATACCATGTAATGCTCGAAATCCACAACCCGGTAAGTCTGTTACTTTAGTTTTCTTTGGTTTAGGAACAATATATCATTCATAAGTAGAGTTAGTGGAGATCGAGAGGCTGAGACAAGAGAGGCGGCGTTGAATAAAGTCTTCTTGCTTCAGGAATCGAACTTGTCTTGGTTCTTGGCTAGTATTGACTGATTTGAGTTTAATTACGTCTTTTGGAGGTCTCTGGAGGGTTTTCACGCTCTGAAAAGAGGAAAATTAGCTGTTATATAGAGGTATCTACTATACCATAGTTTTGGCAAAAGTTTACTAGATTTCTGTTCTTTCTTTAGCTTCATGGCTTGTAGAAAAGCAAGAAAACAATCTTTAATGCATAAAAAGAGTTTGAAGCTTACGAATTTGATGTTTTACAAGCTTTTCTATACAATAAAACATTAATATAGAGTAAAAAACCTTACCATGATCTCCGCTTTTGGCACGGCATCTCTGGAACAGCAGATGTTGGCCTTGAATTTGGTTGGCTTTATCTTTTTCAGTCGGTGTTGCTTATCGCCAACCATTACTCGTTCCACTGCTTGATGGCTGCCATGAGCTGTGATTAGTTTTACGTGGTTCCACTCGATTTTCTTGATCTTGGCCATTTGTTTCGTTGAGCTTTGAAGATAGTAGTCGCTGGCATTCTTCAATCGAGGGTTGTGGATTCTCTGTAGATAATGAACAAGACTATTGTGGATTGAAAAGGTGAAAAAGGCCGTTGTTTTATGTCAAATGTATGATCAAAATAAACCTGTTTTCTCGCGTAAAAACTTAACTTACCTCAATAGTAATACTTGGCTTTCTGAGTTCGTAGTAGACGTCGTACATTGGAGAGTTGGATACGAACACCTTAGTAGCTCTCATCTTTATCGATGACACCATATAATGTGAAGTGCTTTTGGGCATCTCTTCAGAAGTCGGCAAACACATGATCTTGATTTTCATGGGGTACTTGAAGTAATGTTCTACATGGTAGAAACGTTCGTCACTCTTTTTTGGCAATACTATTCTTCTGGCTTTCTGAAGCGGCGAACAGTGTAGCAAAACTGGGAATTGGACCTTGTTTTTGTTGATATTCTGACCATTTGGAGTGGACTTGATGGGTGGAGATCGAATACTAGAAATTTGGGGTTTACAGCTTTATGTTAAGGCATTTTGCTATGATGGTTTAATAACTATTGCATTAAAAGTCTTACCTTTTCCGACTTGTTACGGTTTTTTGCAATTCAACATTTAGTTCTTCGGTCTTTTGTCGATACATTACAACCGACTTTGACCTACAAAAAAGTGGTTTTAAAAATATTGAAAAATTAGATAAACAAAATTTTAAAGGAAAATTTTTGCTAATATGCAAATTTATTCTTGTCAGAGAACATATTATTTTCCGAATCTTCATCATCTAAAAACATAAAAAATTTTAATATTTACAAACTTATTTTAGGGGAAATCCACGATGATCTGAACAATAATTTGTACCTAAATGACATTGAAGTAGATTATCATGGATACGAAGTTACTGTAGAGAATCTGGTGCGGTTACTGACCGGACAAGTCGATGAAAACACACCAAGAAACAAACGTTTGTTGAGTGATCAACAAAGTAACGTGCTACTTTATATGACTGGTCATGGGGGAGTTGGCTTCTTGAAGTTCCAAGATGCTGAAGAATTCACAGAAGTCGACGTGGCTAATGTCGTCGAGACGATGTATCAGCAAAAAAGGTATACTTTTGAATTTATGTGGTATTATTTTATTAGAAATGGCAAAATTGGGCTCAGAAGTTTGTTTTTAAATTTTTTTTACTTGTTGGGCTGCTTTTAAAATGTTACTTTAGGTACAACGAGCTCTTCTTGATTGCCGATACCTGTCACAGTGAATCTCTGTATCGTTCCATCACATCTCCTAACGTTCTAGCAACCTCATCAAGTCTACTGGACGAGGAATCGGTATCATATCACATGGATTCAACCATTGGAGTACATACTGTAGACAGATATGCCTACTTCACTGGTCGATTTTTAACCAGATATGTTCAAGATAGAAACTCGACGGCCACAATGATGGACTACTTGGATTCATGTCCACGAGAAGATTGTTTATCAGCAATTGGAAAGAGGAGTGACTTGTTTAATCGAGATCCAGCTAAAGTACGAGTAACCGACTTCTTTGGTGCTCGAAAGTACGTTAAGGGAAGTACGAGTGAAGTGGAGCTATTGGAAGATGATGGTACTCCATTTACTGTGGTAGATGACTGGATGCAGTTGGGAAAGGATCGTCATCTTGAGTATTAGAGCGTTTTAGCTATATATAATTTAGATTGTGTGTCGTTTAATACAGGTTTTTGGGTTCTACGGTCTGAATATCACTTATACTATTTATATTTTAGTAGTTATTTATAAAGTAGTATTTATACTGTTATTTTTGCTATAGCGTCTATTTTTCCTTTATTATTGTAAGATGTTTTAATGTATAAAATATATTATTGTAAGTTTTTAGCTCAAAAACGTTTATTCCAAAGGGTTTAAGTCCTTTTTTACCATCTCAGGAAGTAATGTATATTAAGTTGTATCTATAATATTTATTATAAAAGCAATTCCGTCTTTAGTAGTTATTAAAAAAGTCAATAAATGTTCGCCACGCAATACCACTATTGATTTAACGTTCGGGGAATAAGCGAGTGGATAAAAGAAAAGCAGACGAGAATTGTTTTTGCCAATTCAGTAGCTGTTTGTGTGTCCAATATGGCTGAAAAGCCTAAGTTTCGGGTCTACAGGCCACAGGTAAGTAATGTAATCAATATTACTGTAACGTCAATAATGTTAAGGCTATGGTTGACACGCTAAAGCGGCTGAATGGGCATAATCTCGAGAATCAGGGCTTAAACAACTTGACCGAGGCTTTCCAAAGCTTCATGACACGCACCAGATTCTTCGGCATGAGCGGGTTGAGGTAACTTAAGTTAATATTAAGAGGTTTAAGGCCATAATTAGGTAAAGAACTACAAGCTTAACAAGTACAATAATAAGTACTGTAAAGTTTTTTGAAGTTAAGCAAAAAAGTTATGTAAACTAGTAATGACACTATTATTGACATAGTAATTTACAGGAGAACATGGTCGCATTCAGCAGTAGAATTCATGAAATATCGAAGATTACTGCCGATGTTGGTGGCTGATGAAAGTGATATTGGTTCGGCGTTTGACAGTAAGTACAAATTATATTTATATTGTTATGTGTTTAGGTTTCGACATAAATGAAGGTCGAGTACCAACGTCGAAGAAAGAGGACAGAAAGGTTGTTGTATCAAATATATCCCCTAAGGCTACAGTCAGCCAGCTTCAGAGCTTTTTCAATAAATTTGGACCGGTAAGAGAGTTAAATAAAGGCGTTTACAAATTTATTAATGCGTTTGAGAGCATAGTATGTTATTAGTGTAGTATTTGACGACATATCCACTTGGCTTTAGGTATACTCATGTCATATGCCCAGTGAAGAACGACGACAGTCAATGTACGCTACCTTGACTAGAGCCAACAAGAAATACTCTAATTTGGTTATCACTTTTAAGTAAGTATAATAATTTCAATTTTTAATTAAAAAATTTATTTTTACATTAAAAATTTGAAGAATAAGATCATACAGGTAATTTTTAAAAATTTTTTGACGGTTTAAAGAGATTTTGAAGAAGTAATTAAATTTCAGAGACGAGATCTCAGCCCTCCGGGCAAAAACCGCGGCCCCGCAGGAATTAAAGTTTTACAATCAGATCATGACAGTTAGTAATTATGTTAGTCGGAAACGGACAACTTCACATCATGGAGATACCGCCTCGACTAGTGGGTTCGCTGTTGGTGGTGATAAGAGCGGAAGGCTGTCAAGATCATCTTCATCTGCTTCGATTGAGAGTCAGGTCACTATCAATTCACAGGTAGGCTACAAGTTTCAGAAGCTTAATCTAGTTAGAAATAGATCTTGGTAGGGATGTGGGTTAAGATGGAGGTATGAAATTTTTTTTAATGACAGGAGTTTTGATTTTAACATTTTTTTTAGTTACTGCCACTAGACGAGCTCCCAACAAAAGCCGTAGAGCGAATATTCTGCCATCTCAATCTGCTAGACCGAATCCGACTAGAGAGAACGAACAAAACCTGGCTAGAAGCAGCGGCCAAGTCCTGGACAGAAGTCGAACGTCTTTCATTTCACGAAGAAGAAGACCTCCAGACCTTCTTCAACAGCTCAAACCCTCTCAGAAACTTGCATTTAACCGCATTTCTACTCCGATGTTGTATCTCTTTAAAGTCACTGGACCTATCCAATACGAAAAATCTGCTGGATGACAAAGCAATAGAACAGATTGCTCAGTTTTGTATCAATTTGGAGGACTTGGACATCTCCAGCGTGCAATCAGGGCCAGACGCTCTGAGGAGTTTGTCTGAATCTTTGGCCAAGTTGAACTCTGTAGCTTATCGTGAGATGCACAACTCGTCGGAAAAGTGTTTTTGGTACCTGTTCAAAAGTAATGGCAGGTCGATTAAACGGGTCGATTTGAGAGGCTGTAGTCAGCTGAAGGGACGATGCTTTAAACTGTTTGGAGGCGAACTTGAAGAGGTATGGCTTTTTTATCTTCGGTGAGATAGAGTAGTTTTTGATGATTTTTACGGCATATTTGATACTAAAACAATATATTATTTAAAAGGAAAGATATTCAGAAGCTTTACTGTACATATTCTGAGGCTTTACTGCCTGTTTTCTTTTATTACTGTGATAGAAAGATAAAATACGATCTCCAAAAAAGCGGAATACTATCTCAAAAACATCTTATTATAGGTCCTCCTAGATGGATGTAGTAAAATAGACGACGCTATCATTGATGACATTTGTGCAAGATCAAAAAATATTAATATCCTGAGACTAAACGGGTGTTATCGACTGACAGAACAAGCTTTGAGTGTAATTTCGAGGAGTTTGAATCATCTCGAGCACATTTCTTTGTCAGGCCAAGGATTTACGAATATTACGGCTGACAGTGTATCATTGATCTCTCGTATCAATAGTATAAGGCATTTAGAGTAAGTTCATGGTATTCATTTTTGGAACTTTTTTTTGTAAATGTTTATGTAATTGTTGTGTTTTACTACAAGAGTTTTTAAAAATAAGCAATATTGTTTTAGACTAGATTTTAACCCAACGGTTAGCGACTTTTTGGTTCAACAAATCACTTCAAACTTGAAAAATTTGAAGTTTTTGTCAATTGGATTTGCCGGATCTGACCAGTCGATTACATCTGAATCACTGGCTTTGTTATCACAACTTACAGAGCTGGAAGAGGTACGTTATGTTTTAGTCAAAGCTAGTTTACTAATTTTTAAGTTTATAATTTGTCAGTAAGAAAATGCGAAATTTTTGGGGTTTTTGACATTTCGTCTACTTTAAATTTGATTTTTCTTTAGTTTTTCTGATTAAAAAAAAATACTAGCAACTTTTGACATTCTGTTTACTTTTAATTGATTTGTATGGTATTTTTTGACAGACTTCATTTCAAGTCTTAAATTCAAAAATTTTAGATTGATTTAAGTGGCTTAGCTGCATTGGACAACAAGACATTTGAGAAGATTTGCAAGGGATGTGCTAAATTGAAGGATGTTACAGTTCGGTCATGTATTTATCTTGGTGATTTGGGTGTAGCAGCTTTGAAAAACCTGAAGAATCTAGAAGTTGTAGATCTATCAGGATGCATTTTGGTAACAACATACGCAGTACAAGACATTATTGGTCATTTTACTGTCGACAAAAAGGTATTCTTAGGTTTTTTAGTAGTAGTTTTGAATAGGTTACTGTATTATTTTAGTTCATGGTTGTTATTGTAGGTTATACAGTAATATTTTTAGTTGTAAAAGTTAAAAGGCCATTTTGCGGTAGCAATACGTAAACAAGTTCAGTAATTTTAAATTAGTTTTGACTCTTAACATCAATTTTTTCGTATTTTATCACGATTTTTTAGCCAAACAGCAACGACATTACATTGGTGGTGGGAGGCACGTTATGTGAGAGCAAGTTGAAGTACCGCAACTCACGTGTACATGTTGACTTTGAGGACAACAGTGCAATCAGTTTGAATACTGCCAAGAAGTTTATTGAAACTTTTCAAGGAAATGGTAAGGTTTATAGAGACAAAAGTTGAAGTTTATGCTAGATATAGAGGCATAAACTTTAGAAGTAAAAAAGCTTGGTGTAGAAAAATTTCCTTATACTCATTAGTATAAAACGCTTTGTTTACAACTATTTACTTATGGGTTAGAAATTTTTTGTTTGGAACTTGACATCGAGAATCAGGGTAGCTTTTTCAAAAAATATTTGTTTTTGGGAGGGGTGAAATTTGCTTTGGAACTAAATCTAAAACTTTTTATGATAATTGGGATTTTTTGGGTAAAATACATCAAGGGAAGGTCGCTCATGATATTTTTAATTTCAGAACTTGATACTCAAAGTGATGGAGAATTTTCGGACGATGGCTTTGGAATGTTGTCGGCTCACAGTAAGTTTTTTTACTAAAATCATATACTTCTACTTATTTTTAAAGATATTGATTACGTTTTTTTGCACTACTTACGTTACAATCTAACAAAAAGTCTTTTAAAATTTTTAAAAAAAGTTTAAAATCTTATATTTTTAAAAATTGAAAAATTTTATTCTTTTCAAATCATAGTACTTCTTTTCAATGTTACTATCTCTTTTCTCTATCAAAATGTATTTAATCGTATCCAAACACTGATAATCCAATTTTGCAGGATCATTCGTGGCGGACGCGCTGACGGCGGAGGAAGAGTCTCCATTAGAGAATGATAACAGTATTATCGAATGGGCCGAGAAGGAGGCCAAGGAGTTGGGCCTCTTAAAGTAGATAAATATAATATATTATACTAGTCTCTCAGCTATTAGTCATCTTGCCAACTTGTTTTTTACCTTTCAACGGCACAAATAAATATTATATTGTTTTGCAAAGGTTCTGGATATTGTTTTAGATTTTTAAGTGAAGGGGAAGGAACTTTTGGTAATTTTATGTGGCTGATGCGGGTAATTTTAAAAGGTGTGGGTATGGGGCGATTAGAAATGCATTTTTTTTAGGATGGGGCACATGAACTTAAAAATTTGAACTTTTTTTTTGAAAATTGACGTTGGGACTGTTCAATAAAAAAATTTTTTTTGGAGGGATGGGAAGGAAGGAAAGGAGGGGATATCATAAAAATTACGTTTTTGCTTTGCCATTAGCTTAAAATTGAAAAAAAAATAAAAGTTGCTTCACACTTTAAAAAATATTTGAAATCAACTTCATTCTCACCTCCCGAGCTCGTTTGATCTCAAGATCACTTCTTTTGATCTCAAGATCACCCATTACCAACCCTTTTAATGCGGAATAATATTACGTGTGGATTGTTTGCGGTTAAGTGGGGATAAGTTTCTTCGTTTTTCCATTTCGCTTCGAATCAAACAGATAAATTGAAAAGCGATATGGAGGAGCGGCCGTCAGCCGGTTTTTCCGCGTCCCCAGAGCCATTGTAGCGCTAATTGGAGAGGCGCTTCACAATGACTCTCGAAGATGCCAAAAGTCCTTGTTTTCGAGGGTTTCAGCGAGTTCGGTTTTTTGGAAAACTAATGGGTTTTAACACTTAATTTTTTGCTTATTTGGATGTAAAAGATGAAGTTTGAGGCTCTTGAGCTTCAAAAAATAATTTTTAAATTGTTTTTTGAATTTTCTTTGTTAAAAAATAAAAAAAGGTTGAACGTGGGCATCTGCTAGTACTTCTTATACAAGGAACTCCTGCTGTCATTATAAATATTATTGTAAGTCATACTAAAGAGGTTTCAATATATATGGAAAAGTTTTTTTTGGGTTTTATTTTTTCCTACTCCGAGTTCAAAATCGTCAATATAACTAGACTATAATTTTGAAATATATAGCTTTACCCTTGCCAAGGTAATGCTGATTAAATAACACCTATTTTTTCCAGCTAAACTTTCAAAAATGCACTTTAAAAACCGTCTAGCTATCTCAAAAAAACCCCACGTTAACCTTGTTTTTATTTACCGCTTTTTTATCCTTGCCTGTTCCACCGTCTGTGCCGTATATTTATTGTCATTTAGCTGTCGTACCCAAAAGGGGGTTGTTTTTTCCGCGACACTATGTCTCATCTTTTGTTCCCACAAATGTTTTTGATTAGCTGTCAGTTGGCCGCACAGCTGATTCTGAGGCTAGCGCGATGACAAATCCGAATTTTATTAGCGTATTTGTCTTCTTGTGGTTATGACTTATGTAGCTGTCAAGTTGGCGAGAGGGGGGAGGGTAAGATGTCGTAACTGTCATTTTTGGAAATAATGTTGTATATAACAGGGACTTTTTGATTTTAATGATAAGGAGCTTTCATTGTACTGTAATGTCTTCTTTTCAATTTTCCACACTCTTTTACTACGACCCAACCCAACTACTCAACCCTTCTATTTTCTTTTTCTTCTATGATATATTCAAAGACATTAAACTTGAGAGCCTTTACAAATGTCGGGTCAGTCATCAAAGCCAAAGTTAATGCGGGTATTTATCCTAAACAAAAAAGATTTAAAGAACTCGGCGATCCGGAAAGGCTTCGAGTGCGGAAACCGATGGTCCCAAGCAGTTTTTGAGGGCTTTTTGTCTTAGCCAAAAAAGTCTATCAAGAAGTCGCCGGCATCTTTTGAGAATGCGCGACTTTTCCGCGGCCTTGATGGCTTCACAGGTTTGGGCTTCATTGGTCTTAATGACAATTCAATTAGGTATGAAGGCTTTAGAAGGGGTTTTAAAGTAGCAGGAAGGTGTAATGTCGTTTTGAGTGGTTTTTTAGTTTAGTAGGAGGGCTTTGTTAAGTATGATGATTTTATAACTAAGATTTGTTAAGTATGATGATTTTTTCAGCAAGGCTTCGCTAGGTCTGATGAATATATCATCGGAGAGCGAGGTAAGCGAGGGTGAAAAGTTTTGACTTGTCAAAGCAAAAAATATGTAGAAAAAAATGATTTTTTAAATTTTTTTTAAAACAATTTTCTTCAAAAACTTAACAAAAAATACTGTAACTTTTACTAAAAACCTACTTTTGTAATTGTAATTTGTAACAGATTAAGTTTGTTTTGGTTACGGTTAGGCGCGCGTTACGCTTTCACTTTGACAAATGGCGTTATATCCGGTTCGCAAACAAATAATTCAGTATTGTAATATTGTAAAGCTGAAGCATTGGATTCCAACTTAATTTTATTACAATATAAAGGGTAATTTCATGTTTTGAGAGATGGTATGAGGTTTGGAATGATATTGGGATTAGGTTTTTTATTTGATGACATTTTGATTTGTATATGCAGTGATATTTCATATGTTTGTTGTGGTTTATATTTAAGCTGTAGCTTTAGTGGTGATTCAAATAACCTATAACTTATTTTATTTACCTTTACTTAGTTACTGTACTGTAAAGCCCTTCTACATTATGTTGTTCAAATAATTCTGAGCTTTCAAATCTTAAAATTTGTTCTGAGAGAAGACACATAATTATTTAAACAACATAGTATTTTTAAACAAAAAAAATTTTTAATTGGGAAAATTTTTTTGATAATATTTTAAAAAAATTTTTAAATTCAAAAAAATAGTTAAAATTCAAAACTCACTCTCAACTTTTTTACTGCTTTCAACCTGTAAAAACGATTGTAACCTGGCACATAAAACCTTTATTACCACATCAGTTCTCGTCTTAATATTGCTCTTCGGTTCAGCAGTCGGGTGTCTTGGCCACCAGATGCTCGCAAACTTTTATTTATCCGGGAGTATTTATTTATTTGTCCATTATAACGCACTCTCAGCTTCTTACGTGAGTGTAATCTGTTGTTTCGTGTTTGTTGTTGGCTTATTACTTAGGAGTTGAAGTGATATTATGATTGATTTTTCTTTATATCACGTTGGTTAGTATTAGGACCGGGCAATAACAGTGGGAGTAGGAGGGGGAAGAGGGGTGGAAGATGAGCATTTATACCTACAACCAGGGCCGGACGAAAGGTCGCTTTATTAAAATTTTAAAGTGACCGTGATATACATGCTAAAGCGTAATAGGAAAATAAGCACGTAAACAGCATTAGCGGGCCAAAACTTATCTAATGATGGTTTGAAATACGTCAAATCGAGGCTTTTAAGATTTAAAAAAGCTTAGTCAAATCTTATCAAAATGTCAGCTTTTATTTATTTTTAGAAACAAGTTTTACTTTACATTTCGTATGTTGTTTTACAGTAATATTATGGCTTTACGTCGGCGGCTACAACATTTTGTTGACTTGGCTTACCTTTTTTTAAATTTTAGGCTAAATTAAGGTTAAAAAATCTGTTTACTACTACCTCTTTTAACCTTATACTCTTCTTTTCTTTGTCTTCCCTTATTTTTTTGGCTCTGCTCATACGCATACCCCCCCCCCTCCCCTTCCCAACTTTTGTCACCACGCCCTTCACGCGAGTCTATTAGAACCATATAGTTGTTTTCGCCATGTTCCAATTACTTTATTGTTTATGGGGATGTGTTCCGGATGACTGCCGAACAATGGGACGTGTATTGTAATGGACTGTTGTAGTAAATGTCTATTACAATGTCCGAGGTGTGAAAGGGTGGACCGTTTTGTTTACGCGCGACCCGATGAGGTCAAACATAGAATTTTGAGTTTTTTGCGATCCACATAATTGCAGCCTGACCGGTTGATGAGGTCGAAGGAGGGCGTAGATAAAACCTGTTCGATATGCAAATCAAGGTAAGGTTATATTTGCATCGAACCGGGTTAGGAGGTTATGTTTGGAAGTTTAGCTAGACTAATATAGTGTGCCTGGCGGGTTTTTTAAAGAAAAGAGAAGGGGTGGTAAAAAATATTTTTAGGTAGGGCGGGGGTGGTAAAAAATTTTTTCAAAGAAAAATTTTTGGGTAGAAAGTTAGAGAGGGGGGGGATTGGAAGGGCAAAAAATTTTTTTTTTAAAATTGTTAGTTATTTAGGAGGGTGGGAGATGTTGCTCATTTAAAAACAACTTGAGGAGCAGAGTTGAAAGACCTTTTTAGGCAAGCGCTTTAATTATGCAAATCCCCTTATTTAAACATGCAAATGACTCGATTTAGTTGAATCTTCTTATCCGGCCGACTATTTTGCGATTCGGTTACCTGGCGGATAATTCCGCATCCTGGCCGGATAATTATGTTGTGGTTGAGCGGTTTATGGCCGTTAATAAGCGAGCGATCTTCTTTTATTTGTCTCAACGGCGGGGCCTTTGGTCTGACGGTTATGACTGTTGAACCGGCTATAAAATACGAGTGTTTTTTCACAAAAAAAATTTTTTTTTGTGTTTTTGAAATTTAAGTTTTTTGAATTTTGTTACTGTCAGTAGGGTAAGGTAATAAAGAGGGACAGGGTTTTTTAGAAATTTTTCAAATTTACTTCGCCTTGTTGACTTACATTCTCTTGAATGATAAACAAACAGTAAATAAAAAAATACTGTTTTAGGGTTATTCTATACTCAAACTGGCCGTTCAGTAGCTATAAAAACTTAAAAAATTCTTTATAGGCTAGTTCTTATACCTAAATTTTTAAGGCTTACATGAGAGAAAGATTGTGTTTTTTAGTACTGTGTGGTGAATAAAAGCTGATGCGGAACTTGAAAAGAAATTAATTGAAGTCTCTCAAAGCAAGTGTGAAAGATTAGGTACATAGGTGATAAGATGTAGAAAAAGTAGGTAACATAACCAAATATAGTTATCTTAGTAATGATAGTTGTTTTAGTATTACTATAGTATAAAATTCCAAAAAAAAGTTTTTTTGCTGCATCATTTTTTTAAAATCAAAGTCATTGTTTATTTACAGGTTGAATAGTTAATATTGCGCTATAATTACGGTTCACATTAATATTAAATCCAAGTGCAGTTCGCCTAATTGCACTCGGTATCACACCCAGCTCTCATTATATTGTTTCCTGCCCAAATTCATTGCCTCTGGGGACAAGTGTGTGCGAAAAATTGTGTCCTCGCTTGCGCAACTTATGGCCCCATAAATTTGTTACTCAAGAAACAATTTGTTTGGTATTAAGGGCCAAAGGCCTCGCCACCGCCGCCGAGATAATCCGGCTTTCGGAAACTCCATAAACAGTATATTTAGGGGACGGTACATTGTATGATTTGGTAGTTAAGCCATTAAGACTTTGGGATTTTTTTTCAATTTAAGTCTTTAGAAAAGCTTTGTTGTTTATTTTTTAGTGATGCAGTGCTATTTAGTACAATACTGAATAAAGTGCAATACTGGAGGAATGTCTTTGTTAGATACTTTTAATAGCTATTAAAAGACACAAAAATTTAAGGAAAACATTATAATAGGCTTAAAAACGTCTATAATCTTCAGTAGTACTGAAAATGATGTATAGTACTCAATGTGCTTAACTTTTTTGAATGATAATTTACTAAAGTATCTATAAGCTATTGAACTGCTATATTATAGTAGACTTGACCCCTTTCTCTGTTATATTATAGTGTATTCGAGCCATTTGTCTGCTATGTTATGGTAGACTTATGCTCTATATTATAGCAGATACAATACATACTTGCTACGTTATAGTAGACCCAATACAAATTTCAGCTATATTATTGTAGACTTACGTCCTATATTATAGTAAACACAAGCCATTTATCAGCCATCTTATAATAGACTTAAGCCATCTATTAGCGAGCACATTGTTTTTTATTGCATGTCATCTTCCATTTGAAAACATTATATTTGTGAGCGAGGACAATTAGATATATCTTTCATGTAATGGTTAAAGATATATTTTCGCGCGTTTATGGGAAAAGTACTGTCAGAGGGTCATTTTTTGAGTTTATATGGCATTTTTAAAAACATTTTTCCAAAATAAAATTTTAAAAAACTTTTTTTAAATTCTTTTTTGTACTGTAACCTACTTCTTAGTACAATACTAAAAATGAAAAAAAAAATATTTTTAATAGTTTAAGTATTAACAACCACTTTACATGCACCACATAACAAAAGGTTATCGAAACAAACCTAGAATATTCTGTAATTACAGCTTACTTGATTCCAACTATTGTTTACAGATAGCAAACAGTAGTTACTGTTTATTTGTTTTGTATTTTTAGAATTGTTAACTGTTTTGTTGAACTGTCACTTTGTGTAGTTTTTCGATTTTTTTATTTTTAGGTTAAAAATTCAAATTAATTTTTTTTTGTTTTTAAAAAATGGCTAGGATAAAGTTGTGTTAAGACAAAATTAAAGATAGTTTAGAGATACGATTGAATTAGGGTAAGAAAAGGTTAGAGCTAGGGCAGGACTAGAGTAGGGCCAGGGTAAGGCTAAGGTAGCACTAGAATAGCGCTGGAATAGAGAAGAAGTATTGGTAGATTATGGCTAGAGTAGTGATATAGCCCAGCTAGAATAGGTTAGGCTTGGGTAGGGCTAGGCTAGAACAAAGGTAGGGATAATGTAAGAGGTACGGCGAATTTTAGAGCTAGGCTAAAATTAGAACAGAGCTAGAGTGAGGCTAAAGCAGGACTAGGGCAGGAATATTCTAGGAAGCAGATAAAAAAGTTTAGAGGCTAGGGTTGGACTAGAGAAGAACAAGGGTAAGGCTAGGGAAAGGCTAGAACATATATATTTTTTATATGAAACAAATGTTACTTTTTATTTTTTTTCAAATATTTGATTTTTAAACCAGTTGGCCCAATAGCCTCATTAACCATTCAAACCAGTAATTACAGTGATCTTGCGATTTGTTTTCTCAAAATGTTGTAAATAGGCCTGACGGAAGTGCAGGTGGCGAGACAAAAATAACCGGAAGCAGCAGCGACCTCTCCATGCCCTAAAGAGGTCCTTAATCCCATTAGGGCGGCTTCTGAAGCCGCTAAATGAAGAACAAAGCGCGGTTGAGGTTTAACATGTTGTGCATGATATATCGCTATTTTTTGGGTAAGATTAGTATTTGAGGTTTAATCTGGTGATACGTCGGAATGTGGACTATGTTTTAGGCCGTAGGATAGGGTTGGGCTTGCAAATATAATTTTTTTGGGTATAATTATGGATTTGATTATATTCATGTTGTTATAGGTAGTAGTATAGATAATTCTTTCTATGACTTAGCTACTCTAGATGTAGGAGAAGGAAGGGGAGGTAAGCAAAGGAATATACAGTCTCAAGCCAAGAGATAGAACAATGATTCTAATCAAGAGTTAGAAGTTAATAAACGGTCAGAAGAGGCAATAAGAAAAATTTTTTAAGCCCCACCTCGGCTATAGTAATATATTTTTGTCCAAACCCATTTTGCAACAATAACAACATATACAATGTAAAACAACATCCAAAATCTTTACATTGTTATTGTTGAAGAAGCACGTGAATAGGCCAAAAACGATAAAATGTGGCTACACGCTGAACGTTGTGAATCACTGAAGTCACCTTGTGTGTCGGAAGTTGAAGCCGGCCGAAAGTGAGCCGCCCCCCTCCTTTCTTTCGCGAATTTTTATTCCACGGGCCCTCGGGCGGTTTGGGAGTTAAGGCACTGACAAAATGCCGTTTATGTCAGGTGAATTCCGCGTTTCCTTCCTTTTTGCTGTTTTCATCGCCCAGTTTTGTGCCTCAGGGCATAAAAATGTTAAACTTGTTTTTTGGGGTTGAGTTTAAAGTTTTGGGAGAATGGTACTACGAAAAGTTGGTACTAACTTTTTAGTACTGTTTTAGTGCAATAGCTTGCTTGTTGTGCAAGGACTTTTAGAGAGAAATGAAAGGGTTGGTACTGAAAAGCTGTTTTTTAAGGTTTGGTACGGTGCTTTGTAACAACCATGGCATGGGCGGGGTGAAAACTTTTTTTTGAGGGTAGACCTTTATACATATTTTAAAATTTTAAAAATATTATTTTTAACTGCACTTAAAAATTAAAAAAAGTTTTATTTCGACCACTATTTGCTACTCTACCCAAACTTCACGTTGAAGGCGTGGCATGTTCAGCAGAATGTTTGTTTTTGATTAAAAACGAAATTGAGCCAGCCGGCTGGACGGAAGTCAAAGGGTCACTCCAAAAAAGTTTTTGTTAATTAAGTATTAATAAAATTGAGCCGTCTCTCTTAAATTAGTCATGTTTGGGTCATTTACGGGTCGGCTTCAATTAAATGAGCGGCTTCGAAGTTATGTTTGGCTGACATGAGTAGGGCAAAAGTGAATATATCATAAGATGTATGGGTTTACATTATAGTAGGGCATAATGTGGTGGTACTAGGAAGATATGTCAAGTTATGCTACGTTTAAATTGAAAGGCGGGGGGGGGGGGCTTTAAAATTAAAAGTATGTTTGAAAAAAATAAAGCTTCTAATATATTACAGTATGTTCAACAGTATATTTAGGTTAAACTCTGTTGTTTCTACCCAAAACTTTAAATTTCAAATGTTCTTTTACAACTTTTAACAATCTTCATTGCAATAGCAATGCTTTTCTTCCAATTTCAATTAATTTTGTTGTTTCTTGTTGCAAACCTCTGATTGGTAATTAATTTTGTATGTGTTTGTAACGCGTTACACAACATTAATTACTACTTAAGCCCCAATTACAGGTGCTGATGCTTTAGCGGTTGTGATTACAAGTTGTCGGTGGTGTTTGTAGCTTGTTGACAAGAGATTATACCAGTTTTTGTCTACGTTTGGGGGTTTTACGGTGTGGTATTGCTGTTTTAGTATTTCTGAAGTTGGTGTGGCTAAATTAAAGCTAGTATAAGGCTAAAGTAGACTAAGGCTAGAACTAAGGCTAAAGCTAAAGCTAGGTCTAAGACTATGGCTAGGGCAGGTAAGGTTGGAATTTGAATGTACTCTAACATATCACAATGTTTACTCATGCGTACTTTCATCTCGGTGAATGTATATCATATAATACATTACTATTCCTATACCATATATCTATTCATATACTATATACTTTATCGCGTATTTCATGTATCGTGCCACTTTTTGTTCACTTAACTTTATGATAGTAATTTCAGAACCAAATAATGAGATAGCATGCATTGGGTGGCTGTTTGTTTACTGCTTGTTATCGGTGAGTTTATGACATTTCCTTCCATGCCCTTTTAACGACTGGGAACACAAACAAACAACCCTTCTAAAACAAAAACAATCCAATGAGTTTCGGTTTCTAGGGCTTATCAACCGCAATTTTGCGGGTTTTGGCTAAAAATTTTAAAAAAAATTTTTAATTTTAAAATGTACCTAAAACAACTTAAAAAATACCTAAAACATAGTCAAAACCACATTTTTTTCAGCGTGCTACGCCAACGAACGTCGTACCAAAGAACTCCTAGTACCTATAAACTCTGTAACCCCTTTACTATGTGAGCCGATCTTCAACGACGAAAACGCTAAAGCCGTATGGTATAAAGACGGCGATAAACTTGGCACAGTAACCGGTCGATCCAATTTCATTTCGAATGGAAAACAGCTCTACATGAAGGAGAACATCCCCGAGGTCGGGTTCTTGATCATTCCTCATGTTACACTCGAGGATCAAGGCGAATATTGGTGTGAAAGAGTTGACAACAAGGTACAAAGCGACATCTCTCGCATTCGCTTGGCATATTTGCATAAACTGACGGCGGAGAAACAGATCAAAGTGTGGCCGGATAAGCCGGAACTGGGAATGAGCGTGACCTTGACCTGTCCGGATACTCAGGCCTATCCTGAAGTTACTATTGGGTGGAAGAAGGTAGGTTAGGGCTTATATTGTAGTAGGTAGAGTATATTATTGTAAGTAATGCTTGGCAGGTGATATACGAGGCCAAGTCAAAATTTTTTTTTTGGTTTACCGTACCTTAACAGGGAACATCACGTTCGATTTTGCTTAGAAAACTTATTTCGGGAAAGGTTAGAACAGGGATAACAAATACATTGTTCAAAAATCAACCCCTACGTACATTATGGCCGTACATCTAAGTATATATTGTTGAAACTACACTAAACTATCTATTATATAACCTTTACATTCAATAATAGCATCTATAAAACAATGTCAATTTCAGAACAACGAGCCTATTGAATTCTCGTCTGGAAGATACGAAGTGATACACAATGGCTCATTGATTATCACAAGATTCACGAATGAAGATGAAGGATTATACGAATGTGTCATTTCGAATTTTGCTGATCAAACCTCGGTAAAAGTGCATCTTTCAAGTCCTGGAATCATCCCGCTGGCTAACAGTAAGTATTTAACACATTTTTAGGTAACAAAATGAACCTTTTTGTTTAAGAGATGAATATTATGTAACAAAATGCATAATTTACTTCTAAAATGCATTTTTAATCAAACTTTAAAAAATTATTTTAAAATAGAGATTTTATGTTTACGGTACTATAATTAAATTACCATACGTATGGCCATACCTACTATATATATCCCAATATAACCTAATCATTTACAATAAGATAGCAATACTGTAACCTCATTAAGTTCACATTTTCAGCTGTTTTCCATTACACTCGTGCCAGTAGTTGTACCAATTGGACACGGAACAATATTTTCTGGTTTCTCGTCGGCTGTCTGACTACCAGTTTCATCGTGCTGGTGTACTTGTTGGCCGGAATGATCTGTTATAAACATTCGAATAGGCGGCAGACAACGTTCTCTCTATTATATTCGTTCTTGAGAGCGGATCCATCGTTGGCACCCGGCTTCAGGAAGGTGGTGGTGCCGTCAGCTGACGTTATTCGCGACCCCAATCACAACGGGTTTATGCAGGAGGTGTGAAGAGGATTATGGTGGTGTCAGTGATGTTGTACATGGACTTAAGATAATATAACTTTTTAAAGTTATATTGTTCATAAACTGAAAAAGTTCAAAAAAATGATCATGTAAATGAAATTAAGGTCTTTTATCTCTTTCGAATCATGTTTTTCGTAGAATTAGGACCTTCCAATACCTTAAAATTATATTGTTCGTAAACTTAGGACCATACAACACCTTAAAATCTCATTATTCATGCCGTTAAAGCACTATAATATCTAAAAATCCGCCTTTCGAGCTAGCTTTAAATTAGACATTCATTTTTAAATCATCAAAAGATAAAATTGAATGACACCACTAATATTATAATGTAATTTTATCAATGCAGCAGGACCTCAAGTGTCTTCCACTTTTGTTAGTATGGCTATTAGCTACATCTTCCTTAGTCTTTGTTAGTATTTCTTATCATCGCTACTTACGTAATAACTCTGTCCTTTTTTTGAAATAATGTCGTACACCTTTTTCAGTACTAATTGTATCAGTATGACAGTACTAATAACTTGATTGTAAAACACTTATTCACCTTCTCAACCATAGAATCTCTACTCAAGACGGGTCTATTTGTATAAACTTAATTTAAGCCACAATTTGAAATTTTGTCGAAAGCCAAAGTAAATAAACTATTTGAAAAATATGTTTGAGATTATACATGTATGGTATTCAGAATCAAAATCGCATTACACAGCAATAAATTGGTAAAAAATATAAATTTCAAAAACATTGGACTGATTGCACTGTGCAAAAAATTGAAAGTTGCTATTTTTAAATAGGCTTAAAACGAACAAAAACTAGTTAACAAGCAGTAAGATCATAACAATAGAAGTTGAAAAAACTAAATTTCGTCAAGTGTAAATTTTTCAAAATCATTTTTGCAATTAGCCGGTTCGTGATCGGTCAGCTAGTGGTGATTTTCAGTGATAATGGGAAAGAAGAAGCCTGCCAAACATACGCCAGAGCAGTCGGAGACATGTAAGTTTTTTTTAATTTTATTTTTTCAAATAATTAAAAGTGGATTTTGAATTTTTTTTCCAAAAAAGTAAAAATGCCACAATTCTGCCAAAAAATATATTTTTTCCAGTCTGTGCAAACTTTAATTGTTTTAAAGATTTTAAGGTTTCGGCCGCGTGCTCAATATTATATTGTATATTTTTTTGTGAAAACGCAATGCTAAAACATTATTTTAAAGTTTATAAATTGAAAACAGCCAAATTTTTAAACATTTTAACAGTAACAATAACATTAAGAATCTAAAATCACTTTCTTAGAGGCAAAGCTAAAAATACTTGCATAAAAAATTAACTTTACTTTACATACCTTTAAAAAGATGACCATTATCCGTAGTTCTACCTCCTTTTAACCTAACGAAAACAATATAACAATATTTAACCCTAACATTTTTCAGCCGACGAATTCGACGACAGAATATGGGAAACGTATCAGAAGAAGAACCGCTGCGTAACCATCACTACCGTGATGGGCGTGCTCGCAGTTTGGCTGATCTTTTGGACTATCATCGCTCTCATCTTCGACATTACACCCACCTCATCCTGACGCTTCCAGCGCTTTGTCAAACAAGTGGTTAAACACTTTCAACGAATAAAATCCTCGATGAACTTTGTCTAGGCCTGCTTGCTTCGCCACTATTGGCCAACGATCCACGCCGTGGTAACCGGCAGACTCAAACTCGTTGTCCACTATACAGAAAGGGGTCGCGAAGGCCTAAAATCATAGATTATAGTAGTTGTAACAGTTTAACATGTAGTCCATACCAAAACTTTAGTTCTTTTACGTTGTTTTCAAGAAAAAAGTCGTTCTTACCCCAGCTTTAACAGCCTCTGTTTCGTTTGCCTTCAACTTGCTCAGACTATCAAAGTCTGGCTTCAATGGAATCGTCGAAGGTAATGACAACTCGCTGATGACCTCCTTGAAGTCTTCTTCTTCTAAAAGTGATTTATCTTGAACCCAGAGCCTCTTCCACAAAAATCTTGAAGTGACTTCCAGCCATTCCGGATGTTTTAGTTGAATATGAGCCAAAAAGCTTTGCGCTCTTATTGTCCCTGGCTGACTTAGCACCCTTTCGCCATTCTAAAAATAAACTATGTTATAGTAGACATATAAAAAGTCCAAGGCCATTGATAAGTGAGTTTTACATAAATTAGGAAATGTTTAACTCAATCTACCATTTTTCAAAATATTAAAAATAACCTAAAATTAAAAACAAAATGAATTAACTTACAGAAGGCAGACGTGCTGGTACTCCAAAAACTTGTTTGTACTGTTCTATTTCTTTAAACATGTAATTTCTGAATGGCACAACGTAGTATGGGTTTCTGTGTCCTGTCATAACATATAAAGATGCAGATCTAACCGGTTTTAAGCATATCTTCAGACCTGTAGTTCTGTGAGCCGCAAACAAGTGCTAAAAACATAAAATAAAGAAGATTCAAATTAAAAAATAAAAAAATAAATGTTTGTCGTCCCCTGATTTTCTTAAATAAAACAAAAAACATACCTCGAACATAATCCAAGAAGGGAAACATGCTATATCATAGTAAAATCGTACTTTAGTCATTTTTCGATCTTATTTTATAAATTCTAAAATTCGGAAAAATAAGATATTTTTTTCGTAAAATGCGCTATGCCAAAAGATGGTTTTAGCGGCGGGACGTAGGAAATGCATTGTTTTACTAAAAATGTTGAAAGAAAAAAAGAATTCTCGGTTTTAACCTGTGGCAGTTAAAAGTAAATAATAATAATTGTGATCTGTTTTACTCATGGATACACCTTCAGCAAGTAATAAAAGTAATCTCACGTTTTTTGTAAGTTTTTTTGTTTTTATTTCCACTTTAGGCAGTTGAAAAGAATAATTATTATTCAAAACCTTATAAACTTGTTCTTCGTTTTATAGATTTATAATTAATTTTTGTTTCAGAACACTTTGGAAAGTTCAGAAGACGAAAGCTTAGGCGGAGGGGAAGATATAGTCAAGATTCCAGATTTACCGTGCGAATTACCCAAATATAAGAAGATATTGGGCACGGCCAAAACAGTATTAGAAAAAGATGCGGTTTTTGTACGAACGAGGGAAGAGTTGTATTCTGAAATGGATGAATTGGTCAGGAGATTTCAATCTGATCGAGATTTGAGTCCAGAAAGTTTATTTCGAATGTATGAGAGTATGGAAGACTCGATAGATAATTGTATTGACCTGAATAGCGCACATCTTTCTGTGCTGAGGTATCATGCTTTAGAATTGGCCAAATTTGCACCACTAGAAGTGCTGGACGCTGATGAGGATATTCCAATTGAGGAACAGGAGAATGAAGAAGTTGAAATTTCAGGTAACTATTTTTTATGTTTTTTTTTTGAATTTTAGATAATAATCGAACAAAATTAGATCTTGGCTGTTTGAAAACGTATAAATAATATTCAAGAATTTTTTTGAAGTATTGCCCTTATTTTTCTTTACTTTAAAAATAAACGTTTTTAATTTTAGATAACACTCCGCACGTTCCAGTGAAGAAGGTCAAGAAAGTGGAAGATGCTAAAGTTAACAAGAAGAAGCGAAAAGAAGATGCTTTATCTTCTGTTTCTACAAGGAATTCATCACAAAATTCAAAGACTGATAATGGATATCAAGAACCCAAGAAGAAGGTCGCTTTAAAACGAACAGAAGAAACTCCAGTACGCCGTGTAGCTGAACCGAAAACGACAAAGAAGCCAGAAAAGAAAGAAAAACAACCAGAAGTTGCTGTTAAGGAAGAAGAGGAGGAGAAGATGGATATTGACGATAATTCTGACGCCGAAAGTAAAGAAGATATGATAGAGACACGAAGGAACACTAGAAGGACACCAGCAGACAAAGCTGTTGATAAGGTGAAGAAGGTGGTGACGAGGTTGAAGAAAAGCGGAACGCCAGATTCAGAAAGGCCGAAGAAAAAGGCGGATAGTGTTGTAAGTACAACGACAACACGCCAATCAGCTCAACGACGTGCCAAGCTTCAAAACGAAGCCAATCCAGATGAACAAACGTATTGTCTATGTGATCAGATCTCTTATGGACAGATGATTGGATGTGATAATCTTCACTGTTCGATAGAATGGTTCCACTTTGAATGTGTTGATATCAAAGCTAAGCCGGCTAAAGGAGTCAAGTGGTACTGCCCGTTGTGTCGAGGTGACAAGTCATCTGTTTTGAAGCCAGGGTTAAAACGTTGATGTAAATTGTAATTTTCTTTGAGTCAGTAGTAGTTTGATCAAAAAATTAGAAAAGGCAAAATATATCTAATAGTAGGTATAAAGTTTACCATTTTGTTGAAAAGGTTAAAATAAGTTTGAAAGAAACTTTTAGGTAACATTTAAACATTTTTTGAACTTTAGACCAAACTAATAACGGGTTAAACCTGGCTGACGACAAGAACGTTTGTAGCGATATTTATTAGTCTTAAACAGTTTCACATACCTCACAACCTGTATCTTTATTTGGTGATGTACTTATAGCATAAAGGTTGTAAATGAAAGTGTGTTGGATACTTGGTTGCTATTGGATTTGCCAATTGGTTTTTATATAATGTTTTGAAGCTTGAAGTAGTATTTTGAATGTTTTAGGTTTATTTAGAAGGTCTTAATGGAAGGTTTTACCTTACTCAAGCATGGAAATGTAAGTCTTTGTTTTATGATTTTTTAATTTTAGGTAACATAGTAATTGAGATGTGATTATTGAGCTACAACTTTATTTATTGGTAAAAGCTTTTATTTAAAAATTTTAAATTGAATTCTGGCTTCGCCGACCTTTTTTTTTAATTTAGGTAACAAAAACACAAAAAATGCGTTTAAAATTTTTCTGAATATCAGATAAAAAATGTTTAAAAAATATATTAATTTTAAAAAGTTGGCGTATTTTAGCCCCAAGAACGTAAGCCGGATCCAAATCTAATAAGTCCAGGCTCAACGACATCTCAACATAAGCCATCAAAGCCTTATAAACATCCGAATGGTTCAGTGCCTTTAGTTAGTGACTCTTTTGATCTCATGAACTTTATCAAATCAAAACTGTCAGAAAATGAAAAGATCAAGAATGTAATTGGGATAATAGGTCTTCAAGGTTCTGGAAAGTCTACGTTATTATCAATGTTGGCTGGAAACAAGCCGCAGGATCAGTTTAGGTTGGTTTGTTTTTGCAACTTTGGATTTCTGGGTTTTTAAGCGTAAGCCTATTTAAATTAAGTATTGTGAATTGATAATATTTTATTTATTTAAAGTTTAGTTATATTTTATAGTAACTGTCATTAAAATTTTAGGCAGTACATTTTCCGACCAGCTACTAAAGATACCACTGAATCTGGATATTACCAGACGAATGGCATCAATGTGTATATTAATGATGCTAGAAATGTTTACATTGATTGTAGAGTAAGTCTTCGGGGCTGTGTGATAGTCTTCAGTGCTTTATGGCTCGGTTTTTTACAATATAATCTCTAGAAAGACACTTTTTTTGTTAATTTTAAAATTTCAATCTAAAATGTAATGCAAATATTTATTTTATACCCATTTTTTAGCCTTTCAACTCAGGAACGATTCTAGAAGAATATAATAAACGGAATAGACAAGACGGCAAGAACCAGTTTAAAATGTTTCAAGCTGATGATCTGACTTTAGTTTCAACGATGCTGGACATTTGTCATACTGTGATCTTGTCAATTGACTGGTTCATCGACATGAATATGATTCAGGAACTTTTGAGAGCTTCTTTGTACTCGGAATTTAACAGCAGAAAGTTTGCTGGGTATCCGAAGAGAACTAATTTGAGTACGTTTTGGTTAAAGTTAAAGGTTTTTGTTTTTTAGGGGTTTAACCAATGATAATATTGGAGAAAATGGCAGTTAAACGACACTTTATTAAGTTTTTTGTACTAATAATGTATTTTACAGCCTTGAAAAATATTTTACGAACGAGAAAAGATGCAAAATTATCAGTTCAATTTTAAAAAATAATATTTTTAGTTGTCGTACATCAACGAGCTCAACCCACCGACTTTGAAGTGGAAATGGTGAAAGAACGGATCCAAATTCTGAAGTCAATGTTTCACGACAGCCGAATTAATATTTATGGAGGTGTTTCCATGAAGAAATTGGGTTTCGAACGATATAATGGTTGTGATGAAGATGTTAATTATGTTTTGTTAGACGAGTTCCCTCTTTGGAACAAGGATTGTGAGTTTTTTGGGATTTGAGGGTAAAATAAGGGGTATAAGTGAATATTTATCTTTGATTTTAAGGTCACTATGTCTGACGATCTTATAAGAGTTTTTACGCTTTGAATTTTATGGCTATTTTGAAGGTTTTAATCTAAATTTTACGTAAATTTGGCAAAAAATTTATGAGAAATTTGAATTTCAAGATTTATTTAGAAACATTTTTTATAAAACCTTTATAAAACATCATAAAAAACGTCATTTTAGGCTTTGTTGAAGTGGACGTACACAAAATTCCGTTCAGCGTAGTAGTAGACAAGCTTAAAGAAGCCATCCTAACACTCCCCAGGTACCCATTCCGTCTCATATCTCATCAAAGAGTTCTTCGCCTCAGACCAGAAGAAGTGTACGGTAAAACGAGGATCAGAAGCCGAGACAAACGGCCGAATTTCAACGATAAAGACGACACTCATGAGACTCAATTCCAACCCGATCATCTACCAAACATCACCCTGAAGCAAAACGAACCTCCGCCCGCCGAACCCTGGAATGACCTCGATTCAATTCTCGCTTTGACGCCGGCTAGCTCAGTCGATAGCGCCGCCGAAATTGTCAGACTTTTGCATTTGACAACCAAGAACATCAAGAATGAGGATTTTGTGGGAGGATTGTTGCCTAGTGAGGATAAGGAAATGACCGAGGTGGACTGGTAAGGGTATTTTTGGTTTTGTTGAGGTACAATACGAAATATTATTGGTTTGTTTAAATATAAAAAATGAATACTGATCAAGTCAAGTTAAAGTCGGTTTTAAAAAACGTTTTTGCTTTTATTTTTGTATTACTGTTTGAATGAAAAACAAAAAACAGCGAAAATATGGAAATACGGGGCTTGAAAACGGATGTGAACAGTTTGGTAACAGCAGTCATTCAGCTTCGAAACGTTTCAAACGCATTTCCTCCGGTTATTTGTTGAAGTTTTCACGATTTTTGCGAAGTTTATCGAGTTGGAAACGTAGTTTTGAGGGTTTTAGGGATAATATGAGCATTGTCTAGGGTAAAAAATGATTTTTTTGTTTTAGGTTAGTAGAATTTGAAGAATAGCGTTTTTTAATTATGTTTTTCGTTTTTTAAATAATTCTTGTTGTTGTAGGGGTAAGAGATGTTTTTTAAGTTGTTTTGGTATGAGGAGGTTAAATTTTTTTGCCGTTGGGTACATTAAAGTCTATTTTTTGAAAAATTGCGGGAATTAAAAAATACGTAGGAGCCGGCTGCAAAAACGTTTGTGTCGAGAATTCCACGCGTATTACCTTTTATCTTTTTTTACGTTTTTCTTTCGGTTTCTAAAGCAGTTCTTTAATTTAGGCATTTGTAAATCACATCAAGCTGTAATTTTTTATTTCTAGACAGTTTTCAGTAAATAAGTTTTTTAAGTACAGTTTGAACTCAAGGAGCGTATTTTACGAAGTATAGTTATAAACAGTTTATAACAATTTTGAAAAAAAAATGTTTTTTAGTTTGACTTCTTATATTAAAAAACTTTTTTTAGGTTCAATTATGCTGGCCGAGTGTTCAAAAACCACCTGGATTACTACCACAACAAATACTTTTTGAGTAACAACGGACGACTCGCCCCGATTCTTCTACACAAACTGAAAGGATCTACTCGGATTGTCTACAAAAAGGAGCGTATTCAAGGCAGGAACGAACGACGTGGCCACAGGTATCAGAAGCAGCGCACGATCAGCGAAGACAAGGAAGAAGCGCCAGAAGAAGACAATAAAACGACTTCAGAAGTGGATGAAGTCGAGAGTGATCATTCTTCAGAGCTATCGTTCACTGAGTCTTCCGAAGATGACAGTGATTCAGAAGAGGAGGAAAAGAGAAGCAAAAAGTATCAGAGAAGACGCGCGGCTTCTGACAGTTCGTAAGAAAGGATTCTGGACGGATTGTGTTAGATTCTGGAGGAGATTTTGATGGATTCTTGAGCCGATTCTGAGTGCTTCTGGAAGGGTTTTGATGGAGTTTTGATGATATTGATGTGAAAACACTAAAATATTGATTTAGTCGAAAAAAGTACGAAGTTGTTATGAGTTTAGCTTGGTCAAAAAGTAAATAGAACAAGAAGAAAAGATAGTTGAGGTTTAGAAAGGAAAGGATGGTTGAGATCTTAACCTTCTTTCTTTATTAGGCTTTTGATGTGAAGTAAGGCTTGTTTCTATTCACTTTTTAACCAAAAAGCATGAATTCAATGTATATTGACATTGTCATCAAGAAATGATTATTTTTGTTGTATTTTATTTTGTTCAAAACTATTGTTAAACTATTGTAAAATAAATTGTTAAAAACCGGAAGATGTTATTCTTGCTTTATAGCCGACGTTACGGTAAGCTACCTGAGTATCTGGATGTTTTGTCATTTGTATTATTTTGGTAGTAGTATTGGTAATATTGTTAATATGACTTCTGTAAGAAAAGAAAAACGATGATGTATCACATCATAATCATCATGTACGACGTCATCATCATGATTTGTTTAATCTAAAGTTTCCAGGACTGGGATCAGTTTAATGGGCGCATTCTCAAATGTGCGTCAGGACACGATATTCACGTTGCAGGTGATTGTCGTATGTTTCACATGGTATACATGTAGTTCAGGACAAAATGTGGTTAACAAACTGGCTTTACAGGTAAGAAATTGATTTTTTGTTTGATTTTTAGGTTATTGACAAGGATGTATGGATAAAATCTTAAAATTTGATTTGAAGTTACCTAGAACTTTGATTTTTAAATATTTATGAAACTAGTTTATTTATTTTGTAGGCAAAAAAACTAGTTTTGCATGTTTAACAGTACCCATAGCTCTTGAAATAAATATATGATGACATTAATTTTTACATTTAGAAATTTCCATTTCCCCTAACGATAGCATTGTCAAGTTTGATAAACAATGTCATCTACAGTATACCGTTGATGGCATACCTACACATAGAAGCTATAACACCAAAACGGTCGTATCTCCTCAAGACCATCTTTCCTATATCAGCTGGACGAGCATTGGCAGTGGGGTTCGCTTACTTTGGGTTACTCAAAGTGCCCGTTTCTTATGCTCAAACAGGTAAGGATAAGGTCGTGGTGCTTTTATTACATTAGCCTTGCTTTAATTTTGATTTGCTTCAGTCTTATCTTACTTTATCTCACCTTCGTCTACCCTACTCTACTTATTTATATACTAACCAACCCTGCCCTGTTCTACCTTACTGTACCCTATTCTATCCTACCTTAATTTAATTTATCTTGTTTTATCTTACCCACTCTATCTTGTCTATAATAACTTTTTGTTACTTCAGTAAAAGCCACGATGCCGGTGTTCACGGTGATAATCTCACGTTACATTTTGGGCGAAAGGCAGACTCTACGAATATACATGTCCTTACTGCCAATCATTATTGGAGTGTTTATTGCATCAATAACAGAACTACAATTTAATCTGGCTGGACTATGTTCATCACTGTTTTCTACTTTTGTTTTTGCTGGTCTGAATGTCTTGGCTAAAAAGGTAAATTTTTTGTAAAAAGGAATGTCATTTTAAAAAGGCATGTTAAACGTTTTTTTTAGTTTAAAAAAGGTTTGACATACTTTATATTGTAGATGACGCTTTGTTGTTTTATATTGTAGATTCGGTCTTCCAAGTTAAAAATCAAGGGCTAAGTTAAGGACTGAACAAGTTTTTCAAAATTGAATTCCAGGTATTTGAAGAGACCAGAATGCACCCAGTGAACTTACTGTCGCTGAACAGTCAGCTGGCTGGCCTCATGCTCTTTCCTTTTTGGTTCTACAAAGATGGATTGGCATTATGGTCGACTTTTACTGACCCTGTCAACTCGGTAGGTATTGTCTTCTAACTTAACTGTAACTTACTTTACTTACAGAAGGTCACGGAGCCTCTATCCCACTTCATCGGCTACCTCTTCATGTCAGGTGTGTTGTCTTTCATCCAAAACCTATGTGCCTTCACCCTCATTCATCAACTCACAACTCTATCGTATGCCATTTCGAATGCTGCCAAACGAATCGCAGTCATCATAATATCACTGGTATACCTTCGCAATCCGGTTACTCCGATGAACTTTTTGGGCATGTTAATATCGGTTATGGGGGTGTTTATCTACAATCGAATCAAGAGTTCGGAGCGAACGAAACGGTCCAAATCTCCACTGATTCCGGAGACAAATGATGATTATAACAGTACCAAGTTCCTGCGGCGTCACGACAGGGTGGTACACTTAGGCGGCATGAGGAGTACTAATAGTGATGTAAAGTAGGTTTTATGTATTTTATGTTATGGTGCTAAAAATGAATTTATAGTCGGTTTTTTGGTTTTAGGAATCAGAGTTCCTATTTGTTCCGGAGCGGGATTTCATAAAAAGGCGGAGCCGTAGCTGAAGCCGTAGGCTAAAATTTTAAACTTTGGAATTATTATACTGATTAATGTGATGAAAAAGTTTTTGGGGTTGTAGAGAGTACGGGTTATTTTTTTTTTAGAATAGAAGCGCATGACCAAGGTTGTTAAGGTAGACATGAGGAACGGGCCGGCTTGAATGTTAGGCCCCGTTTGATCTAAATTTGTGTCAAGGCCGGCCCGTTCCTCAAGCCTAGTTATGGAGTTTGAAAAAAAATAAAAATGAAATTTATAACTTTGATTTTCAGATTACTGCTATCTTCCTAACATCTGTAATATTTCTAACTGTGATCCCGACGTGAACATGAACACATATCATAAAAAAAAATATAACGTTGTATTACTAATAAATTAAGAAAACATTAATGATGTTCAGTTTACTGTTACCCTGTCCTTCCACACCAAAATCACCGGTACTGGACCTCCTTATTAATGTTAGAAAAAGGAATCTTACAAAGCATACGTTAGATTACGTTTGATTGCATCCATGATAAAATTCAAATTCTCAATTGATAAAACTTCGAACGCGCACTAAATTTCACTAATTTCCGAGTGTAACATGCAGACAATAGCTAATGCGCACAAATCTAAAGTTCTATAAATGAGGGCTCTTTTGCCGATTCATTCATTCATTCGTTTGTCAACTAACCTGTTATAAACCAATGATGGACTTCAAAATAGTTATTGTTTTATTGACTTTAGTTGGCGCTGGATATGCGAGTCGAACTTATAATAGCTTCAATCCTTGTAAGATCAAGTTTTGGTGTGGTATAGGAAGCTGTGAGCCGTCGGAGGATTTCAAGTAAGTTTTAATTAATGTAAATTTGATCAAGCAAGTTAACTTTTCTTTTGCATAAAGTATTGTATACTACATCTTGAGATGCATCTCTACTTTATATAATAAGCAGATGAAAAATTTCTGTTGCTTTTTGCTATAAAAACCAATATAAGTTAGCGACAAAACTTTTTACTTCACCATGATAATACCATTAGTAATATTTATATCTAAAAACATATAACTTATATTGCGCCACCACGGGAAACTAAAAAACCGTATAACCATTTCAACTAGAACTTTCAGAAACTTCACATGGTACTGTCAACATGGCTTTAACGGTCGATTCTGCGAAATAAAGAAAGCTCCATCTTGCTCCGAACGTCAAGTGCCATGCCAAAAAAATGGTAAATGCCATGATATCCTAAACGGTATTGTGTGTGAATGTCCGAAAGGAACGTACGGCAGACGATGCGAGATTCTGGATGAGAAAGCGTTACCAAACTGGGGAATTCTAACTCTAGAAGACCCCATTAGCCATATAACTAACGTGTCAAAAGAGTACAAACTGATTGGCACAGTAACAGTAAATAAAGTTGGCACATTGAAAGCTTTTAAAGAACGTCTTGGAGGATTGATTAATGAGAGCACACTGAGGTGCAGTTAAAAGTGGCAACGCTGCCTGATGGCACTGAACTGTTTTACGATGTTACTCACGGCACAAATAGAACAAAAGGTAACATTTTGTGGTTTTAATCAATATTTTGATTTTTTTAAAACTTTTTTAAACCGTTTATGATATGTCATGGCGTTTTTTGAAAGAGAGTGTGTAAATTGCTAGTCGGGGACTAGATTTTGCAGGCTGCAGCAAGTTTTGGTCAATAACCTTTTCCAATATCAATTAATTTTAAAATTAATATCAACAAAAACTTCATTTTATAACTTTGGATGACATAATCACAGAATGGAAGGTTTTACTTCAAGTTACAGTACCCGAAGCAGAAAACTTTTTGAGTTTAAGAGATGTTATTGATATGATCAATCATCCTGTTTTCCCTCAGCATTCGAAGCCTGAGGCACTGATATCAAAGCAAGAGAAAGAAAAAGATGATAGTACAGTACAAGAATGGGATGATGCTACAGTACGTCAAGATTACGATTCCACAGTTTACAAACATGAATACGTTGAAGCACAGATGATTGAAGTACAGCACAATGTTTACATTACTATATCATTATTAGTTGTTGGACTTTGTGGCGTTGTTACTGCAGTATTGCTCCTCAGATTACTGTGGTATGTCATTAAGGGTTTAAACACAAAAACTTTAAATCCTGAATTGACTTCTGGACCAACTGCGGCAAATTTCAATGAATACTACATTAATATGATACTCAATGGACAGCCAAACAATGGCACTTGGAGGGACCCATTCCAAAACAACATCTCTGTGGAAAACCTGTTTGACAGTGGTTCAGTCAGCTCAAATGAGGGGAATCAAGAAGAACTTGCCTTGAATACTTGGCCTCACAATAAGATTACTATGAACAATATTCAGCGCCAAACGGAATACTTCAATGTCAATATTAATATCGTTTAAACTTTGTGATTTCAGGTTTTATATTTATACCTCTTTTCTTTCTTATCAAAACATTATTTATAATAAAATTTTAATTTGTTTATATTGGTTGAATTTAAAAAATTATTAGCAGTAAATATTACGGTAAATAAGAACATCAATACAAATTAAAAAAAGTTTGAAAAATACGAAATATAGTAAAGCTAACAAATTGAAAAAGACAAACTGGTTTTGAAAATGCTATTTGGTCGAACATGAAGTATTAATTAATAAAAATAAGCTATTACTAGAGTGTATTTTCTCATAATATGTAATTGCCAAAATGACACAGTAACAGTTTATTCTCTTTATGAAGTAAAAGTAAAACTCGATAAAGTAATGTTTATTGATCTTAAATAAGATTAGCAAATCCAAAACAAGTTTATAATATATAGTACAAAAGTCACTGCTTAAAGTTTCGGCCTTTAAAACAAAAAAAAAAAAAAAAAAAGTTATGTCTTCAAGCCATCAAGCTTAACAATAATTTTTTGTCGTACATTAGACTAGTAAATAACATTATAATAATCAAAAACAACAAAACGCCTAAAAACTTTATTCTCAACCCATTTTTGATTCTGTAGTGTCCTTGTTTCTCTCCCAATCGAACGGTGCATCGATATTAACGCCGGCTGTCTTGGCTGCCTAAAACAATATAAATTAGTTCATAGTTAAAAGTTCAGAACTATATTTTTACATTAAAAACGGCGTTATTTAATGTATTTTAAAAATGTTATCTTTTTCCACAATATATCAGAAGCAATAAAAACTAGGCTAAAAATTGGCATTTCACACAAAATTTCAAAAAAAATTAAAATTGGCCATAGTTCCAAAAAATTAAGAACATTCGACTTACCACTTCCATCGTCTTGTAAATGTAGTTGTAGTCCACGTACTCCCCGTACTGAGTGTTCTGAATGTATTCGAATACTTTGAGTAGTTCGTTTTTATACTTGGGTTCTGGATACATGGCTAGGAAGGCTCCTTTCGTCCTCAGGTCTTCTTTGGACTTGCGCACATCCATCTTCTCGGCCAGCTTCTTCCACGGTAACCCTTTTGGCATCAAAATGTCAAGCAGTAGGTAGAACCAGGACTCCACGTCATCGATTGGACCAACGTCAAAGTTTTTGTGGCACGCTAGGGAAGCGAATCTGATCGTTCCTTTAAAGCCAATGCCTTCTCGTGGAGTCTTCAGTTCACCGTCGTTCTTCACGAACTTTCGGGCTATGCCAAAGTCAAGGATGTAGACCTGAAAGCACAATATCATAAAAAAAGTTAGACTATACTTGGATATTCTATACGAAGCTCACAATACCTTTACAAAACAAAAAAAGTTACAGTATAACGTACTAATCTAATCTATACTGTAATTTTAGGTCAAAATAATTTTAGTGTTACCTAAAAAACTCAAAACCAAACAGTAAAACCTCCTTTTCAAAGCCTTAACGCATATACAATTACCTTAATATTACCTAAAACCAAAAAAATGTTAACTATGAGCTATTGGTCTGGCATTACCTAAAATTTAAAAAAAAATTACAGTATGAGCCTGTTCGTCCAGTCCAACTGCATAGTTAGCCGGCTTGATGTCTCTGTGCACAAACTTGGCGTTGTGAAGTTCTTCGACCGCCTGAAGACATTGACAGCCCGCTCCAAGACCCGTAGCTGTTGAGAATACCTTATCAGGTCTTGAAGCCTTCAAATCGGCCAAGGACTTTCCAACCAGCTGCATTACTATCAAGGTGAAGGTGGGTTTCTTGGCTCGGTCTATGATCTCGGTGAAATGCGTTGTCTTTTTACTGAAAATTGAAAATTGGTATACCACGGTGTCACAATTTGACTTTTTAAAGGCTCAAAACAGGCAAACTTACAGTAGTTTAGCCTCAGCCACCCCTTTTAGGATGGCTATTTCCATTTTGAGTTTACTGTGCTTCCGAGTCTCGAGCTTCTTCTCCACCTTCATGGCGTACGTCTTCTTTGGATCCGACTCCAGGTGAACTTTGAATACTGCGCCAAATCCACCCTCGCCCAGTAGACATTCCACAATGTAGTTACCTTTTGCTGCAGAGATTACTGTATCCTGAAAGTAAACAAAATGTCAAAAAATCAAAATTTATCAGGTTGTTCATATAATTATGTGCCTCTTAGCCTCAAAAACCTGTTTTGAGAAAGGGCACGTAATTATTTGAACAACCTCATAAAAATTTTTTTAAAAACCAAAATTTCAAAAAACTTAAAAAATTTGAAATTAGAACCTACAGGCTTAATCCCCAGATCGTCTTCTTCTTCTGAAGTCATATTCGCGTTTTTCTAAGTACGATCCACCTTCAGGAACCAAGGCTTTTCACACATACAATAACACCAACCTACAACAGCAACAACTGGTCGTACCAGGTTTCGGAGTAAGTAAGTGAGTTGAAATGACTCAAATTTTAAATTTTCAAAAAAGAAATCATTGGAAATTTGCATAATTCGACTCAATTACTTTAAAAGTTTTAGCTTCTGAAAATGATCTGTATTAGGTTGTTCAACTAATTCTGTGCTCCCTCTGAGAGCAAATGTTTGGGGTAAGAAGGCACAGAATTATTTGAACAAACAAAGAGAACTTAGACTTAGGAGATTAGTATAACTATAGCAATGTTATTGTAGGTAGCATTCTGATCTCTGTCTCACATTTTATAAAAAATTTTGAAGAAATATTGAATTGTTGGCCACATAGACATTTGAAAAATGATTTATTATAGTATAGCACAATAACACGACACAACTGTACAAAAATCAATATTATTAGTTAAACCAAAAGTAGCGGGACACTTGTCAGTTGAAAAATAAATGAAATGTGTCCCGCTACTTTTGATTCAACTTTAAATATTCAAAAAACATGTTTTTACAAGTTTTATAAACAATGTTAATAAATAATGTTAAAATGACCATCTAAAAGTAAACTCATTGATACTATCCAAAAAATTTTAATTTTACTACAAAATAGTACTAAAACAAGATTAATACTACAATAAAATAAGTTATTTTACTGCATAGGAAAGAAATTAAAGCCGTTTTGGCCATTTCTCATCAGAGAATTGTAGAGAAATTGATTGTAAAAGGGTGGAGGAGTGAAGGATTGAAAAGTTACTGGAATGGGTGTAGTTGTAAGGTCAAGAACATTGGCTGGTTTTACTTCTTCCACCGAAAGTTTCGTCTTCTTGGGCGGTGGTGGCGACTGCTTTTGTTCTTCTTCTTCGTCTGTCAATTTTAGTTCTGTTTTGGCTGAAAAAATACAGTTTACTAAGTAAATAAAAGGCGCGTCAAAAGTTCCGTTACAAAATTTTACCAGTCGTTTTCTCTGTATAGCCTTTTTTAAATAATATACGTTTGTTATACATCAGTTCTACAGTATATAATAAACCTTAAAGTCCTAATTTTAAAAAACTGAACTTTAAAAACTGTGACTTGTTTTCAAAACTTAAATTTTTCTTTAAATCCTTAATTATATGCTTATAAATTTGTTGTGCAATCCTTTAATGAGCATTTGGACCAATATTATACAACAGGTCAAGAAGATTAACTTTCTCTTTTCGCCTCTCATGCAGCTGCGAATTAAACGCGGGTTTACTGTAGCCGGTAATTCAATATTGTGACAAAACACTTTGGACAAGGGCCGGCTGAGAGATTGCTCAATGCACACTATATAAAGTTTCCGATGTTACTCATCACGGTGGGTCAAACGAGAGGAAAATATAGAGTTTTAGGTATCAAAAATTGTTAAAAACTGATTGAAACTGGCTTAAAATTTCATTAAATTTAAAGTTTAAAAAAGTTTCAAAATTTTAAATTTTTGAAAAGTTGAATTTTGTAATTTACCAATTTGTTCAAATAATTCTGCGCCTCTTAACTCTAATAATTTTTTTTGAAATAGGCACAGAATTATGTGAACAGCATAATAAAAATTTCAAAAAAACAAACTCACAATCGTCTACCGTAACCCCCTGAAGGTCAACCGGCTCAGTCTCACGTTGTCGAATCACGGTGAGAAGTTTTGAAGCTTCTGGTCCTAATAGTCGCTCAAGATCCTTGACTTCCTTCTCTTCTTGACTTTGCTGCCTTCGAAGCGCCACTTGAGCTGCCATCACTCGTTGACGTTCTGCTATCAGTGTGCACTTCACACACATACAGTCTTTCCATTGACAGAAGCGTTTGTGGCCTAAAAGTTTGGACATTTGCATTTTTGTATAGCAACCATCTTTAAAAACAAAATTTTGAAGTTGTTCAAATAATTCTGAGCTCTTTTTAAAAAAAGTTTTTAAGGTTAGGGAGCTCGAATATGTTGTTTTAACTTTAGGTAAGTATGCTATTGTGAACCTTTTTTTCAATTTTTAATAGTTAAGTATGTTTCGAATACCGTATTTTACAAAAAAAAATTTAAAAACTTACCTTTTAGTGCACTGACAGCTCCATGATTTCTGCATCGTGCACACTTGGGAGTACGTTGGTTGCGCTCAGCCCGCATTCTCAATAACTTTTCCAATTCATTGTTGTTCATGGAGACTGTGCTTGAATCTGCCATTTTATATCTGAAAACCCAAATTGTAAAAAAAAAATTTTTTATTTTAAACTTAGGGTTTTTTACCGTATCTCAACAAGTTTGTCGCTTGAAAGTTTCAATACTTTTTACACAATTTATTAATAAGATTAGCGCTTATCACTAGTGGCCAAACTTATTCTCTTATCTTTGTGTCACGTTTACAATTAAAATCATAACATTACAGTAAAGAAGTTACAGTAAACTACAAAATTTATAAGAGTAAAGTAAGGTAAGGTAAAGTAAAGCAAATTCTAGCAACGTAAGAAAAAGTAAATTAAAATGTAATTCTCAATTAAACCTTAAAGCGTCAGTTCAAACAAGTTTGGCCACTCGACACTATGACCTCTCGCTCTGACTTAAACGGTGGTCGAAGGGCGGTCTCATTGGCTGACCATTCGCTCGTGTCAAGTGCAAGATACGATGACGGTAACCGAAGACAAATACACTGTTTTTAAACAAAAGTTTACAATGCTCACATACTTCAACATACGATAGGCAAAGTAGAAAGAGGGGGTTTTATTTGAATTATGTTTTACATATTTGCTGTAAAGTTAGCTATAATATGTTATTTGGATTTGACTTCTAGATCAGTCAAGTAGTCGGTAATGTCAAAGGTAAGATTAACAAATAGATATTACGTCTTTAATACATGTCCGCGTATTAGTGTACATAACATTTCAAGTAGGGGATATGTTTCGCTTATTTTTTGTGTAAATATATACTGAGAAACTATGTTCCAACCAAAAATAACCACCCCTTTCCTCTCCTAAACAAAAATAACCAACTCTTTTCACCCCAAACCAAAACCATTTGTCTGACCCTAATAAACAACAAGAACATCCCCTACCTTCTCCAAAAAATTACTTAACCCGCTTCAATTTCAAATTAACATTAACATAATATGTCGTTACCCATTTGATTTCCTATCCACTCAATTTGGACATAAGTCTGTCCTCCCCCTCCCCATATTCAAATTCGGCCCCACTTCAAGAGGCCGTTTATCACAGTCGACTGGCTTCAGTATGATACTTGACGTCGAGATGTTATTAATAATATTGCCTCTTCACTAGCTATAAGGATCGGCCGTCGCAACCTTTTTCTATACTTTAATATCACACATAAGAATACAGTATACAACTGGAAGCGACACGTCTATGTACATAGTTATATATTGCAGTAAAAACAATTTATTTATGGCACTCGAGTCGAGAAGAAGGTTCACGAAAAGATAATGTACATGTGAGGAAAGTACGGTAATGTAAAGTAGGGTAAATTAAAAGATAAAAAGTTGCACTTATAATAAGTTGTTCAAATGATTCTGTGCTCCTTACAACCAAAATTTTGAGCTAGTTTTTGAGATTAGAGAACGCATAATTATTTGAATAAACAGATAATTCAAAAAGTCTTAAAAAAGTTGACAGTGCATAAAATTGAATAGCACCGTACAAGACGTAAAAAGCAAAAAAAAATTTTTTAAATTGAAAAATATGTTATACTAAGTAAGTTAACAAGCCTAAACATCTACCTAAAATGAAACATGGACAATTTATTGCCAGATTTTGAAGTTTAGCCAGAACGAACTTTGTTCAACTCGATTTGTTCTTCCTTTTCGTCCATAAACTCAGAGATTCTGGAGCGAATCTGAAATTATACCAATTATTATATTAACGATGTTAATATAAAGTAAAAGCCTATTTTTACAAAAAAATGCGAAAAAATCAATAGTGACATTTTGCTATTTATGCCAAAATTGTGCTTATTTGAACTTTCTAAAAATTTTAAAGTAAGTTCAATAGTGGCAGTTCATCTATTAGATTGTTCAAATAATTCTCGGCCCTCTAAGCTCAAAGTTTGCTTTGTAAGGGAGCACAGAATTATTTGAACAACCTAGTAATTTAGAGCTAAAAATTATGTGAACAACAAAATATTAGGTCTAGAAGTTTGTATTTTCTTAACAGAAGTAAAAGAAATCAATAATAACACCTGAATTTAAAAAAAATTAAAAATTAATTTTGAAATTTCATCTTTTTAAAAATTTAGAAAAAGTCGATTGTGACACTTCGTTATTTCCAAATTAAAAAAAAGTTTTTTCTACACTTTTTCCTTTTAAAAATAGTTGGTTTTATCTTTAACGGCTTACTATACCCCCACTTACAAAAAAGTGTTACTGTACTTTCACTCAATAAATGTCTTATTGTACTTTCCCTCAATACATGTCTTACTGTACCCCCACTTACAATTCGCTTATCCTTTGCGCCAAACTTTTTCAAGCGGACAGCGACAAGTCGCGCGAACAGAACGTCTTCGTCCGTCGTCCATTCAGGTAATCGCTCATCCGCGAGGTCTTTGTCGCTGATTCCATTCAAGTTCAACAAGTTTGTCGCCTGATTCACTCCCACCGACATGGTTTTGGCCAGGGGTTTGAAGCCGCGCACTTCGGCCGTCCGCTCCTGCTTGATTTTGATGCCTCCGCCGCGGCGAACGAGGTAGGGCGGGTTGCGGTTGCGTGAGTTGGCTCGCGGCGTTTGGGACGGGTTGTTGGATACGGTAGCGCTGAGATTTCGTAAGACTGAACCCATAAAACTGAGAGATCCGTCGGGGTTGGTGAGGCCGGGCATGGACAGAAGAGAAGTGTCCAGAGTGAGTTGTTCTACGCTCTGGAAAGGCATGGGATATGTGAGGTTCTGGAGATATTAATAACAGTAGAAAAGGTATTTTAGTCGGGGCGACGAAAGAAATTAAGAAAGAATAGGCATTAAAATATAAAAGGATAAGTGAGTAAAGGGTAGAATAGGGTAAAAATTTAAAATTTAAAATTTTTTAAATTCATTAAACCAAAAGTAGCGGGACACTTTTCATTTTTTCAGTTAAAAGCTGTCCCGATACTTTTGGTTCAACCTAAGATAAACGCAGCAACCCTACCTGTCCACTCTCACTATTACTACTGCTTTCGTCACTCTTGATCGGTTGACTTTCATGCTCTGGCGACGCACTTTGATTCCTGACATGAGAACTGGCACTACTGCCAGCTTCAGAAGCGGTCGTAGAGGAAGGCTGTACATTAATATGCACATCCCCATCTTCACTCGTCGAAGCGACAGCACTGTCAGGCGGGGAATATTCTCCATCATCTCGTCGCTGCAAATGCTCAAAGGCCGTCGATGAAGCTGCCATTATGTTTTGAAGCAGTGAATCCGTATTCACCGTGTGCTGGTAGGAGAATTCAGAAGTTTCTTGATTCTCGTTTGGGAACGGATTCCACAATTGGCTTTGCTTGGCTTCAGAAAACTTGTGAAGGGATTCGAGGATGTTTTTCTCGGTGGATTCAAGTTTACAGCCCAGGAAAGTGGGATGTAGTCCGGCTGATTTTGAGTCTTTTAGGTATGGGTCGAGCCAGCTGAGTTTCTCAAAGTAGGGCCATTTGGGCTGGGTCATGTTGCGTAGTGCCATTTTGAGCTCTTTGCGGTAACGGTCTCGCATTTGGAGCCAACGTTTCTTTGCGAATTCGCCTGAAAGGATAACTTAAACAAAAATTCAAAAATTCAAAAATTTTTTAAAAAAGTGAGCCATTGCATGTCGTATCTTACAAAAAATTTGGCACAAAAATCAAGTTTAATTTAAAAAACTAAAAAAAGTTTAAAAATGAATAAATAATCTTACCAGTGACGTTTTCATCGATCCTGCGCGCAATCACTTCCCACATCATGTTTCGTTCCTCATTGTCCGTACACACCCGATGTTGTTGATCGTACAACTCCGGGTGATTCTGAACCTCACGAATTAAAAGTTCGTTAAAAGTTGGCGGCCGGTCACTCATTTAGGCCTATTTTCAAGTTTTCTACAATATTATAGTAGGTTAGACAATGGTTTCTTTTGTATTATAGTAAAGCGAGTTTTATAGTACTAGCTGTAAACAGTTTTTAGTGATATTGTAGGCAGTTTAAAGAATAGTTTATAGTATTAATGTACTAAACTAACAATGAAAATTAACAGTATAGTACTAGAAGATGTTTTGAAGGTAGTACTGGGAATGCAGCTTAGTACAGCAATACACAAAATTTCAATACAAGTATAAAGTAAAAGTACAATCGCGAGTACAGTAATTTGTGTTGTAGTATTAGCAGTATCAACAAATACAACCAATAGTACTAAAATTTTTAAAAAACGCTTTGTACAGTACTAAAACTCAAAAAAATGCCCTAAATAGCACCAAACTTCAAAATCTGCCTTCAATCGTACAACAACCTCAAAACTAGGTCCGCCAAAACGCGTCGCACGTCCAGCAGTACAGTAACCCAATTAGGGAAGCGTGATTAGCGCGCGCCCCTGCCTCTACTGGACTGATAAAAAGACGGAGGAAAACGAGGTGTGGTCGCGCGGGGCTGAGGGATAAAACGAGGATGCGGCCCGCCGAAAACCCCCCATCCAACTGCTGTTAAGCAGATCCGAAAAAAGGAAGATGCGTTGAGGAATCCGCGAAGACGCGTCGCTGAAGAATGAAGATGACACCCCAGAACAGGCGACGGCTCGCCAACTTCCTTTTTTTCTTACGTCTTTTCTTTTCGACCGCTTTTTTTCTTTGGCTGCCCGGTTCGGCGGTCTGTGCCGTGCCTGTTTTGTGCTGACGTTCTTTGATTCTTCTGTGGCTTCTTTTTCTTTCTCTTCTTCTTCTTTTACTTCTTCTTCTTTTTCTTGTTACTATTCTTCCTTATTCTTATCGTTTGCTTGTTCTTTTACTGATTATCGTTCTCTATATTGGCTTCTTTATTTATTGTTTCCTCCTTATTCTTCTACTACACCTTCTATCTTCTCTGTCTCTTCTCTTTATTCTTTGAAATTCGTGTACCTTCTACATCCTCAAATCTCTATTCCTTTCTTTCCTTCTCTACTACTTCATTATTCTCTTGCTATCTCCTCCAATTTCCCCCACTTTCCATTCTCCTCTAAACTCTCCCTTTTCCCGCTAGCTAGACGGCAGGCTCGGCGCCAAATCTGGACCGTCGCCAAACCAAATGGAATCAAGGCTTTTTTCGAAAAAAGAAAAAGTTCGGAACCGGCTCGGTTCGTGGATATCACTCACGCTTTAGCTAACGAGTTGCCGCTGCGGAAAGATGATGAGTCGATGATGAACAGGACGGACGTGTCGCGCAATCCCCAAAAAGTTTATCACCGCTTCCTTGAAGCCGGCGCGCTCTCCGTTCGCCGTGCGTAACGGGTTTGCGAAGGAACCAGTCTTCATCACTCAGACTTATGTAATCCATGTGAGTGATAAACAAGACGGAATCGGTGGTTTGCATGTTGTTCATACAAGCCGATGCTTTAAAATGACTTTGACAATGTTATAGGGAAATAAGAACAAATGCAATGGTAATATATATATAAGGGGCAAAATTACATTGTACCTAAAATTTTTTGTAATTACCAATCAAGTCAAACATTAAGCCCTTAATATATATGAAAATAGCAAACCTCGAAAAGAGAAGCAAAGTTATAGTAGAAATTAGTCAAATTTACGGTAAAATGAAGACAAAAATACAGTATGATTAGAGTAAGACTAGGTAGGAATTGTAGACCCTGAAGGTAGAAAAAAGAGAGATCAAAGGTAGGGGCTAGGGTATAACTAAATTAAAACTAATATAAAGCTAAGTTTAGAAGAGGTTTTGCAAAGTTAGGCCAAGGGTATAGTTAGGGTAATAGCAGTGTAAAACTAAGAGGAAAGGTAAAGCAAAGATAATACTGGGCCAAAGTTAAGCAAAAAGTTTTGTCTTTGGTAGCCGAACAGTAAAGTTGAGTATTTTTAAATTTTTTTTAAAAACTAAGTTGAAATAAAAAAAATAATTGTTTTTTTCAAATTTTAAAAACAGCTTCTAGCGCTACTTTTGGCATAGTATTGCAATTTATAAGCACAGCTTTTATTAGCTTAAAACTAACTTTATTGGTTATCTTGTTGATTATTTTTATATTACTTCAATATACAGTTTAACGCTTTATTTTTAAATTTCAAGTTAAAATACATAAACTACAAGACTTCCAGTTATCTCATCATTAGTAGCATCTTCTTTTATGCCGTAAAGTGCCGTTGATGACGTTATCGAGAGGCATAACGGAAGCCGGTTCTTCTGGTCGCTTCAACAAACTTGTTTTCCTCTTTACGGCCTTGACCTACAACAAGACTGTAAGTCAGTTGTTTTTTCCCTGATGGTCGCACCTAGATGGATGGATATCAAGCAGAACCACGCGTTTCTCCGCAAAAAAACGAACGAAAAGGAGGGAAAGTGCCTCAGGGTTTATGGGTCTTAATTTCGAGTTCCGGCTAAAGGTGAGCTCACTGACATTGACATATGGTTCAGTTGTGATTTTATGAATGTTAAGTGAGAGTTGGTGAATTATGAAAGTGATTAACATCAACATGAGGTCGAATGATATAGAAAGAACTGAAGAAAAAAAAAGAGAAAGAGGTATGGTAAAAAAAAGTAAAGATAAGGCTCGGGCAAAGCTATATAATAGATGAGACTGAGATAGATCTAAAACTACAGTATGCCTTTGTTTGCAAAATCCTAAAACAACTCTCAAAACTCGAGTCATAATTTTACCGCACTTCCTTTCATGTAAATTACAAGACAAACAATTAGCGATCCGAAGTCGGTTGTAATCGCCACCAGATGCAGAAGCCGACTTCAAACATTCGCCCGCCATTGACACACGAAGCGATCTTGTTTGAGGAAGTGGATTTAATGCCGGAAACGGCCTTGTCCGAACGTTTTCGCGCCCGATCATCGAAGAAGTGTCCGACCGTCAAAGAAATGCTAAAAAAAGTTCGGGAGCGGGCGCGGCTTTCATGTGACAGTCGGCTGTTACGTAATTTCACCTCGACTAAACTTTTGCGACCACTGATTATGATTTATGGCCGATCGAAGGACAAAACCTTTATTAAGCCGCAATCACTTTACCGCCTTGATTTGAATAAGAAATTAAGGTTTATTGACTGGCTGTAGCTTTGAGATAATGAACTGATATATCTTATTACATTATGTAATATAAAAAAGGTAAAAACAAACGTTTAATTGAAAGAAGATACAAATAACACATGTTTTTAACACTATTTTACTTTGCTCAAGCAGACTTTGTATATGCCTAGGGGCTGGGGGTAGACATAAAAACGGCTGGCTCGGTTCTCAGGCCCTAAAGGGCCCTGTATAAATTTTGTTCAGGGGCCGCCCCAACCCGAATTTTTTTACGTGCAAACGGGGGGAGGGTTTTTCGGGTTAGACCGGGCCGGACATTTATTTTCAAACCTGGCCCGATCTAAATTTGGGCCAAGGCCGGCCCGGCCCGTTCTTGATTAAAAGCTAGCTATTGATCATTTTTTAATTTTAAAATTTTTGATTTTTAGGTAGCAAGAAGGTAAAGTACTTTTTTTACATGAAATACGGTTTCTTTTCATTATGAGTAAATACTTTTATTTCAAAACCATACAGTAAAAAATTTAACCTTGACAGTCTCCAACTATATTTAACCATTTAAAATCTATTTAACTACGTTAACATCATAAAATTAAGAAATGTCATTAAAACCGCAGAATAGCCTTTTTTGCACTTGAATTTATATTTTTTGCTTGACTTTCCCCATTCGAATTGATTTTAATTCGTCGCTCGAAGTGACAGTTTCATGAAGCCGGTTGGCTGTTTTGTTGGCCTTGAACCGAGTGTTCTTAAAGAAGATTTATCGGCCGTTCTGGCCACAGATTTGCAAGCCCTGTCCTTTTGCAGGGTACTCAAAGGATTTGCGGGCTTTTTTCTTGTAGTGTGGCCATATATGGCCTTGCTATGAGACGATGGCGGTTTGAGCTATAAGGTTATGAGGTTGAGATTAAGGTTGGAGAAAAGTGGAGAAGTTTTATTGTGTAAAACAAGGTACAAAATGATTGATTAAAAAGCCATGTAACCGAACTTTCGGCGCACCCTGTATTTTTGAATTTTTGTAAATTTAGGTAACAAAAACTTAAAATTAAGCAAAAAAAATTTAAATTCAAGTTTTGTGACAAAAAAAAGTTAGGTAACAAAGAACAGAAAAGTTATGGTAAAGTAACGAAAAATTTTAAATTTAAGTTTAGGTAACAAAAACTAAAAATAAAAAAAAATTTTTTTTGCGAATTTTTAAAACTTTTCTTGATGCACTAACTAGCCGATTTCTTGATGCACTAACTAGACTTAAATTGGAAATTTAAAATCATTTAGCCAAACGACCAATTCAAAATTAGGCCCCAAAATCGCGCCCGATTTGGCCTGAAATCGAAACCAATCCCGCCTTTAGCATGACCTTAAATCCCAGCGTTTTAAGCGCCTTTTACGGTAATTAGTGCGCAAGGTTTTTTATAAGGCAACAGTCGAGAGTGCGGCCTTTTCTTTGTAGATTTGCATGTCGAGAACTCCTGAATAAAGTGGAGTGCAATCGTATCTCGCACAAAGCCATTTTAAGGAAAGCGACTTGGCTAGTAATCCGTTCGTTTTGTATGACTTTGAGGCTAAATTCGCGCTTTTAATGCTTTGTTTTCTAGACATGAAGAAAGGGTTAGTTTTGTTAACTTTAAGTTTTATACGGTAAGCTACGCCTGGAGATGGGCTAGAATAGAAATAGGACAGGGCAGGGATATAGAGAGAAAAAATTGAGTTTAGGTAAGGTTAGAATAAAGCGATGGTTCACTATAGTAAAGCAAAAACTGATTTTTTTAGATTTATTGTAAGGCCATGGCATAGGTACAGTAAAATTAGTAGCACTAAGGTACGCTAAAAAAATTTAAGGTATGATATGGCTTGATATGAAATGGCGAACATTAAACTACGGGAAGGTATACAGTCAAGCCACTTTAGTATGACACTGAAGGGACTGATCTTAACCTGTCGGTACAACCAGTGCGTTACACTACTTGGGTACTTTTAGATATGGATTCTAGCACAAAGGTAAAAAGAAGCTGACATTATAAGGGGGCTGACACACTATTATGGGTCATACTAAGAGAGAGGTTTTACTGTAATAAAATTGAGATCGTCATATAAAAACTTTGGGTTAAAATGGTCTGATTAAGGACGAAATACAGAATATGGTAAAGTTATAATAAAGTAAAGCTAGGTTAAAAAAGTAATTAAAAAAAGTTTAAAATCAAACCGACGATAACAATATGCTAAGTCAAAAAAATTTAAATACTTTTCAGCGTTGATATTTACTTTGTCCTTCCTCCAATTTCTGTCAAAACCTACTTTAACCTAAATCAAAACAATAAAAATGCAATTCGCTCGCATATCACCTTTCCATTGTTTTCCTGACACATTAACTAATAAGCATATCTGGCTACAATATTATTGCCAGATGTTATGTAAGAGGATTATATTATCGCCCACTTCCAAGCTTGGCTTAAACTGGACTGGTTTTAGCTACTGGCTATGTTTTGGAATAAATATTTTAGTCAAGGTTAATCTGAAAAAGTGTGGATTTTGAGTCTAGTTAATACCTTATTTTGACGCCAGTTGATACGTATGTTTACTGTATTGTATTTTGTGAGTTTTTAATATTTGATTGGTGTAAGTGGCGTATTTTACAGAAAAGACCTTTACTTTGGGCTTTGAGTTGATATTTTTTATTAACATTAACTGTAGTGTGATTACTGTAACATTTTTCAATAATTTTTAAAACTTTTATTTTTTTTATAAAACAAAATTTATATTTCTAACATAGTTAACATGATCCTATCTTGACGCATAATCCGTCAAAACAAAAACAAAAATTTGGCGCGCGACCTGATCCTGACACCGTGCCCGAAACCAGAAGAAGACAGACGGCTTCTGAAAATATATTTTTTCGTTGCTCAGCTGGAGACATTTCGCGCCACCTCGACGTGTGCCTCCAAGTTGATTAAAGCCTACTCGATCAAAGTCAATTTACTTAACCATGTCATATTCTCTTCGAATCATGACCGTTTCTTGTTTTCGGTTTGTGACATGTTTGGGGTCGATTGGTGTATCATTAAGAGTTGAGTTGGGGTCAGTTTCTATGAAAATTAAGATTAAACTTGAATTTTATTTTGAAATTTGGTCTAACTAGGTAAAGCAAACAGCGGTAAAACAAAGCTAAGATAGGCCAAGAGACAGAACAAAGACAGGACTGCAGAATAGAGCTAGGGTAGTGTCAAAAAAGGGCTGAGGTGAATCTTAGTAAAGTCAGTACGATAGAATTAGGAGAAAAGATAGGCTAGACTAGAACTAATAGATTAGGAGTAGTGTAAGGCTAGGTTAAGGGAAAAGGTTGGCTAGGGAATGTCACCAAATATGTCTCAGATTTTTGAACAAGAGCTGTATAGGATGAAAAAGCATAGTAAGTTACTGAGAAAACTGTTTTTAAAAACTGCTAAGTGCTTTTGGCTAGCGAGATGTTAGCGGCTAAAGAATTCAGGTAAAAAACTCTTTGAGACTTCTTTGTCGTAGGTGCAGAAGGTGATGAACTCGAATCTCATTTTGGCGTCTTGCTATTATGAAGAATATTTTATACCGTTCTCTAGTGAGACTACCTCTCGGTTAATGCTGATTTTAAAGCTAAAGTAGTTTTTTTTCTATCTTTAGTACTGCATATTAACTAAGACATACATATTATCTTACTCACCCCCAAAGATTGATATGTTTACCACCCCCTACTTCTTAATTATGCCCATTTACCATGTAATTCCAATTTCGTATTTTATGAGACTGTAATTTTCCATGCGCAGCCGAATTTTGGCGCGTGGGCGTGACAACGGCGCGCGAAACGGTGCGACGGGGGTGGGATTCGGAGGGCGAGATCGCATTTTCATTTTATTTCGTAGCCAAATTCAGAGCAAGGCATGTCCTCGAAGATGCGATCTGAGCCCAAGAAATCGACCGTGCATTTGAAGTGTCGTGACAAGGTGGAACGACGAAACGCCCGGGAACGGCACCGAGTTAAGGCCGTGAACCGAGGCTACGAGGATCTGGCTGTTATGGTAAGTATTGGTTACGTAAAGGTGTTTTACTTTTATCTTTAAATTGAAAAAAAAATTTTTGTACTTTTTGAGTAAAATTTTTATTGTAAAATACGATTTTATTTAAAAAAATAAAAAAATATAAAAATAATTTAAAACTTTGCTTGCTAATAGGATAATATTCAAAATTTTTCAGTTAAACGAATGGGAGGTGTACAAAAACAAGAAGCTGACGAAAGCCGATACTTTGAAAGCAGCCATAGAGTATATAAAGCATTTGGAGTCGATCCTAGGAGCAGATGGGTCTACGCCAATACTAAAGGACGAGCGTTTATCAGCCAGTTCATCTACTACAACATCGCCCTACTCAGCGACCTCACCCTTTTCCGCGACTTCGCGACAACAGAGCCCTTATCAACAGTACTCTCTACAAGACGGCTATCAGATGTACAGTATGAAGCCGGAAATGTACGGTGGAGTGAAACAGGAGATGGCACCGGGACAGTACTATTATGGTCAACAGTTCTTTCAACAGTAGTGGCAGGGTACTGTGGAAGTCTTGTAGCGCTGTAGAAGTAGTGTAATAATGTAGGTGACAAAACTATTAAGTTTATAGTATCTATAAAGCTTTCTTTTTTGATACTGTATACTAAGTTGACGATTATAGGTTACTGTAATGTTTTTACTTTATTTGAAATTTTTATTTTGTATATGTTATTTAGTAGTACATTAAAAGTTAATGTCGTATTTTACGTTGTATACAAATATCTTGCTCATACTGTAATTTTTATCCATATATCTCTTTTTCCTACTGTACTTTTTAAAGTTTTAATTATATTAAACGTATATTTTTTTACATTTTTTATGTTAATGTCATTACTTATTGGCCTTACCTTCCAACTCTCAATTTAAACTCTGTTTGTACACATTTATATTCGTTTATACTGTCAACATTAATATCATAAACAACGGGTAATTCTAGAATTTTGCTGTTTGCCTTAATTAGACATAAACTCTGAATAATGACAAGAATCTCGGGCGTTTATTTGTTTGCCATGGCCAAACACGACCAAGCCAGCCTGTCATTAAGGCCGATCGTTGGGTAATATAAGGGCATGTTTATCCAAGATATTAGGTAAAAGGTATTCGGAGAGGGGGGGGCTTCTTAATTAACTGGTTTTGTTAAGCCGGGCAGGGCAGGAAGAATTAGTTAAATATAAAAGCATAGGGTAGAGTAGGATAGGGTAGGGTATGGTAGGATAGGGTAGGATAGGGTAGGGTAGGGTAGGGTAGGGTAGGGTAGGGTAGGGTAGGGTAGGGTAGGGTAGGGTAGGGTAGGGTAGGGTAGGGTAGGGTAGGGTAGGGTAGGGTAGGGTAGGGTAGGGTAGGGTAGGGTAGGGTAGGGTAGGGTAGGGTAGGGGTAGGGTAGGGTAGGGTAGGGTAGGGTAGGGTAGGGTAGGGTAGGGTAGGGTAGGGTAGGGTAGGGTAGGAATGGGGAACCCATTAAGCATGGGTTCCCCATTCCAATCCTGGTTAAAGCTGCACTCTGTCAAAGTGTTTATTATGAGATTATGCAAGTTTGTTGTGGGATTAAGCCGACTGAAGAGATCTTGTAATGTAGGTCAGGGCGTGTTGCAAAAACAACTAGGCTACCGAAAATAAAGACCGAAAGAGCCGGAACCCCAGGAGACCAATATCCAGAAGTTTTTTATGTACAACACCGTCTTAATGACTTCGGGTCAATCAGGGCACTAGGTAAAGCAATATTGGGTCACAAAAAGCTAGGATTGGTCTCTGGAGAAGGATTGACCGGCAATTAGGAGTTGAAGAATGTAAAATAAAGTAAATATTTAAAATATGAATTTAATAAAAATTTTTAAAGTAAATCATCTTTATAAGTGTTATCAAAAGAAGAGGCTATTTTTGATTACAGTATATAGATTACAGGTAAAAATTTGCCTTATTGGTTGGTTTGTTGCATGAAAATAGAGCATGGTTAAACAAAGGTACTGCAGGCTACAAGCATTTTTTGTTTTATACCAAGAAATTGCTTTAAAATATCATAAAACACTTCACACCCACCAATCATCCCCTCACACCTCAATTAAACAAACAAAACCGATTATTCAAATTAATCCTTGGACCGGTCATTCCCGTCCGTTGCCTGCATAATACCTTCACAGTAGACATATAATTACTCTCGTACAATTAGACATTGAATATTCATTGTTGTCAAATCGACCGGACAATATCCATTCAATAACAATATCTCCCCAACGACATTTCCGGAAGAATTCGCGCATTAATTTGCATAATGTTTGTAAAGTTGTCAGCGGGTGATTGCCATAATTGTCACTGTTTATTATTGTTTTTATGGCCCCACGAGAAAACAATAAACTTCGGGAGTGGATTCGATTACGGGCAGGGAAATTGCACCGTTTTTAGGGGGAGTTTAAGGTTGAGACAATAGGAAGATTCTATAAAGGGGTGGTAATTGGTGAAAGCATAATATGTTTGAAAGTAAGTCTAACAAAGGCGTTTGGTACACCTTTTAACATCTTTTTTGTAAAACGCAGTTTAAATTCGACTAAAATTTACATTGTAAACAGTTTTTTATAGTCATAATACAAAGCTTTTTAGTACTGTAGTTTAAAAATTTCAAACGTGATTCCTGGGTTTAGCTCTACGAGCTCTTATACCGTACTATCTCTCTACAAGCAACCTGGAGGGACCAAAATTTTGTGTTTACTATAGGGGAAGTTCTCATTACAAAGTGATTTTCAGTGCAAATTGAGTTGGCGTGGCCAAATTTCTTGTTTACTGTAAGGAGAGTTGCTTATACAGATAGTTTAGTACATATTTAGACCAGTGTAGTTAATATTACAGTAGCTTCATTTCTTCTTCTAGCTTTGGTATTACTTTGAATATCAGTTCTAAGCTTTTATACTGCACGTCTAGTTTCTAAAACTAAATTTAATTGCCGGTCAATCCTTCTCCAAAGTCCAATCCTAGCCTTTTGTGACCCAATATTGCTTTTCCTAGTGCCCTGATTGACCCGAAGTCATTAAAGCGGTGTTGTACATAAAAAACTTCTGGATATTGGTCTCCTGGGGTTCCGGCTCTTTCGGTCTTTATTTTTAGTCGTCTAGTTGTTTTTTCAATAAGTCTTGACCTGAACTATTGAGTATTGAATAGTGTTGTTTCTTATGGCCGCTTTTGACTATATATTCTAATTTTAGCATTTTTATTTAGTTAGTTATAGCTGTTTTTACTTAGTCACTGTATTACCAATTCATTTTCTTGATGGTGATAAAGTGCTTAGCTAAGCATTTAATTCTGATGCCAGAATTCATTACTTCCCAATAATAGCAAAAAAAAGCCATGCCCAACCAAAAGGTCTAATTGTCCCCAAAAAAAGGCAATAAATCCGCCGTTCACGAGAAAATCCGGCTAAAATACGGCAATAAAATGGTTGATTCTCGAGAAGATTGCGTGAACAATCGAGAGTTGCGCAAGCACGCACATCTGTCTCCGAGAATGTAATATGTACAGGTTTACAATGCAATAAATCCGCGGAAGGGCAATATTTAATTAGTCATGCCCACTCAATTCTCAAGTGGCAGCTAATACTGTACTTGATATCTAAAGTTCAGGATTGGGCCTAGCATCAGAAGGGCCTTATTGTACTTGATATCGAAAGGGTAATACTGTACTTGATATCTAAACTTCAGGATTTGGCCTAGTACCAGAAGAGTCATATTGTAATTGATATGTTAGATTTGGATGTTGATTTTGAATCTTTTTATTTAAAAAAATTTTAAAGAAGGGGAGGTATTTTGAGTTCAATGGTAAAAAAATGAAAAAAAGAAGGGGAGGGGTGTAAGCAAAGACCGTAACAAAATTTAGATTCTTTGAAAATTTTTTTTGTAGTGAGTTTATATAGTCTTTTTAGTTAGTACTAGACACGAGAAATATTTTTCAAGCCCGATCCGCGGGCCGAACCTAGATGTTAGGCCCGGTCCGATTGAAAGTTTGCTCAGAGCCGGCCAGGCCCAATGGCAGGCTTGGGTCGGGCCGGGCCGGGCCGAACTTTTTTTTACTTAGAAATGAGCCGGACTCGACCCATTTTTCAAGCCCGGCTTGATCGAAGTTTTGCTCAAGACCGGCCCGTTTCTCATGTCTAGTTAGTACCGTCCAACTTGTGCTTCTTATTTTTTGTAATTCAAAACTTAAAAAAAATTTAATTTTTAATTTTTCAACTACAATTTACACCTCCCATTCACCAAAACAACGAAAATTCGAATAAAAGTCCATTGACCTTATTAATCTCATAATTTCCACCCATTCTTGGCGCATTCTAATTAAGTAAATGCACAGTCAGGCCGTCCGTTTCCTTTTAGCGCGCTTCTGGTGTCAGCTGGTGGGGGGTGGATTCAGGTAGATCGTTCAAGACAATAGGTTCCGGTCCAGTCGTTATAGCAACCCAAATGAACGGGTATGAAGGAGGGGTAAGGATAGGTATAAACTGGTATAAGAGTAGGTAAAAATGAATATAAAAATAGGTTTGAAAAAGTGAAAAAAGACTATGAATATATAGAAAAAAAGAAAAACAGACAAATAAGACAAGAATAAACTAGACAAATAGCAAAATTAGGTACAAAAAGGGAAAGAACGGTAAGAAAAGACTTATCAAAGTCCGAAGGTAGATAAAAACAACGAAAAATAGGCTTAAAAACCTTTGAAAAAATAAATGAAAAAACTTAAAATAAGCCTAAAGACTCATAAAACTAGGTGTAAAAAAGACCAAGACAAAAAACGGCCAAATCCCATAATTCCACTTAATCACACATCTTTCGCGCACTCAATGGCCTCTTACTGCCACCTAATACCTATGTTATTCTCATGTTACGGCTTATGTTTCTTCTAATGGAATGACTCGGATCAAACCCGCACTTGAGCTTTGACATGTCAGTTTTGATGGTGAAGAGTAAAAGAAAAAGATCACAATTAGAGATGAAAAAGAACCGTTTTTTTACCCTACCCACCCTACCCTATCCAACTTCACCGTTTTCTGCTTTACTCTACCATACACTAATTTAACGTGTCCTTACCTACTTTACCATGCCCTGTTTTACCTTTTTTAAGACATATCATTTGGTAATATTATTGTATGTTAACAAGCATGACCTTTTAAGCTTATAGTATCATAAAACAAAAATCAAAACCCGGCCGATGGCGCGCCATTCCTTCTCGAACGCCATTCGATCGCTTAATAAGCCAATTTTATAATATTCGAAACGAGGCGATTAAAGCGCCGCCAAACAAACTTGAAACCTGATGTTTTGACCCCCCGCCCGTCGTAAATTAACATACGACGGCGTTCGTATCGCATACAACAAGTCGACAGATTTACAGCAGTCGTGTGCCGCCAAAGCGACGATTAACGTCTTTACCTCAAAAGATGGTTAATATGATATTACGCGCCATCTACCTCAATATAATAGTTGGCAAATTACAGAGTAAAGCACTGCGAGATTAGATCATCAACAAACTTTGCGGATTGGCGGTGGGATTAATTGATCAAGATAGAGGGGTTAGCCACACTTTTAAAGGTAAGAGGGAAATATGGAAAAATAATTAGGTATCTTACTGTTACTATATAGTCGAGAGAAGAAAATTGATTTTACGCCTTTGGAAAAGAAGGTACAGCAGTCTCTCCATATAATGAACCACCTGTATAAGCAACTTTCCAGTAGACAAGAAATGCCAGTCTCTTCTGGCTGCTTATATGTAAAGAGTACTGTAATTTGAAAAACATAAAAATCAAGAAGTCAGGACATAATAAACTTGAAAAGAAGAACATTAGACCCAAGCCGTCACATGCAGGCCCTACGACTGAGACTCGAAACAGATCTCCTAGGACGAGCTTAGGTACCGCAACGAAAGATTTGAATTGCAAAAGCTGTCATAAGCAAAATTGAAAAGAGACGCGTCAAAAAATTTGCTCAGCCTCTGTGCAAGTTTAGGTTATAAAATACCTCATTGAAGTCTTTTTCAAACTTTGTCTTGTAAAAATCTTAAAACTAACCTCGCCTGCCGAAGATCAACTTTTATCCTTAACCCTAAACCTAAACTACCAAATATATCACAAATTGATTAAAAATTTATTCTGAAGTTACTAAAAAATAGATATTTATTAACTTCGATCGCTGCCACTCCCATTTTGGGATTAGATTAATTGTCTTCGTTCAAATCGTTGTGAGCCACATCTCTCACTTTTCGTGCATGAATCTCGTTTCCGGTATTCAAGACCAACTAAATTACAATCGTTTTAGTATGCAAAAACGTTTAATTTTTAAATTTGAAAAAGTATTCAAATTGATCTTAAAAGTTAAAAAAAAATTATAACAGGTTCGGACCACTCCCTTTAGTCTGCTCTGTACAATGTCCCAGGAAGAGTAGAAAGATTTATAAAGCAGCCCGTTGGCGAGCCTTTGCCCATTTACGTAAACAACTTCTCTCAAATTTTTTTTAATTTTAAAAAATCTAACGGTAAGTTACATAAATTTTCATAGTCTTTTTAAATTTTTTTATCTTCCCCAGACTTTGTTTACTCTTCTCCTCCTAAAACAAAACTATCCACAAAGCCTTGGCTATCTTAAACGTCACTTCTTCTATATAAGCTTGATGTTAACTTTGGCTAAAGTTGTTTTTTCTTAAAATTAAAAAAAAACTTTTATCTTGATTCTATAGCATACAAATTTCAAGATATCCTATTTTACTCACCTCATCTCCATCGACACTCAATTGAGCGATGGTCAAGCCAAAAATCGACAGCAAAACGACCAGAACAGCCAAGAAGTTCATGTTTGAAGTGAAGTCAGTAATTCTGACTGACTTTATTTCAAACTAAGTTCAAAACAGATTCCGAAGCCCTTCCGACTGAATTCTGAAGCTCTTCCGACTAAAATCAGATGAAAATCTGGATTCGGAAGTGAACTGAAGGCAGGAATGGCGTCGGAAAGACAAACGGATTCGGGTCAGCCGATAGAAGTTTTTCCTTTTCTTTATTAACGTTACAACTGATTTACAAATAAATGGATAAATACGACGATCCGAGGGATCTGGTAACCCGTTTTTACAGATAAAATGTCATGATGACACAAGCTTTCGACATAATTAATGTTATGAACACATCAGAGATGGTGGCGAAGGTGCTGTGAAGGTGATATACATAATAATGGAACTTGGAGTATGAGCAATTATGAAATGGCATTTTGGCTATGAATGGATATAAAGTGGCATTTTAGATAAGAATAGATATACAATGGCATAAATGTTATAAAATGAAGATAAAATGGCATGATGAAGATTATTAACTGAAGACAAAACGATGTAGAAGATAAAAATGTACACATAAACAAAAAGTAGGTAATACTGAGAGTAAACTTGAATATATGACTACAGATGTTGTGATATATGTAATAAACTGTAGATAATATTATTAAACAACTTTTAAAATAAAAAAACGATTAAAAAATAATAAAAATGGCAATAAAATCATACAAAATCAACTACAGACATTATAACAAGTTATATATTAATATAATACAAACTTAAAAATAATATAAGACTTGATATAGACATTGATATAATTATAAAGTAATAAAAAACAAATTTAATACATAAACTAAAATATATTAAAAAAGCTATATTTAGAAGAATATTAATGTATATGCACTCTTTTCATCACAGGATCCTACATTACTTTGGTATTTACATCGTGACATCGTTTTACATCCAAACACATACAAATTGTCATAAGTTTGTAGAGTAATATAGCAATAGAGGCAAGCTATGTTATCTATATTAACCATAATGTTATAAGCTGGGTAACATAAACCCATGCTATTAGAGAACAAAGGTTCATATGATTCCATAACCTTATATCAAATCATAGAACGATACCATAGCTAGGTTAACACCATATAAACAACACCGTGCTTTAACCAGAGGAGTACTGTGCTAAAGTTAAGATAGCACAGAGCTCAACAACAGTACCGTACTCTAATTAGCCACCTCATCAGCGCCTCCAGAACAATGTGCGAACGTATAGCCCATCTTGTGCGATGGTGATGGTCCACAACGGCCATTCAGACTGCCGTTCGAGTATAATGAGGTTGGTGATGTTGACCTCAACGAAATCTGATTTAACGAGTTGTAGCTGCCATATGTGTTGGAATGTTTACGACAAACCGGCTTCGGAAGTTCTTCGCACGATGAAGAACGGCCTGAAGCCAACGAGTTCAATGAGTTGATCGATGTGGATCGTCGACGGACTCCGTGCTCTAAAAATGGAAAGTAAAGGCAACGTTTATATAAGTAAAGAAACAGTTAAAGTTGTTTTTACAATTGCTATGATAATATAGATAAAAAAGCTGATTTTTCTATCTTCTTTTTAATGATTTGTTACCTAAAAATTTTATTTTTGGTTTCTTTTCAATTTTTTTCCTAAAGTCTATTTTTACCTTCATTTCAATCTCCTTTCAATTCTTTCTTTAACATTTTGTTACTCAAAAATCTAATTTCACGTTCATTTCAATAATATTTTACCTAAAATCTATTTTTACTCTGTAAATTCTCAAAAACATTCCACTGTTTCACACTTTCAAGAGCAAAAACAAGATCAACAGCCAACAGACGATCAAAACCTTAACCACCAATTGAAACTTGATCTCTTGATTACGAAATTCACATTTTTGGCGTTGTTTCAACCGTCCTTGACATTGTGAAATCATTTTTAAAAACGGAAATATTACAAAAGGTAACACGTGGTTTTTAAAGATTTTGTTTACAATTTATAATTACTCCCTAACTTCATTAAAATACCTATATTTGTTTCGAAAAACCGCTATTTTTGTAGGTTGAAGATAGGCTTTTATCAGAAATTTTAAAATTTTTAAAAAGTTGGTTGAAAAATTAGAAAAAAAAAGCCAAAAATTGTGAAAAAATTAAACTTTAGTTAATGTTTTTAATGTCTAATCAATTGTTTTGTGTTTTAAACCCCTTATCAGTCACATCTTATGCTCTTAAAGTGCATCAACATAACAATCAAACCTTTAGGCTATCAGAGTTTTAAAAATCAAAAATAATATTATCTAAAATGACATTTTTAAAACTATTTTAATTTTTAAAACTATTAAACCAAAAAAATTCAAGGCTTCTATAGATAATTAAGAACCCTAAGTTTAACCTCAAATGACAAAACCCTAGGCTTAACCTAAAGTGACAAAAACCCTAGGCTTAACCTAAAATGACAAAAACCCTAGGCTTAACCTAAAATGAATAAAAAAATTATGTCCAATCGTGACAAAGTAAATATGACCTCATTCCCTTACCTGTCATGTCATTTGATCGACATTTAAGCATGTCTTCGAACCTGACGGGCGATGAAAACACTCGACCGAGTATCACAATACAAGTCAACATCGAGCTGATCGTACAGCAAACAAGAGCAACTGGTGGTACAACAACAAACTGAAAAATAGAATTTTAGGTAATAAATTTAATTTTTTCTCAAACTATGCCCAGCCCTAAAAAATTTTTTAATTTTTAGAGCCCGGACCCACTTTTGAAGCCCGGCCCTGGCCCAAATGTTTAGACCGCTTCAACTTTAGCTCAAGGAGGCTCCTCAGCCCTAGCATTAAATAACTTTTAACCTTTACTAGTACTATTTATCTAAACTCCCTAATAATAAAAGTATAACAAAGATAACTCACCAACGAAAACAAGAACTTTTTCCTATGTTGTTGCCATGCGTATGTGTAGAAGATGCTTCCAAATAGGGTCCATAGTGCTAACTGTGCTTGAAGAATATCTGTGAAAACGGAGGTGGACTTCTGTTCATTTGAGTCACTTGAGGCCTATAATCATACAGAAATGAGCATAAAACTAGCTAAAACCTTCATTTTAGTCTATTTTTAGTTTATTTTGATATCTATATTGTGTTAGTTTTCCACAATATATTTTTAACAATTGCTACCTAAATTTTGCAAAAGCAATATATTTAATAATTGTTACCTAAAAATCGAGAAAAGAAGCAATTTTATAAAATTGTTACCTAAAATATTTCATGAACTAAATTTTTAAATAAATATTATCGAAAAATCGGGAAACCGACCTAAAACGTAAAACAGCCTTTTATAAATTTGTCGATAAAAACTAAAAACTTCGCAAAAAGCTGCTTAAAATATTTTAAAAAAAACTTTTTTCGAAATTCTGGTACCTAGATATTAGCCTTATCCCAAAAAAACAGATTTATAGACGTTAAAAAATATTTTAAACACAAGAAGAATTGGTTAACTCTACCTTTTGCCAGACTTTTTCAATAAAAACGCGTTTATTACCAATTTTTTTTCAAAAAAACCTATTTTTCATACCTAAATTTCGCAAAGAACCCCTTTTTTTCCAATTCAAAAATAAAAAAACGTAATTCCAAACAAAGTTCAAACGTTCGAAAATATTACTTTTTTCGCGATATTCAACGAGTCCTGAAAGCCGAACGCGTCCGCCGACAGCAAATCGTACTGGATGGAGATGCGACGAGTCATTTTGCTTGTAATTCGCGAGAACTATGATAATGTAATGAGAAAGCAGAGAGTGATAAGGCGAATTAAACGCGAAAACAACTTCTCGGGGTGGGGGAAAACAATCGATTGACAGAGTTAACGAAACAAACCTAAATGTACTTTGGTTCGGTTGTTGCGTTATCACCGTTTCCACACCAAGTAGACATGTAAAGGCGCCGAGCCCAATTTTTTCCTCGGCCAACGTGTGCCGGCCCGGCCTCTTTTAAAAGTGCTTCGGCGCGGTCCAGCACGGCGTCGGACAGGGCCAATTGCGTCCCTTTCAGGTCTAATACCAACAGCTTATAGTATTGTAGATTATTAGCTAGAGGGAGGAGGAAGGAGTAACTAACCTTCAAACTTTAAGGAGGGGGGGGAGAGGGGTAGAAAGGAGGAATTGATGGAGAGGGGGGGGTAAATAGATTTTCTAAAAAAATAAAAGTTGAACGTGGTCCCCCTCTTGATTTTAGAAAAGAAAAATTTTTCACCTCCTTACCCTCCCCCCCCCCTTCTCTACATCAATAATAGATCAACCCCTCCTTCCCTTATTCGCTTACTATAAAACGACAACATAACCTCTAGTGATCAATGAAGTAAAATAACGACAGACAAAGCAAATAAACCCAGAAACAGAAGTGTTGAATCGACTCCAAAAACAATTTAAAATTGTAAAGTGAATTTCATTGACTAGATATGTAATTACAAAATGGACATTTGCAGTAATCTCCCAAAACTAATAAACTATTTCAATCAAAAACGTGTTATCGAGTTTTGCAGATTGACATGTGTAATATTTACAATGCTTCAAAGCGTTAAAAACTAGCTAAATTTGCGTTGAAAAACTTTTGATGTTAGGTTTTGAACAATTATATTATTGTTTTTTATTATACTATGTACATCATTCAAAACTTAAAAATAAATTGTGAAGTGGTCTCCTTTCAGGTGATGTTTCAAGACTTTACCGAAGTAAAGCTATAGCATGTACCTTGAAGAAGACTTTTAAAAACAAACGTGGTTTGCATATTTTTTAGTAAAGTAAAAACAGTTTAAGCCGCTTAAGATAAGGTGTTTACTTTTTGTAATATCAGCATGAAAACTTTTCTATAAAAAATTATTAAATATGTGGTTCATGTACTTATGTACTTATTGCGTGTATTTTTAAAAGACTAACTTATATACTGTGGAACTCCGGTATAACGAACTCCTCTATAACTAAACTCCCGTATATCGAACAACTTTTAAATCCCCGTCCATCACTAAACAGTGCATTTCCCCTGTATAACAAAACTTCTTTATAGCGAACAAATTTCCAGTCCCCGATCGATCCGTTATACAGGAGTTCCACTGTAGCTACAAGCAGTATAGTTTTAAATTGGGAAACTAAACTAATAAGTATATAAAATGCAGTCACACTTCTTTAGCATAACACTCAAAAAACTAGGCCAAAATGCCATTATAACCACAGTGTCACACTATTAAGATAATTTTTGATAGGATTTCTACAAAGAGCGGTCAGAAAGCAGTCATTATAAAGAAGGTGTCATACTATCGAAGCTCATACTAAAGAGGTTTCACCATACTGCCAAATTCAAATTTCATGCAAAAAATTTAAAAACTGAATTTTTTCTCAAATTTCAGACCGAAATAGCTTTGACCACTATTATTACTAGGGATGGACTAAAATTTACAAGCCACGTTTACAAAATTTCAAAAAGATATGAAAAACTGCAAAGCTTGCAGTTTTTCAGATAGGGAAGAGGTAGTCGATTTGGTTTTGAAATTAATTGAAAGAGAAATCAAACACGTTCGAAATTGAGTTTAACATGACAAAAGCAAACTAGGATGTTGTAATAAAAATTAACCTATTAGTTTTAAATTTAAAAAAATTTTTTAAATTTATTTTTCTTTGGCTTTCCGTTGTTTTTTTTTGTTAAACCAGTTTAATAATTGAAAATAAAAATTTTCCTTCATAAATTGCGTCATCTCTAATTAAATGCTCTTTCTTCAATTTTTCCTAAAAAAAGATAAGACCAAATATGTAGGGCGTGGTAAAGAAATAGAGAAAACATTTGGGTTCAAAGTTCAGCGGGTGCTTTTCAGTGTAATGATAAGATTTACAAGATAAGGCAATTAAAAATAAAGAAAAATGCAAAAATAATAATTTTCAAGTTTTTCGTTTTATGGCTTATTTTTTTTTTATTTTTTATATTATAGTATGTTTTACTTTATTACTAAAATTTCAGCTTATTCCTCTACTCTTATATTAGGATGCTCAAGTAATTTTGTGTCCATTAACTCCGCAAATTTGCTTTAAGAAGGGGCCCGGAATTAGTTGAACCACCTAATACTAAAATTTTAAGTCCTGTTCTAAAATGATTTTTTGATTTTTTTTGTCAAAGTAAGTGTTTTAGTCATTTTATGCCAAATTTCAATATTTTAAAACCTACTTTACATGCATTAATGGACTTACCTCACTGAGGCAGGTACTGAGTTTGTCTAGGTCTTCAGATGGCACGTCTGAGCAGTAGGGGTCCTGAAATAAGTTGTTTTATTATGATAGTTGTGCTAATGACAATCTCCTTTAAAAAATTAAAAGCCTTAAAAACTAAGACATTTTAAGATCCTAATTTACAAAGTTCCAAAGATTACTTATAAATTTTTTTGAAATGTAAAACGACTTTGAGCTTGTTCAACCTAAACTGTTGTCAATTGAAGTTCTTGCGTATTTTACACTAATATATCTTGATAAATCTTATATATAAAAATTGCAACTTCAAGCTGCCGTGATATTCACATAAAACCTAAACCTCATCTAATTTCCTTCATAGGAACATAAATCATCTAAGCGAATATTGACACTGAATAAGGGCGAAATGCACTTGACAAGGTACGTTTGATCGTTGTCAAGCTTTTACATATTATTCCTTAAGTGCGGTCAAAGTATAAAGAAAGAGTATGACAAAACTAAGGTTTAAAAGTAAAAACATTATAAAGTAAAATATAAAAACATTAGGTAAATAACATAAAAAAACCTTATGACATAGTTGTACTGTATTTCTATTTTACGTAATTTCAACTATACTTTGTTACCTAGTTTGTTTTAAACTTTGTATTTTAACCTGGAATTTATGTGTTTAGGTAGTATTGTTAAAGAAAAGGTAATAGCGAGAAGAGATGGAGCATGATAATAGTGCAAAGATTCGTCTGAATTTTTTTTCAAGCCAGGCCCGGCCCGATGGCTTGGTATTCAAGTTTATCATAAAGTATAAAAATTTACCCTCAACATCAAAAAATTACCTCCAAAACACAATTACCAGCTAGTAAAAACATAAAAAGATTAAATACAAACCTAAAACCACGCTTCTAACAACAATATAAAGTAGCTCAAACCTACATGAATATAACACAAACCTACATGTAACGAGTCCATACTACTGTAACTGGACAGAGCCGGCTTCAGTTCGCGCCCGTCCTCCGCCCGGATGCTTCGTTGCCGCTCCAGCTTGGTGAGCGCCATTGTTACGGCCAGCAGCGAAACCCTTTAATGATCAAAGTTTGTTAAGGGAGAATGCCGAATCAGCAAAAACAAACAACTCCCGCTTGCTTCTTGCGATCATAACCAAGATACCAAAATAATAATCAAACTAACGTTGTTCTCGCGAAAAGCTGAAGGTCAATCAAGGTCGGTTGAAATTGAATTTAATTATACGAAAAAGTACAAGTTGGCTTGTGGTGCGGATGGTCAGCAGCTGATTTTGTAAAATCTTTGGGTTTTTGGCTGTTTCCCAATTTCAATACAGTTTTTCAAAGGTTATAGATTATTACCTAGAATCAACAACATAAAAAAACGTTCAATACCGACAAAGTTTTGACTTATAATCAGAGTTTCCAAGGGTTCCAGAACCGGCTCCACAGGCGGAGCGAAACTTAATGAAAAAGCGGAGCCGGAGGTAGAGCCAAAACCAGAAAAACTTGGAATTGCTGGCATGCCTACGCCTCAGAAAGCTATAGGGTTAAAATTTAAAAAAAGCGGGCTATAGCTAGAAATTTTAAATTTGGAAACTGCTTATAATCGAACATATTTTTTATCGTCATAAAAAAACCAAAGTAGAAAAAATTCCTTGCGGATGCCTTGCTGTGCCCTACTCTCTAATTGGCATTGGGTGTTTATAACTAAAGCAAGGCATACCTAGGCTTATTATCAAGTTTTAAAACGTGCTTGCTCCTACCATGCCTTAAGCTTTGGCCTGCAAAAAAACCTATTTGAATAGGTAAAAAGTAACAAACTTTTTTACAGTAAAAAATGAAACATTTTTGCAAAAATGTTTAACTCTGTTACAAAGAACAACCGCAACGTTATTAATTGGTCAGTTTACAGATTAAAAAGTTTCAAAGATTGATTTTTAGGTAAATTGCCAGAGTTCTTTACAAAAAGCCTTCTTTATAACCAATAGATAAATATTCGAACTAACCTCAGTTTCAATAACTATATAACCGGTTGGTAAAAAAAGTTATAAAAAAATTTCTTATATTAGATGCCGACATAAAGAACCCGCCATTTTATACAGGAAATTAAAAGCAAAATGTAGCGAGTTTTTTATGTCAGCACCTAATATAATAGTATTTTCTATGCTAAAAATTCAATCATATTAAAATCAATCAAATATTTCAAAAAATACAGAAAAATAAGAGAATTTGCTAACAAATGCAAAAATATTTGTCAGCATTAATCATGTTACATTGATAAGCTTAAAAACATTCATAATAACATAGATGAAAACTTTTCTTATATTTCCTAAATGCTATAGCAAAAAAGAGTTTTAAATATATAAAACTGAGTATATTTGCCCACCAATATATATTTGAAACGAGCAGAGGAAAAGCGCCGCGGCGATCTATGGGATTCGGTTCAAGTGTAATATGATATAAATACAGCTGATGAAAAACGTCAATTTTACAGTTATTATGAAGGTTTTTACAACGTAATTATGAACATATAGAAAAACTTACATTAAACAGCAAAAAAAAAATAAAAAAATTTAAAAAAATGAAACAATGAGGTGTATGTAGGTTAAGACAAAAGTAATTCTCACAGTGCACGGCGACACTTAATCGCTCTTAATTATTCAACCCGAAAACATAGAACATAGTGAACTTATATTGGAGTGAACTTTGATCCCTTTTTTATAAATATAGATCAAGTTATTATAAGCATATTTTTTTCTTTACTTTGCATTAACATAACAGTAAAAGTAAAAAGATCCTTCCACATTCCCTTGCTCTCAACAACTACCTTTCACACCAAAAAATGTAAAAAAAAGCGTTGTCCCTACTGCCAATTTTTATTTTTTTTTATTTTTTGCAAAAGTTGCCATACCAATAAATCTGAAGGGGAGGTTTTCCACTAGGCTCGTGGCCCTGGTATGTAAAGCCAAGAAAAAAATGTTGACTTGGCTTTTTTACAAGTCTTCATACCAAAGCCAAATGGTAAAAAATTTGAGGAAACCGTGCACTTTTTCAAATACTCAACTTACAAAAATCAACCACCGATAAGTTTAAATTACAAGAAAAGCATTCAAACATGTTAAAAGCTGTACGTTGTCTTATCATTACTTACTTTTTCCTAATGCCATTCTACCTTTTGTAGCACTGAAATCATTTACAACACTTTTCATAAATTACCTCTATCTCCTCTTTCTTCTCCTGCTTGTCCAACCACGTACCCCACCCTTGTTTTTCCCTTAATCTTATAATAACATGACCAAAACCGAAGAACTCCTCTAAAAACTAAACACACACACTACAGTATCCTCAGCGGCAGCAAAAACTCGTACGCTTCTCTGATGATAACTCAAATTATGGGAAAACATTATCAAATGTTATACTTTAACCTGTCGTTCCGCCTCAAACGGAATTTCCGATCAAAGAAATTCTGAAAAACATAACATTGGTCACTTCAAACTTACTATTACAATATAAAAAAGTAACAAAAATTAGTTTTGTTACAATTCACAATTCAAAATGGTTAATTTTTGGTTTTTGACTGTTTGAATTGACAAAAATTATTTAAAAAATTTAAAAAGTTTGAATTGATAGGTGCAAATTATAAAATGACAGTTTTGAAAGTAGGACTTTGATTTTATAATAAAAAATTTAGTTTTGAAAAATTGAAAAATAGGTTTTACAAAAGTCGCCTAAAAATAGAAGTTAAAATAAATTTTTAATTTAAAATTTTATAGTAACCAATTTCTAACTAAGACAAATAGGCAAAAAAGACAAGGCATAAAGCCATACTAACCTTGGAGAAGTCCTAACCTGAAAAGATTTAAAAATTGTATAAAATTAGCCAAAAAATATACGGATTGAGTAAAGCTAGCTAACGCTGGAAAGTGCTAATTGTAAGCGTACCGAGACTGTGGCAAATTGGTTGATTGGCATACACAAGCTTCTGACTTTGCCTGATGTCTTGGTTAGAAACAAGAAAAAAGTTTTAAAAAAAGCTAGCTAAGGATCTCATGCATTAGGCCTAGAAGTTAGGTTGACCTTCTGAAAAGTACGAACTAGAAAAAAACACCCCTCTGGTCAATTTATTTTGTTTTTCTTTCATTGCTATACTTTTTTTGCAGCCTTGACTTTGGCCATACCGTTTAAAGAACTACAGTAGAACTCCTGTATAACAAACTCTTCTATAACGAAAATCCCGTATAACGAACAACTTTTGAATCCCCGTCTACCACTGCACAGTGCATTCAAAACTCCTGTATAACAAAACTCCCTTTATAACGAACAAATTTACAGTCCCCGAGCGATTCATTATACAGGAGTTCCACTGTATAAGAAACTTATTTCTTACTTTTAATAAAAATCATAAATATTTTTAAAAGACAAAAAATAACCCCGAAGATCAGCAAAATATACAACTTTCGGTTCAGAAGAACGCTTTTTAATAGATAAACATTGTTTTTTGCTCCATGTTGATTTCACGTGTCTGAAAACGCAATTAGCGGTCCGTCGATAAGTCCTTTACCTTCAGTTATTGTTGTAAACAGTCGGGCTAAACAATGCTTTGGTCTATACGACATGTTTTGTCTGCTGTGGCCTTTTTGAAGGTTTTATGTTGACTTTTGACATGAGTCAGTAGAGGTATATATAAACATAAGGTTAGATTTATATCTTTTCTTTAAATGCCTAAGTTTTTGTAGTGTTACACTTTATTCTATGTATGCAAATAAATATTGCTACAACGTTGAGTTTTACAAAAAAAAATAAATAATTTTACGTTTTTCAAAGTACTTTAGTACCATATACACTATAGTATAGTACAAAATAGTACTAATATTTTTGACGTTAAATAACATAATATAGTACTGATATTTGATTCTATTCTATATAGCACTACAATTTTTGATACTAAACAGTACTACAACCGTCTACTCAACAACATGCTGATTGGTCATCTTGTACAAGTAAGGGAAGGAGTCGTAGAACGTGTTATCGTGGTTTTTATCGCCAAATACCTTCTCCCCATGTTGCATTGGAACTTGGCTTGTCATCTGCAAAAACACCGTAACTTTGGTTACACTTTGATCGTGTTTACAAAAAACAAAAGTTTTGCATCAGAGTGATAAAGGAGGAGAAAGTAAAGGGGTTCATATTACTGTTTTCAGCTGAAATCTTTTTTAGAAAATGTTATTGTAGCTAGCAAAGCATAAGGTGCTACAGTATAAAAATAATTTTTAAATGCTTAGCAGGGGCAGAAAATAAAAAAAAAGAAATTACAAGAAAAAACATTCAAAATTTTTTTAAATGTTCAACATGTTCCTCCTGTTAAATTTCAAAAAAAATTCAACTAGCCAAAATTCTTTTAACTTTCTACCCTCTTTAGGCCAAAAAGAACCGCCAGACCCCGAAAATCATAAAAACAAGTCTTTGTACTTATGCAAATTTTTATTTATATAGCCCCCAGGAACTAATTTTAACATAACACACTACAAAACGAACAACCTACCCTCCCACAAACAGTATGACCAACAATTTGATCAGCCGTACTGTAAACCGAGAATCTATGCTGCCCTTCATAGCCAGCCGGTCTATTAATATCTTGAAGAAAGTCAGATTCAGCAGGGCAAAAGCCGGAGTACAACCCAGTACGAGTGTTGCAAATTGGCACAACACTGAACACACATCCAGGTACTTGAATACCTCCAACTTGTAGAGCAATACCATGGTTAGGGCCAGCTACACCAACATAGGTATCAATGAATTTGGTCAACGGTGCACCAAGATCTTCACCAGTATCAACACACCGTCCTCCTAGGATGGCTTTTCGAGATACTGGTACTCCCAACGAGTATCCTACCACATCCACAGCACGACCTGTATATAGACGTACTGCCACTATCAAAGCTCGTACTAGCTTAACGTAATGACATTCCATTTGGTACTGAGCCCATTGTAAAGGATTACCTTGGTTTCCGTTGGCGTAAGTTGTACCATATACTTCGGCGTTTGTGTAGTTGTAGTGCTTACTGAAAAACAATATATAATAACTTGATATTTTTCGATACTTTATGGGTTGCTTTATGATATTTATGATATTCTTAACTCACAAATAAAAATGCTTTAAAAATAATATCGTAGTAGACAAAATAAACATTTACCGAAAATGTGTAGCAGCCCGTAGCATCATATCACCGGCCGTGTTAGAGACACCATGAACAAATATGATTGGTTGTTTAGTAACACGATGTTTATCATCTCTTTTACCGCCAAATGAGCCTCCAGGACCCAAATCTAATCTAAAATTATATTTTATATAGCAAATCTTTCTAACTTTTAGTTAAATCATTTTTTTACTATATAGTATTATATAGTACTCATAATAGTTTTAACCCATATTCACCATCCCTTCAGTTCGACCGCGCTCGGGACACGTGATATTATTGTCACAACTCCTCTTCCTCGCATCAATTACTACCGTACCTTTCCAAATGCCGTCGCACATCCTCCCCAAAGTGCTCGCTCAGCCAACTGTTGAAATGCTTACTAAACTCGGCATTAATCGGTTGAAGAAAGGCGAGAATAATGCCAAACTGGAGTAAGATCAACACCATTGCGCGTCTTCACGATCACGGAGAATGATCGCGCACAACTTGAAAAAAAGTGAAATAAAGCCGGTTTCGAACTCATCTTCAGTGGAATAAAAAGGGAAACGTTTCCAGCGATTACGGATCACATTCGTTGCTCACCGAAGCCGATTCGAAAAAATTGCTTCGATTACAAAAAACTGGGATCTTATGTCATTTCAAAGGTAGATTACAATAGTAAAGAAAATATTGCAGTAAAAAGGGTTAAATTATAAAAACATACCCAAATATTACGTTTTAAAAATAAATTTATAATTAAAATTTATTAAAAACGTCTAACAATTACATTTATTTTTCAAATAAATAACAATTATGTTGGAGAAAACCCATTGAGATAACTTATCACCTGACAAAGAATAAAATGTAGAGTTTAGAGATGGGTCTCTTGAGCATCGCTGCTCAGCACGATCCTCAAGGTCTCACTGATTCGGCGTTGGGAAAGAGCGTTGGGGACAACCGGTTTTCTGAAAATTAAAGCCATATTGCCCGTTTTTAAAAATTTTTAATAACTATGTTCTTTAAATTAATTTTAGGCCTATTCCACTTTAGTTTATTAGAAGTAACTCGTTAAGTAATGCATTTAAATCTCGTATTTTACAAAGCAAACTCACCCAGGATCGTACGAGATCGTTGTGGGGACTGTAACTCTGAAAACACTGTAAAATTTACGTTTGAATTTTACTTTTATTCACCATAAGGACAATCACAATATTTATAGCTTTAAAATTACATTTTAGAAACAGAAATGTAAAGTTTATAAAGTTAAGGACAATACAAACACAAGTCTACAACAAGGACAAGACTACACAACGGTAAGTTTAAGTTTGATATAAATAACCATATAGATAAGATGTTACTGTTTACCCTATAAACTTGAATCAACAGCCAAAAAATTTTAAATTTAAAAAAATTGTCAATGTATGGAAAATCAAGCTGCGCCCGAGAAAGCTCAGGTTGCAAAATATATTTTCGTTTTGACCGCCAAAAAATTTCAATAAGTTCAAAAAATAGGCAAATTGAACGAAAAAAAGTAAAAAAAAGCTTTAAAAAATAAAAATTAACTGATAAAAATATTTTTTTTGTGGTTAACATATATCTACATCAACTAGAGGTATACACCGATAACACGTACAACATGACTACACAAAGCTTTGTTTACTTGGAAGGCGTGAAGACAAGATCGTGTCCAATGGCCGACGATCGAGCCGTCATTGAAGGGAAGGCATCGTCCAGAAGTATGATACATTCGTCGAGGTTACACACATCTGATATCGTGTGATTGTGTTCTTGGTGGCGAGAGATGCGGAAGGTGCCTTCCTCCGAGTTGGTAACGTCTGGAATAGCATTTGGGGTTAGTTTTGAAGTTGGTTTAAGTATACCCCTACCCGACCGTAACCCTGACCTCTTAATCCTACCGATCATACCGCTGGCCCTTTTACAGTACCCTACTTCACCTCACAATTCCTTTCTCTTATAATATCTCATCCTCCTCCCCCTATCCTATTGAAAAAGCTCCCAACTTACAATCCAAAAACCGCCAGTCTGGTCCCGGTTCGTACGGTAGCATTGGATGTTCTCCAAGCAGCTTCTGAATCGTTCCTCTAGCCGAGTTTAGCTCTGTCTCCGCTTCCAGACTGATAACGCCGATCTCAAAGCCAGTGTCTTTCAACCGGTCGATTGAGTCCCTGTACATGTCGTAATCATGACGACCGACCACTATAACTGGTACGTGCATGAAGACGGAAGTGCTGGTGGCCGCCGAATCCAGACCCGATCTTGAATTGCGGACGGCCTTGCGCGACACCGCCGGCGTGCACACCACCTTTTTGTCACGTTTCAGCATTGGTACCTGAAGTGAAAGTTTTTGAATTAATTTATGTTTCTACTATATATACGTTACTGTATCCTACGCTACCCTATCCTACTATACCTTACCGTATACTGCCTTGTCTTGTCCTGCCCTATACTACATTACCCTTAAACTACTCTACTCTATCCAAAACTTACCGTACCGTATCTCATTTTGACCTAAACTACCTACCGTACCTCTGAAATACCTTATCGTACGTTACTTTTAATACCCTACTTTTACCGTACACTATCCTACTTTACCTCTGCTACCCAGCCCTTACCGTAACCTACTCCACGTTTCAAGAAAATAACACTCAAATGGCCTTACCTTGCTGTGGAAGTTCATTCGTATGATAGAAGGTGCCAACAGACAAGGTTCTCCATCAACTTGCATTGGAATTGGCTTCAAAGTAACTACTCTTACCTTGGAGCATTGAGCTATTCTTTCGCCTTTCCCACCCATTTGCAAAGCTGCCTACAATAATATAACTTTTACTATCAAAAATAATATGACTTTTAACATCTATAACAACATATTTTTTTATAATTACCACGCCCAACCAAAAAACTTTAAATTTTAAACCTTTATAAAAAACCCTATCACAACATACCAAAGTAGCAGTAGTAAACCCCAGAACTTCGATTTTGCCATCACAACTTGACGGTTTCAGCCATTCCTCGTTCGAATCACTACCCCACGGTATTGTCCCGCCAGCATAGTACGAGATATTGTGGAACAAAACACAATGAAACTTGAACTCTCTAATCTTGTGAGTAATGTCAACTCCATCACATTCGATTGTGATAAACTCGGACAGATCCTTCCATGTCCTCTTGAACAAATCTATCGTTCCGAGACCACCATAGGCTATACGGTTTTTAAAGCGGGAGTTTAACATTGAGGGGTTGGCACCTAAATATAAGTTTGAAAAAGTAACATCGTACTTTACCCTGATTTACCTTGGTTATTAAATATTTTGAAGTAAAAAGAAAAATTCCAATAAAAGTTGTAACACTTCGTCATAGTTTCCGTTTGACACTTTGTTACAAAAAAGTCAACAATTAAAAAATGGTTTTCAAAATTTCTAGAGCAACCAACTCACTTCTAGAATGATGAAACTGTAGTGCAACATGAGCATCAGCCCCGATACTAAAGTAGTTATTCATCACAGTCAAAGGTAACGATGAAGTAACAGCATCACTCAAAGCAGGATCATCGTGACTCGAAGTGTCCGACACGTTTTGATTGTTATTGGGCGTCACATCCAACTTCCACCGATCTAGATATGTTACACTAGTCTCATGAATCACGGCATTCAGAAGTTCGGCCAACGGTTCGTCGCTGAACATTCCACCCCATCCCATACATCTGGACAAGTCATTACCAGTGCCTAGGGGCATTAGTGCCATCGGAGGGTAGGCTGCCCAGTTAAGTTGGTCTAGGGTTGACAGTACCCATCCTACGGTACCATCACCGCCACACACGAGGATTCTCAGCTGGGTACCTACTTTGCGGAACATTTCCAACCTGAAAGTATGATAATATTAAAGAAAGAGTAAAGTTTTTAATAATTTTAAATGTTTTTAAGGTATTGTAGAGACCCAATTTATTACCTAACTAGTAAAAAAGATACTGTAGAACCTGCAGCAAATCAAAATTTTAAAAATTTTTAAAAACATAATATTAAAAATGTGATTAAAGGCCCAGAAAACCGCCATTTCCACCTCAACTTTACCCGTATTTCGGCCCTTTCAACGCAGTAATGTCAAAGACTTGTCGCGGATTCAGAAGCCAGCACAATGTGTGCAAAGCCTTCGATCCTTTGTTGCCTCCACTCTTCGGATTCACAAACACCAGTAGCGGTTGAGAAGGCCCAGCTATTGACGCATCCATCGGCTTCACGATAAACGGTCGATACTTTCGTCGCGCGGGTTTCTTAGTCGCTTTACCGTGCCGTTTCCTTTGATGTGACAGCCGTAGAAGCCAACTTGGAGGTAGAATCATATCACGCAGAGCTCCACGATCACATTTCTCCTCGAATCGAGTCAATGAAAAGCAGGAGCGCTTGTTGTGATAAGAGAGTTTGCACCATGAACAGGTAATGGCTATTACTTCCTGAAAATTTAAGTTTGAGATTGGGCAATATTAAAATTAAGTTTTTAAAGTTAAATTTTAAAATCATAAACCAACAGTGTAGATTATGCGTATTTTATATAAAAACACCAAAAAAACCATTTTTTTACCAACCTGATCTCTGAAGTTGTTTGTCTCTGAAAAAAACCCTAAACTATCTTCAATTTTTTCCCCTTCTCCCAGTTTGTAACAAAAAATAAGTTCACACCACTTGCCTTCTCTCTAAACATTTTCTGTTGGAAACTTTTGTGACATTGTTGACATCTGCCTTCCATTTTCCATCGATGAACCCAATGATGTTTCGTCAATGAATCCCAAATGTCCTTCGACGGATTCCGCTTTAATGCTGAATCACGGAAGGTGGTTTTGCATACCAAGTTCATCTAAAAAATTAGTTATGAAGTTAAAACATTTTTTATTATTTAGTTATTTAAGAAGATGCAAAAAATGACTGCACCGTGAAAACCTAGCTTTTTTCAAATTTTTCGAATGTCTTAAACGGTAAATTTTTAAAAAATTGTCCAATTAGTTCATTATGTCATATAAAAACTATTTTTGCAAAAAATACTGTAAGATTTGACTTGTTTTGTAAGCATGCTTATTTATGTGTAATATGGATACAGATGCATGACTGTAAGACAACAAATATCAGATGTCCTGTAAAAACAAAAAGCTTAATCTACATTTTTAAGTTCACAAAAACAAATTTTAAATAATTTATTTTTAGAATATTTTTTAATTTTTAAAATCTTGATGGCACAATTCAAAAATATTTAAAATATTGCACAGTGCAACCAAAAAAATTTAGAAAATTAAACTAATAAAATAAATCATAATTAGTGCCTTCGTAACATATAAAACCCAATTTTGAGCCTAAAATCAAAAAACTAAATTTATATTATCCATGATCGCCTTACCTTGGCCAAAAGCGGAAAACAAGCTGTATGAGCAACAATATGACAAGCTGCACAACGTCTTTTCTCTCCGACTTTCTCACAGTCCTTCTCCCCAATATAACATTCAGTATCCGTTGAAGTTGAGGCACTTCCAGGCCCACTCGAAGGAATCCAGATATGTTCAGCGGCCATCAACTGAAAAAGCAATGAATTTTTAAAAAGGTTTGTCAAATTGTCAAGTTTTGCAATTAAGTGGTGTTTAAACTTTGAAAATATGTTTAAATTTTTAATAAATAACAGTATTTTTATTATGAAACTTTATATTGTTCGAAAATAACTTTGACAATAACAATATCAAGAGCGCAGGCTGCAAATCGTGTTTTGAAGTCTGCGCCCAAAATTTCTGTCTTATTCTTGCCGTTTTTGGTCCTTACTGTTCTTTTTGGGGCTTTTGGTTATTTTTCTTTATAAAAACGTTCAGGATATAAAATACTAAACTTATAAATTATAAAAATATTAATTTACGTTATCATCCAGCCAATATCTGCTTGTTCGGTGTTTGGAGACGCTTTTTTGTTCATTATCTTGTAAAGCTGTGGCTCTTTTGACGACCGGCGACTTGGCCAAGGCTTTTCTGAAAAAATACGATATTATTTTAGTTGGATTTTAATTTTTAGATCTTTTAGTTGTAAGTTTTGCCATGTTTTTTTTTATCAATTTCCTCAAGTTTTACTTAATTTTGAGGAAAAACACAAGATTTTTAATATTTTGTTACCAAATTGGCATTAAAACGACAATTTCTAACCGAGATTTTGATGTTAAACTCTTCAAAATTAGCTTACAATCTTTAAGTTTTGTTTTACATTACCTAAAATACTAAATTTGTAAGTTTTTAAAACGTTTTTTTGTCTTATATTGTCATAACCGAGTTATTGTTATACGTGACTTATTGTACTAAAATGCTAATTATTGTGTGCAAAAAGGGGATTATGATTATCAGCTTTGTTGTCATAAGGATATCAGATTATGACTCGTTCTCTACTCTAACAGTTTTGTCTAGACTATCAAGTATAATATTGTTTGTCCTCTAACTTTTTCAAAAAGGTCTATTTAGTAAGGAAAAAGTATGGTAGTGTATGAAAGGTATTTTTTAGGTACATATGTTAATATTATAGTCGTTAGTTATATTTTTGTTATCGTTATTGTTATAAATAACACTCTATTAACGTTATTATTATCACAATAACAACGTGACTCCACCACCGTGATACCTAAATATTTCGCTTAAATGTTCGATTCGGCTTGGCCTCCGTAGTAGATGATCAGGACTTTGTGTAGGGTCATGTGACCTCGATCTTGTTGTCTTAACACTTTCAGCTGGTGTAGCAGGATCCAACTCTCCCGTATCCGACCCGTTTTCACTGACATCACCCGAACTTATGCTCCATAACTCAATATCTCGTCGTAGTGTCGACAAATCTACACTGTTACTTCGTGGCGGACTAGCCGAGGCATCTGTTGGACTGAGAAGATTACTGTTTTGACAGAATCCTGGAGGTTTTAGAGTGTCCATGGCTTGAAGTGGAGGATGGGACGAGATGGGGGACTTGTCGGTTTCATTATCAGCATCTTCGGCTGCTGGTTGAGTTGAATCGACCGTGAAGAAGACGTCGTTCTTGCTGCGAAGGGCTAGGGGGCTTGGGGAGGCGGTTGTGCAGGCGGAGCTGGAATGACGTCATTATTTTAGGCAGACTTTATTTTCAAAAGTTTTAAATCTTAGGCTGAAAAGATAAGAAAAATGTCTTTATACTGAACTTTGTCGGCTTCATAGTTGATTTTTGAAACAATAACGGTTTTCTTTTTATATTGCACATGCCTTAAAATTATTTTTTTTTCTATAAATAAAACCTCTTCTTCCTTTAAACGTTAAAAATAGTTTTTACTGCCTTCCAGAATAACTTATACTGCCAAAAACTAATCCTCCTTACCTTGTTTCGCCACTTGTCGGATAGCTCGAGCACATCTCACTGCTCGTATTTCGTTTGTCGTTCTCTTCGTCCGAACTGATGGAAGATACGACGATGTCGGGCGTTCCCATCGTCCTCCGCAGTTGTTCAGCCTGAGCGTAGGTCGGACTTTGTGGCGTGTTCACAGACACTGTACTGTTAGTTAATGTAGTCGTTGTTTCGTCACTTCTCGGCCAATTTGTGGCCCTATTCCCGAGTCTTTTGGCCAGTCGCTTCACCGCGGTTTCAATCTCCAATCGAAGCCGATTCCTTCTGTATTCGGTACCCAGTGAGCAATGTAGACAGGTGTTCTCGAGGTCTAGACGATCGGGATCAGGCAGACCTTTGGAGCTTCGTCTCGAGTCAAAGGCAAAGTTGACAAGATCATTGTGGTCATCACTACTAGGTATAATCGATCCTCTTGACTTACGACGCCTCTTCCCATCTTCGTTGCCTTCTGAATGTATGCGAGAACGGCTGGACGTTGAGGGAGACCGTGATCTGGAAAACACTCGGTTAAACATTGTTTACTTTGACTATTAAACAGGCATTATGTTATATACTGCGTGTTAAAACGTAATGCATTCAACAAACACAAACGAGTTTGGACTTTTGTGTCTGATGCATTGGGTTTAGGGCAGTTTATATAGAAGCATAGATGGTTAATACGTTGATATATAAAGGTACAGGCACGTTTTGACTTTTATATATTAATGTATAGTTAAAAATATAAGTAATAGTAGTGTTTTAGATATATAACCTTAGAGAAAAGTTAACTTTTTTTTGATTTTCGGGTCAGAGTCTGTAGAAATATATACGTTAACATTAAAAATTTTTTCTAAATGATCTTTATGTTTCTGCACTTCAAAAAAAAATTAAAAATTGCGGTCATAAAAATGATTTTTTGGTTGAAAAATAGTTATATTAATCTAAAACACTAAAATTACCCCATCCAACCCCTGAAACAAAGTAACATGTCATCAAAACTAAACCATAACTTTGCGTTTTAATGTAAACTACACCAAGTTACTTTGTTTTGGGGACGGTAAAAGCCGATATTGCGTATGAATGTAAGATAACTTTACCTTTGTTCCGGGTCCCATGAAAGGCTTGGGCCGAGAGGTTTTTTTGAGGGCCGCGATGCTCGGAATGAGGCTACTTCCAGGCAGCGGCGGTGTAGTAGACGACAGTTTTCGGAATTTGGGGAAGAAGAAGCCCTTCTTATGGACTGGAGCTGTGTTTTCATCAGGCGCACCTAATGAATTCGAAGGGGAGATGTCATGAGCTGCCGAGACTGATGGTGAGTCTAAGGATCGTTTATCTGTCGGGGATTCTAACATTGATATGGGACTCATGGAGGTGTTGGAGCCGCAACGGTGCGAGGAGTGGGTGGAGGAGTGCGAGATTTTCCTTAATGCCAATTTGGCCTGTGAGAACCGCTTCCGCATGGTTTTTTTGGCCGCAGCACCTGTGGCGGCAATCGACTTTTTCCGCTTCGGCGACTCCTCGTTTCCTTGTTTCGACGTGCCCGAACTGCACGAACGGCCTATCACGCCGATACTGGTTTTCCGGGCCGTTCCGCCGTACTGCATACTCGTCTTTTTGCGAATCCCAAATATACCGGTCGATGTGGTGGGAGCGGCCGAGGTTGAGGGTTCTGGTTGGCTGGAGGGGAAGAAGTATTTCCTTGAGGGGATGGATGTTTCCGAGTTGGCTGGCGATGTTGAACATGTGTTGTTGTCGCCGCCAATCGACGTGGACGGACTGATTAGTCCTTTATACTCAGTCATTGGTCATAGAAATAGTGGTCGTTTTAGGAAAAGTGGTGCTATAATAGTAGTACTTAACCAAAATTAGTACTCACTAAAGCCTTTTTATGTCTTCTGGTCTATTGCAGTATGTAGGCTTTAATGTAGCCTTTGTAGTGTCCTGCAGATGTTTTTTCTACGTCTAGTAGTACTATTGTAAAGCTAGTAGATTCGTTCACCGTATAGTACGTAGAACGCAAAATTAAAAAGTTTAAGTACAAATCAAAATGTCAATAAAAGTAAATCTCAAGCCAAAAACAGTAAAATGTGTTATGTGTCGATATGTCGGTGGGTTTAGGAGATATGCGGCCGATTCCTTTTTCCTTTATCCATTTAACGCTCTGAACATGGGGTTTTAAGTGCGTTCTTTTCGAATAATCGCGTCCAATAAATTATAAGTGTGAATTTCGGAAAAGGGCATGAAAATTTTGCGAAATTGTCGAATTTTTGGGGAAAAATGGCTTTGGAAACAGGGATTTATTATCCATGAGATAAAGGTGTGACTGTGAATTAAAAGTGTCATTCAAGGACTTTCACCAAACTCACAAGGACTTTAATGGCTCTATATGTGTAATTAAGTAAGTAAAGGTATAAAATTTAAAAATGATGAAAAAAAATATATGAATTTTAGAAAATGAAGCATTGCTCTAGCACCAATCAATTTTGAAAATTTTTTGAAATTTTTTAATTTTTCAACCAATTTTTAAAATTTAAGTCATTTTTTAAAGATATAAGTACTTAAAAGCTAACGAAATTTAAAATGTTAAAAATTACAACAAGAAAAAGCAACATTAAAACCCCAAGTCTTAACCCTATTATATTTTAGAGCTTTCTTAACTCCAACTAGACCTAAAACAAACATTAAGCAAAACCATAGCTACAGTAACATCAATTTGAACCCCAACCAACAACAAAACCAAATTGACCCAAAAATTATGATTAAAATTGTCCCTGCCATTAATAATCATGATTAAGCCAATTTAAATTCCATAATTTTAAAAATTTTTGAGAAAAGATCGTCGTGATTCAGCCCGCGCTCCCCCTCCGGGCTCGAATTTCAACGTCCGGAACGTGTCGGAGAGTAAACCCGGGCGTTTCGGAAAAAATTGCATAAAATCTCGAGGAGACAAATCTGCACGTCGGAGAACGGTGGAAGGAAAAACGGTGGGGGCCAACGTTAACAAATTACAAAAATGACGTTCTCGAAACGAAGCCAAAGGGCATCAGGTTGTGTGGAGTGCTTAAGCGGCTCTTCCGGTCTCCCCCTTTCCGGGCGATAAGGTGTCAAAACACAATATTATTATTATTTTCGTGGTGGGGGAGGATATACAGGCTGCCGGGTTTGAGGTGGGGAAAGATATGAACATTACGGAGTTAGGGAAAGGTATTGAAAACCGTTTTTTTGGTGAGGAAGGGCCTCATTGGGACTTTCAGTACAATCTGAAAACCAATTCAGATTGTACTGAAACTTATCAACCACAAAACACACCATACTCATAAATTTTAAAATTTTTCCCACCTAAAAATGGTCGAAAATTGCCCTGGGGTAAAAATAATAATTTCAAAGTCTAAAGATTGCTCATACGCAATACGAAACTGCGTAGCTACAAATATAATGGACGTAATTTACTCTGTACTTCTCTAAAAATATCTTACTAAACATCCTTCTTCAAAGTTAATATAAACAAACATTTTGAAGACAAAAGAGGGGTTTTGGGTATAATATTTGTACCATTATATATCAGAATGAAGAATTTAAAAATTTTTTCAAAAAGTAATAATACTATAAGCAAATTCTATTTAAAAAATATTGGGAAAATTTTTCTTATTATTCACCTCTTCATTTCTTACTCCTAATAGTGGTACTACAGCTTTTGCACAAATTCTAATGATAAAAAAGGTAAGAGTAGTTCTTACAATTACTACAAAAGTTGCTAAAACTTAAAAAACAACACATATCCCGCTAATAATACAACAAACTCGAAGTACCTTTAAACCAAAAATTGATTCAGAGCTAAAATTGTAATTGTTGAATACAAAAGTAAAGACTTTAGTACGTTAATATCAAGTGTTATTTGCACTAAAGTGCATAGGATAAGAAGATCTATGTGCGGTTCTCAGTAACTCACAGTTTAGTGCTTTAGTCTATGTATTTAATTAAAATAGAAAATGTTATTTCTATGTATTTTTGAATATCTCAACTAATTTTTTACTTTACATCCTCCCTCACCTCCTATTGAAATATTTTTTCAACTAAAAACATGTTTGACAGATCCACTCCCTTTCAGTCAAAAATTACCCGTCCAGCACAAAAAATCACTTTCAAAAAAATTTCGAGTTCCCCTATCTACCCCTTCTTAATAAAAAAGAAGACTGCAAAGCACAGGCCAGTTAAGTATAATACCACCTAACCATATATCTCCATAAAGGACCTAATACAACCCTACAAAACACAAATATGACAACAGTACATAAAACCAGACCCAATGACCTCAAAAACCCCTTTACAGTTCAAAACCTCCCATCCTAACAGTACGTTGTCATTAATACTCTCACAGCACCTTAATGTTTCTTCCCCGGCTCATAAAATAAAAACGGTGTGACTTCTGACGGTAGAAGACGACAAAAAAGAGTGCCTTCCTCCTACTTTAAATCCATTGCATTTTTAATCAGCCTAAGACTCTACAAATACCAGAACAAGAAAGCAATGTTTTGTAACAACCTTCAAAGGGCTTTTACAATTTGAAAACAACTTTTTGTGTTTTTGTTTTTGGCATTTTTGATGGTTTGTCATGACTTTTGTAGTTTTGATACCACAAGGTTTAAAAAACCGATTTAAAAGTAAATGATTTTCAAATTTGGTACGTTTTATAAAAATTCATAATGTAAATAATCGAAAAATAAGTGGTAATCTCTAGACATAAGCAACGGGCCGGACCAGGCCCACTTGTAGAGACTGGCCAGTTTCTAATTTTGTTCAGTTCCGGACTGTTGCTCGTGCTTAGTAAGTCTAATATTTCTCTAGTCCTAACCCTAAGAGGAAAAAAAGTTGCTCTGAATTTCTTCAAAAATACCATTTTTGATCTTATATTATGCCCTGATACTTTTTTAAACAGTTTCAGCCCTCAATCATAGTCCATTTGCTACCCCCCTTACCTTGCTTCTTCGCCCCTCCCATAAAATACAACTTTTTTTTACAAAAACTTCTCCAACAATTTTAGGCCTAAATAGACCATACTCTACCCACTTACTTTGCTTCTTTACCCCTCCCACACCCTAGTCTCAACCTTCTTACAATTTTTTTACCCTTTTAATCGACGCAATACCAAATTCCAAATAATATTAAAACTTTACCACACCCCCAAAACCACAAAAATCTGACCATAAACACGGGTCTCATAATAAACCCGTCGATAACAACTAAATCGTATAATACACCGTTCCTCCCCCACCCACCCTAAACATTGTTACGTACACAAAACGCAACAACAATGTGGTAAAGAAGAAACCAAAACTCGGCCGAAAATGAACACTTTCGGCCGGTGTTAAGTGGACTGCCAACAATGGAGAGGAAAGATTGGGCCCACAAAATTCATTTGCCAATCATAGAAGGGGGGGGAGAGATAATCCGGACAAAGCGGTCTCCACAGCCTTAAGGTAGTGGTGGAAGACCCTGGGCATGGAAAAATGTGATACAATCGGAAAAAGTGCGTAGACGCTCGAGAGACGTAGACGTACCACAATATAAGTGGCCCCAATTTGGCCTCGCATCGATTGATCTGACTATGTTTTGTAGGTTTCAAACGGAAAGTGCAACTGAATCTTAGGAAATCTAGGAAAATAAAGTAAACAAAAATTTTTAAAAGTTGAAAAAACATCGTTTTTCCAGATTTTTAAGCTAATTTCAGATAATAATAAGGTTTACAATATTGTAAAAGCTTAAAACAGTCAATTTTGTGACTATCAAAATCGTAGCGGAGCAGAAAAACAAAAACCGTTACCCCTCCCCCACAATTGTAATTGAACTAACTTTTCCCTTTCTGGATCGCCAAAAAAATGCCGTTTCTGTACAAAACCTTAACATTTATTACCACCCCACTTCTTCCTTATACCTTTAGCATAATATTTTTACCACCCCTTATGAAGAAGTTTGCAAACGCTTAACTTTAACCCCTTCTCGACTCCTCCTGCTTTACGACAATTTAACCCTCCCTCTCCTCTAATTCAAATCACCTTTACCACCATTTGTACCCTCGATCTTTATACTCCTTCTCTACCCCTACTAGACCTGACAATCAGGCCGGGCCCGTTTTTCAGTGCGGGCCAACTTGCGTGAATTTTTCTCAAGTCCGGTCTGAACCAGATTTACCCCTACGCCTAACTAAACAAGATCACTAGCCAATAAATGACTAAAAACTTTAAAAACTGGCTAGCTGAACATAAAATCCTCAAAAACTACCCAGAACTCCTACCTCCAAACCTGACCAAAACTTCTATTCCCCCCAGACAAAAATTGCTACCTTTACTACCCCTACTCTTGACATTGCAAAATCCCCCGCCAGTCAATAAATACAATCTTAAAAAACTGACTAGCTGAACATAGGCTAAACACTAACAGAACGGAACGCGATGGAAAGCAACCGGATGTAAATGTACATCTACATTCGCAGTAGTTACATCGGCCGCCGCCCGTCAAAGTGTTATGTTTTAATCCGGTTGTATTAAAGATATACTCTCATCCGCTTTTAAGTGCTTCGAAGAAGTGAAAAACAAATATTTGTGGTAACTAATTTTCACACACTCGATTGTGTAATTCAATTACAATGCCAAATGTAATCATTAAAATGTAATTTCAAGTGTTTGGTGCATCGACCAAACTCTGGTTTTTAAAGCAATTTTCAGGTTTTAAAGTTGTTTTAGATAAACTCGGTTACTATTTTAAGATAGGTACCATGAGGTAGGTATGACACAATTTAAAATTTGTCTTAAAAGTCTATAAAATCTTTAAAAGGTCTGTCTCAAACACAAGAAATGTTTATGTAAACACAATACACAATGCAATATGTGTACATCCTCATTCAGTTAATGTCATGCACATTAATTTGCATAAATTCCTCCGTTTTCATTTCAAATTAATCTCAAGAATATCATGTATAATTATGATTGAATAAAGGATTACATTTCTTTATTATTTAATTTTAACGTACATCCTTGTCACAGCAAAGTACGTACTATTTATTTATTCATATTACAGTTGCTATATAGTGACCTTGATACTAATAATCGTTAAGGTACGTAAACCTACCCTACCCTACCCTACCCTGCCCTTTCAATATCTTATCCTAGCCCATCCCACACTACGTTGCCTTACTGTTCTGTCCTCGCCTATCCTATATTCATTAAACCTAAAGTAACCTTGTCATAGCTCTACACCAGCCCAGCCCAATTCTACCTTATTCAAAAAAATTTTTTTTAAATTAAGTTCTCCGTCCATTATTACCCCAAACAAAATCTTCGAGCCTCTGAAACTCGTTTTACCTTATTCATAAGGTTCAAACCAGCCTCATTTTAGTCCAACTTCAAACTTCGAAGTCCAAACACAAAGCCTATTGATTTTCATTATTAATCCCGTAATTGTCGTTTTGTTTGCGAATGTTTTGGTATTTTCGCGTTTCCAAGGAACGCAAAACCAAACAATAACCCTACCTCCAATGGTCCGAAAGTTCCGGGAACATGCCACGTAGTTGGTCACCTGTCAGGTCGGGGTTCGAGATTGAGAAACGACTTCGAAAATTCTGACGTTCCGATTCCACAATCTCGTCCAGGGCATCGTCGCTGAGAAGGTCTTCGTCTGATTCTTCGGATTCGTCTGGAAATAATTTCAAATTAAAAAATCAAACTTCAAGTAAAAAATTTTATTTTTAAAAATTTTAAATTAGCAGTTTTTAAAATTTCGAAAAAAACTCAATTTTTTAATTTCATACCTAAATTTCATTTTTTTTTAATTTCAAACCCAAAAATGCCAAAATCTTCAAAACCACACCTACCATAATGTTGATGATCCCATTCCTCATCACTGATACTACTATCTTGTGACAAGCTATCTTCATCACCTTCTACTGGTGATGTAGATGAGTTTGACGAGGTTACTCGATGACCCTCATCTTTGTCATTATTGTGATCCAGAGATAGTTGTAGAAGGTTCGAATGAAGATCATGCCACATTGCTATAGCACCAACCAGTCGTCGTGATACCATTTTGTCGTATAACATGGTATGTTGAGAACCCATGCGGCGGAGGGGTCCTGTAATACGGTATTTTTGACATTCTTACTGTAGAAAATGTAAAAAATGATATCGTACTACTAGTGTATAAAGTTATGAAGAGTTCAAATAATTCTGAGTCACTCTGAAAGCACAAGGGAGTACATTTGTTGAAGTTAGGGGCTCAGAATTATTTGAACAAACTTTTACAGAGCTCTTAAAAATATCATTTTAAAAACCCAAAAGTAAAAGTTATCTTAAATTTTAAATTACAGTACTCTCAAACCTAACACTAGAAACTAAAGCAAAAAAAATTAAAAGATCCACCTCCTAATGCTCAGAAATTCCATCAAAAGCACTTTTAAAAACGTAAAGCCAAGCCACCTAAACCCAAAACAGATAGAAAACACCTCAATATATCTTGATTCTTTTTTATTACCTCTACCAATCACCTACTACTAATAACAAACAATCTTTTGTTCGAATCAAAAAAGTTGATCTCAATGGATTTTGAAGAAAAACCAAGCTGAAATTACAAAAAACAAAGTTCGAAAGGTTGGGAAAACAACGTGTTAACTGTTATCTTTCATCTGTTTTTACAGTGTAAAGAAAGGGAAGTGATTGGCAATGTTACATTAATAAAATAGTTGTGCAAAGAAAATGTTACAACTTTAAAATTAGGTATTAAAAAGAAGTAGAAAATGTAATGTTCCCCCTAATTGTTCAGCCCGGTAAAGTGTTAAACTGGTCAGGTCCATCAAAGCCGAGCCTCGTGGGCCCCCTTTTTAGTCTTATCGAAATTTAGAACAAAGAAGAACCTTGGGCTACCCCTCCCACGATCTCTCCCTCTCTCAACCCCATTGCTCATCTTTTATTTCAATTTCCTAGCCAGATCTACCCAAACTTAAAACATAATGTATTTCCTAGCCAGATCTACCCAAACTTAAAACATAATGTAAAAAACAATGAAACTTTTAAAAATTTAATAAAAGTTCAAAACTTACCTCGACGGTACCACTTTTTGCGCGGCGGAGCGCTGTGAGATCGAGCATTTTGAAACGCAAACTGTTTCCGTCTTTGTTCGGCGTCGAACATAGAACGCTGAAAAGAGGAACGACAATCAGACGAAGAAGACAATGCGATGGAAATGGCTCATCGCCTACAGCAATTAATCGTTTGCCTAACACATTGTTTGGCTTATCAATCGCAGCGTTTGCTCAGCTGAATTTTTTCGAAATTAAATTATAATTTTTACAGGATTCAACTTCCGGAGGTATAGACGGAGTGTGAAATTTTAAAGCTATAAATGGCTTTTTTGAATTAGAAAATAAAAATTTAAGTTTGTTTTAATAAACTTGATAAAAATGTGCATTTTTCGTCTTGACCACACATGTTTTTGATTAAAAAATCATTTTTTCCATTTAATTTTTTTGTGTTTTAGCTTAAACTTGTTTTGTTTTTTAAAACTCTGTTATACATAAGAAGCTTAAAACTTTTAAGCCTAACTTTTGATCATACGAAAACCTAATTTCTTGGGCTACATTTATGTGAAAATTTTACTTGATATCTTTAAAAAACTGGCAAAACTAGTACCTTTGATTCCTATTTAGCCTTAGTTATGACAAAAATGCTTTACACGAATCTATAAATCATTTTTTTAAATATAAAAAACCTAATGTTAAAACAAAAACTAAATTTTTTTTTCGATTTTTGATCTATCCCCAAGCCAAAGTCATCTACAACATTATGACAAAACGATCACAGCACAACATATAAATTACTTCATCTAAACCAGCACAACTTTGTCGAGGTTTATGAATAAACGGCCCTAATGCAGCTAGCGAAAAGCGGCGTTCTTGTCGAGTTTCCATAGCTTAATAGGCTAATTTTGTAGTTGTTATTAGCTAGATAGTACTGTAGTATAAATATATAATTTTGTTTTAGTCATCAACTACAAACTTGAAAGTTGAAGCCAAATACTGATAAAATATCTAACCAAAAGCCTTATTTTAGTAGGTTCACAAATAGAAAAAACGATTTTTTGATGACTTTTTGTAACTTCAAGGTCCTGCCAAGATAATAACTGGTGGTGGACCGAAGTAACTTCCAAAACCGAATTCAATCACTAATCCAAGCACAAATAGCCGGGCGAATCAGAAGCGGCCCGAGTACAAACACATATACTCGAAACTCAAATTTGTGTGCCCGGGACGCCGTAACACCGGAAGTGCAGTGGTTCGGTTCAGAAGACCGAAGCATAAGTTTAGTGACTACCAACAGCGGCCGAACACAAATTACACTTATTGAAAAGTGTACGACTTCTTGACCTTTTCGATCGTGTTGCGTGAGGTGAAACGTCACGGTGTCCCGTTACACACGAAGCCGCGCGGCTACGTAGCCTCGTGTTTTGAGAGGATACGTAGCAATGTTATTGAGCTATTGACTTGTTAGGAAATATTTTTGAAAGCAGTTTTTAGGCTAGCTGGAATGGGCTTACAAGGAAAAAGTTGTGTAGGCTTAGAAAAAACAAAAAAAAATTTATCCTTTCCTCCACTTAAAAAAATCAAATTCTGTTAGTCTTTGATAGAATAAGTACATTTTTCCTTCCTACGCCCCTTCTCCCCTCTTCCCCCCCCCCCTAAAAAAATCACGCGACAAACCCTAGCCATACCCTCAAATAAAATTTGAAAAATCAGCCACAACCCCTGAAATTACTGCGCATTCCAAGCCAAATTCGAGAAAAAGGATAGTTTTACAATTGAAAACCTGTGAAAAAGAATTACGAACGTGAAAACAAAAGGTTTGATAAGGCTGATGACGGAATCAGCCATTCCTTCTCCAGGATTACTCACGAGGATTATCAGAATTTCCGTGAAATCAACACGAATTCAAACAGCGGTCTGAATTTGAAAATTTATAAAATGTTTAAAATAACAGTAATTTAAAATTTTAGGGTTTTTCATAATCTTGTAAAAAAAACTGTAAAAACTAAAAAAAAATTAAAAAATTAAAATATTTTTTCGCCCATTTGACAAATTTGGCATTGTGTTTCAAGCATTTTTATTAATCTTCCAAACAAGGTACGCTTTAAATTAAATGTAAGTCCATCTAAACGTTTTCTACTAGTATATCAAAGAAAATCGATTAAAAATCAAAAATTGGCAAAATTATAGGTTTGAAACACAATGCCAATTTGACGTAAAAATTAAAAAATCAAAATTTAAAATTTGTGTTTAAAAAAAAAATGAAAAACCAATCAAAATTCCAAAGTTTTTGAATAGTTTGTTAGCTTTATATTGAAACGGTTGACAATACATTCGAATTTGAATTTTCAATGAATTGCGGCTTAAAGTTCGCTTTTTTGATTGAAAATGTTTTAGCTTGTTAAAAGGACATTTTTGTATTTTATTTTTTATACAACATAACAAATTTTTAAAATAATTTAAACGCTTTAAAGTACAAAAAGAAAAAGTTTTTAATTTTTTATAGTTTTTGTAGATTAATTTTTTAAATAAAATTTATAATTTAAAAGCTAATAAACTGTAAAATTTGATATTTTTTTATACTTCATGCTTATAACTATTTTTACGCAATGTTAAGTTGCAAAAACTACGTTTTTTTTCAGATTCTTAAAAGTTTCACGAAGTTTCGTTAAAGAAAAAACTTGTTACAATGTTTTGACCATGACACTTTCCATCTTTCAATCAACACGCCCAACAAACCTCTCAATTAAAAACTCCAAAAATTCCTCAAAAAACTTCTCCATCCAACTTCAAAAACCTAGAAACTCACGTTGGAGTCACGTCCAAGAAACAAGCAGCACAGCCATTGAGCCAACCCACACATACATATCACTGGTCAGCACATGGACTGATATAGTAGATCTCTTTTCAGTTCACGATTATCAGCAGGTTTCAAGGAAGACGAAGGAGGAGGTCGCGCACTTTCCCCGTCTTTCGCTGTCTGCCCGCTCTCCGTTCACGGGACGATGTTGTCGTAGCGGGGCGACCGTGGTAGATGGTCGCGGAAAGAGCGCAGAGAAGCGTGGTATAATGTGATGGGAAAAGAACCGCGATACGAAGTTATAGAAGGCGAACTGACGGTATATTGTGATGGAAAGAGGGTATGTTGTTATAGACAAGAGACCGAACGTCTACGCGCGATCAATGCCCGGACGTCGCGGCCCTCCGCGATTCCTATGGTCTTTCTCTTCTCCATATATATGTATATTTAATCGCTGCGCCCTCCCCTCGTTTTAACACCCTGAGGGCAATCTCGCAGTGGTTGCGATAACGTGATTCGAAGCGAGCGTTTCGTTCCAAAAACCTCTTGATTCAGATTCTTTTCGTTCCAAGATTCGCTTAATTTGGCTGTTTAAAATTGAGCGGATCTTAGAACGTTTAAATTCTCATGACTTTAAAATGTTTTGCTTTTATTTTTTTGTTTTAAAGTTCTGTTGCTGATTATCCTTTTCATTTCTTATTGTTAAACTTTTTAAAGTCCATTCAGCTGATATCTATGTTATTTTTATTACTTTTTCTCCATTTTTATTATTGTCCTTTCGACTTCTTGGTCTAAAACTACAACAAGATGGATTCATAAAGCATCCAATCATTGTTTTAGATCAATTCATTTGACTTTGAGCACTAGAGATTCACTGGAATGACACACTATCAATGTGTCATTTCCAGTGATTGCTAATATTGTCACGACTTTTTTTATATTTCAGTTAATCAGTCTTGTTTTTCAAAAGTCTTTTTTTAAACTTTGTATACTCAAAAATCATAAACCAAACCAAATGTAAAAGGGGACGGCTCTTACTTTTACAGCTCTAGGTTAATCATTAGTCTGGTATTCTCTGAGCAAATTACCTTATCTTCTTAATAGTCTTTACAATTTTTTAAAATTATTTTTTTACACAAAAGACCTCTCAAAAACGTATACTATAGTAGATAATACACTTACTTCCCGTGATCTGTTGTCATCGTCGCTCATTTCGCAGCACTTTTGTCCAGTCCAGCAAGCAATGGTGACCACTTTCGAACCACAACCAGTCCAACTGATTGCTTTTCAGCCTGCAAAACCAAGTACTAGTCCAGAACAGGTTCAACCAAATCGGAACGAATAAAGCCGGCTTGTCCTTACCTTGTTTAGCGGCCGTCACCGCTAATTTGGCGTAATCCGGAGTTGTCGTCGCAAATATTTAAATTGAAATTGGCTTTTTGTTTTCCATCAGACAACTTTTTGCTTGACAACAATTCGTTTTGGCTATAAATAACGGCGTTTGCACTATTTTTTGAATTAAAGTTTATATTCATATAAACTTATATCAAAAAGGTCTTTCAGTTCATTTTTTCCCTAAACTCATATTAATATTACCTAAATTTAAAATTAATATTCTCATACCTAACAAAAGTTATTTTATTCCTTTAACTGTGTACTCCAATAAAACTTTGTATAGCAGGGGCAGTTCAACACATGTTTCGGCTCTAAAATCATATTAATGTTACTTAAACTTAAAAATAAACCTTCTCGTACTTACCATAAGACGTTTGATCCCTCATAAATTTGTATTTTATCCAAATCTTACTCATCTGTCCTTCCAAGCAGATCTTCCAGACGATATTAACCTAAAACATCTAACAAAATAATAAAAATCTTGCCTAAAAATTTTAAATTATATTGAATTAGGCATGAAACCCCTTTTGAGCTTGAAAAATCGATTAAATCTATGTCCAATTACCCTAATAAAGCTTGTAAATTGTTATGAATCAACATTTAACCTAAAATATCCAACAAATTCATGAAAAACATACCTAAAATCTGTGAGTCCGGTTGAATTAGGTATAAAACATTTTTTGAGTTAAAAAACTCTTTGTACATGCCAAGTCCTATGTCAGCTACCACACATAAAGCTTGCACATTGTTATGAATCAACTTTTAACCTAAAAATTCAACAAAATACAGGAAGACTTAACAAAATTCGAAAAAAATAGGTATGAAACCTATTTATTGATAAAAAAATTAAATTGAATGTATCGTAACAGAAAAATTCACATTTTGTTGTTTTTCTACTTAGTTTTTGACCAGAAAAAAAATAAAAATTAAATACATTTCAAAAATTCTGAAAAAAACATTTATTTATTTCTCCAATGTATTTTTGAACCAAAACGAAACAAAAGTCGTTGCCCTCTTGCGTAGTGCAGAGGCGCAACACAAAGTCCCAGAGTCTATAGGACCGAAGTTCGATACCTCTAGAACGACGGGCAACGCCAAACCTCACCGGAAATTTATGAGCTTCTGATGATAGAAAGCCTCATCAATTTCTCGTGATACCCCAAAAACCTAGCTAGGTCGCCACCTACCGTAGTTCGAAATACGGAATCGATATATCGAAAAAGCATTGCTTCTCTATCCTTCATGGTAAAGTTTTGCACCTTTTTAAATTTCTAAACTTTTATTGAGTATATAAATATAATTTGTGTTTTTTTACTTGTCTGTACTTCTTGAAAAAATAGGGTATAAAAACACTTTTATAAAACCAACTTTTAAGCCCTAAGGTAATACTACACAATTCATTTTAAATCTTATTTTTAACAAACAAACCTAAAATCCTCAAGCAATTAGTTATACATGAGTTTCCCTGTAGCTTCTAACACCCAATAATAATATATAAAAAAAATATATTTTCAAAAACCGATAATTTATTATATACAAAATTTATTACAATATAACATACAATATAACACTTTGAAACAAAAAAGACCCGCCAAGCGTTCCGATCCTTGACTAGTCCACGTAACAACGAGATCAAACAGCTTCTAGAATTGCGATTAGACTTTGATTTGCAGTTTTTAGAATACATTTTCAGAATAGAAGAGGCATAATGGTACAATACAGACTTAGAAAAAGGTAGTAAAATATAATATAGTACAACATATATATAAATCCAATAGAACAACACAAGCTTTTGTAAAATACGTCTCGTGTCTATTAGTAATACAATTTTTTAAATTTTTGAAAAATTTTTGAAATTTAGATTTTGAATTTAATTTTTTTTAAAACGAAATTTTAAAATTAATAGACTATGTGACATATAAGACTTACATTCATAGCACTAAAAGATGAATAGTACCAAATTGATAGTATCATATTGATACTGAATTGTAAGACAATTTTTTGATTTTTAATGCCAAAACAATATATAATAGCCATAAAAAGAGTGAAATTAGATGCTATACATAAATAAAACTCAAAAATGCTCAAATTACTATAATTTTTAAATACTACAACATTTTTTTAAATACTGTGAAATCATACTACACATTACTCACAATGTGATAAAAACGTACTACAGATATCCATAATACTGTAAAAACACTGTAGATAAGGCACGAAAAGCAATATTGCGTTTAAAGCAACACTTTACAGCTTGTAGGAGGGGATCTGATCCAAACTCGTGTTTGAACGATACGATGGCGGCGGACTGCAGCGACGTGGCGGTGGTACAACCTCGAACTGTCCCACTGACAGTACGGGTGGGTTGTACGGTGCACAGCCCTCGCTTACGGATGGGATTAGAGGGTGACGAGAATCGCCCTGAAAAAAAATTCTGAGTAATATAAATATGTAAAATATACTCTTGGTTTAGGCTAGTAATTTTTGTTTATGAGAATGAGTGGGAAGTGTAAGTTAGTGTACAGTAAGGTAGGATAAATTAGGGTAGGATAAGGTATCTACATTTTTTAAATGCATTACCTCCCCCCCCCTCTTCCCTTACCAAAATCACCCGCTGACAACTATTTCAAAAGTGCATTGTGAAATACTAAACTTTTTTTCAAATTTCGAAACCTTGGGTATGAGTCACTTACATATGCACGTTTATCTCGTTCTTCATGAGCACAGGCAGCTTGCAGACAACGATTCACGGCTTCTGGATCCAGTTGAGGGCTTTCTCGAGCTGTGAATGGACTCTTGAATCCGCCGAAACAGTCGCAAAAACAGGCTCGCATCATCTAAAACATTGGATGTTAACATGTTTTTTTCTTTTAAATTTCAAAATCAGATTGAAAAAAAAAACGGATATGACAAGGTGTAAAACTATAGCTGTGTTGTACCTAAAATTCACTTATAAAGCCTTACAACTCGTGAAAAGTAACCCAAAGTAAAAAAAGCCTTTTACCCCTCTTCACCTCAAAACTCTTCCCACCCATGCCACATATCGAATTCTCTTGCCCCACCTAACCCAAAAATCCAATTTTTTTACACCTCCCAGCCCAAATACCCCCTCCTATAACAATATATCCCAGAATACGTAACATCGGCCGTAAAATTAACCCTTTGGAATGTTTAAGAAAGCGGCCCGATTAAATTCGAAAGTGACATGAAAACTGGCATCGCGTGAACAGGTGAGCTCCACTTTACAACCGAAAGACGTAATTGCAACAATGTTGAGGTTGGGCCCCGAATTCAATATAACACATACATTAAACCGCTCGCGTCAACATTTAAAGACAGACGGCCGTTCGAAATTCGTGAAGTTTTGAGATTTTTGGAAGGTGGGGAGTTTTAAAAAATGAAATTTTAAAGATTTCTTAATTTTTAAAATTTTAAATTTCTGCCAATTTGGGTTTTTGAAATTTTTTGCAAAGTTATAAATTAAATTTTAAAATAAATTCAATGATATCCCATCAAAAAAACCACAAAAAATAGATAATGATTTGACACAGATAATGAACAAATCAGTTCAATGGCCTGCGGAAACGTTCTCGAATAGAAGTCATTGTTCACAACACAAAAAACAAACAAAACCACCTGAGGCCGCGACGAAATCCCCACAAAACAATGGAAACTGAGGGTGGATGGAAGCGGATGTGAAGAAAGAATGTCAGAAAATACGAAAAAAGAGCACGCCGCTTTTACGGCGGCAGAACGACGCTTCCAACGTGCTCTGTCCACGCCTTTTTCGAAAAGAACCCGCGGGCGAAAACGGCCGAAAAACGCAAAAAAATGGCTTAGCAGTGTCCAAAAATGCAGAAAAAGCCAGAAAATGCAAAGAAAATACTCAAAAATGAGTTCTGAATAGAGTTAAAAGAGGGGCCCACTCTCCAGCCCAACCCAAAGCAAAGTTGAAAAAAGCTGGACCAAAAATTTAGGCCAGGCCAGACCCTTTAACAAGTCTACTACAAGAAGCCAAAACAGCAAAAAAATGGGTTTAAATGCGCAAAAAACTAATTAAAACGTGCATAACACGGTCTAAAAGACATAAAAAAGGGCCCAATACAAAACGACAGATAGCCATGAATAGACAACAGACATTCCAGGAGTTTTGCCACTTTTTAACAAACTCATTACTACAAAACAAAAGCCATAGTTAAGTCGCAAAAAAGTTAATCTGCTCTCTTACAGCTGCAAATTTTAATCTCACGTAAGAAATTTATGGCCAAAAAACTTATAGATTTAATGTAGCAGCTGACGTGAAATTTAAAAAAAAATCTGTTTCAAAAACGTTAAAAAACTTTTTTTTTTAATTTGGTAAAAAAAACTAGTGACAATCCTAGTTAGATGAGGAGGAAAAGTCAGAAGTAAGCAAAGGAAGAAAAACAGCTAAAATTTAATATAAAGAGTAAAAATATGACAATAGGACAAATTAAAAAACAAAATAGGTTTAGAATAAAAAAGAATATCAAAAGATAATATATAAGTTAAGGATAATAAGCGGATCTAATAAAATGTGATTAAACAAATCGAACAGTGGTATAAACATCCGTTTTTTAAAACAAAGCCGTATACATTATGAAGAGCAAAAATTGCTAAAAAGGCCATACGAAAAATGACTTTAAAAATTTGTTTATGACGTTCAATTTTTTAAAAATTTTTTGTTCAAAATCAACAAAAAAATTTTTTTAAAAATTTTTTTATAGAAAAGTTATTATCCTAGCCTAGATTTTACCGCTTTATTTCCGTTGTTCCTTTCCAGCCCTACTGCTAAAAAATATACACTTCCTTAGTTTACAATTACTATTAAATGCTCAAATTATATAATAAGTATGCCCTCTCTCAAAGCAAATTTTTGAGTTAGGAAGCACAGAATTAATTGAACCAACCTTATAGTAATATTAAAAATATACAGCGTTTTAACCTATACGGTAGCAACTTCATATTATATAAAAAAAACTAACCATTTAAAAACTAAAATTTTGTAACCTCTTCCCTTTTCATTGATTAGAAACTCCGAAAACCCTGAGGCTCTGTAATCAAAAAAAGACTGTTGTGAACTTGCCCAAGAGTTTTTTTTTGTTTAATCTGACGCTTAACTGGAAATGAGGACAGTCGTTTTCTATCACAAAAGAATCATTTACACAACGGATTACAAAACCAAAACTTGACATTGTCAACAGAGATAGTACTGGCTTGTAAACAAAAAGTTTGATGGGTATCGGTGACGAAAATGCAAAAAATAGTATGATACTGCTACAAGGCAGATTAAAAATTTGTATTAAATTGTATAAAAAATAATGAGCTAAGTCTTGTAGTTGATATAGGGTCCAGTAGCGCATTACTTTTTATGCAACTTAATATTTTTAGATTTTCATACTTATTTTTCGCAAAATTAAAAAAAAAATAATTTTTAAATTCAAAAATTTTAATTTTTACGCAAAAAAAAACAGACTAAAACACTTCGGTTTACTCTATGCCACCTACATTCACCACAACATTCCTAAACCAAAAAAACTTTCAAAACCTTATCAACCCACCATAAAAACAGCAGCCATCGCGGCCATCAAGCACATCAACATCAACATGACCACAGCGAACGGATTCCCATTAGTGTGGTTCTGAATCATGGCTACGGTATCATTCATCGTGAGTTTTAGGCTAATAGGCGAGGCCAAATGACATGCACTTCCGTAGTGTTTGCGCGGACACCTGAACAGCGGAGTTAATCTTTTCGAAATTCAGGACAAAAAACATAGAACCCGAGGCCAAAAGGTCGGTTTTCACGTTTTACTGTTTGTTACATTAGGAAAAGACGTGTGAGTAATTGTTTAACAAAATTTTTAAGAATTTTTTTTTGTATTTTTTCATAAAATTTTTATTTGGTTCCCCTTCCCCTGCGAATTTTTTGCTAAAAATTGAAGAGTTATGATCTTAACTTAAATTCAAGGTTAAATAGAGTAATAGCTTTAGCCTTAACATACTAAAGAAAAATTTTTAAAAGTTAGAAAAATTCTATAGGAGACCAAGTTCAGAATTTTTTTTCGGTTGTGAAAGAGGAAGCAATAAAAAATATAATTTTGACTATTCATATGACGTAAAATTGCCAAAACCAAAAACAAATCTTAACCCAGACATCATTTTTCTTAAAAACATGTTCAACGTAACATGCAAACACATGTCACGTCCTAAATAAAAGCGTAAATCAAAACGGCCATAGCATTTTATTGGCTTTTGACTTTAAAAATTGCCATATTGATATTAAGAAAATTTTTTTAGACTGTTTAAAAGGAAGATTTTTTAGCTTTAAATGGCCTAAAACAAAAAGAATCAAACTTTTAGATTAAGCCTTAATATAAACTTTAGTATAGCCCTAAGCATTAACTTAAACCTATTTTTTAGAACTCCAAACTTCCTTGCTATAACACAAAGCTTTCCGCCTTTAAACGCCGTTCCAAAATCAAAGACCCAACGTGAAGTCATCAATTAAAACCGGCCATATTTAGTTAATCGATTAATTTTTCTTTTCAAAACTCGACCATTCCTTTTTCCAAGTCAAAAACGCCGTCTAGCCCTTTTTCTATGCCGTCTGGTCCTTTTTTATGCCGTCCAGCCCTTTTCGGGCCGAGAACATTCCCCTTTTTAAACAAAAAAATTCCGTGAAGCCGTTTTTTTCGAAGCCAAAAGCAAAAATAAAAAACAGAAAAGAGCCATGCCGAGTTTGTTTTTGAACGAACCTGCATTTCAAAGTCCCGTGGCCAACGTCGAACAGCTTTTGATCGGCCGAACTGCTAAAGGTCAGGTTGTAGAGATCACACGAGTCTAGTTGGATATCGGCGTTGGCTGGTATTAACGTTGATAGGGCAGGGTTTTCTGATAACAGTTCTGGATGTATTGAGGCGTTAAGTAAGGACCCTAAAAATTTTTAAATTTTAAAAATTTTTATGATAAATTGCTATTTTAAAACGTATTTTAAAGATCTTTACTTTGTCATAACCTAATTTACATTTATTTTTTATATCAGCTATCCGTTTCCTTTTCCTAACTCTAGTCTTGGCTTTAGCTTTAACTGCAGCTTAAACTTGAACTTAAACTTGAGCTTGAACTGAAGCTGAAGTCAGAGCTAGAGCCTGAGCTTGAGCTGGAGCCTGAACCTTTGCCTTATCTTTAGCCTTTAGCCATATTTTTAGAAGTAGAATTACCCTAAACTTACACTACCTCTAACCTAGCTCCACTCTACCCTTTCCTTTATCGTAAATGTAATATTGTAGCTTTGCTTTCGTTCTAGTTCTAACGTGCCCTTATCCCGCTATTATCAATCCTTGCCGTAAGCCAATCAACGCTGCCTACTGTACCCACACCCGCACACCTTTCCGTTTTAGCCCAACCTTACCTGACGAATCGACAGCAATCCAATCTGTAGGGTCTAGCGTGTTTGTCATGTCGATTTCTGAAGTTCCATTTCCTCCGGGCCCGTAATCAATAAATGGAACACCCCCATAACAACATAATATTAACAAATGTTTGAGATTTTCCATTCTGAAATTGATAAATTTAAAAAATTTAGTACTGTAAAGAAAAATTATTAAAATTTAGATTATGGTAGCGATAAAGAATGGCAAGCACAAAGGAAATCAACACGGTCAAAAAAAATTTAAAAAAAAATCAAAATAATCAAACTTATGCCATTTTTATAAGCTTTAACAAAAATTGTTTTTGAACCGCTTCCAAATCTTTCCTTGCAAAAACTTTCTTTCCAGAATCAATTACAATTGGGCGCAAAGTTGTAGTGCTAAATATAGTCAAGTCTTTTTTGGTGGGATTAAGCGTTAAGGGAGGGCGTGATAATCTCTTCCAAATTATTTTAATTAGAATTTTAAATGCAAATGCTTGGAGAAAATTGAGTGGAAGAAATTACAATTCGGAGAAAAACGAGTATCACGCGAATATTATTACAATTGGTACAAAACGTCGCTATAATAAGACTTGGACATGCTTTTAAACAGGAAAAACAAAAAACAATCAAAATAAACCTAAAAGAATAAAATCAAAATAAAATTAAAAGTAAAATTATAAGAGAATAAAGTGTAATTCTGTTTCTAATTACTACTGTACTTTCCGTGGCTTCTAAGTCAGTCCTAGCTCTAGTCCTACTGTAGCCAAGCCCTACAATGATTTTGCTGTAGACCTATTATTAAACCGTTCTTTCCCATCCCATTTCCCTTAATATAGCCTTACCTTGCTCTTCTCAAAGCATCAATAACACTGCTTTAACTTTAATCTTTTCTAACCTTGCCCTACCCACATACTCAAAAAATATTTACATACAAAGTAAGATACGTGACCAAACAAATTTCCAAAAAACTTCCTCATAACCTTTGAATTTCCAGACGACGTAGTAAAACAAGGTTCAAATGTAAAGTTGTGGTAGAAAGTAGGTCCATAAATAACAGAGTTCTACGTAAGAGCCGGCACTAATCACGCCATAAACAATTATTTGTATTTGTTATTCAGTTTGAGGTAAAGGATTGTAGTTTGGCTACAAAAATGGGGCTTGGACAAGTAGATCTCGGGTTTTTTTTTGGCATTATTTCAAAAAAAATTTTAAATAAAAAAAATTGTCAAAATTTCGAAAATTTTTTTTTTTATCACCTCCCCCCCCCCTCCATTATAATAAATAAAAATTGCACTCTTCCCCTCCTCTCTACCCTGTCCGCACAAAAAAACTTATCTTGTCTTTCTTCTCTCATAAAAAAATTTTGCCATGCCCTCCTCTCCTTACCGAAAAAAATCTCTTTCCCTTCCTCCCCCCCCCCTTCCAGCTTAAAATAAACAAATTCTATAAACTTTTTGAACAAAAAACCCCAAAAAACCTCCAAAAACATAGAGAAACAATATTTGCCAATTCGGAAACAAATCCTTATAAATCGACTGATTCGATCCGTTGATAAAAGGAGAAGAATGCTCGTTCCTCTTCGCCGTCCTCAAATTCCCCAAGGCGATTTACAAACGTGTGAAAGAAGAACCTGAAGTCTTTTTTACCGCCGGAATCTTCCGCCTATTTTTTTGCGGGTTTGCAAAACAATTTTGAGCTGTTGAGTTAAACCTCAAAAGTTCAAGTTGTGGGAGGATAAACAGGAGTTCAGGTTTTGAAATTTAAAATTAAAAAAAAACATTTTTTGAGAGTTCTGTCAAAAAAATTGAAAATTTTACTTTTTTGGGCCATTATACAACATTAGGTTGTTCACTTAATCCTGCGCCCCTCTTAAAACAAGTTTGAAGAGGGGGGGGAGGGGATTAGGGGGCGCATAATTATTTGAACAACCTAATATGTATTTATTTCGGAGATTTAAAAACTGTTCGTTATACATCAATGTCGTTATACAGAAGTCCAACTGTAGATTACAAAAAATCATATACCACCCCTATGATTTAAACTATGCCTTAAACTCTTCCTTAACACATTCTCCTTTGCACCGTCTTCTCCATAAAACATTTCCGTCCAAAACGCCCAAAATCCCCTCGCTCATGCTTAAAACAACAATTGGAACCTTCCCCCACGCCCGTTCTGACCCAATATTAACATCCTCTTACGGCATTAGCGCCGGTCTTCAAATAGTAATAAGGCTCGGAATAGAAAAACACAAAATGCAATCAAAATATTATTCTGCCCGAGGCCGGGTCTTATTTATTGTTCCAAGGTGTGTAAAATGTACATAACGTCATTTTAAAAGCTGTATTTAGACTTTGTACTACGTCGAGAGGGAGTATTTAAAAGTGGCAAGGGTTTAGAGATTTGGAATTTTTTTAAATTTAAAAAAAATTTTTTTAAGTAACAACCGTCATAAAAAATGAAAAAGCTGTTTTGAGCCATTATAAACTTTACTGTAATTTTTAAAATTATATTTTTTAAAACTTCAAACTTAAAAAAAAAATTTTTTTTGATTTTTAAAATTTTAATCATAACTTATTTCAAATTTCAATTTTTTTAAATAATAATAACTATCAAGATATGAACAGTCACCTTTATCACTACCTAATTTACACGTCAAAGTTAAAGCGTCTTATCCATAAAAACATCGAAGGAACATGCCGTATGCCGGAGAAAAAATTTAACTTCTACTTTAGGACAACATAAAATAGCAATAAAGTAAATAAAAAGAGTAAAGCGCTTTGTATTGGTATATAAAAAAGAATGAACTATAGTAAAAACGTAACATTTGAGTTTAAACGTGATATATTGAGTGTAATTACAGTAAAGCATAGTTTATCAAAAATTACAAAAAAATTTTAATCTACCGAGAAAAAAAAACTACCGTTCCGTACCGTTCCGTACCGTACCGTACCGTACCGTACCGAACCGTACCCTACCCTACTCTTCTACCCTACCTTACACTACCCTACCCTATCCTACCCTACCCTATCCTACCCTACCGTACCCTACCCTACCCTACACCACCCTACCCTACCCTACCCTACTCTACCCTACCCTACCCTACCCTACTCTACCCTACCCTACCCTACCCTACCCTACCCTACCCTACCCTACCCCACCCTACCCTATCCTACCCTACCCTACTCTACCCCGTCCTTCTGACACCAAAATCTGGCAGAAAAACGGCTAGCCGGAAATTAAGCCCTCCGGTCATCTGCCATTCACCGGTTTTAAAACGCAAAACTTTTGCTCCGGTTTTGATGCATAAACAATGTGGCCTTCTTCTCCATTTTTGAAGAAAAAACTGCCTCGCCCCAAAAACACAATCTTCATTCACCTCACCTGAATGGTCCTGAAGTGACCCTAATTACTCGTCCAACCCAATCAGACCCCAAAACGGCCAAAAAACAACAACCACAATGGCTGTGTGGGGCCAGAAAACAGTTCTGAAGTGGCATGGCGGTAATTTTTGAAGTCATACTAGGGCGGGGTAAAATGATTGTAAGGTAAGATACAACAATGATTAATTGTATGAATGGGCAAAGTAAAAAAAATAATTTTGACACGGAGCCGGTAGAAAATATTTTAATTCCGAGGAAGGGGGGGGAAGAGGAAGGTAAGAAGAAAGGTAAAAAACCCCCAAAAACCAGTTTGTGTTGGCTATAACAAGATTCACCTTCTACAACATAATTTTCTCCCATTTTCTATTTGAGGACCTCACCAAACTACAGTACCCGCTCTTTAGCCTTCGCCCAACCCCAAGTCCATGCCATCCAAAAACATTAATGCAGTGCCCACTTTGGACCCCTGAAGATTGTAGCTACAAGCGCGGAACAAAAGACAATAGTCTCGATTAGAAATAAGTGCTTCGAACGGAGGCACGTCCTTTTTTGGAAGCGTACCGTGCAGCCTCCAAGGAATTGGGCGAAGAAGGGCCAGAAGAATGAAAGTGTATCTCTGACATTAGACTAATAGACTCTTGTTTTTCGAGTTTATGACCCGAGGGCCCTTCAACAATGCCATTTTGGTGAAATGGGCTAAAGGTTGTTATAGTAGCCAAAGATCGAGGAATCAATCTATGGCTAAACGGTTTTTTTTTCATTTTCAAAAAGAAATTTTTCTAAAAATCAATTTTAAATTAAAAAACCTACCCCGCTTACAAAATTTTTTTTTAAAATCCCCCCCCCCCATTTTTTTTCAAAAAAAGTATCCCGCCTTAAAAATTTTTTTTTGCAAAACCGCCCCTCTTTTAAACAACTACCCCTATTTTTCACTACCTAGACCCCTTGAAAACCATTTTTACCAAACCCAAATAATATTACAAGTTGAAATTTTGCCATACCCACATAAAATTACAATTTGCAAGACCCGCCTTTCCAAAGCCTAACTTAATCCCGCGATATTACACATGTTACAGCGGTGACGGTTTGATTGTCCATCACGTTTCCTCAATGTCCACCCCTCCTTTTCTTGGGGTTGTTTTTTGGCGGTACACAAACATTGGTCGGAAACGTGGATTGACTGGCACCTGAGTCGCGCGCGTTCCTTCAGTCCGACCGACTAACCCCGAGAACACCTTTAAATAACTTTACATTACTTTTCAGGGCCCACATCACTTGAAAACGAGCTCAAAGATCAAAAAGTTATAGAACTTTCTAACTAAATTAACATTGTATGACTATTAGCTAAGTTAATATAAAGGGTACCTTTACTTTTAGACCAAAATAATGTATTTACTCCTACTTTTAAAGTAAATTATTTTACTTCCTTCTACTTTTAAACTAAAATACTGTGTTCATCTTCAATTTCAAACCAAAAAAAACAATACTTTCCCCGTACTTTTTGACCAAAAAATCAATCACTCTAAATCATAAGACTACGCAAGGTAAAGGGTAAACTATGCCCACTTGTCGGCCGCCTAGCACATTTTTAGCACTCATTTTTTAGTCAACGTTCCTGTAACCGAATACTGGTGGGGAAGACCGGTGCACGGCGAAAAGAATGTCCGATAAGGCTTTACTAACAAAATTTATGAGATTGAATAAGGAACAAACACTAAAGCTGTCTTTGTTTATTAATGCCTAGATGAATTTGTATTGCGACGATGTTTGGGGTAGGTGGTTCCACCAAGAAAAGACTGGTACAAAGGTTCTATTATTCTGCTTAAAAACATTACTACAGTAGTACACAAAGTAGCATAATGGTAAGACGCTACTTTTTGTACTACTGTGGCTCACCGTAACAAACTAGTACCAGACTTAATACCAAAATAGTAAAATGACAAATAAATGGCACTGAAACCATAAAATGACGCCATCAATTGCATTATAATCATAGAATGACACCTTGAAATTGCACCGTAAAAGTAAAATGCTTAAACTACCTCAACAATATAACACTAAAACTAAAGATTTATGTAACAATCTACTGTGGTGTCTGGTACACCTTGGGGTTTCTGCCGAGCTTCTTCACAATATCTGAAGTGTATCTCTCCGGTTGTACGATAGTTTCGTCTACAGTGCAACCACGAACAGTTTGTGGTTCGGTGTTGACGAATAAGTCAGAGTAGAGAGCTTCTACTGGAAGTTCTGGGTCAGTGATAGATTGTTTCACAGCTTCGTCAACAGCTACACGGACATCTTTTTCGATTTTCTAAAAGAACAATATGTTAATATAAACCTAACCATGCCAACTATACGCTCTATATTAAAAATATTATCCAACCTAATGACAAACATCATATATTTACCAACTGAATCAAAAATATAGCTCCAATTACCTACTATAATATGCAAATATACCCAAACATCATATATTATACTGCCTTTTGTAAAGCATTTTCCATAACAAAACCTTACCTTCAACTCCTCATCATTAGCGAGACCAGCAGTCACAATCTTATCTTTGAATCCAGCAATAGCGTCACGATGTTTACGGACTTCTTGAACTTCTTCACGAGAACGATAACTTGTGCCTGGATCAGACATGGAGTGACCTACATATCTGTAGGTAGCCAACTCCAACACCAAAGGTCCTTTACCAGCAATACAATGTTCGCGAGCAAAGTGAATGGCTTCTCTCACGGTGAGAACGTCCATACCGTCAACCCAGATTCCTAAAAGATAATAAGTCATAACTTCATGTACATTGAGTCAATACTCAAAAATTTTAGAGATAAAATCCCTACCTGGAACAAAGTCGCCTCTAGTGTAGTAGTCAGTACTAGCAGCGCCTCTTGACGATGATGTTCCCATAGCAAATCCGTTGTTTTCGCAGATGAAGATACATGGCAACTTCCACAATTGAGCCATGTTTACGGTTTCAAAGAATTGACCTTGGTTAGCAGCTCCATCACCGTACAAAGCGTACGATACGTTCCGTTGATTACGGTACTTTTGAGCAAAAGCTATGCCAGCTCCGAGTGGGATTTGAGCTCCAACGATACCATTACCACCGTAAAAGTTGCGTTCGTACATGTGCATTGAGCCTCCCTTGCCGTATACGTTTCCAGATATGCGACCTGTAATGAAGAACTTATAATCATTATACTATAAAGGGCACAACATTGTGTAAATGTCAGTTTTTTGTAAATCAAAGCTAATTTACGATGTAAAAGATTATTATTATCACTTTAAAGCAGCAGTTTTAAGTAAACAAGCAAAAAACTATAATAATGTCAAAATAAATAAACTTTTTTAAACCAAATCAGCCCTCAACATACCAGTCAATTCAGACAAAACCTCAGCGATAGTAGACCCCATGAGGTAAGTCCATCCGTGGCATCTGTACGATGTAATCAGAGCATCCTCATGATGTTTCGCCGCAGTAATACCCACAGCGACGGCTTCCTGACCAGTGTACAAATGACAGAAACCGCGAACCTTCTTGTCCTTGTAGAGGTTCGAAGCGGCGGTTTCCATTCTTCTCAATACCAACATTTCCTTGTAGTAGTCCAAGGCCTCTTCTCTAGTCAAGACAGTTTCATTGCTCGGTCCGTAGTCCAGTTTATGAAGCTTGTAAGGCCGGGTTTGGAAGGTCACTTCGCTCACAGTAGAGGAGAAGCGAATAGACAAAGGCTGAAAATGTAAAATAACGTTATTTATGAAAAACAGCTTAAAAAATTACTAAAAAACATTTATTTTATAAAATTTCAAACACAGCATAAAAGTTTAAAAAAATTTAGCTTTTAAAATAAATTTTCTATTATAATACTTTTCTTTCTATTATAATACGTGCTGCAATCGACATAGAAACTTACACTGAGCCCTTTAGACACCCTGAGAATAGGATTCAAGAACGACATCCTGTACCTAAAATAATATAGTTTAAAATTTTTGAATATCCTTATAAAAATGAGCTTTAACATTGTCAATATAAAAAACAAAGCCCAATTCAGGCTTTTCGGCCGAAATGCTTTTTTTCTAACTCAACCAAACGAAAAGCCACAATATATCGCAGTAAAATTAAAATTTTCAGTCCAAAACATTCAAAACGCTTGCCAAAAAAGATAAATTACAACTTATAACCAATAAACTTCTATAAAACAATTATCGGATATCCGTTCGTTTCAAGATGAACCCAATTCACAAAATAAGAGGTTTATTGTCGTAATACCAGTATTAATTTAATTAATAAATTAAACACAAGTTATTATCCTGTACACAAAATAACACCGCAGTACTCTGTTGGATCAAGAGTAATAAAAAAGAGGAAAACGTTGAGTTTTCGTATAACTAAATTTACAGCAGAAATATATTTTACAAATGTTATCGACAGTTTTAATTGTTGACTTTAACGCTTTGATTTCTTCTCCTTGATCCAGGCTTGGATTCGTTGTTTAAGGTCCGTATCTAAAATAAGGAAAATTTAGATAAAGTTCCATTTTAGTATAATTATTGCACCAAAAATTGCAATTTTATCTATAAAGACAATAAAACTTTCATATTTACACAAAAATCATTTTTCGATTTAAACCTTCACTCCCTACAAACAATACACTCTTCGTTAACATAACGTAACGTACCTTCCACCAACTCCTCCTCAGTAAGTGCTTGTCTTGTGAATGGGTCGTTTTTGGTGCTAAGTAAATGCCGTACAATAATTTTTCTGTCCATGACGTGACCTGAAGGTAGTTTTACTGGATCGTGCATCAACGTGTCCATCACAGGGTCCTTGAACTCTTCCGGACAATCCCCAAAATCTTCTTCTTCCTGGAGCTTTTCCTTGTAAATCCTGGCCGCTTTCTCCAACAAGTTCTTGAATCGTTCACATTCGTACTGGGAAACAGCTTTGATTCTGTTCAAGCGCTGAAGGATGGCTTCGAATGCTTCTGGAGTGTAAGAACGCTAAAACATTTGTCATTACAATTTATATTTTAAAAAAAATACACTGAAAAGTAGAATAATAATTAAATGGTAAATATATTATAATAGAAAAACATTAAAAATAGAAAAAAAATAAAATAATAAGCAAACACTTACCTCATCATGAGCCAGACATTCAGCAAATCTCTCAGAATCCAAATTCAAATAGATTTTGATCAGTTGGTGCAACGTCTTTCTCGGTTCCCAATAGAAACGTTTTTGGGGTTCTTTGACCTTCAACTCTGTGCATTTGGGTCCACATAGTTGAATCATGTTGTAGTTCAACATAGATGACATTCTTTCACCCAAAGTGTGTTCATAAAAGGTTTCTGGAGCCGCGTTTGACAGATAATCGAGCATTTCCATAGTTTCATTGCCGAGAACCATCCACGATCGCACTGATCTTGTAGCTTCGCTCAAGACACCCAACTTCTGTTGACGTTCATCATCTGACAACGCTGCGAATCTAGCTTCATCTTCCATTAGAACTTCAACCTCGTGCACCTTCCTCAATCCTCCGAGAGATTCGTCCAACAAGAAAGTACCATCGTTGATAATCATGTTGATGAAACGTACAAAGTCAGGAGAGCATTTCTTTGCGTATTCAGTCATTTTGCCTCTGTAAGTAATGTCTTCCCAAAGCTCTCTGAAGATCACTTGAATTGATCGTCTGATGTTGAACTTGTCGTAGAACTCAGAACTGGCACCAGTCGATTCGACGTCTGAATAGAACTTAACCAGGCGTGGGTACAAGTTCTCCATAGCGTATGGGTGATGTGTAGCGCTTCTGAAGAGTCCCATAACACTTGGATTGTATGATGGGCAAATCAGGAAGAACACATCAATGATTTTGGCAGTCAAGAAGGGATTGTTGAAGTACTGAGAGTTGCACATTAAAATCATCAAGCTTTGTACCATTTCAGTTTGGATCTTCTTGGCCAATTCCGAGTTTGTCCTAAAGTTTAGGTAATAAATATTAATCTTATAACTTTATAAAAATGACCTGTTATTTTTTTACAAGACTGCTCTTTCTTAAAACTTCACGTAGCGTTGACAAATCGCGCAAAAAACAGTTGGTATATCCCACTTACTTCAACAAAAAGATGCCCAGATCGAGCACAGATTCCAGCATGAACTCAGGCATCATTCCAAATAGTCTTGGCGCTTCTGGTGGCACTTCTGTCATCATGAATCCTTCTGGACAGATCAGCTTGATCAAGAACTGCATTTGTTTCTTCGCGTAATCCATACATCTGTCCATGAAGCCAGCGTCAGTCAATTGGCACTCCAATGAAGCCAATGTAATGCTAGCTTTCTGAAAATTAAAAAATATATATCTAAATTGTCATATAGCACCAAAATTTCAAAACCCGAAAAAAGTCATGGCTAAACTAAACATAAGCTCTCGTTTACCAAAATCTATCCAAATCAAATACTAACTTAAAATGATGCCTTATATACCTACTAAACTGCCTGAAAACCTACTTCCATTTTCATACCCTAATTCTGGATCAATTTCACTTTACATCGCTACTAAATGACCTTATTTATCTACTTCCTTTTATCTATTCCAATCAAAACAATAACTTGCAAAACTGTGCCCCATCGTACCTTATATAGCTCTTGCAAGTGTGTCAATCTCATTTTAATTCGGCCTTGTAACACTGCTGCTCCGGGCATGCTTGAGGTTTGAGCAATCTTCTCCTCCAGGTCTTTGATTGCATTTTTGAGTTCTCCACAAGTTTGTTTCATGTGTTTAAAAGACTCGATTGATGCGTTTAGTCCCAATCTCATGCACTGCATAGTCAAGAAGAAGCACTCCGTCGAGAATTTGACATCATCACTGGTGAAAGTAAGCGATTCCACAAATTCTTCGACTTCTTTTTGGTTAAATTTAAATCGTGTTTCTTCTTTAAGGTCAAAACGACAGTTTGGGTGAAAGATGTATTGAGGATTGACCTTTTCCAATGTGACCTTCTCACACAAGAACAACATAACACCCAGAAAGTTGAGCATCACTCCATCATCCACGTTCTTTTGAGCACTTGATTGAATCATAGTCTTGCCTGAATTGGTCGACAAGAATCGACCAATGTAGGCCAGAGCTGGTTCTCTGGTTGTGGAGTTGACAAGAAGCACATGAATTATTGTTTGAAGTTCTCGCTGAAATTTTACGGTCAAAAAATCGTTAAAAATTCAGAAAAACCTTGTATAAAACCTTGAATTTTGCAGTTTCTTCAAAAGTTTAGTTCATTTAACATAATTAAAACTTTAAAATCGAAATTCTTTTGAAAAAAATCATATAAGCACAAGACTTACTCTAACAGCAGCAATTTTCATTTGATATCTCATATAATACATAAATCTAGATTCAGCATGAATTGACACGTTTGCCAGAGGTTCCATTCCACTCATGCTTACAGAATCCTAAAACAATATACAAGATTTAAAAAAATACAACGCCGAAGCAGTGTCAAATAATATAGGTAATGCCCCCCAGTACCCCAACAAACATTGCAACTTTTTATTTAAGATGAATAGTCCTCCCTCCGACAATATAAAACAAAAACTTACAATTTCTGTTCAAAAAATCCATTATAACCCAAAACTCTCAACTTACATCCAAATCCACATTGATTGGCGTAACACAAAAGTCGATGAATGCTCCGAGATATGTTAAGCGACAAAACTGTCTACCAGTCAATTTGCCATCGAGGTTGAAGTCTGGTCGAGAACATAACAATTCACAAATTGGTCGTTTTGCTCCGACTTTCGTTGAGAGTAGTACACTTAGCACCGTGTATGGCGCTTGGATAATCTGATCTGAATCCATTATGGCAACCGTGCTGGCACATACATACAATATATCCAAAATTGGATTGAAAACCTAAAAATTTTAAAATTAGTGCTTTTAAATGTTAAGTTTTAGTTTTTTGTTGTTTAGAAATATGATCGCACAGACAAACTAAAGTGTTATAAATTTTTAAATTTTTTTAACCAAACAGTACCAAAATATAACCTATGTAATTTATGACAATATAAATTTTCTCTTATTGTTTTAAAACCCACCGTTTTGACACATTCACCCGTCTCATCCTCATTTACACAAAACACTTGCAGATTAAGTAGGAAGTTCTGCGGAAGGTCCTGAATCAACGCCAAACCCAAAGCAGCAGCTGTCATCTTAACATCGTTACCTTGAACCGAATATCCTCGAAACTCTTGCACGTAATTGTAATACAATCGCTGCTGTAACTGCTTCAGAAGCTTCTCCGACCCTTCATCAATGTCATTTCTGACTAACTCTCGTTGAATATTGTTAAATACCCGAATTACGTACTTGACCAAAAAACCGGCGTGTATATTATTTACAATGTCAAAGGTTTCGAGCCCGTAAAGTTGTCCATATGAAGGTTGTTGAGGTTCGCGCCATTCCATATGTAAGTTGGCAAAACATTCCGTGACAATCTCGTCCAAAAATACTACCAAATCGTCTAAATATTTAAATATAGCATAGAACACAAAGTATAACATAGTGTAATATCTAAAAATACAAAAAAATAAATAAAAAAGACCTACCCAAATTAACCAAATACTCAGTGTTGATTGAATCCACTTGATTCCTCAATTTGCGCAAAACCTCTAGATTCGTTGTCATTTCAGCAGCAATGTCATTACCAACTTCAACAGCAATACCCAGAGTTTTAGCGAGGAGTAAAGCCAATCTTCCTGTCGAATTAATCTGCTCATCAACATCAAACTGACTCAAAGCTTCCTTTACAAACTTGGCCGACATTTCTTGGCTCATATTTGGCAGACACTTGCCTGAAGAAGTGTCCATGGGTTCTTCTCCAGGCATCTAAAACAAAATAAAGTTACTATAAGATTTTTTTATCATTAAGTGTAAACTACAAGTATAAATTAAAGATACAACTTAACAAAAGATTGACAAAGCAACAAGTTTTCAATTAAATAACCAAATCACTTCTTTTTTGAAACCAAACAGTAGCAAAAGTCTTAAACGCTATGGCCATGCCCTCTTAAAAACAAAACTAAATAATGCAATTGATGATGGCCAAATTTAAAATCATAAAGATGATCACAAGCTCGTTAAACGCATCTTGTGATCAACGGTAAAGTGCGAAAAGCCAAAGGTTACCTAACGATTTGTCTCCAAAAACAAAAAAATGTGATATTCTCTGTCCAAGCACAAGAAAAACGTCTTGAATTTGTCCACGAGGACAGAAAATTATATATTTTTGACTGACAAAACAGTCTACAATATCGATCATCTGAATTGACACTTCGTTGTAATTTTTCGGCGCTGCTGAAAGCGAAACTCGGGCGCTAGCTGAAATTTGCGTATAAGATGTCGCTAAAAAGTGTTTTTCCTTTCTGTTGGTTTACTTTTTCCTTCAACACTTTGAGACATATTTTGTCGTGTAATGATGTAGTTTTTACTGTTAATGATTTGAATATTAACTCTTTATTATTATAGTTATATTTGGTTGACAATTTTAGCTTTTATTCACTTGTTATTTATAGTTAACACTGTAATGAAGTAATTGATGTTAGACGCAAAAGTCTTGTGTAGTTTATCGAAAATTTTAATTGCTACTGTTATCTATGTTATAGTTAACGATACTATAAATTTTTTGTTGGCGTTTTCACAATATTTTTTGGTAATTGTATTGTTTTAGAGGTCATCATGGGAGCGGGAGAAGATGGACCTCTTAAACCAGTTTACAACCAAATGAGACCACCATGGATTGGTCATTGGACTGGCAGAGATTAGTAAGTGGTTTTTTTAATTTAAATTTTTTTTCAATTTCAAAAAGTTAAAAGAAAGTTTTTTTTATAAAAATTGTTACAAGAGTTTTTTCTAGCTTAAATATTGGATTTTTTGATTACGTTGGTGCTTACTGTTGTAATCCAACTTATGAAATTTTAGCAAAGGCCGTCTTGACTGGTGGAATGAGTTGGGATTTCAAGTCGATGCTGAAATGAGCCGCAAATTCGTTCCTGCTCACTATCCTATCAAAGAGAGAAATCAAGCTTGGTAATAACCGTTTCTTTGTTTTCAATTTAGATTATTTCCAAACAAAGGTTTTAACTAAAAATGGAAACTGCTATAGGTATGATCCAAAAGTTCCGGATGGACAATCCAATGTTAACGTTACAGGACAAGATTCGTTTTACCACGGTAATCGAACCAAAAAAGGAGATGAAGCCATGAATCAGTTTGAATATCAAGACTATTTGATGAAGAACTCGGTTCAATACAAAAACATTGCTTCCAAATACAACCTGAGCAAGGAGCATCCGGGTATTGATGTGTCGCCAGACTTGAATTCGCTAAGTTACACTCCTAAAGAGTATCTTGGATTTGAAGGCGCTATTACTTGGCCGTCGGCTAAGATGACTTGGGGGCCAAGATTCCACGACAAGCCTATGAATGAGGGTTGTTTTGAGAAGGGTGGAGCTTTGGCCAAGTATGCAGCGATGGGAAGTAAGTTGTTTTAGTTGATTTTGAGGTTTAGCTAATGCTATGAGTGATGAAAACTGAAAAAAATGATTAAAAAGATCTAATTACAAAACTTATTTTTTCAGCTTTTATCTACTCGTCTATGTTGTGGCGAAAGACCGAGGACAAACGCTGGAACAGAATCAGGTTTGGGGAGGTTTTCAAAGTGTATGCTAAGAGCCTGCCATTACCTCTGACCTTGTCGTTTGGCTATGGAGTGGCCATTTGTACTGCAGCGACGCTTCGTAACAAGGACGATGTTTGGAACCCGTTCTATGCTTCTTTGTTCACTGGTATTACTCTGGCTACTATCAGTGAGTTTTTAGTTTTTGTTATCATTTTAGGTATAAGAAGGACTTTTTTTTTTACTTTTGAGTACAAAAGTCTTAGAAAACAACGTACTTTTAAGCATGAAAACCTACATGTTTAACGAAAACTCTTATTTTTGCTATTTAGAAGGCAATATGTTCACGTCGGCGATGTTCACTGGCAGTATCATGCTTATCGGCCAAATATGGCACTACCAGCGCGTCACTCAATACGGTATCTCTACTCCCGTGGAGAACCAAAAGCTGGGAGGCTTCTGGGGTACCGGACCAAGAATGTACGAGACTCGTCACTTTGGAAACATCAAGATTGGAGACGAATGCTACTGATTCTATAGGGCGAACACACATTAGAATTAAACTTTATGATATTGTGTTGGGGGTTTTATTTATTTGGTGCATGGATACTCGTTTAATCGAGGTATTACTTGGTTTAGTTTGCGATATTATATATATTGTTTTGAAGGATAAACATAAAGTGTTGTTTCTCGTTTCTTAGGTTACAACAATGTTTTTTGTTTAAAACAGGAAGGGTTGTAGTAATTTACAACTGTCTCTTTTAAAGGTATTTTGTCTGATTTTTGGTAATATTTCGTTTAACATTCATTTCTTTTACTTTTTTTTAAAAGAAGCTTATTAATTTAGTGTCATTTTGGCGATGGTTGACGGAATTTCAGAAAAGGAACATCGTTTTCCTTTTTGTATTGTATGGACACCTCTACCTATTATCTCGTAAGTTTATTATTTTTAAATTATCAGTTGAAAATACGAAAAAATTTTGTTTCATGCCTTAAATTTAAATGTTTGTTAAAAGTATTATTTTTCCTCGAACATACGATAGATTACGTTTTTCAATTTGGTAATTATTAATCAAGCGGTTTTAGATGGTTTATCCCGATCATTGGACACATGGGTATTGCCAATTCAAGAGGGATCATCAGAGACTTTGCTGGTAGTTACTATGTGGCTGAAGATGACATGGGTTTTGGTTGGCCAACCTGTTATTTGCAGTTGGATCCATCCAAAGTGGAAGGTGGAGTAACGGCTTTTGACAACGCTGTGAGAGATGCTTCGGATGAATACAAGAATCACATGGTAAACCTTTTATTTTTTTTTAGTTTTTTTTGATTTCAGGTACAATATTCGACTTAAAAAGTTAAGAAAACGAGTTTGGAAGAATGAAATTTTGAAGACTAGTTATTTTTTAAATGTTTTATTATTTCTAGAAGCTAATTTAAGATGTTTCTATGTCATTTTAAACCTTCTTCCCATTAAAAAATATTTTGTAAACATAAACAGTGCTGTTTTTAGCACAACATTTGCTGTGACAACTGTCACTCTCACACTGCTTTGGCTTTGGACTTGATGAACTACGATGGAAAGGCGAACTACAACATGGTCAAGTTATGCTTTTGGGTACTCTTTAAAGGCACTCGGCTTGGGTAAGATTTAGATTCGATGCTTTGACTCTTTATGTACCATTTGATTTTTCACCAATTTCATTAGGGATTTGAAAACAAATTGTATCTATTTCTTAGATTTTTAACGTAAAAAGACTATTTTAAATATTTCAGAGTATCTGGATGGCTAAAGCAATTCCTCCCAAGTTTGATGATTTTGGCGTTTGTTGGCATTTTGTTTGGCGGATTGCTGTAAGAAGTTCTTTATTGGCTACTTACTAGTATTTGTTACAGTTTGGCTAACAATCAGTGAACTGATGTTTTCTTGAATGAAGAGCTGTTTTATGGTTAATGTTGATCCAACGTTTAGTAATCTATGGATGAATATCTCAACAATGTTATAATCTTTTTCCAATACTCTTGGCTGTACATACATTTGAACTAACGTTATTGCATTCACTTATATGAAAATTCATTTTTTAATAAGTTTAGGTGTTGTTCTTGGATATGTTTTATGATTATTTGTATACGAATATGATTTATAATATTCTCATACGAATATGCCATCTTTTGTACGGTTTTTGTTATACGGGTAATAAAAATATTTGTTTTTGAAATTGATTGCTACATTTATTGATGTCATTGCTCATTGATATACTTTTCTCTTTACCATTACTTGTTTATGACTGCCATTATTTTTAATAATTTTTTATTTTATCGATAATTTTTATAAAACTTATAATGTTAACGCATTTTAGATGGTACGATTGTCAGCGGAGTTGATTCAAGACGCTTATCAGTATGTGAATGCGGTGAAACAACGTGAGCTGAACCTTCGTGACCTTCAGATTCCGGCAATCGAGAACTTGGGCGCGACAAGGAATCAGTACGATGTGATAGACCTGACAGACAACAACATTAGGAAGCTAGAGAACTTTCCGTTCTTGAAGAGATTAGAATGTTTGTTGCTGCATAACAACAGAATTCAGTAAGATTTTAGTTTTTTTGAGTAAAAAATTAATTTTATTTAAATTTTTGAAGGTTTTAGATTAAAACAAGGATTTTTTAAAATTTTAGTATTTTTTCACCTTTCTTTTTATATTTTTATTGCTTTGCTTTTCAGACACATTCAGAAAGACCTCCATGAAAAGCTACCGAACCTAAACACTCTTGCTTTGACCAACAACAATCTGGCCGAGCTTGGTGATATTGAACCTCTGGCGAAATGCAAAAAACTCGAGTATTTGGTGTTGATGGGAAACCCATTAACTCACAAACCTCACTACAGATCGTACATTATCTATAAGCTGCGGACAGTGCGAGTGTTGGACTTTAAAAGAGTCAAGCTGGCTGTAAGTTTTTATTTGAATATGTTGCTTTGATGTAGCTGATAAAAATATCATTTTTTCATTTCTGGGTGTTAAAAATTGTTTTTTCTTAATGTTTTTAAAAAATAATACACCAGTTGATTTGAAGCCGTATAACTTGAAAGAACAATAATATTATTCGTTTTAAGGAACGAGAAGCCGCATTGAAGCTGTTCAAAGGAACCGAAGGCAAAAAGCTGCGAGAACAACTGGTCAAAAAGACTCAACCGCTTCCAAATGAAACAGAAGCCCTCAGAACGCAGCCAGTCCAGACTAGAAACGATGAGGATCAAGAGAAGATTAGACAGGCCATCAGAAATGCGAAGACCTTGCCTGAAGTTGAGCATCTCCAGAGCATGCTGCAACAGGGCAAGATTCCTGATCCTAATCAGTGAGTTTTAAAGCTTAAGGCATTTGTGTGAGCGATATGATATTATGTGTAATACAAATACAGTGGAACAATTGTATTTTCTTATTTATTGGGTACTTCTTGATGTTGTTTTAGGTATTTATTGAAGGCACTTGATATATTATATTAAGTAATTACTTACTGTTTTAGATTCGGCCAAGAAAACAATGAAAACAACCCAATCCAAATGACAGAAGACGATGATGAAGAAGAAGAGATGGAAACAGAAGAAGAGCTTCAAAATGGAATGGAAACCGAAGAAGTCTCGGTACAATAAACTCGGATTGGGTCACTTTTTGTTATTTATTTTTTATTAATATCGAATGATCTACATTGTTGAACATCTCTTAATTATTTTCATGTCTTCGTACTATAGTTTTTTAAAGTTTTGTGGTATTAAACGATGTTACTTTGAAAAGGTGTTTTGGATTGGATAAATTTTTGGTTTTTACATATCTTGTTGTACTGAAGTTAAATTTATTTTTTAAGGTTTTACATTATAATGCTGGTTATGAGCTATGCTTCTTAAAGGTAAATATGTTCTTTATATTTAGCTTACACCTATAAAGAAAAATAAAAAAAAAGTTTTTACGTATTTATTATAGCATTTATGATACTTTATCTTGCCTGAACTAGAAATTTAGGTTATTTTAGAAGGAGGAAATTTGGCTAATCTTGTAGTTTTATGCTTCTTATTGGGCTAATATTCAGTTAGGAAAAAAGCTTCTGATTAGTCAAAAATGGATGAGAAAAATGTAAAAACAATGCAACATTTACATATTAGAGGTCATTTAAAAGGAATGTGTACAAATGCTCAAAACTTCTTTGAGCTCTTCTCCCACCTTTTTTTCCAAGGGAATTACACCAAACGTCCCTCGGTATTTAGGCCAATATAGGTTAAAAGAGCGTACAAAATGGCAGTAAAAACTATATAAGAATATTATATGTACTGTAAGTCGCTAGCCGAGACCATTTAGCAGTTTCTGAAAATAGTTTTCCTGGTAACTTTGTGCGCTTTTTCATCCTATATGTCTCGTTTTATAAGCCAAGGGACAAGTGGTACAATTCCCTAATAAAGATTAAACAATCATCTTCTAACTTATACCTATGCATTTAGACCTATTATTTATGCTTTTAAATTCATTATTAATTTAAGGTTTTAATTCACTATCATCTCTTACCAACTTCTGGATAGTAATTTATTTGTCTAAAAAGGAAAACTTGGAAGGAAGCACAAAACCAAAAATAGAAAAATATTAAAGGAAAACACATAGGAACAAGATACGATAACATAGAAGTATTCTACATGTCATTGTTTTCATTTTTTGAGAACTATTTGATAAGATAAACTGGAATTTTTTTAAATATTTGGAAAGGGAAAGGAAAAACCGGTAATCGACTTCGAGTGTGAAAAAAATATTTGTTTAGGACTACTGTAACATTGGTATAATAATCGGGGCGGGGGGAAGACGGGGTTATACGGAAGGGGATGGATTAGATTTGGCTTGTATTTTTGATTTTTAGTCAGAATTTTTGAAAATTTAAAACTTTGAACTTGAAGATTACAAAATTCTATAAATTTATCGACCAAAACAGCTGATTTTACCTAAAATACAAGCCAAACCATTAAAATACATATAGACCAAGAGCCATAAAGCTCTTTGAGATGCTTTCGGAGACTCGGAAACACCATATATACAAAATAGGTACCAGAGAGTAGTATTTTAAGATACGAATTTGATTTTGAATTAACGTACGATTCTTTCGTATCTTGAGATACAAAATAATTGTACCATTAATTGTACGTTAATACAGAATTAAACTTCGTCTCCTTTCGGTCGTATATTAAGCACGATTTAATTGCTACTTAAAATATTAAAGTACGACTCTTTGGTACGTTGAGATCAAGCTACAACATGTATACATTGAAGGTAAATACGACGAATAAGAGATTTACTGCCAAAACGAATGAGATTACTACGAAAAGATCACAAATGTTTGTATATGAAGAGATTATACGCCTTGTTTAAGTGTAATACATAAAGTTTAACTTTGATAGGGTACGAAGACAGTATAATGTAGTACTGTTATAGTACCGGCATATTATAAGTTAGTACTATATTTTAGAGTAAAATTAAGTACAGAAGTAGTATTGTTCCAGTGCTACGAATATAGTACTGTCATTGTACTTATCGTAGTACTATCTCAGTACTAGGAGTATAGCACTGTCACGACAGTTAAACTAAACAAACTTCAATATTACAATTAAGGTAATACGACAATGTATACATATTCTTGTGTTTAGACGCGGTAGGTGCGTGATACACTTTGTGTTAGAGTACCATCATCGTCCCATTCCAAGCCCTTCGAGGCGGCGTGGGGTAGGGCAGGCGAGGTCTCTTCCTCCTCTTCTTCACTCATCTCGTCTTCATCGTGGTAGCTAAAACATGTATATATATATGTATAAGCTGGTACTATAAGATGGTACACATTTTTTTAATTCATATTTTCGAATTTTTGAAATTTTCAATTTTTAAAAAATTCAAATTTATTTTTTTTTCATTTGAATTTGAAAAAATATTCAATTTGTTTCAAGAACAGCCAAGTACGGTGCATTTCTTAAAACGTGCTTGAGCAATTTAAGGACTAAAGATGGATTTGCGTCATTAAAACAAAAAGTCACACAAGGAAGTTACAATCCGTGTGAGAACGAAGAATCAAATCTGCTTTAGGGCAAAAGTTAAAGCTAGGATTACCAGCGACGTCAAGCGATTACGGTAGGTCTGGAGACGGATTTGTTAAAGGGATCCATTAGGATAAAGTAGGGTAAGGTAGGTTCGATTAAGGTAAAGTAAGGTGGAGTGGGATAGAGTAGGGTAGGGCAGGGAATAGTACGGTAAGTTAGAATAGGGCAGGGTAGGGTAGAAAAAAGTAAGGTAGAGTAGGGAATGATAGGGTAAGGTAGGGTACCGTAGGGCAGGACAGTGTAGTAGAAGATAATATACCGCATGGAATTGATAAAAAAAGTTTAAATCGAAATTTTTAGATATTAAATTCAAATTTAAAATAGCCATCGTAAGCATAATGCAGCCAATATTACCTTTCACCATCGTCCGAGCTCTCGTCTTCTTCTTCCGAGTAAACTTCTTGTTCTTGTTTCTCAACATCTTCTAATGGGTTCACGGTGATGTTCATGCCTCCATCATCCCATTCCATGCCTTCTTGCATCTGAAAATAATTTTTTAATATTTTGGTCCATTCATGAAATTTTTTTAAAATTTTTATTTTTTTTTCAATCTGACACATTTAAAAAAATCTTACCGTAGCCATTTTCCTCTGGCGTCTTCGTGGCCTTGGGATTGGAGTATCGCGCATCTTCAGCACTCCCACCACCAACAATACCAACAAGAAGCCGACACAGATCACGACAACGATCGCGACCGCTCCTCCAGCCACCGCGCCTTGTCCCATTTCGTAGCCGTGATGCGACAACAGGGCTTTGGGCCGAGGCAGGTCCATCTCGAGGATGTTTTGAAGGCGGTTGGCGCCGAGCTGGTCAAACGCCGAGGGCTCGAATTGTTTACCGAACTCGCGAATATCTTGTGCTTCGGTGTTTTTGGTCAAGATGCGGGCTTCCGCGTCCAGGTCGTCGACTTTGTTTTCGTCCGAGATGTACATCTACAAAGGCATGCATAATTTTTTGAGGTTTGGGTAAGGGGTTGGTCAAATAGGGGAATATAAAGTAAGAAAATAACCTCATTTTAATATAAAAACTGAACTTTAGGTATTAAAATTGTCTAAAATATCAAATTTCAGTTTTTTTTTCAAGATTTAAAGTATAATTTTAAGTATCAAAATCAGCTTCAAAGCCAAAAAACTCACGGTAACAAAGAATTTGTTGCTCAACAGCTTGCCCTTGTCCATGGCGCACTGCACGGTGTACATTCTCTTGTTGTAGGCCTCGGGTCTGGTGTTGAAGTAGTGGATCTTGCTTAATACCTCTCTGTAGCCGCTGATCGACTCTTCTCCCTTCAACAAGATGCCTTCTGAATCGTGTTCGAAGTCAATGTTCAAAGAAGCGATCAAGGCGGCCGGTGAGGAGAAGTACTCCAGGTCCATGTCGCGCGACGGCTTCAGATGAACTTTGCACCAGTCGATCTTGTGCTGAGAAGTCACATCCACATCCTTGTCGCCGTTGTTCTTGACCACCGTGATTTGAACGTCTGGGACCATAACTGTGCCCAATTTGAGGGATTTGCGGTCAGTGTTGATCAGGTTTTGGCCGGAGATGGATAAGATCGGGGCTTGTTCGTTCTTGACTTGAATGCTGGTCTCGAACGTGCCTAGATCACGTTTCTCTCCATTGGTACACTTGGCAGAGGACTTGATAGTCAAACGACGTTTGCCTGGCAGAGTGGGGTCAGAGTTGATGTACTCGACCTTCTGTAACAACAAAGACAAGTCTTCCAAGGTGTTGGAGGTCAAGGTGAGGCGGGTTTGTTGTTCAGCGAAGGCAGCGGTTTCTCCTGGGACCAGTTCATCGACCGCTTCGAAGCGGAGACGTTCCTTAGGTTGATGGAGACATTGAACTGCCATTTCGCTTTCAACTTTGCCTGGGAGGAGGTATACTGAGGTCAGATGGCCCTTGAAGAATTGGACCATTTGCTCAGTACGTCCGTGCCAGCAGGCTCCTACGACCATCTTGGTCTTCTGAAAAGGTTTATATTATATTAGGTTCAGAAAGGTTAAAAATAGTTTGAAAAATTAAAAAAGAATTTCGTATACTATATTGTAGTAGGTTAAAATGATGTTTATAGGTTAAAAATTTGTAAAAAGTCTAAAAGAATTGTTTTAAATTATATTGTAGTAGGCTAAAATAATATTTCAAGCCAAAAAGTTAACAAAAGGTTTCAAAATTTCACGTTTTATCAATTTTTTCTACCATCCTTTATATAATTCAATACCCAAATCCAAGAAAACCAATCTTACCAGCCACTTAGTCTCGTGCAACGGCCAGTCGTCCAAGATTTCCGGGTTCCTTTCGGTGTTCTCGTACTTGTTTCCATCGACCATTAGTACCACGTTGTCCAAGTCGTGGAACAAAATGGCGTACGAATGCCATTCATCGTCGCAAACCTCTGGCAATGCCCATCTCCATTCGGCAGCGCGGAAGTTTTGTGATGCATGTTCGGCTTCTCTTCTCAACAACATCTCCAACTTGCAGTGGCGGATGTAGACGGCGAAGTGGTGGCGGTTCAGGTCTGGAAATTTTATGTTAAAGTTTATATTGACGTAGGTGAAAATGGTAAGGAAAAGTTAAAAAATGGGTGAGTTACAATATAAAACCCAAGATATTTAAACATACGATAATGAAAATTTTAATAAAACTCACGATCATTATCAGTTTCACACAGAATGTTCTGTTTGACTTGTTGCTCAGCCTTGTTTCCTCTGGCGTGCTTCATGGAGAAGGTCAGAGAGAACTTTTGTGGCACGATTTCCTTGACGGTAGATGGTGGCACAACAACTGATGTTGTCTTACCATCAAACACATACTTCTGTTGTTCCAATTGACTCGGTGTCAATGAGCTCACATCCTCATCCTCCTCATCGTCATCTTCTTCTGATTCCTCGACCTTGGTGTCTTTGTCCAAATTCTCATCTGAATCTAACAACAACTCCTTGGCTTTACCGTCCTTTCCTAACACAACTGATCTGGTGTTATCACCTCGAGGTAACAGCTCCAAAGTCTCCAGGTTCATGCCACACTTCTTGGTCGAAGCCAGATCGTGTTCAGAAGGACGTTCTATGGCTAGCTGAAGCTGACTTTCGGCCGACTTCACGGTACACGTTTGTTCGGTGGGGCAAGAGATGACTTCAGCGTTAGGCAGGATCTTTCTGGTGCCAGTGCCTGGAGTGTATTCGATTCCAGAAGCCGCCAAACCACGAAGACCTTCTTGACATGGTCGACGGACATTGATGGTAACTAGAGCACTCTTTGATCGTTGCATTCCACAGTCATAAGCTACGATGGTCAGAATGTGGGATTCAGAATCCGATCGGTTCAAAGGCTTCACGTTGCTGATCACTCCTTGATCATCAATATGGAATGGGAATCCCTCCAAAGCGTTCGTGATCTCGTATCTACAGATCTTGCCATAGGGATGACCACAGTCTTTGTCAGTCGTAGTCAATTTGGCAATGTTCTTGGCCACCTGACCTTCGACAACATCGAACGCATACCATGGAGCGTCGAATTCTGGAGCATGGTTGTTGGTGTCTTTTACCGTAACCTTGAGGCTTGCTCTGCAAGAATTGTGTAAATTAGTTGTTTTTGTTATTTCATGGATTTGCAGTGTAATGTAAACACAAAGTACTACTATGCACAGTATAATGACAAGTGTAAGAAGAAGGGAAACGTTTTGGTAGTGCAGGGTAAGGCTGGATAGTATAGAGTAGAGTAGAGTAAGGCAAGGCAAGGCAAGGCAAGGCAAGGCAAGGCAAGGCAAGGCAAATTTTAAAATTAAAATTATTTTTACAAAAAAAAATTGAAATTTCAAAATGACTCACGGTTCAGATCGTGCCATATCGTCGTTACATCCTACAGCCGTGATGTCCAAGTTGAACTCACTGTGAGAACAGTCCAACGTGAAGTTCTCCTTGACTTTGATGACGGCGCTGCCAGTGTTTTTGTCCACAATCTCGGCAAAGAATGGGATTTCGGTTTCGGAGTCAGATGTCAATTCATATTTACATACTGGTCCTGAAATTTTAAATTTTTCAGTTGTAGTTAGGCTTTTAAAGCTTTATGATACTACTGTAAACTACAATAAACAATTTTGTTTTTACATGTGATTAATTGTATTATAGTTGATTTCAACATAACTACAATTGTTATTTTCTTAATAAAAAGTAAAATGTATTACCGACGACCACTTATATCGTATACAATTTTAAAAATTGTAGTTTTATAGCATAACAACTCACATAAACAGGTTACAGTAAGATTTCTACATATTTTTTTTTGTTTCAAAGCAAGATAATCCAAATATATATGTAACTTCGAGCAAGAAAATTACAGTAATCATAAAATTAAAAAAAATGTTACACTAAAATTGTAAGACAAAAAAAGTAGAAAAGTTACAGTATCTCTATCAAAAAGTATACAAATTACACTACCTCTATTCCAAAACTAAAAATATACAGTAAACCCAACAAAGTTAAATATAAATATACAGTAACAAGTCTTAACTTCCGAGTGAATGATTCTACAAGATTTCTACTGTACTTTATAATCAGCTAATATTTAGCTTATTATAACATGAAAAAATAAACTTACCACTCTCGGGGAAAATGGAAATGTGCGGAGAAACGGCGACAACGTGTTCATCTTCACGCAGACTTCCCAGGATCTCATCAGCACCGTTCAGTTGCAAGATTGGCACTGAAATTTTAAAATTTAATTTTGTTTTTAATTTAATTTTTTTTTAAATTTAAATTTTTTAAATTTTAAGTATTTTATATTTTATCACTGTGAAAGTTTAAGAAGCTTTAAACAATCGATTGAAAGTCTCGTATTTTACCTAAATCAACACTTTTTTAAAAAATATTTTTGAAATTAAAAATTTTTTTAAATTTAATTTTTAAAACTTCAAATTTCAAAAACCATGTAAACTATTTTTGCATTTGCAAATACGAGTACATGGTAATGCCATTCAAGTGGATACTTTAAATTTGTTCCCACTGAACGTCATTCCGCTTCTTAGAACAACATAAATGGCACGTAGTTCAGAAAAAACTAATCTTATTATGGGAAGGAACAATTATATTATCATTGATACACTTGGTTCATCAAAAATCTGAATTATCTTTTTATTCACCCCCCCCCCGCCGCCTTGGCATCTTTTTAATCTACCCCCTTATCATCTTCTCTACACATGCTATGTCTTTAAAAAGGCAAGGACTAGTACAATAAGAGCCTTATCAAGCTGATTCTGTAAAGGTCTCATGCACTTTTAGCATTACTTTTATTAGAATTAACTAAGAAAGTACAAGACTAATGTTGGAATTTCTTTCACAGTACTAAATTAAGTTAATTAGGAGCTTTTGTGTTTTCGTTTGGCTTTAACAGTACTATATTTGCTTAAAAATGGCAATAATAGGGCTGATTAAATAATTTTTTTTAAATTAAAAAAAATTATTAGTTCTAGCGTTAACTTTAGCTCTAGCCTTAGCCTTAACACTAGAATTTTTTATCAATTTTTTTAAAAGTCTTTTCTTCCCCTACCATTACTAGAAAGAATCCTTCTAATCTTAAAATTCCCTCTACCCCACTTTCTACTCTCCAATACCCCCGCCTAGCCTTGATTGTCATTTATTTTTCATACTAATATTTTTCCAAGAACACCATTATTAGCACAATGTGTGTTCCGAGTTAATAGTTGGCCAAGAAGTACAAACATTATTGTAAAAAGAGATAATCGGCGTGATGGTTCACGTCATAACAAGTTAGTGGTATCCGCTTAGTGAGGTGTGCAAGAAAACAAAACTTTCGTAAAACAGACACTATTTCATGGATAATATTGAGCAGAACTTTGGTCAACATATCGCAAACAATTTTTTTTTATTTTTCAAAATCTTAAAAAATTTAAATTTTTTGTAAATTTTACAGAAAAATATTTAAAAAAAGTCATTTTTTTATACCTAAAAAGCTATTCTATGAACACTTGGGCCAATAACATAAACCTTCATCAACTTTCAAATTAAAAAATAGTTATTCTATAAACTTTCGAATCAAAATTATAGCTATTCAATAGACTTTTAGGCAAAGAAATGGCCATTCCATAAACTTTTGAACCAATAGATATCCATTTTATACAAATTAAAACCATAAAGTTCCAGTTCTATGTACTTTTTGACCAACATATCCATACCACCCAAACCCCAGCCCTTACCTCGATGATGATGCTTGTGATGACCGGCTAGGGCCGTGCCCAGGAACAGGCACACCGCCACGAACACACGCATACGTATCACAATTACTGTTATTCGGGTTCCGCAAGTCTTCTGAAACGGCAAAAAATTTAATTTGGGAGGCAAATTGATGGACAGCTGCGGTCGACAGGTCCACGGCGATGGACCACGCTCATCGCTGGTATTATTTCGAATAATGCGGTTAAGATTCGAGAAAAAAAAAAGTTTTTTTTTGGTTTTAAATAAAAAAAAATGTTTTTTTAAATTAAAACAGAAAATTAAAAAATACAGTACAACAGTACAACAGTACAATAGGAACATATAAAAATAGAAAAATAAAAAGTCATAAAAATCAAAAAAAAAAATATATATTTTATTCTTTTTAATTTACCCCGCCCAAGTTTCAATTTACATAAAAATTATTGAACTACGATACTTTCTACATTTCATAGCCAAGTACTACATAGTATTAACACCCTTAAAACCTCCAGTATCACTACTGAAGCTAAAACACCCTTTAAAATAAAAATATTGTACATCAACAACCATCAACCCCACCCTGAATGCCACCTCAGCATGTCACTCGAGGAAAACATGGCCAATTCAAAGTTGTAATTAATTGAAGCCCGGAGGGGCTTGGGTAATCAATACCCGAAAAGTTGTGTGTGCCCTGAGGGCGAAGAAGTTGGGTGGTGGGACACGGCCGTCCGCCTGCCGAACGCCTCGTCCAGACTGCGAATTAGATGAGATTTTAATACGAGAGTGCGAGATGGCGAAGGAGTCAAAAACAGCCAAGTGCTCTCGGATTAACGTGCCCGCCGGAGGTGTTGCGCCGTGAGCACACCGGCGTTGCCCCGGGCAACACGCCCGAGAAAAGGAGGGGGGGTAGGAAAAGAAAAAACCGACACCTCATGCATTTCCAAGCACCGCCGTACTCACGGCCCACTGCGTCGGCCGAGAACGTTGGGGTCTTGTTTAAGAACGTTCGGGTCTTGTTCACACCTGCCGCACAATAACTTTGGCTGGTGTTTATGAAGCGAGACCGCGATGTAAGGTAGGGCTCATAATGCGAGAATACAATTTAAGACCAGGGTTATCACAGCGAGAGCACGATGTAAACGAGCGAACGAACGGTGAGAATGAGTGAGAGAACGATGTGAATAAATAAAAGAACGGTGTAAATGAACAAGTGAACGATGAAAAGAAGAGTGGTAAAGGTGTAAAGCAGAGAAGTTATGAAAAGAAAAAATATAAAGTAAATAAGAAACGGAGATATAACAAAATATTGTAACAAACAATGGCAACTCCTTATCTTATACTACGAATCATATCTATGTCAGAAAAAAGTTAGTATGAATATGTAAAAATGCTTAAAACAGTCAACATATAAACCTAAAAACTCTCTAACCAGATCATATAAGTACACGACAATACCATGCTCAAGTAGTATAACTACACAATATTACTATGGCCAATTGGTATAAGTATACAATAATAACAAACAGTATGACTTACTAGCACAAGTATGAAATATTAACAAACAGTATGACCAACTATAAGTATACTGTACAATAATACTCAAAATTATAGTAAAAAAGTACAGTGCCATACCAAAACAAAGATCTGTAACATGCTCGTGAGAAACTTGATATAGTACTAGGCATGTGGTTATTACCCAAAATATTACGTACCATAATAATAGAATGTAAATACAAAAAATAAGAATAGTCAACGTAAAAAAACGCTACAAATAGAAGGAACTAAAACCACTATTACAACAAAAACTTGCATAAAGTAATGTGTAGTCAACAGCAAGATCTCTATGTTACTAACTATGTTTTGACTTGACTTTTATGCTTAGTAAGCCAAGATCTAAAGCTTGACTACATACTCACACATAGCCTAGTATATACTGATGTAAAACCACATGCCAAACATACAAATGTTAACACAAGACTAACTTGTTTATCAGTAAATTGCCGCTAGTGATATTTTTTAAACTACAACAAGTTAGAAAGATTCTCGAACACACTGGCACGTACTAAACCAAAGTTTAGCAAAAATAATAAGATGTAATTATAAATTCTGTTATTGTAAACATGCAATTGTGTGAAATATGTTGTAAAACCGAGCTGAACGTACCAATTAGCCCGATACTGTAAGTTCAGGTTTAAAATGGAATACACATAAAAACTAAAACAGACTATATTTTATATAATTATACATGTGAATGTGTTAGTACGGTTTGTAGAGTACTAGCATGCTTAAGTTATTTGACACGAAAGATTGTCGTGACCATATAATTGCCATTTTAATCTTAACAGTAAAGTGCAAACAGTTCTAGCCTTGCTCCGTGTTGTGTTAAATTAAATTTTAATTTCATTTTCAATTAAAAAAACAAAAAAATGTGATTAATATTCAAATTTAAACCTAGTTTTTCAAATTACTTTAATATATGTTACTTAAAATAAGTTTTTTTGCTGGAAAAAGTTTAAGAAATGTCAAGTAAACATTCTTTTTATTTGTCCAAACATCGAGACCGACTTCAGAATAAGTAATGTAACCTAAAACGCAACGTCTGCTTCTTTATGTACAACGTTATGCTAAACAAAACTTTTTTTACCCTTTCTACCCCACCTCACTCCCTGCTTTACACCTGCCACTTGCCTACCTACCCTTAGCTTAAGCCTACCCGCTGTGTACTAAGCCTTTCTACCTGCAGGCAAAAGAGCACCTTCTCAGTCCCCCATTTACTCCCCTCTTAAAAAACCAGTACCACGCCCCCGCCTTCAATCAAAACATTAGAAATGTTTGATAAAGCCCAAAACCTTACCAAACATCCCTAATTCCGAGTATAATATCGAGGAAGAGAGTTACATAGCCTGGGTTTTGATGTCACTGACCGTGGAAAAGGGATGCTCTTCTGATGCTCGCTTCTTTTGAGTAAAACCGAGCCGTCTAGTTAGAACGAGCACAACAAAAAACACGCAGCGTGACTAACAAGAATCCGCTTCTTTTTTGTTTTTGAGTATTTTCTTGTAATGACTTTGTGTTATTAGGGGGTTAGGGCAGCTGCGACAAGTTTAAAGTAATAAAAATATCAACTTGATAGCCTAAAATACAACAAACCGGCTAGCCCTATTGCAGATTCCTATCCCAGAGAGCCCTAGCTCAGAGCTCTAGACCTGAGCTCTAGACCAGAGCCCTAGCCTTAGCCTGAATTCCTATATAAATATTCAGTAGCTCAATATTTTTTATACAATTTAATAAACACTTGTCTTGCAAATACAGCCATAATAACGTTTTAAAATCAAGTAAGATGAAAACCAGCAACTAAATTAACAATAGCCCATTCACTTTTCATAAGACCTTAATGGCGGGATTAGTAATCGTTGGCCCAACCTTTAGGCGAACACTTTTAATCCCAACCAAAACACATTCGAACGTGGGCCGTGGGATTAGTGTAATCTTCGCGTACTGTACGACATTTCACAGAAAACGGTTACTATACCGCACGGTATTCTTCATTGACGTACAGTAACACAGAACAGAGGTTTTAGAGATGAGACAACAATCTTTATGATAAACGGTTTTGAGAGATTAAAAAACGATTTTGTTGATTAAAACTGATAAAATAAGATTGGAAACTGTTAATTTGTTAAAAGTTTAAAAATTAAGCTTCTTTAACACTCTATATTAAAAAATTTAAAAAATAGACTTTTTAAATTCATATGTTTCCATAACAAAGACCTATATCAATATCAATATCCCTCGTCAAGTCAAAATAAGTCCGAGTTAAGATAGCTGTAAAGCACCAAATACGGAAGTCATCTACTCGAAAGCAGTCAAGTGCATATGGCAAAACAGACAGATAAAATTTGGCGATAGAAAAACGTGCTGTAAAAGGTCAACTTCGTACTACTAGGCTTATATTATACGTCGCTATGTTATTAACTTAATACATACAAGCAAGTTTTGACATAGGTCAAAGTGTAATAAGGAACTTGATTTTGTTAAGAAGGGGTAAGAATGTAAAATAAAGTAAAGTATGGAAAAGTAAATCAAAGGAAGGCAATGTAGAGCTGAGTGATTAAAATGGAGCGTTGTAAACATATGCCTTGCCTTGCCTTGCCTTGCCTTGCCTTGCCTTGCCTTGCCTTGCCTTGCCTTGCCTTGCCTTGCCTTGCCTTGCCTTGATTTTCTCTGTTCTGTCCAACCTGCCCCGCCTTGTTTTACCCTGCGCGTAACTGGCCTTCTCTTCCCTGCTCTGCATTGATCTACCTAGCTCTTCCCTGCAACGCCTTCTCCGACTCTGCCCCGCCCAAAATAGAAATAAAAACTTAAAAAACCACACCATCTATAATATTATACTTCCATTTTTACTTTGTTTTCCTATAATTTCAAACAATTTCAAAAACTCGAAAATATGAAAAACACCGTCTAACCACCACCTATGTATAACCTATTTCACAAATGTCACAAAATAAAAGTTGGGGACCTGCGGTACATAATTACAAATGCAATACTTCCGGCATTTTGGGCCCGAGTTATACAAGGGACATTCTACACGGGTCGTGACGTGCCGTTCCGCGACCACAAAACTCAATATTAATAACAAAGAAAGATTGGCGACGTAAACACATTACCATAAATATTACACCACGGCTCGGCATGAATCCCTAATTAATATTGGGGATAATGGTAGAAGATTTAACGTGATGCACGGTATAAAAAAGAGAACGATGAATAAAATTTTGAAAATAAGGGAAAGTATAGTGTGGCATTTTCGAAAATATATATACTATAAATAGATTTCAATTTAAATTTTAATAACATTTAAAAAAGGCAATGATAAAGTAAAATTTTGAAATAGAACTCTTACAGGTATTTACTGTAACATAGAGATGAAACCGTACATAGAAACAGTAAAAATATGCATTTATGGCTGCATGGCAACAATAAAAGACTGTAAAGACTTACGATAATATCAAAAATCGAAAGTTTGAAAAGCTTAACAAACATTCTTTATATGAAGCACTAGAAGCTAAGCCTCT